ACTAGTATCGATAGAAGAGCCTATTTATCTCGAAGGCAAAGACCCTACGGCTCTAGGAATATATCGACCTTAATAATAAAGAGCTACCTACCTTTCTAAAGGAACCTATAATACCTACGTTCTTATTCGAATTAGAATCGACTAGCGTTTAGACCCGAAGCTTAGAGCCTACTAATACCTTCACGGAGACCGATAAAGCACGGCTTTAAATCTAACGTGGTCCACCACTAAGCGACGCACACCCCTAAGCGACGCACTTTTCCACGACCATAGGATAAAGAATATTAATTATACTACTATAATAACTATAAAAGACCGAAACTATTCAGACTTATATATATCAGATACTTCCGTATCTTCCTAGCACATACGCGTATTATACCTAGGCTTTCTATACTTACTATAACGCCGTGGAGCCCTCTCTATCCTAGTCCGCCGACTACTATTCTCACGCGTTTCACGCTCTACTTATTCCTATACCTCCTTCTAGGCTAATATATTATATATATCTCCTATAGTAAGTAATCCTCTAAGATATATATATGTTTTCTTAGCCCTCCGGCGCTTACTAAGTGCCTTATTTACCTTCTATAATATACGTATCTTAGCCATTATAAAAGTAACCGAGTACGCTAATACCTATATCCCTTTTATAAGCTAGTCGATAGTAATAAGAATCGGTATTAGCGAGCTTCCTTAGTAACGGGTAATCTGATTTTTAATATATTCGGATTATAAGACTACCTTTATTAGGTTCTATAGCGTCTAGGAGCACTAAGGATCGGTAGCTATAGAAAAAGGATTAGTTAGTATTAGCGTCCGTAACTTAATATCTAGCTTAGATATTATAGCTTTAGGTTCGAAAGGTACTAGGCCTATACCTCTAAAACCTCCTTTATTATTACTCTCTATTATAGCGGTAAAGTAAGCGGCTTTAAAAGCGAGGAAGAACTCGACCTTAGTAATATAGTTAATATATACTCTAATAAAGGACTCGATTTCCCGAACGTATGCTTTCTTTAAGGTACTAAAACACTTAATATCGAGTAGCTAGGTTAGATAAGATAAGTGAGTAGGTAGGCTAATAATAATAATATTATTCTCTTTATAGAAGGCTTCGAACTAGGCCGACTAATAGCTTTTATACCTATTAAGTATAATTACCCGATATATACCCTTTATATAAGACTTTATATACTTATCGAAATATTTAATCTATTTAAGGCCGGTCTTATTATCTATCTACTTATTAGAAGTTAGTTTAATAGCTTAGTCGAGTAAGAGGCCGCCCTTTATATCTTAGTTAGCGAGGTAGTGCGCGCCTTAAATAATAAGAAACAGCGGGAGGCACTACCCTTTACTATTAATATACTTAATTACCGTCGCTTATTCCCGATTACTAGGCTAAATTACCTTACCTCTTTTACATCGATCGGCGCGTGTTATTACTATAGATACGTAGATAACGCCTATTATAAAGCCGGTCTCGTCGAAATTATAGAAGTCGTAGTCGTAGATACCGTACTTCGCCCTTATATTATATATAAGCTTAAACCACGCGCGAATAAGCTCTAGATCTTCGTAGAGGGCTCTCTAAAAGTTATATACGCGATTAAAACGCGTTTTAAGTTCTAGTTATTGCTTAACGAACTTCTCGGCCTAGTGCTTACCGACGCGTCCTCCGTCGCGTCCCGCGAGTAATAAATTAGCTATATCTTTAATACTAGCGTATCGGGGCGCGAATCCTCGCGTATCTAGGTCTAATATATATCGAATAACTACCCGTTCTTTAGTAACTATTAATTAATAAGTTATATAACGTGTTAAAAATAGGGACCCAATGCCCCTATTAGGTGCCTTACGAGGCCCTCTTATATGACACTTGCAGGGGCCCCCTGGAACTTACAGGGATCTTTCAGGGGACTGATACAAGGGTCCACAGCGCTTACGAATTCGCTTATGAGTGCGCTTATGAATGCGCTTACGAATGCAGTGCTTCTGAAGCCTTTTATAATATTCGAAGGTTAGCACTGCCACACTCGCTATTACAAATCAAACCTTCTGTAATCTTCCACTAGGTTCGATTTGATCCACTCTTTTACAGGGCATTACAGCGCCCTCACGCCTATAAATATAGGCCTTTATTCACTACTAGATAGTTCTTTTGAATCAAGTCAAGTCATTCTTTTATCTGTTTGCCTACCCTAAAGATCATCGAATTAATAGCGATTTTCCTTCCACAGCGCCTATAAGAGTACTACTCTTTAATAACCTTAGCCTTATTTCGCGAGGCTAACGGGTGTATATATAGGATATAGCTATACCGCGTAGGTTACTACGAGAAACCGCGGATCCACCCGGAGTGCGAATTAGTATATACGAAAACTTAGGATATACTCCTAACGGTAAAGCACTCCGTAGCTATCCCGCCGGGCCACCGTAGGCTAGCCTTGAGTTAAGGGGGGGGAGGTAATATTACGGTTCTACTAGTTACTAGCGGCTAGGTATAAGACCTAGCCCAGTTCACCTAGGCATGTGACGCGTGCCCGCGAGGACGCATAGACCTCGCGGGGTCTTAATAGGAAAGGGGGACCGTAAATTCCTTTTTCTTTCTCTTTTCTTACCTTATCGTTAGATAGACTCAATCTAAGCTACCAAGTTGTTCCAACAGGGCTTAGCCCACAACAGATATGTATACTTCCTGCGCTCCATTACTATCTTTGCTATACTTCGCCACTTAACTTTTAAATTAATCTTAAACGCTTATTTTTAAAAACCTTGTTTAATTAAACTATACCGTAATTACAGAAAAAAGTAAGGTCTAAGGCTTGTTAGCTAGATAACTTTATACTAGCTTAATAAATTGTTGCTTTATAATACCGCGTTTATAAGCAATAAGAATATTATCTATATATCGTGCGTAATAATAGTATGAGTTCTTAACTCCATGCGGTATATAACTATGTAATTACATTACTCCTTACTACACTTGTTACTATAATAATTATAGCTCTTATATAAAACAATTAAGCTGCTCTCAAAATAAATATAAATATTAGCACTCGCTATATTAAGCCTATATCTATAATAACTATGACTATGTAGGGAAACCTAAAATATAATTCTTACCCTGAGTTCTTTCTTATATACATATAGACTAGTTGATATATTAAGGAAGAGAGAGCATTGACAAGACGGTTTCGCCCCTTAGGACGAATATAAATATATAGACTACAATATATAACGTAATCCATAAGCGAGTGCACTACCCAAGCGAGTGCACTACTTTCTACTATAGTATAATACCTTATAGTAAGATACCGAATTCCTCTATAGCATAGAATACCTATATCTTTATAAGAAAGTAGGATTATTCTTACTATTAAGTATCTCTAAAAAGATCTAAAACTTAGCCTTAGGGCCGTAGTAAGGATCTACGAAGTTAACTATATAACCCTTATGCGACGACGCGCTAGTCGTACGGCCCGACGCGATACCAGGCCTAATTTAATAAATTTAACTAAATTAAAAGAGAGGGTTATTATTTAGTATATTATTAAGCTAGCTACGCGATTATTTCCTCCTAGATTACGCGGTATTAAAGAAATAGCTAACTATCTACTACGCGTACGCGACGCGCTACCTATCGGGAAGAACTAGGTATAATCTTCGTAAGTATAGTCGTTACGATATCGGATAGCTATATAAGGGCTAAATTAGCCTAGCTTAATAATCGGGAGTGGTTAACTATAATCTAAGGCGTTAGCGCGGCCGGTTAGGCTATCCCGCTGTTTATTATCCTCGCCGTAAAATACTATCGCGCTAATTAGTACTAAGAGTATAATCTTCTAGCCGACTAGTATATCGTAATAACTAATAATAGCTAGACTACTAACGAGGTCGGTCTAGATTAGATTAAATACTTCGATTATTATATAGCGCCTCGTACGAAGGGTAGGTATCGGCTCCTAATCCTTAATAGCTATAAAAGCTATTACTCGACCGAATTCGAACTCTTTTATAAGTAATATAATATTATCACGCTCTATATACCTATATATTCCTCTTATATCCTTTAGCCGCTAGATATTAGCTACTTTAGCCTACTAAAGCAGGCGTACGGCCGGTAGGTTAAGGATCTAATGCGTATATATATCATATATATTAGCAAGCTCGAGTTCCTTTACGCCTTCCGTACGGCCTATTTTACCTCTATAACCGAGAAGAATATATAAGGAGGCTTTATAAGGGCCGGCCTTATACTATACGGCCTATCGAAGGGTTCTCTTAAAGCTTAATATACGGCTACGAATACTAACGCCCCCGGTAACTCTCCCTAAGATTAGGTAGCCTTAGGTCCCGAAGACGCTGTAGAATACGCACGAGGCTAGCTCGCAATTAGAGTATATTAAGAATCGAATCTCTACCTATTAGAATAGCTCTCCGACCTTAAGAATAGCTACCTTAGACTAATTTATAAAGGGGGTAATAGCTATTATATATCGGGTGGCTCTCCTAGAGGCAGAGACCTCTATACTTCGTAAGGCTAATAAGGCACTAAGCAAGCGCCGAAGAGTAAGAAAAACACGCGTATGGCTTAAAGGATCACTTAATGTGCGAGATATATAAGATCTAGTAGATCAAAAGGATCTAAATAAGTAGATAATAAAGGAAGAGCGCTAAGGTAGAGGGAGGGGAGGGACCGCTCGTGCGAAGCTTCCACGCTATAGTAATTACGGCGGGACTGGCTATAACGTACGAACCTGTTAGAATACTATAGAAAGGTCTGATATCTCTAATTCGGATGTGGTTATAGTAGCTAGTTAATTTTATAGTGGTTAATTAAATATTTTATTTATGTTTTGGTGGAAAGTGGTGCACTCGCTTGGGTGGTGCACTCGCTTGTGCATTACGTTACTTATATCAAGAACGGTTCTTTTTTTTACGCACGACCGGGCCGCTAGAAGTTTTTCATTAACGACATACGAACTTTGATCCCTTTATCGCAAACACGTCTTAAAGCTGTTGGCCGCGTTGATGGCCATGGTCTTGTCATGCATTGTCCCCTCCAGCTGATCGAAGCCCTTGACAGCCTTAATCACGTTCTTGTACATGTCTGTCTTGGGGTTTTTCAGGTCCGGGTTGGCCTTTACCGTGGCCTGCCACTTGAGCTTGTTGTAACCTGCGTTGAGGTAGTCGCTTTCCTTGTTGACGGTCTTCCAGACAACATCTTTCACCTGGCTCTTCATATGGTCGACAAAGTTTTCGCTGAGGGCGGCCTGTCGGAAATCAACCACTGCGCCGAGGACGGTTGCGGCGTTCGTCAAATGCCGCGTGACGCCAATGTTTCTCTTCTTGGCCCTCTCGTGGTCCTTGTCGATGATCTGAGCCAAGTCGTCCCACAGGCCGACTGTGGTCTTGCGCTTCTCCACGACTTTGCTAGTAAGAATGTCCCAGCTCTGGACAATGTCACGGAGAGCAAGCACGACGGCGGCTGCAGCTCCGGGAACGAACTGGAAACCGGCTTCTAGGTCGTAATACGACTCGTCGGACGATGCGTCCCCAAAGCGGATGAAGTTGATGAACTCGTCGAGAGTGCACTCCCCGTCGGGAAGCGACTTGCCTTCACAGTCCGGTGCGACATAACCGTGACCCGGTCCCCAAACCTTGACATCCAAGTCGTAGACAGTGTAGAAGTAGAGGATTTCTGCCGCTTCTGCTGCATCGGAAGAAAGGCAAGGCTGGATAAGGGCCAGAACACCCAGCAGGGTAGTAAAAGCCTTCATGCTGAGCCGCAGATGGTTTTTCAAACGCCGATAGAGGCAATAATTGACACTTGGGCAGATAAGTCTGGTATGGCAGCACACTCGTGGGAGGTTCAGACTGAGTCACTGCGACCATATTAGCAAGGATTCCTTCATACCCTCCAGCAGTCAGACCAAGAGGTACGTATGTGGGCTACTGCTAGATCTAGCGAGCGTAACTTACGATAAAGGGAGTTTGAAGGCGCCTTGTCCGGAACTCTCGTTTGTCGCCCGCAAGCGAGTCAGAGGAAGGCACAAAGTTAAGTAGTAAACAACCTTGATTTTAGAGAAAGCTGGCTGTCGCATGTCGTATCTAAGTCCAAAAGAACAGGTCGGTTGCGAATCGCATGAGAGACCAAAAAAATTCTGCTTATTTTGACACCGAGATTACACTTATGGATTTCCGCATGTAACCACTAATGCCGTTGCATCCGTAGCTTGCTTGGCTGTGGGACGACTCCGAGCAGGTACCATAATTAGGGTGTTAATTAAATTGATTTGAAGCTAGCCAAGACGTAGTTGTTGGAGCAGCCTTCCTTCTTTGACCAGAAAGGATCTGCTTCAATCTCCGCGTGGTCCACAACTAGTAGCTAACGCCATGGGGCCAAGCCTCGCCCCTTTTCTAGTGGTTCTTGAACCCTTACAATGCAACAACAGAGTAGCGCGATGCATATTAAGGATGATACCTATTAGTGGCTTTGAAGCTCGCTCGCGGCAATTTCGAATCCTTCGAATCCTTCGAACCCTTCGACTGCTTGGCGGCTGTTCGAAGTACCGAGGGTTGCCGGCTTGGCCCTGCACTGAACTTTGCAGGCCTCAAGATTTGGACGGACCGGTGGCTAAAAGCAGTACTGGTTCCCCACACGCCCGACCTTGGCATATTGCTGCCTAGCCAGACCCTCGGACTCCCACATGGTGGACCTAGTTCTGGGCTGCAGATTGTAGTATTTTTCTTTGCCAAGGTACAAGCTGACCCGCAGTAGCACCCCTACCTGATGGAACAATAGGACTGGGAACTTGTCGAAAGTGACAGGAACGGACCGCTCACGTGCTTTCAGCCGCGGAGTATCTCCTTGTATTTACATACCTCCTGGTAGCCCATTCATCGTCCCAAATTCTCTCGTTCAATCGTCAGAGGCGTCACGAGCAAGGGATTGTCCTGGTTCCGTCAAATACCCGACATTCTGCGCTCTAAGCCTGGGCTTTGCAGAAACCACCCATTATGTTTTCTTCCCTTACGCGTGCAGCACTCTCGCTGCTACTCCTGGCACCGGCGAGCTTAGCTATTATCACCCACCAAGGCCATGCTGTCTCAGGGGAAGATGCCCTATCTCAATGGCTCGAGCTCCAGGTCCCGGAAAACGAGACTCTGGCCGCCAGAGATCTGATTCACGGGATGAGCGGGTGGAACCCAACGTCGCTGCTGTCCAAGAGGCAACGCGAAGAGAACGGAGACGGCGCTCTTCTTTGCGAAAACGGCGAATGCGTCGATCACAGGTATGACTTGATCTGGCACGGCAGATGCCCCTTTCCCCGTTGACGGAAGCTGACCCATGTCATGAATCTAGCTGCTGCGGACCCGACGGGATCTGCGGATACGGCCCTGACTTTTGCGGTGAAGGCTGTCAGAGCAATTGCGACGCCACAGCCATGTGCGGAAAGTTCTCTGAGGGCGGAGACATTGCGTGCGGGCTTGATCTCTGCTGCTCCTGGGGGTGAGCTGCTCTCCGCTGCAGCGATCACGGCATGCTAACGATATTGCAGCGGGTGGTGCGGGACCGCCGATGTACATTGCATCGGTCCCAACGAATGGGCTCTATGTCAGGAAGACTACGGCAAGTGTGAGATTGTGAGGCCTGAGAAGTGTGGCTCCGGCTCCGGGACAGCATCTGGTCGCATGATTGGGTACTACCAAGCCTCCAACGTCCGCGACAGAGCCTGCAACAAGATCTCCCCTTCGCAGATCAAGACCACGGGCTACACGCATCTATACTTTGCTTTTGCGTCTATCAACCCCGGGACGTACAAAATTACGCCTTGGGACGATGGCGACGCTGAACTCATGCGCGAGTTCACCAAGCTCAGGGGCCAAGGCAGGAATCTACAGACCTGGATCGCCGTCGGTGGGTGGGCGTTTAGCGAGCCCGACGCGGCGACGGCAACCACTTGGGCGGACATCTGTGCCGATCAGTCCAAGCGAGCCATCTTCATTCAGTCCTTGATCGACTTCATGGTGGAATACGGATTCCAGGGAGTCGACCTCGACTGGGAGTATCCAGGAACGCCCGAGCGAGGCGGCTCGCGAGCCGACATTGCCAACTTTGTCACTCTGGTGAAGGAAATGCGCGAGGCCTTCGGCACCAATTATGGGATTAGCCTTACCCTTGCCCCCGATTACTGGTATTTGCGGTACTTCGATGTGGCAGGTCTCGACCCTTATGTTGACCACATGGTACGTCATGTACGCACTTTCCTTGACTAAAGCTAACATTTCGAAGGGATTCATGGTAAGCGAACCGTTTTGTGATTCTTCCCACCCCGCGGACTTTCTGACATTGAACTAGGCATACGATCTGCACGGTTTCTGGGATGCAGACGTGGATGCCCTTGGCTCCATCGTTCGCGGCCAAGCCAACATCAACGAGATCGCCAACAACACCCTGCCCCTGGCGTATGCCGGCGTTGACCCCGCCAAGATCGACATAGGTATTGCCTGGTACGGTAGAGGATACACCCTGTCTGATCCGTCCTGCAACACCCTAGGGTGTCCCTTTTCCGGCCCAAGCAGACCCGGCCGCTGCACAAACAGCGCTGGTGTCCTCTCACTGGTAGAGATTCAGCAGATGATTGCAGCAGGCGAGGCCAAGTCCAACATGCTTCCTGAAATTGGCATGAAGGAGCTTGTGTGGGACGATCAATGGATCGGTAAGTTAAGCCGCGACTCCATTCCCACCCCGCGCGATACATAGATCGGAGGACTGCTGTCGTACTTATATTGCTCCTTGTACTGACGCCGCAAGGCTATGATGACGACGAGACAGCAGCTCTGAAGCGTGCTTTCGCCAACGACAACTGCTTTGGTGGCCTCATGGCCTGGTCGGTCGACTTCAACTCTGGCGAAGGCGATAGCAACGACGCACCCGTGAGCACAAACGGCAGATGTGGCCCAGACAATGGCGGTGCGACCTGTCCAGGCAGTGGCTTGGGAGACTGCTGCTCCAGCACGGGATGGTGCGGATCGAGCGACGACCATTGCGGTGCTGCCTGTATCTCCGGAGAATGCCAAACAGGCGGCGAGACAACTACCGGACGTTGCGGCGCAGGCTTCCATGGTTTTACCTGTGGTGATTGGCCGCAAGGCAGCTGCTGCTCATCCGGCGGTTACTGTGGAAACTCTACTGTCCACTGCGGCGACGGCTGCCAAAGTGGATGCGACGGTTCGGACAGTGGGGATGGAGATGACGATGAAAATGAAGGAGACGGCACAGATGCCCCCGAGTTCACCCCCGACACTGATGCAGGCGAAGAACTCGAGCCCTGCTTCTACTCGCCCACCACGTTGGACCAGATCAACAACCTGGACTTCAGGAACGAGCTACCTACCCACTGCGTTGCCCAGTATATGACGCCGGTCCTTCACAACATGCTGCAGAAGGCGCTGGATCGCTTCCAAGAGATCCTGGACGACGGGTACGACGGGTACTTTAACACGTACGCCGAGTACCTGGTATCTGAGTCCAACTCTGTTGTGTATAGTTTCCTCAAGGAACACGGCAAGGAGTACTTTGATTGCACGGTCACAAAGCAGGTTTGGTGCTGCACTAGCTGCGACCATATACTCGAGGCCAGTTGCAGTGACTGCATCGAAGACTGCAACATTGAAAGTCCGTGGGACGATGGCTCAGAGTATGTTGAGCTCTCGAAAACCTGCCCTCCTGACACGAGTGGTGGCAATGATTGGAAGCAATCCATTCGCTGGAAGTTGAAAGAAGACAAGGAGGATGAGTGGTGGGCGGCCATCACGGCAGAGACAGGAGCACCAAAAGATGACTTCGTTTGGAGTGAGTATGGCAGGATCCGCAACACGCACCTGAGCGCCTCTTGCGCAAGAGAGTTCGCATACAACGGCATCGAGGAAATGTCTGAACCGTGCTACTACGAAGGGTTTTGGTTCGACAAGCCCGCAGTCGGAGACGGCTTTGAGGAGAGCGATGTTGTCAACCCGAAAGATGCGGTCGAGCAAGCCCTCAAGAACAGCACGATTCTGTTGGAGCCGCTCGCCACGGACTCCTTTGAGATTCTTGAAGGTGTATACGAGGACAGCGCCCGGGACCTCGTCGACGCTGTCCTGCTGCCCGTCCTCATGATTCAAGGTAAGGGTATGCCCCCTCCGGCCGTCCCCTCTTTCTAACGAGCTCGCGTACAGAATCTCTCACCTTTATGGAAAACGTCGTGGAAATGGCCAAAGAGATCGAGGAAGCAGAGAAGAAGACCTTGATTCTGAACTTGCTCTCCGGGTTCCTGTTCCTCTTGGGGGGCGCGGGATCGACCTTGGCGTCCGCCGGCATGCAGACCATCGGTCGCATCGCTGTGTACCTAAGCGAGCTGGGCGGCACCGGCATGGGTATCTACGGTATCATTAACGACCCGCAGTCGGCCCCCATGAGCATCTTCGGTTTCATCATGAGCGGGCGAAGCATTCGCGACGTGAACAATGTTGCAAATGCCGCGAAAATCAAGCGCTCCACCACGTACATGGAGCTGTCCGAGTTCAGCACCTACGTGGCGCGGTGGTCGGAGTCAGTGGAGGGTTGGAACAAAGCACCCAAGAAGTACGCCACGTGCGGTTAGCACTTTGGGATGCGAGATTGCTCTGGTAGCCCTGCTCTGTAGCTTTGTTTAATTCAACTACTTATATTCGCTTTTCGCGTAGGACCGGATCGTCCAATTCCGCCATGGAGCGCTGTGCTGAAAGCCTCCTATAGCGGTTGCTCCATCGCGGTATTTTGATTCAAGCTATAATCTTTCATTTCGTTCCGAGTTGAATCCCATGTGCAAGATGTCTCGCCTAATCTTCCTACAATGTACCCCTTGCTTGCAGCGGTTGGCTAGTCGTTGGAAAGGCTGCATGGATAATAGGTGCCGAAGGTACTAAGAAGCCTAATAAGGGAGTAATACCGTTGAATTGATTCTGGAATTATCTCCCAGTTCAAATCGAAATTAGGCGGATTGGATTCAGGTGGAGGTGGAGGAGGTGGCTAGTGCTAAGTTTGGGTAAGAGATGTAAAAACACTGAAATACGTGACAGATTACTATTAACGGATGAATTATTTAGCTGAATGATAATTCTTGAAATTAAGAAACGTTTACCCTGCATGTTAGTATTTAGAGTAGACTGTCGACCTCGTCCTAGGTATAGCTTAAGATCTAAAGTTAGGGTTGGCGCCTTTCTAGCCGGCGAGCCCTAGCTGTAATAACCGGCGCCTTTTTATCTTCTAAATAGGGACCCCGGTCTAGGTTCGCAGGTATCAAGGCACGTACAATTAAGTAGCGTCGTAACCTAGTAGAGGGTAGATATCTCTTTATATAGTTTGCATAAAAAAAGTCGACTTATAAAAAGATAATATTAATTAGCCCGTTATACTAAAATCGTATATATGAAAGGAGAGGAATGAGGGAAATAAAGAGTGTATATAATATTATTCGAGTCTAGAGAATAGAATAAAAGTAATAATAAACTAAGTATACTAAGATATCGTTAACTTAAGGGGTGGAGTTATAGTCTAGTGTAATAAGTAATGATCTATATATATATATAATTATATTATTAGCTAAGGAGCTAGTAAAGACTATGTAGAATAGAATTAGGTTTCTTATTTATTAAGTGAATGTAACACCGTGGCCGAAGGAAGTCAGCGGTGCAGTCACAAGGAATCACGGAGGCCTCGGATACTATGGCGTACCGCTATGTTAGTATTAATAATATATACCCGATTTATTAGTATTCTACCTAACCTCCGGATCTTCCGAGCGCTTTAGGTATAATATACTTACTTCTACCTATAGAGGGAGAAGTAAGTTTAAGTTTTATAAATATACTACCTATACCTTCTCTCACTACCTAATCTATCTTACCATTGTTATAGTGAATATTATATATTAAATAATAATTACTTATGATTAATAAGTATTGTCTTATTATGGTTAATTTTAGCCGCTTAATATCTATATTTATCTAATACATATAGTTTAGCCCTCAATTATTATCCTTAAGGAGAGCCTTAAATATTTTTCCCGGGTTAATAGTATAAGCCAAAGAGTTACATGTAACTATATTATAGACTTAGAGGAAAGATACTTATGAAATTGGTAGTCTCGTAAGAAGAGCGTAACTAGAAGCTAAATCCTAAAGTCTCTACACTTCTCTTTTGAGATGTCCTCAAACTGTGCGCTTATAGCTTAAGTGATATCTATTGCTCGTTAAAGTATACGGCAACATGAGAGACCATAAGTCCCAAGCCCATCTCTGCCAAATGTGTACCTTTTTTCAAGTTGAAGTTCTCACCCATGTGTCTGGTCCCCTCGTTCGGCTCAGAGCCACCGTCCCAGTTTGTTCCTACAGCGACCTGAAGAATAGGGAAGACGGGCTGATGGGCGAGGGACTCCCACGCAGTCCTATCCCCAATGTCGCGGCCCGCGACCTTGAAGTATTGCTTGCCATCAAGAAGGAACTGTATCTCCTCATCTTTCCAATTGCCGTTGGAGCTCTTGCGGTCGATGCGTATGGCCCACGTGTGCCATTCGCCTGCCTCATAGTCAGCATAAATTCAAAAATCTAGAATACCCTCCATGATTCCTGCTCAGACCACTCCATGGTGCTGCTGCACCTCGGCCTCCCCACCATCAAAATTTCAAGGTAAAAAGCAGAAGTGACAGAGTCCTGATGCTACTGCAAAAGCCCCATGGAGATTTAAAACTTACCTCGGTTAAAGTCGGCCTTGTGGCCTTTGCCGCCCCGCATGCGGACGCGGTCAAGTTGAAAATGGAGAGCAGGAATCGAGTACGGCTTACCCGCTGCATTCTCGAAAATATCAATTTCGCCGCAGCCTGGCCAGGATGCGTCGCCCCCCTTGCGGTATGACTTTCCAAGGAGCCAGAAAGAGGGCCAGACGCCCGATTGGAGTTTCTCTGACGCTTTACTGACTTTGAGTTGCGCCTGAATAATCATAATTCTATTGTCGGGGGCGTGAAAGTCTTTCTTGCAGTAGAGGCGAGCCGACGTCCACTTCTCTCCGTCGTATGCTACACGAGTAAAAGAACGGAAGGTCAGCTATGTTCTGAGCAAAATGACTGAGTAAGTGGGTTGATATGTGTTCAACCGGCCATATTGAGCACTCACCGGGACAAATGATGAGCTGTTCCCCGTCCTGGCAAACCACGCTCGTGTCGTCTTTGATGAATGTTTGATCTTCATTATTGCCATCCGAATTGGGACCTCGATTCACACTCTCCCACCTGTGGCCGTCCGGCAGAGAGCCCGAATTCCCCTGGAAGTCACTAGCCCAGTGACGAGTGAAGCCTTGGAGCTCGGGAGCCATGATGTCGGATGAGGTAGCGAAATTAGAAGCAAAACTGTATCGAATGAGCGTTGATGTCTGCAGTGTCTGTCTGTCCGACCACAGCTATTATTATCGAATACTTTGTTCTGAGTTTCAATTCCTGGGAGAAGAGCACTCTTTCGTCTACTTATAGTTGGACTCATTTTAGCTTATTTACGTCCTTGCTATCTGGATCCGTCTTGCTTGATAAGTTATACACCTAATGCAGTATCTCGTAAGAAGACCATGATGTCTCGTCAGAGACTATTGTCTTGTACTACGTAAGTAATGTCCGTACGGCTCTATGGACCAAATCTAGTCAATATCCAGAGAAGCTCCTATCTTGATTGGCTCGGAAGGGTCCGCAATGCGTTCGGAGCGGGCCGGTTATACGAGGCATCCTGGTGATTGATAAATGTAAGGTGCATGGTCAGCCTCGCCCGCTTCTCTGTGCGGCTGTTTGCTGTGCGAAGTAAGCTCCTGAGGCAGCCTAGCCGCAGCAAATGGATTATTATCGTACGAGAAAAGAAGACAAATCTACGGTGCGCTTCAGCCGTGTGGACAAACCGCGGCTGGGCATTTCATACGAGATTCCTTGCCCGGCCGACGAAGAATAGCGGTGTTCCAATGGTCCGATGGCCAAGACGGGGTGTCCGTCTCGACGAACATGTGGGAAGAATACTACAGACTGACCCCGGGCTACAGCGGCTTCAATTCAACGTCGCCTTTCTCGTGACTAGACTGCTCATAGTCGAATTGATTCCCCAACGACGTACAGCTCTGGCAATGGGCAACCATCACGAATCCGTTCATTCCGATGCCAACAAGAAAATACAATTGATAACCTTCAGATTCTCTCTAGTCACTGCATCTGTCACAGATATCCATCAGAGGTCACAAAAGTCGCCACCATGCTTGATCCCAAGCAAAAACAAAGTCGATATTGTATATCCGGAAACGGAACCACGATGGGCGCAGTAGGTACCAGAGTAGCCAGAGGCAGGGGGGCCCGAAGGCGTCACGGGAAAAGTCGGCATCGGGGGCGCTGACTTGCATTATAGTATTGCTGACTTGCATCATGTTAGTGCTGACTTGCATCATGTTAGTGCTTATCTGCCGCTTTTACAGATTCTTCCAGTTGCACACAACCCTTCGCACATCGCTTGGTCCTGGACTCCGGGCCCGGATACGCCAGAAAGTGTAAAATCGTGGGAGCTGGCTTAGGTCTTCCGTCCACCCTACCCCTCGCCTTAAGCCGCCACCGACCGTGGCTCTCCTCCATAGCACATGCCCCTAGAGCTTGACATGGTGCTTGTTCTGGCTGCGCTTGTGCTTGTGCTGGCTGCGCCTACGTCTGCGCGCAAAGCTCTGGACGGGTGCGGTGCTCTGCGCCGCGGTGCACTGGTCCTTTTGCGCGCTGCAGTCGGCCACGGTGAAGTCGGCGCCGCCCGCGTTGGCCACGTTGGCGCAGCCGTTGAATTGGCGGTCGCACGAGCGAGCGGCGGCGGCGGCAAAGTTGCCAAAGGTCGACCCGCCCACGAGGAATGGGCGCGCGTCGTCGCCCGAAAACTCAATCGGCTCAATGGCCTTGCCCAGGCTGCCGGTGAAGCTCTGAATGTCCTGTATGTTGTCATTGTTGGCCGGCGGCACAGCAGGGCAGCTAGCGTTAACAATGGGCGGCTGGTTCACCTCGTTGCCTGCGTCCTCTTCTGCATTGTCTTTGTTGCCAGCCTCGCTGCCAGCCTCCTCATCCGCAGGGGGTGCAGCGCTACCTCCACTCTGCGCGGTAAACGTCTCAAAGCCAATGTCCCGCAGCAGATCAGCCTGACTTCCCGCCTGGTTCACGGGCGTGGTGAGACTGGCGGCACTGGCGTCGTTGACTGCAGCCGCACCGTCAACAGCCGGGTCAATGAGCGGCACGATGCCACGCAGTCCCTCGTTGGCGGGCAGACTAGGGTCATCGCAGACGCTGGGGCGGTCGACGGCAAAGGGATTGAAGTTTTTCTCCGCCTGGACGAGCTGCTTGGCGGCGTCGAGGGCACCATCGGCATCACCACCCAGCGCAGCGACCTGGTCCGCGAGGGTCAGCTTATCGCAGGCGTTGGCGCCGGCCAGGAGGGCACGAATGGACGCGCCCGCCAACGTCGCCGCCTCGCCGCCCCCGATGCTGCTGATGACACCCTGCACGGCATTCTCCTGGTTGAAGCGTGCCTCGACGGCGCCCGAGAGGGCGATGCTGCCGTACAGGAAGAGCTGGAGACCCCTCGACATCGCGGACTGCGAGAGATCCTTTCTCGTTTCAAAGCGATCGTTTCGTTGGCTGAAGGGAAAGTCCGTCCAGCGGTGGGTATCACAGAAATAAAAGGATAAGTGAATGAAAGGACCGGCCTGCGGATAGACAAAGCCTTGAAAGTTGGAGCGAATGCGCCGAGCTTGTCCTGGTCAGTCCTGGCTTCCGGACCCATTATATACAGCCTGGCGAGGTCTCTGCGTGTCTGACGTCTGCCATTCTGACTAGAGGTTAACATCCTGAGGCTCTGACGCTGCACTATGGTGCCTGAGACAGGGCGCTTGAGGCTGACGCTGGTCGGCCAAGGGGATGATGCGAAACGGTGCATTTGGTGCTCGTGCAGGAATGAGCGAGATGCGTCTCAACCGTTCGTCCTGGCTTCGGATCGAGTGGAGTCTGAGCGTCTCTGTTGCGCGAGATAACAGTCTGTGAGTCGTCGAGTGATGTTTGTATAGGAGCTGCCGTCTGATATCTGGCGCCCCTGAAAGGGCTAGAGTCTAGAGAGTCAAGGACTCCAGACACGGATGAGACGCGGACTTGGCTGCGCTCGCGCGGCGCCCAAGCCATCCGGTTTCAGAATCCTAATGTCCACTGCGTGGTGGAGCGGCGGTGCCTGACCACTGGCGTGCAAGAATGGCATTGAATGTCGTTTATGTATTAATAAGCTCACAAATACTGCAAATTCAGCATTTTCTTTTTTTTGAAGACCTAGCCAAGTTGGTGGACAGGCAAGGGATTGGCCTACCCTGCACATTCACTGCTATTGCTCTATCAGCGGTCTCGCAATCTGGGAAGGTCCCTCATGAATTAAACCAATGCATCCCCCCTAGAAAATTTTCTCATAAGGTACTGAAATCCTTAGGACTGAACCTCTCACGTTGCTCCAGCTCGATAGCGTTGTCCGGCAGAGGCTTGAGCTTATCGGCGCTAATTTTGGCTCGGACCTGCTCCTGCTCGCGGCTAATGTTGCTCCAGAGAGGGCTTCAAGCATGTTTCATGAGAATGCTGGGCTCGTCTGACGTTGTTTGGCGGCGGCAAACCGGCCTTTCATATCCGGAACCCGGACTCCGTACTCACGATACCCCTATGACGCCAAGTCCCATCGCCAGCCGCCATCAATAGGTTCCAAGCTAGGGAAGTTGTCGGCCGAATAAGAACCCCAATAGAACATGTCATATCCAGAGGTCTAGCCCCGTAAATCTGCAGTCTGTCCGAGCATAGAGGAACGGGGATACACGGTAGAGTCGCAGCCTTTGACGTTGAGAATAAAGAGTGCGGATTTGCCGACATGGATGCTGTTGATGATGCTGTCAAAGGCAGTGCGAGACACGTTTACAGGAGAGCAAAAGATCTCAGAAGACAGATATAGAGGCTCTATTGTAATTGTGCCTCCCGGATTTTTCACGAAGTTGTCCTCGTCTGGGCGAAGGGGTGCTATCGCGTAATTGTGTGTGGTGAGGGGAGCATATGGCAGATTGAACCATGTAGTGTGATGGTTCAGTCCTCTCGTGTCGTTATTCGGTATGTTTAGCTGATCGGGGAGTTTCTCTAGCTCGGATTGGTTGCTGGATGGAATCCCAGTTGTCTGGTTGATTGACTCGATGGAGAATATGGCGCTTTGCAAAAGAATTATAACGCACATAACGAGGTTTTTACTCAGACAAGAGATAAAGACTGGCCAGTGTCTGATAAGCGCAGCTTAATACTATTGCAGTACTCAAATCTAAATGAAGTTGATCTCACATGTTTAGAAGAGCCTTCATCTGTTTTTCTAGACTTCATATCAGTTAGCGTTCGGGGAGACGTTGTCTCACGTTGGTTAGAGAACCACGAAGCTTCGGAAGGCGGGTCAGCGGACTGCTCGCTGTTTGGTCTATCGTTGTTGGCTAAACAAAATTTAGCTCTACAAATACAGGATTTGATGTGGTGGATGAAAGTAAAGGATTAACAGCTTGGTCGCTGTCACCCCAGCCCTGAGCACCGTACAGCTAGGTTGGTCGTGTCGGATCACGCATGGTTACGTCCTCAACGTTGGAGATCTAGATCTTGTGGCGCGAGGATACATAATTTGCGCGGCCAGCTGTTTCGATTCTTCCCGAACTACATCTCTATTCGATATGCGCGAGAAAGCCAGAGTCCCTGAGCCCCTTTGCCGCGCGCGCTTGAACCGGTCTTGAGTCTTGGCAAGTAGCGTTACACCTCTCATATACTTGGAACCTGCATCGCGGTCCAGCTTGCCGCAAGGCTTCAATTTGGTGAGACGGAATGTTGCAAATGCAGTCCGGGTTGTTCACTAATTTCTCGCGACGAGGATATTCAGCCTTGGGATCTGCAAAGGGCCGACGCCCGAAGAGAAGCAGAGGTTGAAGATACTGTCAGTCCTAATCTACTGTATCAGGAACTGATCCACACTGCAGAACTACGGTGTTCGACGAATCCAATCCGTGCGTTTGCAGTGCCTCTATACCTTCCCAGTTTTGGACGGATGATGTGCTCCCCAAAGCGGAGATGTCACTATCTCGGCTCCGATTGAACGGATCGCTGCCTGCTGTTCACTGACAATATCTGTCCTGTGAAGGGTCGGGCTAGAGTGTCAGTTGCGAAGAGTGAAGAGGTGCACAATGCCTGCGACGGCTGCTCCGTCGCTGTGAGCCTGTGATCACGTATTCACAAAGCCGTTGCGCAACTTAGGGGTTACACGCTGACTTTATTGATATCTGAGTGTCTCGAGTCTGTTCCAGTCCCGCAGGCTTGTGAAGCCCGTTACATGTATTGTGTGCCGTCACTTTATTACGCGCTGACTTGGGCACGAGGCGGAAGGCGTCAAGGTATCAAGGTACTGGTCCCACCATCCTACGTCGCCTTCCAAGGCTTGCCTAATTTGATGCAGGTGTCTAATTTCCCACAAAGCAGAAATATCGTGTGCAATTTGGTCGTCCTCAGAGCATGGGAGAGGTTACACAGTCCAGCAGTCTAATTTCCAATGTCACGCAAGGACGTCAAACACGGGCTCGTGCGTACATGTGCACATATCCTCTTTACAAATCGTTTCGATTTGGGCTACCCTATGCCATCTAAGTCGTGCTGTAGATGCGAGCAGCAAAATGGGGAATGTGGGGTTGGTACTGAATTTGTCGTGGTGTGGGGGTTTCGGGATTCACTCAGACGCTGCTAGCTATAAGCGGCGTACTTCTCTCAGTGCCCCTTTCGTAATTCAGCAATTTGAGCCTAAGCATGCATGAGTAGGGTTGGAGGCTGCTAGAGGTCATCTTGAAAAGAATAAGACACACATGTAGATCAGGCTGGATGAATGGATAATGGATATTGCAGGGCGGGAGTGAGTCCGATCTTGGTCTGAGAGTTGCAATAATAAGCATCACAGGATAGGATTCCCAAAGTCTATGAAGTCATCCATGTGACACTATCAACCCTCCCCGACGCTGTGTCCGAGATCGAACGGAAACCGGACTCTGGAAGTGTGTATCGTCATACTCAAATCAAGACCCGAAACTTAAACAAATTCCGTTCAAGTATGTCTTGCTTCTTCTGCTCCAGTTCCTCCATATCCCAGCTGACAGAGGCGAACCTGCCGGAGAGCCAGTCCCGTCGCTCGCAGGATAGCCAGACTAGAGTGTCGGCTGCCAGCTCCGGCGTGTCGGTCAAGACATCATGCCTGTCTGGAGGCATGTTCATGGCTAACTCAGTTTTGATGCCACCGGGGTGGAGTGAAATGGCGATCAGGCCCTGCTGATAATATTCCTTGTCGATGAACTCTGTCAGACGGCAAAGGGCAAACTTGCTTGTCTGGTACCCCGAGGCGCCAGGGAACATGACATGGGCACCCCCACTGGTGATGTTGATGAGTGTCTTGGTTGTGGATTTGAGGAGAAAAGGCACAAAATAGTGGGCGACGAGATAGGTGCCTTTGATGTTGACCTCCCAAGTCCACCACCACTCACTTGGCTTGGACTCGGCAATGGGTTCCCACTGCTCCAGATAGCCGGCATTGTTGATCAGGATGTCGAGACTACCGTCGAGCATGTTTGCAGCAGTCTCAGATGCCGCCTTCACCGAGTCATCCGACGTTATGTCGGCCTTTATGGAGTGCACCAGCGGCTGGCATCGGTTTGCCTTCTTGGCGGCGTCCTTGACAGCTGCCTCGACGTCGGCCATGTCAGAACGAGCGATAAGAAGGATTTTCGAGCAGCCCGCAACGGCGAAGCTGATGGCGGTCGCCTTTCCAATGCCCTTGGAGGCGCCCGTGATTAGGACAGACTTGCCTGCAAGGTTGGCTTTGGCGGGATTGATGAAAGGGTAAGTATCCTTGTGCGCTGAGACATACCTAGCCACGGCAGGCCAGTTGGTCTCGCGTAGGCATGGATCCATGGCCGACATGTTGATCATAAAAAAGACTGTGAAGGTGCAGGTGAGTGAATGGGGTGAGGATACTAGGGATATTCAGCATTTATGTGTATTCTGCCTTACTATCTTGTAGCTCCTTTATATCAACGCTCAGTAAGTGTATACTTCTCCATATTTCCGGCCTTAAGTCCGACTCTGTTTTAATCCTCTGTGGCTCTGCACCGTCTACAGGAAGTACACAAAGCCCTGATCGTTATGTCCGGTCCTAACCCCGGTCCAAAATCATCATTTCATACCTCTGACACGAAGACAATTCTGGTCGTGTGTGCGTCGTACATAGGAGATTGTGTTCCAAGTCCTAGACATTGATCCTGCAGAATTCTGATATGAAACCTCCTAAACCCAGGGCTTATAAGCAAATCTACGGGGTATGCGCTCGGGGCAATCAGGCCATCGATATCATAGCTCACGACATACCTATATTATTCGCTGTTTCGCTCGCGATTAAGGGATGAAGATTAATTCAGCGTGTATGTTGATATAGGAAGGGAGAATTTAGTACTACTTATCCCCCGTACAAAGTAAAATATCCGAGCGCGCGCCTGCCTCGGCTCGCTACGGCGCCGCAACTCCGCCCCCGGTCCCCACTTGCACCCGCAAACTCCGTGGACACGGATTTGCCACGTCATCGCCCGTTCCGTCCATGACCTTCCAATACAATACAACTATTAATTAGTAAGGAGCCCTCGGCCCGTCACTACAGTCTCCACGTCTGTAGCCCCATAGTCCTTGCGTCATGACAATTTTCTTCATTAAATACACATTTACATCCTCTATCAAGATTCCTAGCTAATTAAAGTCTGCTTCCTAGAGCCCTTGGTCCCTACAATTGCAGTTACCCGTACTCTTACACCCAAATCATATCCACCATGACCACCAAGGCCGTCGTTTTTGTCGAGAAGGGCAGGGCAGAGGTCCAGAGCGTTCCCGTGCCCAAGCTGCGCGATGAGTACATGCGCGTTAGTGTCAAGGCCGTCGGCCTCAACCCCACCGACTGGAAGCACATTGACATGCCCATGGCCGATGCTGGAGCCCGGATCGGATGCGACTATTGCGGCGTCGTGGAGGAAGTAGGCAGCAAGGTGACCAAGAAGTTTGGCAAGGGCGACCGTGTCGCCGGCTTTGCACATGGAGGGTGAGTCTGCGCTAGGCTATGATACTCCGCCTTGTTGAAGTTGGCGCTGACAAACGTAGCGACCTTACGCAGCATGAGAACGGTGCCTTTGCCCAGCAGATTGTCGTCAAGGGCGATGCCCAGATGAAGCTGCCGGACAACGTCAGCGACACGGACGCTGCCACGCTGGGCGTCTCCGTCGTCACAGTCGTACGCAAACCTGACTCCCTTTCTCTTCTTTCCCGCTAACGCCAGCAGGGCCAAGGATTGTACCGCACCCTCGGTCTGCCCCTGCCAACCGAGCCCGCCCACAACGAGGATTATGTTCTCATCCACGGTGGCAGCACAGCCACGGGCATCTACGGCATTCAGTTCGCCCGCCTCTCCGGGTACAAGGTCGTTGCGACCGCGTCGCCCCATAACTTTGGCTACCTCAAGGAGCTGGGCGCTGAGCAGGTGTTTGACTACAAGTCGCTCACTGTCGGCGAGGATATTCGCAAGTATACCGACAACAAGCTCAAGCTGGGCTGGGACTGCACCGGCTCTGGTAGCAAGATCATCGCGAGCGCTCTGAGCAGGGACGGCGGCAAGTACGCCGCCATCATCCCCCCCAACGAGGACGAGATTAAGAGCGTCAACCCCAACGTGGACGGACCCCACACCACACTCGGATATGCCGTCCTCGGCGAGTCCTTTTCCAAGTTTGGCAAGGACTTCCCCGCCCAGCCCGAGGAGTATGAGTTCGTCAAAAAGTTTACTAGCATTGCCCAGCAGCTCCTCGTCGACGGCAAGCTCAAGGCGCCGCGCGTTATCCTGAACAGGGGCGGCACCGGCCTCGAGAGTGCCCTCAAGGGTCTCGACGAGCTGCGGGGGAACAAGGTCAGCGCTGGAAAGCTTGTCTATACTTTGTAGGGGAATTTTATGCAGCAGTATGAAGAGCACAGATTTGCTACAGCAGATTGAAGAGTCGAGTCTGTGAATGGAGTCGATGCAGTGTTGTCCTAAATATGACGAGGCAAGATACAAACATGAAATATTTGCCCGCCACTGTCAAGTTATCGCTCATTAGACAATAATTTCACATGAGTCGCCTGCCCCGCCCCCGTAGTGCGTGGAGGGAGCGGTCAGCGGTCAGCGGTCAGCGGGGATATTAGAAGATTGGTGCACATCTTTCTAGACGCATCTTCCTGCTTCACACGCGCTCTGTCCCGCTCTGCTCACTCAACCTCATATTTTATCATTTGACAACCAGTCGACACACAATTGCCGATATGTCTCTCATCATGAACGCCGAGGTCGACAAGCTCGATGGCCTTGCGCCGCCTGCCAGGCCGTCTACAACTGTGGCCGCGCATTCCAGAGGCCGCCAACCGTAACGACCACAAGTTTCTGTGCAAGGTCATCAAGTAGGCCCGTCTAGGTTACGAACATGAAGAATAAAGGTTGAAAAATATGCCTCCCGATATTTTCACGCCTGCTGGGGTATTTGAAACCCAGCTCGGCCGCTTTGGGGATATCCTCGCAACAACACCATACATGGATGCGCGGTACTCGTACGTCGACACGCTGCTGCACTGTTTCGGTAACTCGGGCGACCCCTTCGATGTATTACAGACTGCGCTCGACCATATTTTTGACATGCTGCTCAAGGATCGCTCTGATAGTTCGGCCGTGGGCAATATAATCCCCAGTATGTACATCCGCCTTGGCTGTGACCAGGACGCGTACGACTTCGCCGAATAGCATACTGTTACGATTCAAGATATAAACTATGATCATGGCGACATAAGCATTCCTTACATCGACATCGAGAAAGCCGGCATGTTTGAGAGCCTGGATGTGGCATGGCTGGACGAGCACTCAATGGAGCTCCGTCCCGTCGTGGTTGTTGCGCTCACCAAAGTGCGAATACTGCTCTATTTGCAGGCCATGCGTAATTCAGACATGCCCCCCGCGGCGTTTTTCCTGCCGAGATTCGAGACCTCATCCGTGACCAGCTTGTGAGCAGTGTCATGCCCTCGCGACCTAATGTCCTACTGGCTAAGCCTGCGGAGACGGCGCAGCTAGCAGACAAGATCAGAGGTCAAATCAGAGAGTTATATAGGGCCAAGCAAAGAAACAACACGTACTTCTAGAATCTTCTTGTGGAGGAGCCTGACGCCGGTGTGTTCCAGCGCCCGAGTGAGGTTTGCAATTCGGGAACGCGGGACGGGGCATTAATCGCGTTCCGCTGCATACACATGCGCTGCCTGGTATGAGACACGCGGGGCTGTGCGCGTGCTACAGAGACTGGCAAAAGTTGATCCCCAACAGTAGGCGCACAAAGCGTTCGTCAGTATGTCGCTTTGTCATAGGAATGCGATCGACAGAGTCGACACTCACAAAAGCTGCGCAATATCGACGCGGGAAGGCTCTTTTATGATTGAATGTTCTCCCGAAATCAGGATGTGACACGAAGTACGCAGCGGCTATTGGCGACACAAATATAATAGTACAAAAAGGACTGGACTGAAGTCTATTACAATGAGAGGGAAGGGTACTATCGCGGAACAGTAGTCCGATGGCAATCGGGGGCAATGATTGTCCTCCTTGAAAAGGGCTTCTGCGAGGTTAAAGGCTGGTTGATTCCTGCACTCAGTGATTCCACTGAGGGACATTGATCGCCATCCCCATGATAATGCCAGCCACAAGTCCTGCGCAAGGAACCTGTGAAGAGACTGTTAGTAACTGGAGCTGTCAAATCATCTGCCAAAGGGAAATCGCTTACAGTCAAACACCATCCAAGGAAAATCTTGCCGAGCTGCTTCCAATTGATGGACTTGAGGTCCCAATTGACCAGAGCGACACCAACAACACCTCCAGTGATACACTGCGTCGTGGAAACTGGCAGACCGTAATTGGAAGCCAGAAGGACAGTGATAGCCGCTCCAAGCTCCATGGCAAAGCCACGGCTGGGCGAGTGCTTGGTGATACGGTTTCCAAGGTTGCGAATGATGAAGTAGCCGAATGTCCAAAACCCAACGCCGAGGGTCAGACCACCAACGGCCTTGATCCAGGTGGGCGTGTCTGTCTTGGCGCTTGTCACTCCGCTCTTCCAGGTCATGTACTCAGTGGTGAAGGGGCCAATGGCATTGGACACGTCGTTGGCGCCGTGGGCAATGGACATGATCATGGCAGAGCAAACTTGGGCCGTGGTCCAGAGATGCTCAACCTTGTTGTCAAATTGAGGAGCACGCGCATGAACATCTTCCAAGCCTTTGCTCTGGTGGTGAATGACGTCGCGGGTGATGCCGTAGGTGAGAACAAGCTTAGCAGTCGCAAACAGACGCTTGGGGTGCATCCAGGGCAATCGGTCGATAGCCTCGAGAGACCTTTGTCGCTTCTCGTCGACGGCTGCTTGTGGGTGTTCACTAGCAGCGCGAACGTTGTTCTCTTCAGCCGGGTTCTCCAATGGACCTTTCTGGTGCGCCGCATTGTCAGAGGACTCGGTGCGTGTGTTCGACTCCGAAATTTCGTCGTCCTTCTTGATGTAATCGGTGGCATAGTAGTCGATAGTGACAGGCACGGTGGAAGAGCCTGGCCAGTACAGGCTGTATTCTTCCTTCCAGAGCAGGGGGCCCATTGGGATATGCCAGAACCGAAGGCGGCTGTCCTCTTTGACGAGTTTGGCATGGAAATAGGGCAGGAAGAAGACAGCCGAAATGATCCACACACCGGCGAAGACGCCAAGAATGATACCACAGATCTTGCCAGTACCCATCTCTTCAGGTGTGGGGATGCCATGACCGCCATCCATAATGATGAAGAGGGATAGAACACCAGCGGTCAGTGCATAGTAGAATGGAAGAACATACAGGGCCATCTTCATGGGGTTCTTGCGGTCGTGGACGAGGACGCGGATGCTTAGCATGATAACAGCACCAAAGCCAGCACCGATTAGTGGTGCGATACCCCATGAAGCTGCAATCTGGCTGACACTGTTGCTCTCCCAGTCCCACTTGACTTGAAGGTCAAGAGCAATGCCGACGCCGACGAGGGCACCCACGAGACTTTGGGTTGTCGACACTGGAAATCCCATGCGAGTGCAGGCCGTCAACCACAGGGCAGAGCCAGCCTCGGCAATGACCATGGCAAGAATCAGGGTACCCGGGGAATCAAGGAAGGGCTCGAGGTCAAAGACACCCTTGCGGATAGTCGCGGTGACCTTTTGGCCGAGTGCGATGGCACCGATGAACTCGGTGACGACAGCGAGCTGTATTCATGACTAGTCAATAGAAATATTCGGGTCTCAGGTAGGCTTTGCTGCATGTCAAGGGCTGCATGTCAAGGGAGGTTGTGGTATTGGGGATGGAGGGAGCGAATGACATACACATCCAGCCTGGACCAATGTCAAAGACTTGGAGCTAACAGAGGTAGCATAGGAGTTGGCGACATCGTTGGCGCCTGTGTGTTAATACAGACATGATCAGCCCAGGTTTCCAGAAGATGCTGTGAGTTCTAGATAGGTCTGTGAGAGCGCACTTACCGAGACTCCAAGCGGACAACAGAAAAAACAAGGTTCCAATGGCAAAAAGCCAGTCAAGGCCATGCATAGTGCCCGCCATGGTTTCGGTCGTGTCGTAGAAGGGAAGATGCGGGCAATAGCTTCGATTCTTTTTGCCTTGATTGCTTGATTTGCTGCTGCAAAGGCCACAACTTGGTCCAGCCAAATCCAAGAATGTGAAACTGAGCCTCGCACGACCTTTATACAACGTCCTTTCATTTTGCCAAGATTTGAGAGACTGTTCTAAATGCCTTCAATCCGCTCATTGATTGATGTTTTGCAACATGGGATCTTTGCCATGGTGGGCTGAATCCCCGAAACATGTTCATGGTGGCTGAGAGAGGCGAGATGGCATCAAAAGCCAGACCTCTCAAAGACGACCTACGAAGCACGTGGGAGCAAGTCTAGATCATGCTGAGCCGTGTCGCCGGAAAGCATGGGGCTCCAGCTTTTCATTGGCTTCGTTGGCCACAAGAGAGATAATCATGGAGGACTCTTGTTGGAAATAATGAGGCATGTCGTCGAGCGAGGCTGCCGTTATTGCCGGGAGGGTGGGGCCGAGCGGCTCCCAACTCCCAACTCCCAACCCGTGCCGGCAGCCGACTCTGCCGACCTACCCGGCGGATGGCACGTGGGCGACCAGAGAGCACTGGTCCACTGGAGCCTATGTATGCGCCCCTTACTCGCTATTGCCCATCTGTGTCATATTGGGCAAGGAAGAAGAACCTTACCCAAAAGGTTGGCGAAACTCAATGTTTAAAGATTGAGTTAAGGCGGCCTAATTTCTTCATTCAAACAACGCTTAGCCAGGGACGAGTGGTCTTTTTAACAAGAAAGGAGGTCTGACCACCGGGACACCTTTACATCACTTCGCAAGTCGCCTTGACCATGGCCTCCACGACGAAACTGAAGGGTTTATGGATATCCTGGTTGACCATTGATGAGGAGAGGCGGGCTTTCGAGCTTCCACCGCGCTGATTTGACACGCACACTGCCCGTACGTACCGTACCGACAAGAGACGGAAGTTGGAACACAACAGTAGGAGTCAGAACCGAGAGGCCTGATCTCGGAAAAGAAGACCACGAGACATAGTGCTGTGATCAACTCCGTATTTGAATATACGTAAAATACACCGATAAGTTAGCTTCAAAAAGGGGCATGCACGCCGGAACTCCTGAAGTTCACCGCAGTGACAGCCCCTCGATCAGTCGGATTGAACTTTCATTCTATAAACTTCCGGATCAATGTATCTCGCCTATTGGCGACGCCAGCGGTTCTCTAGTCTAGTGGTGCCTCTTCGGCTACTCCAAATATTCTGAATCATCTCTGAAAAGGGGCGGAGTACGAAACTCTTAGGTATGACGATCTTATAATGCTAGTTGTTGCTGATATGGCGGTGGTGCGGAGATGTTTCCGGTCTGCCATCGTCTTCTGGGGAATTCAACTGGCGCACGACCACCACATGCATCGTCGGCAGCGATTACTACCAAAATTACAACATTGACTGTGACGGATTTCCCGACTCCCACGATTCGCTCGTCGATCTCAACACCTGCACACAAAATCTTGACAATCCTGGATTTGCTCTGCTGGTCGACGGGGAGTGCCACGGATGCGCCACGGTCCCGTAGGACAATGGGTTTCCCATGACCTTCCACGCAGGGCTCGTGCAATAGATCGACGGCAGGTGGCGGAATGGAGGAGAATATTCAAATTAAAGTAAGCTGGAGAAGGGTCTGCTGCAACATGAGTGTTGAGGCTGCGTGGGAGAAAGAAATGACATGATGGCTCATACCTAGACCGTAGTAAAAATCGAATCAAAGCGCGGGTAATTTGAAGAAAAGAGGATCGTGAGATTCGCGACCACGTAGTCGCGGGGCAAAGGCGGGGGGCACATCGAAGTTGAGATGCAGGGACTCAGCATTCGGTATGGAGCATTGCAAAACAAACTACGTAGCAATTTGTTGAATATCGAAAGACTGCCTTGTTGGCCGTATAGACTGACAGCGAAACCAGCATTCCTTATGTCAGTGAGGTTTGTGGTAGTCATGTTGACTAATGAAGCTGCGAGCATAAGGCAGAACAGTGAGAACAGTCGTCAGTCAGGCTGACGACATCTCTCATCGCCACACAAGGTCGCACGCACAGCTGCACCCCGCCGACGAAAGAGGACTGATCGTACACGCCAGGACCCCCAAGGAAATCATCAATTGCTGTCGCATATTTTGATTACATCAAACCGCCACAAGCACCCAAGAACAGCATACCATGTGCAACCTACCAGCGCTTGCTACACATTACACAAGCACGTAGCCGCTGAGTTGTCGTCAGGCGGGCCAGTTCTCGGAGGTCGTTGCGGGCCGTGATAGCATGGTGAAGTGACTAGATGATTGGAGAGTAGCGCTGTCCCAAGCTTGAATTTCTTCGAGCTGCACGCGTGTCTTGACAGCTCAAGTTCAGTTGATTAATGCGTTGATTAATGAGTTCGTCATCGCGGTCCAACTGCCAGGGCCAGCCCCTCTGTTACCTGTTACCTGTACGACGCTCGGACACTCAGGGAAATCGTTTCGCCGGCTGCCCCACGAGCCCCGCGCCAAGCGCCCGCCTGATTGAACGAGCCCCTCTCTCGTCATCAAGAGCTCCCGTCGCGGCCTTGCCCCCTCCTTCATTTTCATTCTCCAAGCTTCCAAAGTTCCTCAAATCATACAACTACTCAACCGCAATCATGAGCAACGTTTTCTTCGATATCTCTGCCGACGGCGGTATGTTCCTTGCGTAACTGATCATTCAATGGCATGCAGCTAACGCATTGCTTCGCAGCGCCTCTTGGCCGCGTCGAGTTTAAGCTCTACGACGACGTCGTCCCCAAGACCACCGCCAACTTCCGCGCTCTCGCCACCGGCGAGAAGGGCTACGGCTACGCTGGCTCTTCCTTCCATCGTGTCATCCCCGACTTCATGCTCCAGGGTGGTGACTTCACCAACCACAACGTACGTGTCGACCCGAGCTGAGCTGAGCTGGCTGCGTGTCATGACGCCATTGCAAGGCGGACCCTGACGTGCCGCCTGCGGCAATTTAAACAAGCACACAAGGCTAATATGATCTCAGGGCACTGGTGGCAAGTCCATCTACGGCGAGAAGTTCGCTGATGAGAACTTCCAGCTGAAGCACACCAAGCCTGGTCTGCTTTCCATGGCCAACGCTGGACCCAACACGTACGCATTCGTCCCCACACATCTATGCTATTGAATGTCACTAACATCCCCGCTTCACAATAGCAACGGATCCCAGTTCTTCATCACCACGGTCGTCACCTCTTGGCTCGATGGAAAGCACGTCGTCTTCGGCGAGGTCGTGAACGGCATGGACATTGTCAAGAAGGTTGAAACTTTTGGCACCAGCAGCGGCAAGACCAAGAAGAAGGTCACCATTGACAAGTCTGGCACTGTCTAAATCATAGTGCGATCATAGTCGGCCAGACTTCGTGGGTTCGTCAACAACAAAAAGGATATGATGAGAAACTCAGGCATAGCTTGGAGCGGAACCAGTGCGCACCTGGACTACTCATTTAGTGTACAGGTCGCATGTTTCCTGCAATTTCTCCAAATCCAAACAAATGTCTGTGCTGACTACTTGGATACGTCTTTGTTTCTTGGTGACTCGTCGGTGTCCGCGCAAGATGTGACGATATCCTCTCTAGTATCTCTAGACTGCTTCACGACAAACCCACGCCGACGGCTTGACGGCATTTCTCTTCTACACAATGTTTGGGAGCCATGAATGCTCAAGAAACTGAAAAGGCTCTAGTTATTCAGTAACCAAATGAATGTCCTTAGTCAAGCTGCTTTCCTGCTCTGAGGCGAGCAAACGTCTTCGGTGCCTTATGACGTGCCTGGCCTTGGTATCTTTTATTCTTATGAGTGGGGTGTAAGGGCAGTCCACACTGCAGGTTCGTGAGTCGTGCCTGACTCCTGCAGCCCTGCTTCGCTGCCGCATTCGCGACGCAAGCTGCCGTAATCGCTCCTAGTGGCTGCGGAGAGGACAATTCGGGGACCGGCAATTGCCTAGCGCGTGGAGCTGGGATCGAACTTGGGAGCGTGGCTAATCTGGTATCTTGGGGTTTGCCCTATGAGTATAAGGTACGGTGGCTGCATGTCTCGGCCCTGGCTCCAGGGACATGCTGGTCGAACCATTTTTACCCTTCAGGTGTGACCTTGGAGTTTGCCGATCACTAACCATCCACTTCTACTGACCCCCCCCCCCCCCCCCTCACTCAGCAATGGGATGCACTATTGAGACGGCACCACAATGCGACTCGCCATGAGGTTGAGCGCGCTTCCCGCCTTGAAGAACTCAATCTGCTCATCGGTCAATGTGTGCTTTGTTTCAGTTGCCCAACGCGTTCCATCCTTCTGCATGACCTCAAGACGAATTGGTTGCTTAGGGGCCAGACTGTCCAGGCCGACAATACTGAGTCGGTCAGATGGCCTGATCTTATCGTAAGCTTCCGGTTCGGCAAAGGTCAAGGCGAGCATGCCCTGCTTCTTGAGGTTGGCTTCATGGATGCGAGCGAACGAGCGTGCAATGATGGCAACGCCGCCAAGATAGCGAGGCTGCAGAGCGGCATGCTCACGCGACGACCCTTCTCCATAGTTGTGATCAGCCACCACGACCCAAGGCAGACCCCGGCGCCGGTAGTCGCGAGCAGCATCCGGGACGCCGCTCAGCTCGCCTGTCACTTGGTTGACCACCTTGTTGGCCTCATTATTGTCCGCGTTGATGGCGCCTATCAGAGTGTTGTTGGAGATGTTTTCGAGATGGCCGCGGAAGCGCATCCACGGCCCTGCCGTAGTGATGTGGTCGGTGGTGCACTTGCCAACCGTCTTGATCAAAATTGGACAGTCAAGAAAATCTTGACCTGCCCATGGAGCAAACGGGGCAAGTCTTTGCAGCCGCTGAGATTGTGGGGAGATCTGGACAGCCACAGCCCGTCGTACCTCAGCATCAGTCGACGGCGCGTCATACACATGGTCCGTCTCTTCATAGAGCCCGTGCGGTAGTGAATCACCCTCGGGTGGTTGGAAACGAAAGTACGCTCCCGACTCTAGTTTGATACTGTCTTTGGTCGGATTGAAGGCAAGATCATTGGAGAAGACTTTGGCCATGACCATTTCAGGCGATGAGATGAAGGCATGTGTGGCAGGGTTGCCGTCTAGGCGACCCGTAAAGTTTCTGTTGTAAGAAGCTAGAATAGAGTTCTTTGTGCCCTTTCGGAGCGGTCAGCGTTCGTCCAACTGCTATCATCAGCGGCCTCACCTTTTCCACGTCGGTCCTGTCCCACGCTCCGCAGCATGGCCCACAGGCATTCGACAGGACTGTACTGCCCAAGCGGTCAAAGACGTCAACGACGCCCTCTCGCTTCAAAGTTTGAGCGGTCTGTTGGCTGCCTGGCGAGAGAAACAGAGGCATTTGGGGTTTGAGACCCGCCTTAAGAGCCTGGCGGGCCAGGCTGGCTGCTCGGGACAGATCTTCAAAGGACGAGTTGGTGCACGACCCAATCAGACCAGCAGTGAGTTTCGCTGGCCACTGGTTCTGGTGAACTGCATCACCGAAACGTGATAGCGGTGTCGAAAGGTCCGGGGTGAATGGTCCATTGATGTGGGGTTCCAGTGCAGACAGGTCAATCTCAATGATGCGGTCGTACTCAGCACCCTTGTCTGCCTGTAGCTCACCCTTGGCCACATATAGGGCATCAGCTAGTTCGGGTCGTCGCGTTGCCCTCAAATACGACGCCATGCGGTCCGAGTACGGGAAGACGGATGTGGTCGCCCCTGTTTCGGCGCCCATGTTGGTAATGGTAGCCATGCCTGTCGCTGAGATGCTGGCGGCGCCAGGACCAAAATATTCAATGATACTTCCCGTTCCTCCCTTCACGCCCAAGACGCCTGCAACTTTGTTGATGACATCTATATGTGCGATCCTGTCAGATAACATGGAATGTAACAAAGGCCTGCCAAGCTTACCTTTTGGACTTGCCCACCCGCTCAGCTGCCCAGTCAATTTCACGCCGATGACGTTGGGGGCCGTGATCTCCAACGGAAGACCCGACATAACATCTACTGCATCTGCACCGCCAACTCCAATGGCAATCATACCCATGCCACCTGCATTGGGGGTATGCGAGTCGGTTCCGATGAGCATGCCCCCTGGATAGGCATAATTCTCGAGGACGATTTGGTGGATGATGCCGGCATTCGGCTTCCAGAAGCCCATATTATACCTCTTACACGCACTCGACAAGAACTCATACACCTCGCCATGGCTTTTCAGGGCGCCCGCAAGGTCGGTCTGGCTGCCGTCTCGGCCCACGATGAGGTGATCGCAATGCACTGTCGTGGGAACTGCCGTCCTGTCGATGCCAGCCGACATGAACTGGATGATGGCCATTTGCGCAGTCGCATCCTGGCACGCTATCCGTCGAGGCTTCAGCTTGAGCTGCGTAGAGCCTCTTGTGATTTTCTCGCCGTGTTCGCCGTCAAGGTGGGTTAGAAGTACTTTCTCTGCATAGGTCAGGGGACGACCGAGACTTCAGGAGAAATTAGCAGCGTGCGCATCCCGGCAAGGTCAACAGATCCTTCCTCTCACATCTTGCGTAGGATCGGCACCTTCGTGGCAAAAGCCGTATAATCAACATTGTCGTTGGGTTCGAAGCGACTGAGAGGTGCCCGCCCGTTCGGAGTGCTGGATACCGTCGCAAACTTTCGAGCGGGTTGAGCGTGTTGTCGCCGCGGTCGACACGCCCGCAACATAATCATGGAACTCGACATCTGTCCGGTAAGCCACTGCGATGATGTGCAGAGCCCCAATCGTCGCCAGACGTATCACAAAGTATCCGACTTTTTGACCATTCACGCATGGCGGATTGCACATCAGCTTGTGAAATTAGATTTGGTTCGATACGGGACCTGCCAAGGCCGACCCGACGGAAACCGAGGCGGGCATCGGCTCTCGGATATGTCCATCCGCATCGCGGAGAAAAGAAGGGGGTGTGTAGTGGCACCTTGCTGACTATATCATAGAAGCACCGAAATCTAAGCAAGGCTGAAGCATTGATTTATTGTTCTATAGCGACTGTTGCAATAGGTGCGAACGCTGAAGTCTGACCGTCCATCGTCTGTGCGCACGTGGATAGTGACTACCCTGCACCTGGGTTTGGCTTGCTTGAACACTTCAGTAGCCTTTGCAATTGCGTGAAAGTATAGGAGAAAACCGATTGGTTAGGGGACATTCCAGACGGAGGCTCGTTCTTGCTCCTAAAAAAAATATTCTCGAGCTCCTCCCCCAACTCAATCATGTGTTTTGCTGAAAGGGACCATTGTGACAAAAATTCCGGCAACCCAGAATTCAATTTAGGATTAACATGATATCGGGGTACTTAGCCCTGAAGCACACCATCTCTCAAGTCCGCCTGAGGCGCAAAATCTTTCCATTCCACCTGAAGCGCATCATCTTCTTCCCCGTCCAGGGCGAGGACGCCGATGGGATTGGTGCAGATGACTCCTACGCCGAAGATTGAGAACGTGCAGCAGCGAGGCCGCTTGGCAAGGGGCAAGATCGCGCCGCAAACGGAAACGAAATCGGTAGCATTAGCCGGTGGCGTGGGCGCTATCGAGGGGTCAGGCCCGCGTTTACTGTATTGAAGAGTATTTTTCAGACGGGATACTTACGGGATTGGCATTGAAGGCTGACGCCTTGAAGGATAGTCGCACAGCACAGGGGCGTGACCTGAAGAGGACCGGGGCAGGGGACATAGACAGCCAGGTCTTGGCCCAGGATCTCCTGGGCTTGGACCTCGTGGTTCTGGTTGATTGCGCCGGGGGCTGCCGTGGCAGCGGCGACGAAAAGAAGTGCAGAGAATTTCATGTTGATATGATAAGGTGTTCCAAATCGTGAGAACAGAAATTGTTGACTGACTTCTTTTAGTTGGTTTTCTTTAAGTTGGCTGGTAGTCTTCACTAGGCTCCCTTTCATGCGGAAGGATTCTGGCTATTTATGCACAGGGACTGGCTCTTCATTCAAGAGATATAGGCTGATTTCGGAAAGATGCAATGATAGGGCACTAAGTACACTCGTCCCAGAACCGGGAATTATGAGCGTTGCTATGGCTGTCAACCTGAGACTTGGAAATGTGTGCCAGTCACATGCACACTCGCCAGCCTTCAAACCCTGCTTTCGTCACCACGAAACAGGTTCACATTCCACATGCTACCTGACAGGTCGGTCCTTTTGTTCGTATTTTAGTAATAGAACACTAGAAGAAGTGTCAGGCGTATTTGATCTTGACTATGCCAATAAGCCTCGCGCGGGGTTTGGCGGAAACACGAAGACTGTCATGTCACTCAGGGGTGACACTTGTGAAAGGTCACAGCTCCTGACGCCTATGCCTTGATTTAGTGTAGGACGTATGCTGTATATATTATGTGGACCGATTAATCGTATGATCGATGCAAGCGCACTGCTGGCTCTTGTGTTAATGACAGTGACGACTCGCCACCGGCGCAATGAGCTTGTGCTGATGTTTCGAAAGAAGGGAACATGAGAATCCGACTCTCTGCGAGGCTTTGTTGAGAAAAGGGAGGATTTGAACGAAACGGTGTTGCTCCTGTTGTCGTTGGGCAGAATATTTGTGACGACTGTCAGGCGGGATGTGCAAGGGCAGACGGTGGTCGATGGCCAGCTAATTTGGCCTCTATGCACTCTTTCACAGCAACAAGCTGTTCATAATATACTTTGTCTCTATAAACAATCTTGATATCTTTCCCTCAAAAGTTTGCGCGTTCTGGGCGACTGTGGGTATATTGGTGTGTAACATCGGCTTGTCTCGAGATGAGAACCATGGAAAGGGTCCTCTTTTGGTCAATAGCGCGCCATAGTCTTCTTGCTTTATTCAACAGCTCCTGAAGGCAGGTGCCAATCGCCTCTGTGGACTCAAGAACGATCTGGATCTCCGTGCCCGGTGTTGCGGGGAACGTGATGAGCTCTAAAGAGACATCCTGACGCTTGAAAAGAGCGGTCGCCGCCATAATTTAATACAGGAGGCTTTTCAGGTTTTATTGTTCACCAAAGAGGATGTTACTATAATGGAGGGCCAAGTGATACAGCGGAACGGGACCATGGATTCTGTCCTCAATCTGAGATAGTGCTGTCTTCAGAACATTATGAATTTAACGGTCTGTCTTCAACTCTGGATCGCCATCGTGTATCTCGAGAGCACATCGCCTTTGCTTCTGTCAGAATTACCAGGTTTTGGTGCTTGGTGTGACTGAAGTCTCATTCTTTCGCTCCCCAGAAATGAACCGAGGCGTCTCATTGCGATTTTCTCTTCACCAGATCCGTCCAAGCCGATCAAAGACCATGTTCTCCAGCTGTAACAGTAAATCTTCTAGCTGTCGTTCAACGTGTGTCAAGTTCTCAGTGAGTTCATAACGCATAATCGAGCTCAGAAGGGCCTGGACCTTGACACTCCATGAGGATATACGAAAATCCAGCCGCATTGGAGGGCGAAACATCGAACGCGAAGATTTGTGATACTGTTATATTTGCGTGAGCATTGGGTGCTCTCATTGTGGCAAGTTCACTCAGTACATCAATGGCGTGTCCGTGAGTGTAGCACGTATCTACCGGTATATGCTCCCTCGAGAAACCTCAAAAACGTTTTTTTTATATGTATTCGGCATAGTGAGGTGGTTGGATGCGTAGTGAGTTCATGTGCTCTGAGAGCTTTATCGCAGGACCAGGTGAAGAGGCTTTTGTATGCCTCTGAGTCATGATCCCAGATCAGAGAAGCAAACAAGCGCCCTATATAGTCAGGAGAAGACGATGATATCTAATCACCTCACTATGGTGCCCTTGGAGTGACACAAGAAAGCGGAGATGCGTCTCACATGCATGCGTTGGTTCACAGCGTAACATGAACACTAAGAGCTGTTGCTCGACTTCATTTTTTACTTTCCCAGCCGAGTCCAGATTCCAAGACAGTGCTTCAACTTGGAATCGTTAAATTGCACATAAGAGACTGGGCCAGCCATAAGTGACCAAGACCACAGCATACAAACATGAATGACTGCCCGGAGAAACTGTACAAATCATGTTCTACGGCGAAATCCTTACTCGTCTCGCTGTATCTATCAAAGAAATCAGGCTACCGCCAACAGAGACCTGCTTCACTCGTAATCATCCAACTCATGACCTGTCCAAGTGCTTTTGATTGTGTTGACTGTGCAAAATCTGCAACGAGACCAAACTGAGAGCATTGTCTGGCTTTTCGAAGAGCTCGAAATCCCTAGTGAATTGAAACTATACCCGAGGGATCCTGATACATGTATGAGTCCCCCTGAACGAGATCCCCTGAGCGAAACCCCCTGAACTGCCGGAACTGTGAGTATCGCCCCACTCATGTCGTGTCGCCGGCATTGTTCAGATTCGAGCCAAATAGACATCTTTTCAAGGGGGCGCCCATCAGCCAGGACGTTGGTATCACGCTCGCCGAGTCCACGCCGTCTTCGAATACATACTAAGTAAATACGAAGACGGAGAGCCCTCGGCATTGTCCTCCGCCGATAACTATGCCGACTATCTGTACTTTCTGCTTTTTTCAAGCAAAACTTTGTAACTAGAGCTTGTGCGGGCAAAGATGGGCCGGAGGGTGAGATTTTAATTAATGATATTGGCGCTCAGCTGGCCCTGAACGGCATGGATAAGTCCTTGAAGTTTCCGAATGAACCACTTGAGCGCTAATCCGTGGCTTGTAGAGTACCATTTTATGACATTAGACATTATGACTGTCTTCTCGTTGACGAAAAGGACTCTAATCTTCCCCTATAGCCTTAAAGAATACGAAGGAATACTCGGTTTCTAGCAAAGAGCAAAGAAACGGTACGCATATCAGAGTGCCATTGCAAAAAGCGATCCTAGTTTCCAGCCAGTATAATGCACCACAATCCTATTTTAGAACTCGAAATGAACTCAAATCAGCTGATGAAAGACTCAATCGCAGCCTGCGCAGGCGGATGGGTTGTTGGTCAGAACGAAGCGACGAGTGGACTTAACCCTGACCCTGGTACTGCAAGGCCCACCGTCCCGTTTCAACAACCAATTCAACCCCGCGGTTTTCTTCGGGTGCATGAATAAACAAGCTGAACTGCTGCTCGCCGGATCTCGCGGCTCAACCACCGTTCACACAGAGGATATCGCTTGCGGCACTTGCGCTTGGCCCCAGACAAGCGTCGCACGCCCTATAATTTTGCGTGCGACATGTGGCCGATACCAACATTACATAGAAGCTGAGATGTTATTATGAATTAAGAGCACAACATTGGACAGTAGATGAGAAAAGGTCCAAAGATCCAAAGACCAGAGGTCTTTCACAGCGAACGACGGAGATCCGGGCGGATCGGGTACCGTCGGCGGACTCGTGCGGGCGCTACGACAAGTGCGGTTAGCTCTCCGCCTCTGGGTCCGGACTCCGGATTCTAGTCCCGGGGGTTAGTGGCGATACATAACCTAAACCCGGAGTGGCTGCGCTTGTTTGTCTGCTCCAGGCAGATAGTGATAAGATGTTGGGCAATCTATAGAACCATGGTAGAGTCCAGTGGTTTGACTATAGGTACGTTCTAAATTTACTTGGCTTACTACGCTTCTACTAGAATCAGGTTCTAAACAGTGTGTGTAACCCGAGCCCGGCCAGTGTACGAGATAAACAACGAAATGGGACCTATGATTTTTCAGAATATCACCAACCACGCAGTTCCGAAGGAGGTGTAACATCAACTTTCATTCCGCCTCGAAAACAACACGTTATTGGAATCTATGGGCTTTACTCAAACGACCTCGCCCTCCAATGATTGTGAGTGGCCGAGTGCCATGGCAGTGGCCAACCAGATCACCTGAAGCCCATCTGAGCTTCCCGGGTTATTCGCGGCCTGGGCTACGACAGAAGAAGCCTCTCATGGTCACAGGCGAATCTTTTCTCTTCTGGGGGGATTATCAATTGTACACAAGGCGAGGATTAATCGACCAAGAATTGAATTTCTTCGCTATGTGGTATATGGGCTGAAGAGGGTCTTTATAGTATACGACAAGGCGTTCGACGAGCAAACATGAACTCGATAGATTAGCAACCTTGATGCAAACACATATCTATCTTTGTAAGTTTTTTCTTAAAAAAAAAAATTGGCAATTCAGAATTCAATACTACTCGAAACCGTGTTAGACTCATGGGGTTTTTATGAAGGCTGCAGATACTAGTGTTCCCTCATCCTCCTTCCCCCGCCCTAACCGTCTGCGGATTGCGGGGAGTGCCATGCATCCATGGATAACCTTAAACCAGGTGACCGGGCCCTGGGAACTTGATTTGTTTATTGCTAGTTTACGCGGAGTTTGGGGTGCCGTTTTAGCGTTTACCCCGCAGACTTGAATCACTTGATTGACACGCGGGAAGTCATGACCTTGGAACCGTCCGTCTAGCGCCACTGTCCTCGACACGGGAATATGAAACCCCGTCTTAGCCGCACACAGGGTTTCGTGATGCGGCGAGCGCGATGCCTCTCTTGCAGACTAGGAGTAAGAAAGGGGTCCCGGAGAGTCGAGACACCTCGGTGAAGGCTGCGGCTACACCAAAGATAGATGGGCGGTCTCGCATGGAAAATACACAAGCAGGGGTCATTCGCCTCAATGCAGAACTTGTTGAAATATCATGAATCTGAGGTTAACGGACCGTGACACTCTCAAAATCCAAACCAAAATGTCGACCAAAGACTTAGAAACAACGCATGATGAGAAGGCCACTGCTCGCTCACAGCCCATCGCAGCAGCCCTCGATACTGCAGGCGAGCGCCCAGCCGCCTTTGGACGCGGTCATATCAAATTGTACTTGCTCTATTTGATCATCTACTTGTGCTCGACGATGAACGGTAACTAAGTTGGCCCGATTTCCCATCAAGTACGTTGTTCCTAACCCACCTGTCTGCGCAGGCTATAATGTCTCACTGATGGGCTCCATTAACGTTCTTCGCGAATGTCAAGACTACTACAATGTCAAGAACCAATCTCTGACAGCCGGCCTGGTCATTTACATTTTCCAGATCAGACAGATGGTGGGCGCTCTATTCACCTGGATCTGCGACTGGCAGGGACGCAAGTGGACATTATTTATCAGCGTTTTCATGATCACCGTGCCAGCTGCGTCGACGGGTTGCTGCAAGCATGCGCCAGGCTTTTATTGATCACGGCCACGTATTATGACATTATTTACACTGGCAAACCAGAGACTGACCAAAAATTTTCCACTGACTGCTTCGATGAGTCTATATTCCTACTCCAAGATTAGTCAATCCGAGCGCGTGTGAACCTGGGGATCTAACCGAAGCCCCAGCATCGGCGAGAATGGGAGCTGAGACGGTTTCTGAAATTCCGTCCTGGCCACATTCAGCCCACTGTCGACCCACTCCAGGACGGGTTAATGTCTCCGGGATCTGTTTGATGAGTGGACAAATGAGCGCGGTCCAGAACTAGCTTACATATGCCCCACAGCCTGGTTCCAGGACAGTTCCAACTGCCCAAAGGCGGGGACCCCACGGGGTCCAACGACTCAAACACCATGAAATGCCGAACGTCGATCCAATTCAGTATCTAGACTAGGGCCACTCATGCGGTTGGGAAAGCTCTCTTTACTCCCGTGAACGTCATCTAGTCAGAAGTGAAGGAATAACATGATCCTCTCCGAACTTTGTCTAGCCGAGATAGCTGCTGCTGCCACCTATCAAGTCGCCACAGGGTGCCTGTTCATTAAAGTCCAAGATTTGGCTCCAATCGACATCGCCATCGATTGGGCCAAAGCCTAAAAGATTGAGTAGTGCTTCGTCCGACAAGGAACAGTTGGTTCCCCAGTCCTGCGTGCTCGCTGTCCTGGCGTTGAAGATGAATAAGAGCAAATCGTGTGTCTGAGCGGCTGATCTTCTCCAAGGGCGCATTGCTGTCAGCAGCTCAAGGCTTTGAACAACACATGCCTCCAGTATCTGGCTGTCCGATCCCGCTGTCTTGGATAGAAGCTTCAAGAGGATCACAAGACACGCCTGGAAAAGGAACCAGGTGGAATTCCACGCCAAGAGCTGATTTGGGTACCAGTTATCTGATATCGTATTGATAGTCTCCTGTGCAATTGCGCAGCACGTATTGGCAATTCGATCCGCATCTTGTGAGACGATGTTTCCGTCGGTGCTCGCTTTTAGTGTTTGGAGTAGTAAGAAAGGTCGGTGCAGTGTCATGCGCTGGTTTAAATAGCGCAGCCCAAGCACGATGCAAGCAATACGAACAGGCTCGGGGCTGTGCCGGCCATTGTTCAGTATAGGATTGATATTCGCGCGCCATTCCAAGAGTTCCTCGTCGAGATTCTTCAGTTCGCTTGGCGTTGTCAAAGGCAGCTCGGCCATTCTGTCCTGAATTCGCGCAGCGATGAGGGCGAAGGACACGTTAGCATCCATCATGATGGCATTGTAGTCCTAAATTATGTAAGTATCTCACCAGTACGCTACTCGTCAACGGGCACTCACAGAATCAGCTCTCTGATGCGTTAAAGGATTCGTCATGTGCGCAGGTCTCCAGGCCCCCGATATAGGACGCCCCAGGGTTGTTCCCGCCCACGTGTCGAGACAGAACAAACACCACCACGTTCGCGTCCGGCTCTCCATCACCAAGTGATCTCCTATGGCAAGACTGTTTGTCTGTGGCAGCCTGTGGAGACCCATGGCCAAGGCCATGCGGTGAGCAGCACCCATGACAGCGCTCGCCATATTTGGCTTGTTCAGATAATGCAAGTAGTACCCTCCAAACAGGATCAGGGCTTGGAGCGTGTACAGGTGTCCCGCTGCGAAGCACGATATGTCAAGATATTCTGACGCTCTCTTGTAGAAGAAGACGTGGCCATCTTGCCGATCGTCGTTGAGTGCCAGGTAACCCAGTGTGAGGACCATGTTCAGCAGGGCCAGCCATGGACCACGGGCTTTACCTACTCCTCCGCCTTGGGCGTAACATTGGCGAAACCCAATCTCGCCCAGCATCGGCGTAATTGCATGGAGGTTGCGAAAGTATGCATCGATGAGTAACGTTTCATCAAAAGTCGGCGGTAATGTGGAAGAGCCCACGTTCGTAGGTGGGACGCCTGCCATTCTTGTCGGCCGTGTGCACTCCACGGCCTGTCTGAGCTCGAGGCAGGTGTGTGACATGACACGCAGGATTGTCGGCACTGACGAGATTCCTAGATAGGAATGCCCGCCAGCTTCGAAGAGGCTAGACATGCCGTTGACATCATCCTCACACTGCAATTCCTGGAGCTTGCCATGAGAGGCTTCATCCCATGCAAACTCCTCATATGGGGATGGCTCGAGGTCCAGGATAGTTGTTGCTTGTGAGTCGCATGTTGCAGCCGCAGGAGTCGACTGATGTGGCACTGCCGGTGGTGTTGCTTGCTTTTCCAGTAGATCTATCAGCTGTGGGCGAGACAGGGGTTGCAGACGGTCAAGAGAACAGCCCGGGAAGAGTTTGTTCAAGATGTCCCGACCAACTTCGTGAGCACTGGATAGCTCTGCATACGCCCTGTTTACTACCGTCAGCTAACCATGGCGACACGGAGGACGGGGGAGAGCACGCTGGCACGCACTTGGCGGAGGGGGCCTGGCGAGTTCTCCTAGGAGGGTAATGGCAGCGCTCTGTCACTTGATAGTAAACGCATTGGCTGCAAGGGACCACCCGCCCAGAGCAGCGGATTCGTCGGCGTCGACATTCAGCGCACGACTGCGTTTTCCGGCCAGACTCGACGGCCGGCGTCGACGACGTCTCCGAATCCTTCGTAGGAGATTGTAGGTCATCAGACATGCCGTTCTGCCTGTGGTAAGTGTCCTAGAGAAGCGATGCGGGCGATGGCACGCTGAAGTTGCAAAGGCGGGGCGCGTTGGAGCGTGTTGGGATTTGGGAACTTGGGGCCGCTCAGCGAGAACCGGAACCAAACTACGTATAGTGGTCCTTCGGTAAATCAAAAGCCCGCCGAGGACATTCGCCAAGCACCTTGCAGCCTTGGTCGGATAGTGACGATTGAATTTGCGCCACAAAGGAAGGTGGAGGACCCGGCTAAGCAAACAAATCGCGAAATTCCAGGATCTCCCCTCATGACACGGATTCTTCTTTGGACCACGCTTTGGGCCTGGTTGGATCCATGCATCCTCATGTCGGCGGCATGAATTAGACCCCTATAAATCGGGCGTATGGCCAACGGGCCCAGGGTAGCTACATAGACTGTAACCGTAAGACTGGCCAGTGGCAGTGAGACTATCTTCCCCAGGTCCACAAGTCAGCCTCGGGTAGGGAATAGGGATCACTCGACACGGAACCCCGAAACACCGTCTCCAGCCAGACGGTACTGAGAGCATGTCGTCGACGCACAAATCAGGACAGGTTAATAATGTGTTGGGTACCTCCCATCGGTTCACGGCAACCAGATGCCGGCGACAAGCATTGAGATCTGCACCAAAGCTAAGGACTAGTTCGATCCTTCAACCCACAACAGAGGTAACCCTGAAGTCTTTCACGTTCGGTCGGCCGACCGAAACATAATACGTATGTTGATGCGTCAGTCGACTCAGTGAGTTTTGCAAATATAGACTAGTCGCACGGCACTTGCGCCCGTGATCGGCATCATCCTAGCGTGAGCCTGCTTCCATCGCGTCGCCAGTACCTGTAGCTTTTCGAACGGTTTTAGCAGGTTTGCCACTTCACGATGTCATTGGACTTGATTGTAGTCTATAATGCCAATATTGGCGCAGTAAGCACTATATAAATGAGATCTTTCGCAGTGATTTAAGCTGCTTTTTGCTTACACTCATCCACTTATCTGTTCCCCACAGCAACTACTCACAACTTCAAACCTCTCCATCAAGAATAACGTCTTGTCCAAAGTCGCTGCCGTTCTCTCCGCATGCTCGCCTGCCGTCTTGGCCGCCCCGCAGCCGCGCCAAAGCTCTCCGTGCCGGAGTGGCACCAATCTGTACTTCCATTAGGGTCTCTCCGACGACGACCAGAATGCCTACATCCAGAAAATGTCCGACTACAACGTCAAGGTAATCCGGCTCTAGGCCAACCGCCAGAGCCAGGGTTGTCAGAAGGGCAGCAAGCTCGTCAACGATGTTCCAGCGCTGGAGGACTCCATCGGCCAGTACAATGATGGGACCCTTGACGCACTGGACAAGGTCCTGGTCAAGCTGGTGGATAAGAACATCAAGAAAATTAAATCTCGCCTCGCGATGCCAACTCATTGATTGGCGACTACCGCAAGTAAGTTCATGTCCCTCTAGGCGAGCTCGGTCTCTTGATGCCAACAACAACAACAACAAAGATGCCTACTATGACCGCTGGGGTCCTGGCTATTTCTATGAGATGTAGGATGCTTTCGATGCGTACGACAACCGCCTGACTCACACCTTGAATTACAAGGGTGGCCATTCCGGAAAGGTGTGGAAAGAGTGGCCTGAGGCGATTGTGAGCTTCAACTTGCAGGTAGGATACCCAGCGAGGACATTTGAATGCAAATATTGGGATGTGCATCCCACAGAACGAGCTGATGACGCCTGGCCCCAGCAACTGCTAGAACGGCGATCCTCACGGATGGGCCTGCGGCCGTGCTCGTTACATGCGAGACGTGCTTGGTGCCGAAAATAATATCATGATCTCGACCGGTGGTCTGGGTGGTGATATCTCCCACGACTGCACGTTCTTGTCCGCTGTGACTGAGTGCGATGCCGTGATGTCATCTCTGTCCATCGTTATGCCATTGTGCTCGGACAGTGGAGCGGTTCGCTCAGCAGCTGGCTGGACAAGGCCAATGGCAAAAAGGTTTTCCTCGAGGAATGGGGCATTGACGCATCCAAGCACGACCAGGCCTCTGCCTTTCCCTCTGAGATCGAGGATATGAACTCTGCCGGTCTGCCTAGCCTGTAGTGGCAGATCCTCCCCGCGAGTTCGAGCGAATGCCCATACGACCCCAGCCAGGATAGTGGTGACGAGTTTGGCATCTTCGACAACTGACGTAGATTTGGCTGGACCGATCAATGGAGCCACTGGAGTTTCCGCCGCCCAAGACTGGACGGGTAGTGTGTACTGATGGTCGAAGCCTCGATGAGAATAAGACAGTATGAACATGAGAGGAGTAAGCGCGGCGCATATGCATATAATTAGTATGTACGAATGAGCTTGGGGTGTCCCATGAAGCCTTGGAAATGGAGAATTTTGCTCCGTTATTTTCTGACGTCCATTCAGCAAGTCAGAAAAGCTTGTAAGTGTTCGATGGTATGCTTATTTGGCACCTAGAATACCATGCCCTTGGTCTGCTTGCCCTTCTCTTCCTCGAGCTTCCGAATGTTAATGTTCCTCCAAATGAAGATGGACAGGAAACACAAGGGCATTGTGCTGGCACCAGCAATGACCATGAGCCTCATGACATGGGCATAAGCACCAACAATGGCCTCTCGTTCAGGTGTGCCGTCGGCGAAAGACATTTGCAGCACAATGTCGCCAAAAATCGTGGCAGCATCACCCTTGGAGGACTCGGGCAAACGCTCGTACAGCTGCGTAGGAAGGATGTTGTTCCACAACGCACCGGCGATTGCATACCCAACTGACGAACCGACACCGCCAAACAGTCCCTGGAGCGCAGTCGTGACAGCAAGATACTGGTGGCTAACAGGGGCCATCACAGCGACCTGAGCAGTGACCGAAAAGATGCCCGCGCCAAAGCCGACGAGGATCTGAGTGAAAGCCAGGACGCCAGGATTCGTGTCGGGCTCGCGGAGAGGGATGATCAAGGCGGTTCCAAGAAGCATGATAGGAACGCCAACGTAGGCTGTCCACTTGATGTTGCCGGTATAGCTGATGAACCATCCGATCAAGGGTGCGAACACGGAGGAGGTGAGCGAGTATGCGTTCAGGATGTAGTTGGCATTGGAGATGCTCTGTCTGTTCACCACCTGGAGGTAAGAGCCGAAATAGGCGTTCCAGATGAAAGTAGAGAGGAACATGATTCCACTCAGGATGCACGACCCAATGATAGTTCCTTGCTTGAGGTACTCAAAAGGAAGGAATTGGACGGGCGCAAACTTGGCCTCCCATACATAAAAGCATGGGATAAGAACGACACCAACTACCTCCATGGCGATGATGTACGGCGTCGACCAGTAGTTGGGTGCATACGCAGCCAGACTGTACGGCAAGAGAAGGCAGGAGAGGGCGCCACAGAGCAGCAAGATGCCGAAAAGGTCAAATTGGACGCTGTAGAATTTGATCGCCTCGAAAAAAGACATTCCGGATCTTTTGCGCTCAATGACGCCCTTCTTTGTTGCTGACTTGAACATGTACACCATGTTGCCCATAGCGGGCATGCTGCAGGCGACGAGAATGATGATGAAACTGCCATAGGCCCAGCGGAAGTTGACGTGTTTGTAGAAGGCGTCGGCAATGCGAGGGCTGACAAAGGTGGCCACAATTCGCGGTGTCTGCTGGATGCCGTAGATAATGGCCCGGTTGGTCAGGGTCGTCATGTCGGCCAACATGACAGTAATGACATAGATTACGCCGATGTGGCCAGTCCAGTACATAATGTGGCCGCCAATGTACATTTGGACACTGTTGCAGGTCGCCTTCAAAATCATGCCGCAGATGCAGATGGTCATCATGATGCAAAAGCCCTCGACGCGACCCCAAATGTCAATGACTTTGGCGAGTGGGAGAGGTAAGCAGCCGCCAAGAATCGTAGCCAGGATGCTGCCAATATTGAGGAGGCCATGGCTGCCAAAGGAAGACGTGATGAATGGGTTGAGCGCAGAGTCGACGTAGTTGAATAGGGTGTCAACGAAGGAGATTAGATAGAGCCTGTTAAGGAATGTTTGGTCAGCAAAGGCTCGAAATAGATCCGGTTTGTTTGGCTTGGTGACACGTACATGACGAACATGGAGACCAGTGTCTTCTTGGACCAGACAGAGGTGATGGCGCGGACGCGGCGGACACCTTGTTGGAATTTCTTGTCCTCGGCTTCGGAATCGGGGTCAGACGAGTCACCGAGCGTAGTTTGCTGGAAGCCATTCTTCTCGCCGTCCGGGGTGTTGGTGTCGCCGACCAGCGCATGCTGGCCGGCTGTTTGCAGCTGCTCCTGCTGGACCGAGTACATTCTGGATCAAACCAAGAGGAAGAATACAGAGTATTTGGAAGCGGAGGATGCAAAGGGCGGAGAAAACATGGAAGCCAGTCGTATAGACAGTGCTGCGATCATTCCAATATTAATACCAAGTCAAGGCCAAGACAGAAGAGCGAAATTTTCTTTGCCACTTTTCCACCCCAATGCAAGCCCAGAAGCTATAAGCAGGGTTCCAGGCCATGGCCCTAGCCGATATTGTCTCGCACCCCGATATCGCCGGCATGGCCAAGACAAACAAGGGCCGTAATCAGATCAGATAATCAGCGCTTTGTGGGGCCTCGGCCAATTGCAGCTCCGAAGAGGATCAGATATGATCCATCCGCGTGCCCGTGTCCAATCAATCCCCGGTAGCAGACCGCCAGTCTCCAGCAGCCTCAACAGGGTTATTGTTTATCGCTCCACACAGCCTGATGCTCGAAGAAATAAATACACGTGGATATATGGTGGATCGAGCTCCAATCAGCCAAGAATCAGGCCACATGAATGCTGTCAACCGATTTCTCCCGACCGGACTACTGCTAAAACTTATATCACTCGCCAAAAGACGCCATAGTCCCTGTCCGGCCTGAACGTCAGTGGAGCTTGTGTTAATGGATGAGCCATTTTTTTTCCATTGCAAGTCCTCTCAGCCACCACGGCTGCCCGGCTTCAACAGACTCTTGCTAGAGTTGTGGCACAACCAAATAATCTGTGGCCAGGATGGTGTTCTAAAATGGACGATGGATACAGGGACAATAACGGCACCAGCGGCGACATGACAATCGCCACCGCGGCTGAAGACTTGGTTGGACCAAAAACTTCATCGCGGGCGTTACAAGGTGATCAAAGTCCTGAGGCTGGACCGCGGTGTCGAATAAGGGAAGACGGGGGAAATTCCGGCCGAGATGAGCATGAGCGCTCAAGAATCCTCAGCTAGCGCCTCTGAGACTATCCGTTAGTATCCCAAATACATACCGACGTGGAACCCGGAGCTGAAGCATCCCTCTATTCATGATTTCGAACACAACGAGCACGGTCTGGATGCCGACCCTTCGTTCCCCAATCTACTACCCAGAGGAGCTAAGGTCACACATCTGACGCCTTCTATTGGCTCAGAAGGCCGTGGCATCCATCTCAGCTCGTTAGACAACAAGGTGAAAGGCGAACACGCTCGCTTCGCGGCTGAGCGCAAAGTGGTCGCCGTTTGTAAACGAGGCTTTGCCGACCTGCCGATTGCGGATGCACTCAAGTTGGAGACTACTTTGTTCGCCACCACATTCATCCAACATCGGGCTCGCCTGGAGGACATTCCTATGTTCACCTTGTGCACCGGGGTGCTCAGGGCAAGGGACACGAGTCCTTCTTCGAGGCGAGAACAACCTCTACAGCGTGGCACTCGGACGTGTCGTACGAGAGACAGCCTCCAGAATCACATTTCTCTACATCTTTGACGGACCAGGCACTGGCGATGACAATCTTTTTGTGGATGGCGTGACCACTTATAAGCGTCTCAGTCCTCCTTTTCAGAGATGGCTTCATGGTCTCAAAGCCACGCACTCGGGAATCGAACAGGTCAACGCGGTCGTTGCGCAAGTTTGTATCAAGCAAAGGGAGCCTGTGATTGTCCGCACACTATCAGCGACTGTAGAGAAAGGTCTCTACGTAAATTCTCAGTGTAAGTGTACTCTTCACTGTCAATTTTGTTGTTGTGCACCAACTGTGTCTCAGTCACTCGCGACATGGTACGTCGCAAGCAGGAGTCGGACGCGATGCTCAAGTTCCTATATGACCACCATGCGTTCGGGGCCGATTTTCAAGCTGCTTCAGGTGGGAACCTGGCACGGTGGTGGTCTGGGATAATCGTGAGACGCAACATAGCGCTCCAGTTGACTGGGAGAACGGACAGCGGAGACACCTGGCACGGATCACGCCCCAGGCCCAGAGGCCGTGCGAAACACCTTTCAATGCCTATTTGATGTCTTTCAAAGTCGTAGAGTGACAAATGATGTATCGAGCTGGAAATTTTCTCGCTTGCTCGTGGAAAAGAGTTACGTTGAGGTGGACCTGCACCCTGCGCAAGACAAAGCCGGTGGAGAGTCTCATAACCTAGTAATAGGCAATGAGCCTGTGCTTTCTGTTCTTCATTGTCATCGTTAAGTTGTTCCTATTTCAAATGGAAGTTCAGACGGCCGTGATGGACTATTGGCAACTCACCATGTTATCGTCAACAACACCCTCATAGCATATGGTGTATACGGCCAAGGCGACCCCATAGTACTCCTCCATGGCAGTCCGTCATCCTCTCTGATTTGGCGGAACACTGTCCCATCTCTCGTTCCGGCGGGGTACAAAGTGCACCTGTTTGACTTGCTGGGTTTAGGATTATCCGGGCGCCCCTGGGATCCATCAGTCGACACGTCTAGTACGGGCCAAGTCCCGATCTTCGAGGGCTTGTTGCAACATTGGGGCCTCGAAACGACACACGTTGCTGCTTATGACATTGGCGGAGCCGTCTCTCAATGTTTCGCCGTCTTCAATCCACGGCGTGTGCGTCCACTGACACTGGTCGATGCTGTGCCATTCGACAGTTACCCATCGAAGAGTACGCGAGAGACGATGCAGGACGAACTTGTCAATATCACGAGGGCCCCTTTCAAAGAACACGAAGGTGGATTTAGGGACTGGCTGCTCTCGGCTGTGCATCATCAAAACCAGTTCGCTTCGCCAAGCCTCGATACCATCTCGGTTACATCTCCGGCCCTGTCGACCAGGCGAGCCTCTTTCAGAATCAGATCGAGTACTACTAGCCAAGGCGCGCCGTGGAAATCGCAGAAAAAATACATGTTTTCTGTCAACTGCCAGTCAAGTTGATCTGGGGTGCGGAGGATAGCTGGCAGGTGACAGATTGGGCTCACAAGCTCCATGCAGCTATTCCGAGATCTGATCTTAGTATTGTGGAAGACTGTGGGCATTTCTCGCTTGAATACCAGCCAGCGAAGATCGCGGAGCTGTTGAACAGATTCCTCGCACAGGCGAGGCAGACAGGAGATAGATGAGAGCCTGCAGCAGTCGAAATATTTCGTACGTCCGTGAACCTCATACAATCCGTAGCTGAGAATATATCCAACGGAGCGTATGAGCCAGCTGGAACATTCTTATGCCTTCCCATTTGCCGACGCTTTGACGGGGATGGGTTCCAATCTGCCCCAGGGGCAGAAGAGCCGTCGAGCTCGCGAAACCGGAGGCCGCGGCAAACTCGAGGTCCGTGGTTGACTTGTCGTATCGCCAGTCGCATTTGCATTCAGGACCCTAAGACGACATCTACAGCGCCATTGCGACCAGCAAGTTGGGCTCAAAGACACGCGCGCTGTCCACGATTGTGACCCGGGCAGAGGCACATATGAGGTCATAGGGCCTCGTTTGCCGGCCTGGCCATGGCGAAAAGTCACTGGGGGTAAGATGCCAGGAGATTCTTCGATGAAATGATTCAGCAAATGCCTGACGAGTCTGTATGATTGAGGAGGGCGGGCTACTGCGTCGCCTTCAAGGGTCACACTGTGCAAGATACTTGACGAATCCTCCCGTTAAGTTTGGCGACGTCAAGTCACCTTCGCGCCATCCACAAAAGTTTCATGGGCTCAATGTCGGTGCTCGCAGTCGCCATAGCAACGAAATCTGTCCCCTTGATGCTCACAAAGTCAAAGATACCGAGTTCACTCGATGATCAGGCTTCATCCCCGGATATTGCCTAGGTGAAGAGACTGTGTCATGGCAGGGGGTTCGTTGTTGCCGCCAGTCGTCCAAAGCTGGGCGCTCGTCTTGGGCCTAATGGTTTCAGGAGCACGAGCAGACAAGGACTGATGCTCTAGAGAGGGAAGGGGTGACTTGGCTACCTCCGTGTCAGCGCATCAGTTCCGGATTCAGCTTGCAAAGAACCAACGAGGTCGACTCAGGTGCACTGTCTCCCAGCTGGATGATTCCATTGACCAGAGGAGACTGTGAGATTTCAAGATAATACCTTTTATTTTGCATAAGGCAACAACATTGCTCTCGCCATGGTGTTGTGTTGTGGCAGAGCTGTATGGCTCGGCTGGTCGACAACGTTAAGCGTCACCATCAACTCCGAGGTTCAAGACTTGAGTTTCTAGCAGAGTCAGCCCTGCAATGGATCTGGCTTCGCAAGAGCGCGTTGGTAGCTGTCCGTGACGAGCTGTATCTCTGTTCAAGAACAAGAGCTGGCGGAGGTATCGGCCGAAGCTCTCGCGTTGCGTCTCCAAAGTCGTGTTCGTCTGTCAACAAGCCAGCGCTCGGCGGTTCGCGAGGTGGCCAATCTGAGTCGACTCAGAGGGCCGGTCCAAAAGGATCTTCAACCGCGTCGACTTTTCTGCGCTTGGTATCGCGCGCACTGCCGCCGCCACCAAACACATCATCGTCCGCCATATTGGCGTCTTTCTTTTCCTTGTTCAGAGCTTCTTCGCGCTTCGACCTCTGGTACGCAACGAGATCGAGTCGAGCGGGATCCCGGCATTTCTGAAGCTTTCGACGCAGAGGCTTCATTGGCTACCCATCGCATCAGTTCACCGCGTTGATGGACAGACAGCAGTATGCCAACACTTACTGTAATCCAGAATTCAGTGAGCCTACTCGGGGGCTCCTCCTCGAGCATGGCCCGGCAATTGGCAATCGCACCCATTATCCTGTCCCGCATTTGCGCATGGGCAGCAGTAGCCGTATCATCTCCGCTGCCGCTCCCCGGTATGAGCATGTCCGCAAACCCTGCGTCTACCATCTGCAGCGCGGCCATCATGATCTGACTCGGTGTGTAGTGGAAGTAAACATCCGTCATCAACGGACTGAATTTGAGGATCTCCCGCGTCCGTACGTGTGCTTGGCGAATCCGCTCTTCTTCGTGGGGCGCTTGCCGCCTGAGTTCCAAGATAGCGCCCTCCAGCGCGCGGAAAGGATGGTGCACGTCGAAGCAGAACCGCATGCCCTGGCAGAGTAAGAACTCGCCCGCCAGGATCTGCTCGGCTGTCGTGCCCTGCAGCTTACTGCTGAGCTCACCCAAGGACATGTGGTGGTTGTCGGCTTTGCATGCGAAGAACAGTGACGTCTTGAGGAGCTCGGTCGGCGCGTAGGTCATGACAGAGTTGGTGACGTAGAATCGGCGGAAAAAGATGGCCGCGGTCGCTCGAATTTCGGTTGGGATCCCGAGAAATTCGCCCGCGCGGAGGAGCTCCACGGTCGCCCATTGTACCAGTCGCAGCTCCTCCTCTGCTGTAACGAAGTCGGGTGCGGGATCGGCGGGTAGATGTGGTGCGATCTGTTGCTTTGCGAGCGCGTTGGTGCTTGCGCGAAGCTCCTGTAGACGAGCAGGGCTGTACGACCAGACGCGGTATTGGCTTGACGAACGGTATCTGGCATCTTCGGTGGCCATGGCAGCTTGGGCGCTCTTGTGTAGGAGCAAGAAGTGAATCGAGGTTCGAGGCGATTCTCTGTTGCGCTCTGCTAAAGTGAAGCTGGTTGTATCGAACGCTGCACAGTGACAGATAGGACACAGTTATCGCACGGTTTAAACTAGAAAGACACTGTGGCTCAATAGTTACATATTTGTACGGTGGGCTACCCTATGCCAATGTCCGAGCTGCTCCGCTCCGTATGTAGAAGGTGCATAATAATTCATCAAGTCACAAACATATGCCCCGTCTGTTTAACCCTAGAAATTAATCATGTAGCGCAGCACATGTGAAGTCGCTGTCCAGTTCCGCAATCAACCAGTTTGAGTCTTGCCATGCGTGCAGATACAGAATTGCTGACAATGACCGAACATCGAGTTCCGCTATCATGTACGTATTTCTTTCTTCACAAATACAAAATGCTGTGACATCAAAAGACCGCTGTTTCCATGTAGGGAGAAAATAACAGTCATACGTTATTCAAGGATAATTGAACCCGGTATCAAACAACACACAGAGAAACAAACCTCCCAGCTATGGCAACAAGCTGAGAAACACCTCAACGCCATGTCCAGCCTTCATTTTCAGTACTTCAAGTTCTCTCTCCTTGCAGGGACGGGAGGGGCCGGCTTCTTGGCCCGGTTGACGGGGGGAGGAGGAGGCGGGGCCTTCTTAACCCCATTCAATGCCAAAGCCCCAGTGCTTCGGTTGAGGCTACCATAGCTTGTGGCTGGGCTCAAGCTACGTTCGCCGTAGTCTGGACTCCCGCTGCCACTGGCGGTGGACGCATCATCACCAAAAACATCATCAGCCCTGCCCCCGTAAGACGCGCCATCTGTGCGCACACGAGTCAACGGCAGAGGAGGAGCGCTAGATCGTGGTACCGGCCGTGGGTCAGCAGTCAAAGCTCTCGACATGTTAGGTCGGGGCGGCTGAGGAGGGGCGGGTGCTGAGCCACGAATACCGCCAGAGGAGATATTACGCAGGCGAGGAGGCATAGTTGGCGCTTGCTCCGATTCGAGCTCGGGCTCTTCGTAAACGGCACTGGACCTTGATTCTTGCCAGGAGCGGGCGGTGTTTGAACGACTCCTGACAGCCGGGCGGAGAGTATTTGTACGAGGAGGCGATGGTTTTTGGACACGGGGAGGCGCTCTTGCCCCAGCACCGGCCCCTCCAGCAGATACGTCGATCGTCTCTCTTGCGCGCCGGAGTTCCTCAACGCAGCGTTCATGGAATTCGAGTTCGGCCTCGAGCAGGTCGTTGAGAGCGAGGACACTGTCGGCTTCGGCTTCCTTGATGTCCTGCATGCGCTGGAAGACATCCTCGCTTGACTCTTCGAATTTGGCTTTGTTGTTCCTGACCTCTTCCTCGATCCGGAAGTCGTCGCGACGGGCTTTGTTGAGCTTCGCAGTGCTGGCATCGTAGGCAAGCCGTCGGTTCTCCAGCTTTTTGCGGGCAGCCTGCGCAAATTAGTATTGTCGAAGATAAAGTGGGGTGGTTTATTCGCATACCTGATACTCTTTCATCATGGCAACACTGCTCTCGAGGCTTTCGCCCCAGGTATTGTTGACCTGTTCGTGGAAGACCTCTTGATAGCCAGCGACACGCTCGTGGGCCTGGCCTATTGCGACAAAGCTGTTGCCAAGCTCCGATTCGGCGCCGTATTCTTCACCATGAGCGGCCATTGTGCGTCCAAAGAGGCCCATAGGACTTGCACGCTCGCGATCCTCGAGCGCATCGCAGCGGCGACTGATCCAGCGGGTGTACGAACTGACTCCTTTCTGAAGACGCTCAATGCCTGCGAGGACAATTAGCTCCATCTCCCAGTATCTGAGCCCCCTTTGATGGTACCAACCTTGCTGGCGAATGGCCATGTCGGCCTCCAGAGACTTGAAGTCCTCGGGCTGGGCTGTGCGCGCCTCGCCGCCCATCTTCTCACCCGCCCATTGAAAGGCCCGGTCGAACTTCTTGGTCAAATGCATTCTGTTGGCTGGTTGGGCAAGAGCGAGTGTCCTAGTCCAAGCGTTGGCAGCAACGATACTCTTGAGGCTGCCGGCAGCGACAAGATGGAAAGATCAATGTAACAAAGGCGTAACGTGTTGGTTGATCAGCTGGTGGATCGCCAGAGGGAAGAGCGCAAGCGAGCGACAGCGTAAAGACAGCTATAACCCGCGAGATTTGTACAAACAATCTTGAACGACTGAGGGGGTTGGGTGGAAGAGAAAGATAATAAAGCAGAAAAGCACTCGGGACGTGGAGGTTGTTGAATGCGATGTCCAGGGTCGGTCTGTACAGATTGCAAGGTACCCTGCCATGGCTGGGGATGGGGTGGCGCCGAGACAGGAATGACTGGCCGGGCCCTGGAGGGACCTGCCCTGGCGCCGGGACAACAGCGGGCTCAGGCGGCATAACGCCCCGAAGATTGGGGAAGGTGCGGTTCAGCGGACGTTGAATGGAGGACGAGAGGTCTCGAATGCCTGCATCATGCAAAGCCCTCACGCTTGCGGCGGCTTGCATGCACGGGCTATCCGCGACCAACGGTTCACCCACAGTCGATGCGACTCGACGCTCCAGTCGATGTGTGGCCCTGGGCTCAGTCCCTCCGCGCTTCTTTCGCTCTTGTCGCAGCACCAGGCTAATTTTTCTTCTCTTGCTTTCTGGTCTGCTCTGTGGCAAGCAGAACACCAGTCATTGTCTCTCGCCTCAAACAAGCGCACATCCTCTGCGACCCTGCCCCTGGATCGACACGATCTCGGCCAGCGTTCCAACCAAGTTCCAGATGTCGCTGGCGCTCAAAATAGTCTGGCGATAAAATTTGGGGGGGCATCTCCACCGTCACGTTCTAGTGGCTGTCCAGCCTGTGGCTAGCTTACTTGAGGCGCCGAGTCGGCTCCTAACGTCAGGATTCTGACACAAACCGGTTCCGTTGTTCGCCAATCGTGTCCCCACGACGCTTGGAATTCGACACGAAGCACGTTGGCTTACTGCGCCTTCCATTATCATGCCATGGCAGTCAATCCGGACACGACTGGAGTCGATGACGAACTGGCTTCAACACAATTACGCTTTAAAAACGCGTGGCTGCGTCAAATAGTGCGATTCTTACAAGGACTCCAACCTCCCCTCCCTTCCCTGAAGTTCTGAACCCTTTATCAAGCGGCACGCCACCTAAATGGACTTCCCCGCCTCGCCCATACTTTGCCTTCTCATTCAACCGTCTTCATTAGTATCCCTGAAAGAGGCGATTGGCCAAGTGGGTCGTTCGCCATCCCAGGATCAACTGCTCCTCTCGCCTGATAGTAGCATATTTGCCGCTCAAAAACGTTCGATTCTGCCGACCTCTCATGTACGCCTGGGTGCTGCCAAATTGTAGCCGATGGGACCCTTTGGTCCGTTCCTCCCAGATTTGGCAAATCTTGCCCGGCATCGTTACGGGTGCTGGTGGGGATGTACCCTCATCAACCGTGAACACCATCTTTGACACATTGGATCTTTTGTAGGCTATTACGCACCAACCTGCATAACACCAGTACATCGACTCTTGCTCAACAAAAGACCATGTCCATCTTCTAGTGTATCATTATTTGGTTTCTAACAGACGCTGTATATCTATCGGCTGATCTAACCTACTCGCCGAGGAGGACCAGCACTTTTATTAACCCGTTTATGCTGCGGCATAAGGAGTGCCATACGGTTCGAGCTGGACTCCGTCGATGTCCACGAACCCGTACTTGGACTGGTCTGCGTTGTCTGCCATACCCTCGGCCCATTTGTTCATCGACTCGTTGAACTGTTGCAGGTGATCCTCACGGCTGAGGTCGAGCGGCTGCTTGTCCTTTCCAACAAGTTTTATCCTATACATAGGTCAGCATTGTCCCACACAATCGAGACTGGTCATTTGAACGTACTGTGTGCCAGCAGCCACATTTGTGAGACCAAAGTTCTGCTCGTCGATGAGCGCATCAACAGCGCTCGCTGCCTCTCCGGTGATGAGCTTGTGAGGGAGATCAAATTCATTGCAAACAGGTCGTGCGAGGCCAACGCCGTCCACGGTCTTGAGGGCGTCGATCATGGCCTTGGCCGAGCGCAAGCCTCCAGTGACATACGACCTGGTCTGCTTCAGCTCGGGAATGATCTGCTCGGCAAAGTCGAGGAAGAAGGCTTCGCGCTTCTTTGTCGAGTCGCGCTTGTGCTGGAAGGCGAGAGACTGGTACGTGCCGCCAGACAGCTCCACAAAGTCGAAGCGATGCTGCTCAAGTAGACCGCACAGAACCTTGCAGTCTTCGGGCGAGAAGCCGCCTTCTTGGAACTCGACGCTGTTCACCTTGATGCCGACGATGAAGGCCGGGTCGGTTACACGTTGACGGACAGCATCCGCAATCTCGATGATAATTCTGGCGCGGTTCTCCACTGAACCGCCATACTTGTCGGTCCTCTTGTTTGTCGTTGATGACAAGAACTGGGCCAAAAGATAACCACTGTCAAAAATTAGCTGCGCTCACTTGATCCGTGCGCGAAATACTTACTGGGCGCCGTGAAGCTGGATACCGTCGTATCCGGCCTTGTAGCAGTACTCCGCAGCGTGGGCAAATCCCTCGATCACGTCTTTGAAGTCCTTGTCCTCCATAGCCCTGGGCTTGGCAAACTTCATGCCCATAATATCACCTTCGAGCTGGACATCGCTTGCGGAAATGGGGTGTGGCTGAATGGTGTCGGTAACTTGCCGTCCTGGGTGGCTGACCTGGGCAACTACCAAGCTCCCGTGTGCTTTTGATGCAGTTGCCAAGTCCTTGAAGGCCTCAAACCTCTCACCGGAAAAGGGGGCATCGCGAGGGATGATGGGGTTGCCAGCAGCCTCCAGGTGGTCATACTCGAACATGACGTTGCCGGTCAGGATGACGCCAAAGTCACCCTCGCCCCAGCGTTTGTACACATTGACGAGCTCTTTTGAAGGAACACCGCGCGCCTCGAGTTTCTTGGGATCCCAAGAGGACAGTCGCTCTGTCATGGCGGCCTTGAGCAAACGGTTCTTGGCCGTCTTGCCGCTGAAGGCGAAGGGGAGGGGTTGACCTAGGGGGCTGGGATCAACTGGCTCAGCTTCTTGACGCTTGGGTGTCATCTTTGTGACTGGTGTAGTGTTATTATGAGAAAGGTGAATAATGGTTTCACGGTTAAGGTCTCGTCTATGTGTCAGATAAAGCTGGCGAAGTCCCTGGGCTCGGCCGGCCTCTTATATATGGGGTCCACGGCAGTCCATTGCGATCTTGCATCATGGTGGCCCGGCGTGGATTTGTAACGGATGAGCTCATACCCACCCGCCTGCTCTTATTAGAATCGTGCAGAATCCCGACTGAATCAGTAGCGAAGAAAACCACTGCCGTTGCCCCACAGGATTCGGGGCTTCACCACTTGCATAGCCATACCCAGGTTATGTGGTGGACGTGGTTCGGACTTCGGAGCGGTGTCGTCACACGCGGCTTGGCCCGTTCACTAATACCAATCCTGACTGAGAAATTCGCACCATGGCGTAGTTGCTCACTTATAATTGCCTGATAAGATTTCTCGATCTAAGGATAGCCCGAGGTACTTGGGGAACACGTCTGGACTCTGATGCAATTCAAGGCTTTCGTGTACGCTCTCGAGAGTCCCGCGCCCGTCGGCATGTATACGTAACGCATGCATAACGACGTGTGTGCACTGATTGGTAATACATGTGAAGTCTCCAATTCCACGTCTGCATGAAAGCGTATACGTGTTGATCTTTGGGCGGAGTGACGGAGTCAGGGCCTCTCCCCGGAGTCTCGGTCTCAGCACTGGTCCACATTGACAACTGCCACATTCCGGATCCATGTCTCCAGAGTCCGAACTCAAAAGCTGGTACCAAGCAATCAGAACAGCAACTAATTAATTGATTGATAATAAAATACTCCTCAGAAAGACGCGCCCTACTTCATAGCAATGACCCACAGAAACGTCTCCTCCTTGTCTCCTTCCACCTTGCTACTCTCCAGAGAGAATCCAGCCTCCTTCAACACCTTGAGAGTCCCCTCCACCCCCATTCCGCTCCAGAACATGCAGTCCTTCTTATCTAACCATTTCTCCATCACATGGTCCGTATCCTCCATGGCGAAGTTCGTCAAAAGGCATCCCCCGGCCTTAAGCCAGCCGGCAAACGCTGGACCATGGTCGCCTGCTCACTGGCGGGAAGGTGAATCAAGCTATACAGCGCCCCGACGGCCGTCTGCGAGTCGTCCGGAACACTCAGCTGCATCATGTCTCCCGGTGAGAAGGACACGCGCGAGGCGTAGGCTTTCAGGTTCTCCTCGGCCAGAGACATCTGTTGTCGTGGAGAGGTCGCTGGCTACAACGGATAGCTGGTCATTGCTGAACAAGAGATGGGGTAGCACGGGCAAGCCAGTCCCGCATCCTAGTTCCACGACGGACACCGCGTGCTCTGACTTTTACAGCGAGGAGACATGATTTTTGAGCTTTTCCAGGTACTCAAGACGGCGCGGTGAGTGCTTCTCAGTCCACTTGTTGTAGGTCACTGCGACGCCATCATAGAGGCTTTGAGGCGCTCTTTGATGCCTCCTGATGTTTCAGTGTTACTGGCCATTGCGGCGACGTGTGCTTGCCTGAAAGAATCGAGTGAGTGATGTTGTCAGATGATTATCGTAGAAGCCAGAGCATCATTCTTATGTAGTCAACGCGGGGCGCCTCGCTGCGGATGTCGGTTCCCCAAAATTCAGTCCCAATTCGGCCTGAAGTGGCTCAATTTTGCTCTGACGATAATTATCTGGTTCAAGACATTACGATTTAGTATAGTGTTGTAGGTGGTGCTATAATACACACGGGCTTGGTGTTTCCCACGCGCCAACGCTTTGTATCCAAAATACACGATGCTGAAAAGTGTGAAGGTTTCCCTCAATACATGTCAGCAGAGCGAAAGACAACCTCGGATCGATTCTCCAGGACGCCTTCCCAGAGTCGCTGCCCGTCAAACTCTGGCGCGTGCAATAGCACGCCAATCTCCTGACTCGTCCACCAACTGGCCCGGTCCACGTTGCCGGATCCGAAGATAACAAACTCCTCATCGACCATGGTCATCTTGAAATGGCTGAGCACAGGCTCGTCGTCCTCCTTCTGTCGTAAACTGAGCGGCTTGTAGTACAGAATGTCCAGCCTGCCGACACCAAGCGCGGGCGCCTCGGGGTCGTTGAGCATTGGTTTTGAGTTGACCAGTGCTTTGTACTTTTTGATAAAGCGATCGAGGCACCACGCAGTCGTCGTGCCCGCTGTGACCAGCTGCTCCATCACCATCATGCTCCTGCTGGTGCGGATGTGAACGTCGACGCCCCTGGCGAGACTTGCCAACAGAGCCTCCATGAGCGGCCACGACGTGACATTCGGCGTCACAATATTGATCTGCCGCTGCGCATTCTCGATGAGCGTCAACAGTGCCGCATTGAGAGGTGTGATTGGAGGGTTGGATTGGCTCAGAAAAGGGAAGAGGCTGAAGCGAGGATTTCGGTGATGCGAAGACGGCAGGAGAATCGTGGGTGTGGCCTCTGTGGCCGGAAACTTTAGAGACTGAGTGGCCGACATGTCGAGCCCTCCGGAATGCAGCGAAGCTCGTTTGTTACGCAGTGGTTGCAAGGTACCGGAGGAGTATCGTCTGTTCCCTACCGACAATAGCTCTGTGGCACCGTGGGCACCCCATGTCTGATCATGAAATCTCATGAGCTGCCCGACGACTTCGCCCTCGAGTTCGATACAACCCTCGAACCATCTCTCCCAGCTGACATTGCAGCTGGGCACCCAACATCTCGCGCCGTCCACGATGAGGTACTTGGGGTGCATGACGCTGAAAGGCGTAAAGAAGAGACTCTTCACTGTCAACTCGATCGTGCCCATTTTCAAGGCCGTCTCGCTGGGCAGGCCCATCTTTTCCCACTCGCGGGGCGGTACCACATGGCCATTGAGTGAAGAGGTGTGGAAGAGTTTCTGAAAAAGACCGCTGGATGAGAATCCGATTGTGATTTTGAGGGGCTTCTGCCCAGGCGTGTCGGCTCGCGCGCTGGCGAGCTTTAGGAGCGTCTCTCTGAAGGAACTGAGGGTCGGTGATTCCGCCCAGTAGCAGGTGACAAAGTGAATGGAGTGCTGCGCATTGAGTATCGCCGGCAGCAGTGCGCGTGTGAAGATACTCAGCCCGGTCCCGACGTAGAGTGCCCTGGGTACGCTCGTGGTGATGAGCGTCTCAGGGTTCGCAATATGGTAGTTAGGGAAGTCGTTGAGCTGGTCATCGCGGTGCGCGCGGAGTCGGTCAGTCCAAGGACCGACAAATGACTCGGGAAAGCCTGACATGGTAAGGAAGAAACGTCCGCGAGCGCGGTGATGCTGGACACGAGGAAAGGAGCGACGAAGTGTGTGACCACGCTGGGTGAAGCAAATATTGCTATCCGTGTCTCACGGTGGTAATGACTCGGCTGCAGGCAGGTGATAGATAGCGCTTGCGCTTGAACGGCAATATAAGTAATTATGGACGCGCCACTATGGCTTTTATTAGCCTGGCGCATGAGCCACACCAACGTGCTCGTGGTTGCTCAATGACGGCGGTACGGTACAAGAGTAATTAATAGGTAGTATTAGAAGAAGCGACCGCAGTCCTGGCAGCGTCGTTTTCAAGTTATTCAGCTACAAGAAATGGGCGGCACAATTTCGCAGGCGAAGTAACCAATAGGTCGTCACGAAGGCGCGTATGCGCGCTGCGGACATCCCGAACTAGCTGCAAAGCGCTTTGCAAATTTCAACCAATGCTTCTATAGCCAGATTGCAATGGGCTTGGATTCACAATGGCAGAACCCGACAAATGTGAAGACGAACAAGCGCCTGTTCACCGTCTGAGCCTTGTCGAGTACTTGCGCCTTCGTTGCCCGTCGTGTCCCCTGAAATGCAGATCCACTTAATGTTGGTGGCAGCTCCCGCTCCCCACCACTACGGACCTGGCTGGCCTGGCCACCACAACCACCACCACCACCACCACCACGACTTGGTGCTCTCTCCTGGCGAACGAAAGCCTTCGACTCCTCGCCTGGCAGATCGCATGCGCATTCCATCCGCGAAGCAGCATCCGAGCCAGCCGCGCGCGCAGTGGTCACCGTCACCATGTTGTCAGGCGTCCTCATCTTCAATCAAAAGGGTGAGAACCTCATCTTCCGCGCCTTTCGCAACGACTGCCGCCCCCGTCTCGCCGACGTCTTCCGCATCCAGGTCATCTCGAATGCCCAGGTCCGCTCTCCCATTCTGACTCTCGGAAGCACGACTTTTAGCCATGTCAAGCACGAGAACATCTACCTGGTGGCCATCACCAAGAGCAACGCCAATGCCGCGCTCGTCTTCGAGTTCCTGTACCGGCTGATCCAGCTCGGCCGGGGATATTTTGGCAAATTCGACGAGGAGGCCGTAAAGAACAATTTTGTTCTCGTCTACGAACTGCTCGACGGTGCGTCCCAGGAAGCTGTGTTTGTCTGCAAAGCCCTGTATACTAACTAACCTGACCTAGAAATCATCGACTTCGGCTATCCCCAGAACACCGAGACCGACACGCTCAAGATGTACATCACGACCGAAGGCGTCAAGTCCGAGTCGCGACCCGAGAACACGTCTAGGATCACAATGCAAGCCACTGGCGCCCTGTCTTGGCGAAAGGCAGACGTCAAGTATCGCAAGAACGAGGCCTTTGTTGACGTTATCGAGGATATCAACCTCCTCATGTCGGCGACGGGTGCCGTCCTTCGTGCCGACGTCAACGGTCAGATCATCATGCGCGCGTACCTGTCCGGCACCCCCGAGTGCAAATTCGGCCTCAACGACCGCCTCTTGCTCGACAACGACGGCCTTCACACCCTCCCAAGTGGCAACCGCATGGGCACCAAGGCAACAAAAGCAGCGGCTGGTAGTGTCACGCTAGAAGATTGCCAGTTCCACCAGTGTGTCAAGCTTGGCAAGTTTGACAGCGACCGCATCATCAGCTTCGTCCCGCCCGATGGTGAATTCGAGCTCATGCGCTATCGCGCCACCGAGAATGTCAACCTCCCCTTCAAAGTCCACGCCATCGTTAACGAAGTTGGCCGGTCCAAGGTCGAGTACAGCATCGGTGTCAAGGCCAACTTTGGTCCCAAGCTCTTCGCGACCAACGTCGTCATCAAGATCCCGACGCCCCTGAACACGGCGAAGATCACGGAGCGCTGTACCCAGGGCAAGGCAAAGTACGAGCCTTCGGAGAACGTCATTGTCTGGAAGATTAGCCGCTTCACCGGCCAGAGCGAGTTTGTCCTCAGCGCCGAGGCTATACTCACCAGCATGACCAACCAACGCACGTGGAGTCGCCCACCTCTGAGCATGAACTTTAGCCTGCTCATGTTTACCAGTTCAGGGCTCTTGGTACGGTACCTCAAAGTCTTTGAGAAGAGCAATTACTCAAGCGTGAAATGGGTACGGTATATGACAAGGGCTGGGTCGTATGAAATTAGGTGAGTGGCCCATCCACTGTCTTCGAGGGCAACCTGCTAACGTAGCACGCAGATTCTGATGCAATTTCCTCGAATAAAGTGAACATGGCTGTAGGGAGCATGTCTGGCGTTTATGGATATCACGAGCATTCTATTGGACGGCACTTTTGGCGTTTTCAATTTTACCGCCATGACTGATCTTTTGTCCTGGCCGCCCTCGCCTGTTGGCGAGGCTGGTCGGCATGGCGTCGACTGGTTTCCAGAAGCAGGCCTGCGCATTGGGCAGTCCGTATGTCGTCGGATTTGGTGTTCGCAACTGAGCCCGCGTCATTCCTGTTGCGTTTGGGGCGTCGGATACGACCCTTTATGCCGATTGTATGTGTCAGCGAAACATGCGTTGAAGTCCCATTGTGAAAAGGACGGGGCCAGAAACCATGTTTAGCTTGGTCATGCAGGCTTGTGTCGGGACACGCGAGGTCATCCGCTGTTTTGGTTTTGGCCTAGTGGATATGGGTTTGGCGTGTCGCCAACCAAAGCATGGTACTGGGAAAAGATTATCTCCCGGAAGCCCGATTGTGTTCGTGCCATGTGGTCAATGGCCACAACGCGGTGGTGCATGCGGCCGAATTGACGACCGCAGAGGAGAGAAGGTGGTTTGTTGGGTGTCTCCTAACCCCCATGGATGCGGTGCCAGATATGCGCCAGAACCGTTCTTGGCGACTAGTCGTCGGTCCAACATATTCTCCAACAAGACTGTGCATAGACAGCTCCCATGGAAGAGCGGACTCGCCAAGGAGCAGCATGGTACGTGGCAATGAACGGGGCAGATGAACTTTTAAAGGGTCTTTACAGAACAACAATCTAAGCGTTCATATCCAAAGGCGCACACATCAGAAGTCCTCGTCGGCCTCTCAAGGCTGAAGCACCATCGGCGGTGAGCGTAAGTGAGTGTGCAACGTGATCGACGATACTCCACACAGTCCTAGATGAAGAATTCACAACTAGAACAATGAATTGAGTATTACCGTGAAGCGTCCCGCAGGTCACGTCAGGCAGTGTCATTATACAGTTATCCATTTCGCAAGATGATTTACTAGATTCGTGATATCGCGGGAAGGAGCCTGGGGTCTGAACTAGGGGGTTTGTCTGTTGTCTGTCTCACTGGCCGGTATTAGATTGCTGTGCTGCACCTGTGATCGCCCGACGACACAGTCGCACCGTGCGACGCCCGGCGGACGCACGACCTTTCGTTTGTAGAATATCAAAGCTGGGGAATTCTCTCGTGGCTGATATCCACTCATCAGCACAGATAGAAGTCAATTATCACGACACAGGCAATCAAAGACGACGACTCGCCGTCAATGCAAGAGAGCACACAGTCTGTCTTTCTTCTCTCTTAGACTGTGTGTTTCAGGTTCTTAAGGTAAATTGGCCCACAATCTCGCCAATGAGGCTGGAGCCACGAGGCCCAACCATGCTGTTGCGCACTGTGCCTTAGCCCGACACTTGCCACGCGAATGGCGCGCCCCAACCACACAGCAGGTCTTGCTGTCCATCCATCGCCTGTCCCCTGAAAGTGCGCCTCAGTATCTGTACCAGAATGTGAGGTGGTGTGCCTCGTGTGCCAGAGCGAGCGCGCAGCTCAGCGTCGAAGTCGAGTGACACATCACCTTCTCCTCTTCTCGCCGTTCCTCACATTCGTCCACAACCTTGAATGGTCCATAATTATTATATCAGCGCCCCAAAACACGCCTCGTCACCTTTGTTTCATCTCGCCATTTCTGAGCCGCCTTGTTCAGTGTCTTTTGTTCGGGTTTACTACTCTGTAGTAGTTCACCTATCGCCGCATCTCAACGGCCGACCTCCCAGCTACACCCCCTCGCCGACAAACTACGCACACCTGATACCGTGTGAAAACCCACAGGTACGACACTGCCCTTGCTCACTAGCCAAACAGGTCCCTGACAGGCTGACAGTCAGTCGACAGACGTTGATCGCTGCGCGCATCAACCAAGCTCCCTAGGACCAACGTGAGCAGAAGGCAACTTGCAAATCCACTTGCCCGGCCCCAGAAAACATGCCTCTCTCGCTAGACTCGTCTCGCCCCATCATGGCCCCCTCGGTATGTACCTACAGTTTCTTCTTCCTCAAACATCAGACATCCATTCCATTGTTTTGAACCTGCGACTGTGGGCGACGCGCTATAGAACAGCAAGAAGATACGCGCACCACACAAGCCAACCATTCTTCTTCACTACTCCTCGCTTCTCCTTCCATCATTCGCCAAGCTCCCCCACGATCACAAACACAGAAAGCCATCATGACTGACGCGACATCTCGGCAAAAGGCCCGAACCTCAGTGCGCTACAGCACCTACAGCGTCGCCGCCCCCTCGGTCACGCCAACCACGGGTACCAACGACTCTGCGACCAACGAGATCCGCGAGATCGCGACTGGCCTCGACCGCATGGAGAACAAGGCCCTTGCTTCCCAGCGCGTGGCACTCTCCGAGGAGAAGACCGAGAATCTGCACAGACTTGCTTTGGGCGCCAAGATTGACCGTGCTCTCGACCGACGTATGAAGGGCCAGGATGCTGTCATGCGTCCCCGGGCGAAGAAGACGACTGCAGCCACTTCGGCCGACCAGGTCGACGAGAAGGCGGGATAGAGGTGGCAAGCCGTCGAACGGCTTCAACCTAGGATCATTTGACGATGAAGATACCTACAAGGCTGCAAAGACTGCGTCGCATGGCAATACGAAGTCCTGAGACATACCGATCAAGTCCCGAGCTCAAAGAGGTACACGCATATCAATACCACAATTTAGTTGCCACCGTGAGTTGGCTGGTGGATGGTGGTTACACATTGGGGATGCATCTCATTCAGAATACGACTCTTGGACCTGGCGTTCGGTACTTTGAATTGTTTGCTGTTATCTAGCGGTGGTTTTCCCCATCGAGAAGCAGGCGAACGTCCGCTGAGGGGAGATTTGTTGTGTCCATGAGTTTGTCTATTTTTGTAATTCGTTGGGCCCGAGAGCGCATGAGCTAGGAGGAATCATATACCACACAAGTAGACCTGGTCGTGTTGGCGGCACAGACGCGAGGAGACTGCCTGGAGTCGCAGACTCGGGCCAATACAGACCCGTACTCAGATCTGCTGGATGCACTGGAACTACGTCTTCAAGCTTGTGGCCAGATGGTGAAAGAGAAACACGTCGAATTTCTAACCATCGCCGCATCTAGTAATATCCCAGACCTCGGATGTCGGCGCGACGTGCGTACTGTCAAGTCACTTGAATGAGCCCACAGCGGGCAGAAGGTCGCCGCTCAAGAGCGCTATTGGCAGTGAACAGACGCGGTATCTATTCAAAGTGAAAACAAAGGTATCCCAAACTCCTGACCCCCATCATGCTGAGCCACGTAAATCAAGCCTAATATTAAGCTTTACCCCTGGCCAGTCTCTTCTCAATGTCCTCCAGAAGCTCTCTCAGGTCGGCCTCGCCGCCTTCAATCTCCAAAGCCCGCCTCACCCACTCGCTCGCTTCCTCCAGTCTCCCCATCTCCATCAAGCACTTGCCCCGTCGCCACCAGGCCTTTGCGTTGCCCATCTTACGCAGCTCAGCGCTGGTTTGTGCATCCACGCTGCCCTCCGCCCACTGTCCAACGGCCATGTAGGCTTGCGCGCGGTTCGCATACAGCCCGCCCAGCTCCTCTCTGCTGATGGCACAAGGCTGCCACGAGGGACGCGCGCGCGCCATCTCGATACCAGCTGTGTACATCTTCTGCGCCTCGGCGTGCTTCCCCTTACGGTACAGATCGTTGGCTTGATCTCGAAGTTTGGTGACAGCCTGTGCCCTCTTAGGGGGAATCGAGGCAGGCGGTCCAGGAACTCGTGTGGGGAGGACGCCTTCCTCAGAGCTGATGAGCTTGTGGTGGAGGTCGTTGAGGGCGTCTAGCTCGGCTTGGAGCGAACGGGAAGGTTTGCTGGCTGAGGGTGCGACTGTGACTGCTCGAAAGTCCTCGGTAAGTTGCAGAGGCTGCATATCGAAGTGAGTGAGCTCGGCCATTTTGGGGGCTGTGATAGGGAAGAGGCCGCAGACGGGTGACGATATAATCTGATTGATTTGCACTGAAGCTTATGCTTGGAGAGGAAAGTCGCTTAAGTGGTGGTGCTGCTGTTGTGGTAGATGTTGTCGAATTGCCTTGTTGTTCCAATAGACCTGACGGCAAGGACACCTAGCAGTTCGGGCTCCTCTTATCGATAACACGTTATCTGCGAGGGGTACATCCACCGTGGAAATAGCCATGCGATCCAAATCCATTTGACCGGCCAGGAACAACACGGCAGATCTAGTTCGTATCGACATCAATAATAATGTGGAATATATCTTGCTGCGTCATGCATCATATCATCTGTTTGCCACCTTGGAAACTGGCAAAGGCACTGGCATCTCGGCAAGACCGTGCCGCTCATCCAATACACAACGTCTTCAGCCTTTTGGCAAAGCATGCCATGAAGCACTAAAACACGATCCAAGGAGTGATCCAGTACCTAGACCAGTACACGTGGTCGCACTTTGGAAGCAATATCACAACTGCCGTGGCCCACAGCGTGGACTGTCGTATCAGACACGAAGCATGGTCACGTCTTGGGCAGCAGGAACAACAGGTTTGGTTCTTTCTTTCTTGCTTTCTTTCATTTTCGTGGCGGACGCGCTGAGGTCCAGCGTGGTCTCTTCTTTACTGTCATGACAACAACAATCCCTCGATGTCCCCGCCGGTCAACCCCGATTGCTCACGTCCAAGACCACCCATCAACAAAAGGAACAAGGAGAAGAGAAGAGGCGAAGCTGCCGAAACTCCCAGTGTCCAGCAATCCAGACCCCCACCGCGCGAAACAAAATCAAATGTGTCAAATCCCTTTTCCCTTTGTTCAGTGTCGTGTTGTTGGTGTCGAGAACCGCCGCGCGCCAATCTAATGTGAAAGACATGCCCAGTGGTCGTCGACGGTTCATTCATAATAGATGTGTCGTGCCGATGCAAAAGGATGTGTCCCACGTTTAGTGGCCGTAAGCAGCGAGGGCCTTGACGGTCTCGGGGTTGGTCTTGGCGTTCTTCTTGGCCTCGGTCATTTGCTTCTCGTGAGTCAACCTGCGCTCGTAGTAGGCCTGAGCCTTGGCCTTCCTCCTGTCCTCAAGGCTGCGTACTTGTTAGAACCAAAGCTTCATCAGCAGTCATGATGGCGGGAACCTACCGGGCGACGACATCCTGGTACTTCCAGCCGTTCTCGTGGCTGAGGCGGCCGACGGTGCAGTACTTGCGGCCAGGCTGCAGGCGGAGGACACGGAGGGCCTGGGGCACAACGACCTTCTTCTGCTTGTCGTAGGGAGGGGGGACACCTTCGAAGACCTTCAGGCGCTCAAGGGCAGCGGCACCACGCGCGGTCTTGTGGGGAATCATGCCGCGGACAGCCTTGTAGAAGATGCGCGAGGGGGCGCGGAAGTGGAAGGGACCACCACGGGTAGGGTTGTAACGGGTGATCCTGCGCATATGGGCAGCCCACTTGACTGTGAGACGTCATTATCGTGCTCGGTGCTTGGTGTCTGTTGGATTGACTTACGCTTGGCGCGGAAGAACTCGCCAGAGATGTTCAGGGCCTCGCAGCGGACAACAACGATCTTCTGACCGTTGAGGAGCTGCTTGGCAACAAGCGAGGCCAGGCGGCCAAGGAGGTGGCCCTTGCCATCAATGACAACCTGAAGGAGAAGATGGTCAGCGCTTTGCTCTAATGTGGATTGTTCTTTCCAAAGATGCCGGTCTCGGTAGGGTTGTGCAATCTGCCATCATCGAGGCGCCTCCATGTCCACCAACACAGCAATAGTGCTTCCGATCCCAAGTTCCTGCGTTCATCCCCGGCGCCTCGCAATGAGCTTTCCTCGCATGCGTATCTGCCCCGTCCCTCGACCGACAGTTGGTGCACACAGGCCCCGTATTGGGATGATGGAAGGAGGTGTACTCACAACCGGCTCGAAAGACGACATCGTGTTCGGATTTCTTGGATGTGATTGAGAAAGAAAGGAGGAACAAGATTGTCGACAGAGCAAAGTCTCAAACCGGGCGGCGAGATCCTGCTACTGGTGGTGTTTGCTGGAATTGGGGGGTTAGTGGTCGTTGTGAGTCGCGATATGATGGACCAGGCGAAAAATCAAGGGCCACTGAACGGTGGGAGTGTGCCTTTGCCCGATGTGGGGCTAGCCCGACTGAGGAAAGGCGTGGTCTGCGCGGTGGGCAGCCACTCGAAATGCTTAGGGCTGCAAAACCTAGATGTCCCGCAGTTCTGCCGGTCACACGCCACGGCCGGTACGTACGTAGACGCAAGCCAGCACGTGAACAGCGCGCCACGTGAGCAACGTCAGCATGAGGCCTCAATGCCTGGCGTCCGCTGCTGCGACCAGACTGCATCGCTGCCAAGCCACTTCATTCTGTATGTCTATCTGTATAGTTGTCGTAAACATCATGGCCCAAATAGTCGCTCGAAAACATGTGCTATTGTACAATTATGCCATTACGATGCAGATGCCTTGGCTGCATCAATTCCCCTCAACACCTCTTGAACCTCCCTGACGAGCGCCTTGCGGCGCGTCCTCACCTCGTCAATGCCATCAGTCTCGACTCCATCTAGCTTCAGTATGATATGCTGCAGCACAGACTCAGATATCATACGGTGCTCCTCCTCGCGCTTTTTCGCGTCCTTTGGTGTCGATGCTGTGTATTGCACGCATAGTGGCAACCACTTCGTCCTGAACTCGGTGGCAAGCTCATCCAACTTCCTCAATGATTCGGTGCCCGGACCGCCCGCAGGGGGTGAACGGGGCGAATCAAACGTCGAGTTGCTGTCGCGGGGGCTACTGGCCGACTCGCCGTCCAACGCATTGGCTGTCTTCTCTGCCTTCTTCTTGGATCGCTTCTTTCTGCGTCCCTTGGTCTTTTTTCCATCAGGTTCACCAACGACCACCATCTCTTCGTCGGATGCACTGCTTTCGAAACCCTCAGGCACAACCGCCATGATTTCACTCTTGTTCTTGACGCCGTATTCACGGACAGGTGCGGAAGAGTCCTTGAGCTCGCGGCCTTTATAAAGCAGCTTGACTCGCTTCAATGTCCTATCACCCAGATCCATGACAAGACCGACTCGGTTCTTCACATCCTTAACCTGCAATTTTCCATCTCCAATGGTATAGGCGGGGAAGTGAGCAGGATATGTGATGCCCCTGTTCTTGATAAGGAGCACATCATCTTCGGGATCTGGCGATGCGTTCGAGTTCGACCGGTATTGTTGTGCATCATGAGCGGGTTCGCCCAGGTCTTGCGAGGTCACATAACTGTAGTCGTCTTCGGTGACGTTCGGGGCACCGCCTGCCATTGAACTGTACGGCGACAGGCTGGGTCGAGTGTAGTAGAAGCCGGACATGGTTGCTAGCACGGCGGCGAGACTGCTGTAGACGACGGTGGGTGGGACGCCTAGTGTCTCGGAGATGTATTCGCTCGAGCCCTGGAAGGCGTTGCTGAAGTTTGCAAATGTCCCGTTGATATAGGAACTCAAATTCTGCAAGGCGCCAGAGGTGGCCACAACAGCCTGGCTGGAATCCACCTTGTCGACTTTCCTGCAGGTGACCCGTGACAGGACACCTATGAAGCAGAGGGGAATAATGAGGGACGTGTGCCCGTGAAGATGATGCTGCTGCTGCGCAAACAAGCTCTCTTCGCAAGTGCGATGACAGCAAGCGTGATGCGTAGTGCGCAAAAGATGGTAATTGGCAACCCCGGTCCCCTGTTCAGACCGCGAAAAATTGAGCTGACGAGTCGGCAACGCCCCTAGGGAAGTGCCGCGCAGCGCAGTCTCGGTGCGTTGTCACAATGTGGGGGGGAAGACGTCAACAAGTCGACCGAGTCTTTCGATGGGGCCAGTTGGCGGCGCTCAACCAGGCGAAGCGGGGGTTGCGTCGACGTCGGTGGCCTCGTTGGCCAGTATCAGGACTAGCGTGTGCCTGCTGCGTTTGCCGTGTGTAATCGGTGTTGAATGGGCCTTTGAAAGGATCTGCTTGATGCGCGGCTGCGTACAATGACTGCAGCTGAATGGCGCACGTTGGTGGATGAAAGGGGCACCTGGTGCGGCAGACGCGAGTTGATGAGCCTCAAAGTTTGGTTTTGGACGGCGGCCGAAGACAGCTACTATGGCAGGTAGTGAAGCCAATCACGTCAAATGCACAGGCGCAATGGCAGGAACCGCTGCAAGCCGCTGGATGAAGAATATCAGTCGGAGTCTTCCCGCCTCGGGAAGCCAAACTCAGTTAACTTCCTTTGCCATGGATCCGTAGGTACGTCGTTCGAGTCCAGATTAGTCATCAGACTTGATGGTCGGATAGCGAGCTATCTACCCTGTATGCTGTGTGCTCCCTGTCAAACAAGCGTTGTGAAAGGGGAGACACTCGTTTCTGTCAGCATTGTTTATACTTGCTGTATCTCTCGCTCATTCACATCATTGAAGTTTTCTGCAGCTGGCGTGAATTGCTTTTGTCAATGGGTAGCATGTTCAGGAACTCCCAGCGCATGAGCCACGCAGTATCTCAAGACCCAAGATTTACCCAAGACAATGGAGGATCATTATGTGAAGCAAATTGCACGGTTCACTGCTCATTACACGTACTAGGGGGCATGTGCCCGGCTTTGAGTCCCCTAGATGCGCTGGCTTGCATCAACGACCTTATGGACTGCGATATGCGGCAGTGCTGATGATGCCAGATAATTAGCATCCGAAGTTATCAGCAAACAACTGCTATTCAAGTAGCAAAAATGGACATCTAGACAAGGTTTTCCGTACTCAGATCTCTCATGGGTGGCCAAGGTGCTGTGATGATTCCAAATGGCGACATGTGAAGCTCCCTCATTGATGATTCAGCCACCGCGGAGGCGACCGAGCCGGCATTACGAATCAACCATTCGCGGTGAGAACGGCGACGAGCTGAGTGATTGCATCATAGGCCAGTCTTTTATCCCAGCACCCCACACGCCTTTGTTCTACCGCGCTTCGCATTTACGGATTATCAAGCCGGGCAGAGACTGGATTAAAGACGCATCCGTTCGCTGCAACTTCGCAACTGCAAACCTGAACGTACGTTCCAAGACTCAGACTCACCTCACCAGCGACCGAAGACAACACAGCCGAACTCATACTCTGCCTTTAGTCCTTCATGAACGCTTTGCGTAGACTCTTCACCACATCGTCCGGAATCATGGCCGCCGAAGCTATGCCCAAGGTCCAGAGCCTCATTGACGAGAGCCCAGTCGGTAAGTAGGACGAGGTTCCCCTTGGTCAGCCGTAGATCATCCAGGGGCGCATTGCTGTTGTTCCCTGGCATTGCCGCGACTAGTGCTAACAGACATGCACAACAGTCGTCTTCTCCAAGTCATACTGCCCTTACTGTAAGAGCACCAAGTCGACCCTGCAGAAGATTGGTATCGACTTCAAGGTGATCGAGCTTGACCAGATCAACGGTGGCAGTGACATGCAGGATGCTCTCGAGCAGATCAGCGGCCAGCGCACTGTCCCCAACGTCTACATCAAGCAGAAGCACATTGGCGGCAACTCTGACGTGCAGGCTCTGGACAAATCAGGGAAGCTGCAGGGCCTCTTGAAGGAGGCCGGCGTTGTATAGATGGAAGAGCGCCATTTCACGCAATAAACCTTGGACGATAGAGCAGAGCATACAAGAGACATGGCTTTGCACCAAGAAGATATGCCTTCGAGTGCATTTTGGACGAGACAGAGACTGTGGTGGTAGTGATCTTCATGATATTCCTCGCTATTGTACAACATGTGCAGCCATTCAATTACAGCACCTGTGTTGCCACGGTTCCCACCGGCCTCTCTACAAACTCCATGACACCATTGATGATGTTTTGCCTTGCTGGCTCGGATGCCACCTTATTACCCGCCAGATAATTCAACCACAGCAGTCTGGAAATCCTCTCATCCTGCACGCTGCCCATGATTTGCGAGCGAGCCCCCTTTGTAGCCTCTTCATCGTACAGCACGGACAACCGTCCCAACTGATCGCGGCACATAAGCATCTCCTTCTGCTTGGGAACCGATCCGCGCGCAAACAAATTCTTGAATTCCTTGAGCGCCTCACCGAACTGTTCATCTCCGTATTTCTGCGAATCCCGCTGCGACCGAGCTGTGATGGCACGGACAAAGCCATCGCGCAAGTGGCCAAAGTCGGTATCCTTGACGGGCGTAATGCGGAAGGCAGAGCGGCAACCAGCATCGCGGAGAATGGTATCCCAGGTCTCCTCCCCTTCGGCTGGGTCGAGCAACGACTTGCGCAACGATTCTTTCTCCGATGGAATCAACGTCGTTGCGAGTGAGTTCACCTTCTTTACGAGGTAGGTCTGCAACTTGGCAATATCCTGTGTGGCAACATAGAAGCCCACAACATAAACCTGAATTCCAAGAAAGGTGACAGTGCGCGTGCCCAGACCAACTAGGGTGTACTCAGTCCCCTCATTGCTCGAAATGATTGCTTCAATAGAACCAACCGCTCTCGTGTCTGTTGGTAATTTTACATCTATCGTTCGGGGAAATGTCTGTACGACACTGTTTCCCGTAGGCACAATCTCGTGCCCCTCGTCGTCCCTCAGGACCACCTTGCGTTGTTCGCCGGCTTCGGTTTTGAAGGCTTCCGTCGGTATTGGTGAGTCTAGGCGAATGCTTCCGGCGCTCGAGGATTTGTCGCTGTCACTCTGAGCAGCGAGGGCGACTTTGAGCTTGTAGGCCGTGTATATGAATGACGCGATGCCAGCAATCGCGCCAGCGGAGAGAAAGGCGGTTCGGTTACGCTCGTAGTCGCGTCGCTTGTTGTGGAGCTTGTTCAAGCTGAAATCCTCGGTCGCGCGGGTTGGTTTGGCAGTGAACGTGCGACGGGCGGCGATTCGAGCAGTGCATGCGCAATGCGCATGGCCAGAGGCCCGGGCAACGGGTCGTAGGGACATCTGTCGTAGCATTGCAGAAATTTGCTGCCGGATGAAGAGGAGGTGGTCTACAGGGTGATTGATATGAATGCAGCAAGGACAGACATGGAGAAGTGCAAGCTTGCAGGCTTGCCGGGAAGATTTGCGTCCGGCGACCTGGAACTGGGAAGTTTCGGCGATCATCAATTGTCGATTACGTCTGGAACAGCGTCACGTGATTACTCCAGCGCGGCCTACCCTAAAGTGTTCTAGTCTCAGAACATGCTCGTCCTGCGAGGGACGAATACGTTCGCTGAGAGACACAAAAACAGTAGTATCACAGTACGCAACACAATCTATCATAGAGAAGAAAATAGAAGGTGTCCGCTGCGCTGGTGCAGTCGTATTCATGTGATATGAGATCACGTGTTGTTGAATGGATAGTATATGGGCAGTATTGGGCGAATACCTCTTAACTAGTCTATTGGGCTGAAATGGTGAAGTCTCCCTGTTGTTCGGGGTTCAGGTACCCAGGATGTCAATATGAGCCGCATGTGCCTGCGCAGCCTTCCATTTATCGGGTGACCTTCGACCCTCAACGGAGCATCACCAGAGATTGTCACGTTGAAGGTGCAGCTGAATGGAGGGGAACTAACGACGTCAACAGTTAGCCGTAATAGGAGTAGCTCCGCGGCGGAAGCCCCGCTCTCTAGCGACAGACACTGGCGAAACCCCCTAGAAATAGATCTCCAGAGGGGCACCTCGCTGAGCCAGTGCCAGTCGCTCCTGACGGCAACTGGAGCCGTCAGTTGTATTTGTGATCCAAGTCTCAAGGTGCCTCAGCAGTCCGGCCACTCGAACCATCACCTCCTCCCAACTGCGTTCACGTCTTGTTTCTTGCATAACAGCATCATCCCTCGACAACCGCGTACGTCTCGTCCCTTCGCTCAACGACCTATTCAGTCATCGCTTCCACGACCGTTTGCAGGCCCTCGCGAAAACGACCGATACCGCCTGAGGAGATCTTTCCGCAACCGAAACCGACGAGGCTGCAACGCCCAACCTTGACTTCACCACGAGCATCACCTTCAGAAACAGCGACTATCCATTTCTGAGATCTTATGCAACGCGGACTGCAGGCAAGACCGCGCGCCGACCCTGAAGCACAATACAGCTGCAGCAGCGCACTAGGCTGGTCGTTCCCACCAGCTAGCTGGCCGCCCTTCTTGAATATCGCCGCCCTCGACGACATCATCAAATATGAGGCCCGCGCTACCTCAGCATAATGGTGACCCAGGCAGCTCTTCGCGACCGGGCCGCTCAGTATCGGCCTCCGATGAACAAGATGATTCCCGGTCATCTTCGTCGACCGAGTCGCCTGCTGCCGCCGATCACGAAGAATCCGATTTCTTTCTCAACAATAACGACTCACAGTCCTCGCTCGGCGTCAACGGATTTCAGGATATGGTTATGAATGACGATTGCCCGCCGATGGACCGCTTACCGAACGAGATCCTGATGTGCATTTTCGCAAAGCTTGCTCCGTCAACCCATGACCTCTACCACGTCATGCTAGTCTGCAAGCGTTGGGCCAGGAACTCGGTAGACCTCTTGTGGCACAGGCCGACGTGCAACAACTGGCGCAATCATGGAATCATCTGCCAGACTTTAGGCGTGGAGAACCCATACTTTCGTTACGCAGACTTCATCAAGCGCCTCAACTTGGCTGCCCTCGGTGAAAAGGTCAGCGACGGCAGTGTGCAGCCCTTGTCCGTCTGCACGCGGATTGAACGACTCACGCTACCGAACTGTCGCGGCTTGACTGACCTAGGGCTCATGTCCTTGGTAGATGGAAGCACATGTCTCTCAGCCCTCGATATTTCCAACGACAAGAATATCACCGAACAGTCGATCAACGCGGTGGCCGAGTCCTGCAAGCGTCTCCAGGGCTTGAACATTACAGGGTGTGAGAATATATCCAACGAAAGCATGATCAATCTTGCTCAGAATTGTCGGTCCATCAAGAGACTGAAATTAAACGAATGCTCTCAGTTGCGGGACGATGCCGTCAACGCTTTTGCCGAGAACTGCCCCAACATGCTCGAGATCGATTTGCATCAGTGCCACTTGGTTGGCAACGGTCCCATCACGGCATTGTTGACCAAGGGTACCTCGCTGAGGGAGCTGCGCCTGGCCAACTGTGACCTCGTTGACGACTTCGCGTTCCTCTCTTTGCCGGCGTCAAGGACCTTTGAGCACTTGCGAATCCTCGATCTGACATCGTGCGCCAGACTGACCGATGAGGCTGTGCTGAAAATCATCGATGCTGCACCGCGACTGAGAAACCTGGTCTTGGCCAAATGTCGCAACATCACTGACATTTCTGTAAAGGCGATTGCCAAGTTGGGTAAGAACCTTCACTATGTACACCTGGGTCATTGTGGACAAATCACGGATGAGGGGGTGAAGGAGCTCATCCAACAATGCAACCGCATACGATACATCGATCTGGGTTGCTGCACCAACTTGACGGATGACTCCGTTCGCAGGCTCGCCACGCTCCCGAAGCTCAAGCGAATTGGGCTCGTCAAGTGCAGCAATATATCGGACGAATCTGTCCTGGCTTTGGCAGACTCACATCGTCGTTTGCGACCAGTCAGGGACAGCGCTGGCAGAGTTATTGGCGGACACGGCGATGCTTTCTACTCGTCAAGCCTCGAGCGAGTGCATCTTAGCTACTGCGTGAACCTGACTTTGAAGGTATTACTCGTCCTTTCAGTCCCGAACTACTTAACTGACCCATGTTTCAGAGCATTTTCAAACTTCTCAACTGCTGCACCCGCCTCACCCACCTGAGCCTTACAGGTGTTGCGGCATTCCAGCGCGATGACTTTCAGCCGTTCTGCCGAGCAGCGCCACCCGAGTTTACCCAACACCAACGCGACGTCTTCTGCGTCTTCTCCGGGCACAGCGTGAATCACTTCCGCAACTACCTCAACACCGACGAGCAATTCAAGGAACTTCGAATGAACAGCTCATTCAGGCGCATGCGGGACAGTGCGAGTCACCATCACCAGTCCCTCGCGGGACTCGACCTGTTAGACGACGAGATGAACGATGGCGACGACGACTTTGACGGCATGGACGCAACCATGCATCTTCCAACCGGTGCACCCGCGGGGATCCTCAACTCGCTGAATGGATATGGCCCACCCTCCATACCGAATGTTGGGCTGGCGGGGCTTCCGCAACAATTGAACGGTCCGCTGAACCACTTTCCCGGGTTCGGTAATTGGACCACCCTAGGTGAAATGTTGAACAGCGGACAGGCCAGTCAAGCGCCCGTGGAGAGTGCAGGAGGTGCTAGTACGGCGCCCCTACACATGCCCCAAGCCGAAGCGCAGCCGCCACCTGATGAAGACGCCGCGGATGGGCCCGGTGGCAGCGGGCAGCCGCATCACTCGATTTAAGGAGGCAACGAAATTACTGCAGAGCATTGGCGAGCATTGAGAGCGGCGTTTGGAGAATACCCATCTTCTGTTTTTCGGATGACTATTGACGCCTGTGGCATGCTGTTTCGAGTCAAGGACCTTATTGGGATTTGGGGCTGCTCAGCTAGGAAATGTGGAAGCCGACTGGCGGCGTTTGGCCTTTTTGCTATGAGATGCGAAACTTCCAGTGGAGGTTCAAGGGATAAGACAAGTTGACGATAGAGGACGACATCCAATGAAGATACGACTGCATGAATTAACCAAGGTACATATGCGTGAACTGAAGTGCTTCTGGTTGGATGGGGAAAGACTACCACACCCAGTCCCGAGAACCACTGGATTGATGGTCATCATATACACTCAGGAGTTGTGGTATAGGTCGTAATAAAATTAAGATAATGGTATCAAAGTATATATAAAGCATCATCACAGCACCTGTGTTCACATACAACAAGCATATGTCGACCCAAGCCCTGCGACAGATTGTATGTTGGGGTTAGAAGATTCATGGAACAGCTTCTTAAACAGTCTCAGCCGTCTTCTCATGGCTGCTGGCTGCGCTGCTCCCGGCAACAGGGGGGACCTGGCTGGAGATGACGCTGGCATTGTCCGACAGGTGACGAGTGAGCTCGACATAGTCGTAGGCGAATTCACCGAGCTGGCAATCGTCCATGCCGAGCTCCTCCTCCTCGGGGGAAGCACGCAGGCTGAGGCCAGGCACAAGGTTCAGGAGGAACAGGATGAGGCAGGTGAGGACGAAGGACCAGGCGAAGGCGGCCACGGTACCGGCGAGCTGGTAGCCCATCTGCACCCAGTGTTGCTCGATCCAGCCAAGGGGACCCCACTCGGCCCCATCGAGCTTGGCAATCCAGGAACTGCAATTGTGTTAGTAACGTGTGAAGGAGAGTTATGGGGACGGGGGAAAGGGGTGGCTTACGCAGCAAAGACACCAGTCAGGATGTTACCAACGATGCCGCCCACGCCGTGGACGGCAAAGATGTCGAGCGCCTCGTCGACGCCAATGAGGAACTTTAGCTTGGTGGCAAAGTTGCAGCAGACGCCGCCGACGATGCCGATGATCAGGGCTCCCCAGGGAGTAACGAACCCAGCGGCAGGGGTGATGGCCACGAGGCCAGAGATGGCACCGGAGCAGAAGCCGATGGTAGACCACTTCTTCTCCAGACGGTAGTCGAGAAGGATCCAGGCGAGGGCGGCCATGCAAGCTGCGAGCTGCGTGTTGTAGCTGGCCATGATGGCGCGGATGTTCATGCCGAGGGCAGAGCCACCGTTGAAACCGAACCAGCCGACCCAGAGGAAGACGGTGCCGATCACGACGTTTGTGACGTTATGGGGGCGCCATGGCATACCGGCGGTCCTAGAGTAGCCAGTACGCTTGCCGAGCATGATCGAGTAGGCGAGTGCACAGGTGCCCGAAGCGACGTGGACGGGGCCTCCACCGGCAAAGTCGAGGGAGCCGAGCTTGAAGAGCCAACCGTTGCCGTTCCAGGTCCAGTACGCAATGGGGTCGTACACGACGGTCGTCCAGATGAACATGAAGACAATGGCGGGCAAGATGCGACCACGGTCTGCGACGGCGCCAATGGCGAGTGCGGGCGTGATGGATGCGAACATGCCCTGGTACAGGCAGAAGAGGATGTCGGGCAGGGCATCGGCGCCGTTGGGCTGGGCGATGACATCTCGCAGACCAATCATGCTCATGTCGCCGAGGAACGCATTGCCGGTGCGGGAGAAAGTGAGGGAGTACCCCCAGAAGAACCACTGGAAGCCGACGACGGCGACGGAGAGCATGGAAAGTAGGAGCAGCTCGAGAGCAGACTTGCGACGGGCGAGACCGGAGTAGAACAAACCGACACCGGGAATCATGAGGAGGACGAGAACGGCGCAGATGATCATAAAGGCCATGTGGCCCGTCTGTAAGAGCTGTCAGCTGAGGCATTCCCGCGGACGAGGCAGGCAGGCAGCCGCGCCTGGATGGGTGGAAGGACTCACGTCGTAGAACACGTTGAGGTCGGAGACGCCAGTGTCCCAACCTGGTGCGGCATCGCTGGTCGTGCCATTGTACTCTTCCTGTCGCTTGAGGACGTCCATGCTAGGCAATTGTCACTCAAAAGGCCGTTTTCAGGATGATCGTCTGGGTGAAGAGAAAGGAGATGCAAGGGACGATCTGACCAGAGACAAGAGGACCGGGATGGAGGTTATATAGAGTCTCCGCGAGGGTGACGAACCCAAGCTGAACAGGGATCAGTTAATTACCGTGTTCGGGCTCTGTCACGTCTGTCCGACTCTACTCCGTATCGCGTGTCGAGTCACTATCATGTGGGCTTGCCGCTCGAGGTGGGCGTGGTTCATGGATGCGGCTAGCCAGGGATCGTTGCTGGGCGTGGAGGGTGGCTTGTGGGGGAGATAAGGATAGTGCCGTGCCGCGTCAGTGATGCTGAACATCAATTTGACCTTGGCGGTGTTCGCGGTATGGAACGTAGGAACTCGATGAACGTGAACATGATATGTAAATCTATCGAGATTGCTGCTGACGCTCGATCGTCCTTGTATTAGTGGCAATGATGGACATCCCAGAATCGACCTGATCTTGTTTAGCCCTATCCGGAAAAGAAGGACTGGGTGTCATCGGCTGTGGATCTACATGTAGGAATCTGATGGTCGCTGGAAATGGTTAGCAATACTAATGTTCATCATTCATCAAGATAGCTCAGCTATCGCGTTCTTGATACGTAGCATCATCGCGGCAACGTCTCTCTTGGCACTTGAAGCTGAGCAGTGTCTCTCTCGCGCCAACGAACCATGTTCTGATCACCACCAGCCAACAACTCATTTTCTTCGAAAGGGTCTCAAACTTTAGGCCAGTTCGGAGCGGGATCATGCAGCACGACGTCTCGTTGTGTCGTCCCAGGTGGTGGGCCCCACTGATAAGGATCCAGCCTGCCATAGGGCGCACACCCCCCTTTCGAGCGCAGACGCCTCGAGCGCAACAGAACGCTATCTGCGGCTGTGCTGCCATCGAGACATCTTCAAAGCTCAAACCAGTCGTGGATGAAATGATCATGCCGTTTGCTACCGTCATGATCCTCACGTTTTGTGATGCTTTCGGCTAGGACTTGTGTTGGCGCTTGTGGGTCGGCATGAAATAAGCTTAACCGACCATGTCTTCCACGCGGAGCGCGCAGCGTGTCAAGTGATGTGATGAAAGCCTCTGAGATCATACGATTGTGTGGTGCTGTTGATTCAGTTGAGGATCATGATCGTAATGACCATTGACAACAGCGAGTGGACAGCCGACAGACGGGCAAGAAGGTAATTAGTTACTCTTCTCAGGCTGTGGGGAGCACAGCCCAAGCCAACAAGACCGCCGTAGGATGTGGCAGTTTAGGAATATTAGAAGCAAGAGCGCGGAAATCGTCGCATTCTATTTCGTATCTGTATCCTCTGTTCGTTTGCATTCCTCTCCCTTTGATGAGCTTTCTGTCGCCGTGTCAAGAGCGCAGGTAAAATCCGTATGGTATGATTGGCTCATCGCCTTATCACTTGGCGAGATATTGCTCCACAATCCCCGGCTCTCGAGTCGTGGAGGGTGTGCCACTATCATCCGACAGGAAGCCTGAAGGCATCCCTCTCTCTACACCGACGAACAGCATGTGCGCATTGCCGTTATCAGTGAGCAGTTCGAGAGACGGAATTGATGAGCAGGGGTTTGGCGGACACATGGCCCGACCGAGGAATGAAGGCTCTGGGTCTATTTCAATTTGTCAGATTCTCTCTCCAAGCGAGGTCCGTATCTCTGACTGCGTAGGCGCACGATACGGCTGACTGCTGGTCTGCGATGCCGAGTAGCAACAATAATCGAGATAGAAGCGTAGGCGTAAGGCGTAAAGTAGCGCATTCCCTTGAACCCACACTCCGAGCTGTCCAAAGATGCCGGTTTCCAGGTTTCGCGATCGAGCGCCCGCACAGCTCTGGAAAACAAGCGTTACCACGTTGTGCTTGCGGGCGTTACAATGCGAGATTGAATCGCATATCAGATCTACCCGTCCGTCTCCGCGGGGAAGAGTCTGGGTCATGAACTTGTATAAATAAGTCCTGTCTTGTCCCTTTGTTGACTCTTGAATGCTGAGTTTGTGTCCCTCGTTCTTCTGCGGAAGGCGTTCGGAAGGGCTCACTCGACCCGCCAGATCCTTATCGCTCCTGCTCGCATCCACACCAGTCTTTCTTCCGCATAACCGAGCTGATAGCCTGCCGCCGCACCTTCGAGTCAAGTCAGGGTAACTTTCCACGCCCGCTTTGCTGAGCAATCTGGGTCTCATCTGGCCATCGAACGATTTCGGCGGCAAAGGCGGAATCGATTCGCCTATGGGCTCTGACGGGCCAAGACAATGGCGCGAGACATTTGATGCAAATCATATGCCCAGATGTGGGATGTCCTTCAGCATCTTATCAGTGAATGATATGAAGTGTGACCCAATTGGGTCGTGTCTGCCAAGTCCAGTCCAAGCGTTCCTAGCTCGACAGCCTGGACACTCCTGGACAGGCGAAAGCGTTGAAGCCGATCTATTGACACTCAGGAAAGACAGGAGGGACGGCAACGCTGTAGTGGCAAACGGCCTGGGTAGTTGGGAACGACCTGAAGCGTCCGTGTTGAACGCATCGTTTATCCACAACCGGGTCCGAAATTTTTTCATGGCCTTCAAGAGTATTGCTTGAAATGAATGGTCTTCGAAGGTCGCATGACTGTTCCGATGGTTATGGCCAAGATGGTGCCTAGTAATCATAGCACATCGAGCGGCGCTGAATGATTCGTAAGGGCTTTGAAGCGCAATGGGTGCAGTGGTCGCCGTCGATACGTGTTTCTCTCGAGATCGTCATTTTACTTTCGCCGCCTCCTCACACCACTCGGCTTCCAGCTCTCTTAACCTCTCCCGGGCCTTGCCTGCAGCATCCCCCTCGAATGCATCTACCATTTCTCTGGGAATGGTATCGAGCACATATCGCGCCACAGTCTCGGGATCACGCTCCTTGGGTCTCCCTATACCCACCGCCATCCTCACAAGCGGGCTCTCTGGGAACCTTGCTTGGCTGATCACGCCTCTGATGCTCTTGAGTCCATTGTGACCCTTGTGGGACCTTTCCCAATCCACCAACCTCACAACGCCAAGTGGTTTTTCGAGCTCGTCGTGCAGGATGACCAAGCAGCAGTCCTTGGCTTCGTAAGTCTTGAGCATCTCTGCCCATGCTCGTGCGACGAAAGGCCCAGAGACATTCATCAGCGTCGGCGACTGGACAAGCGTGTACTTGGAGCCTTGCGATACAAGCGCGTTGGCCTTGCCGAACTTGTTTTGAGCGAATGGAGGCTGGTTGGGCAGCAGAGGCGCGAGGCCACGAAGGGTGAAATGACCGGCTGAGTGCAGAGACGTATATTTTGGTAAGGGGTTGCCGAGGCTGATGACCAGGTAGCGTGGGTTCACCATGGTTGCGACTGTGAGGCGAGGCGGACAAAAACAATGAGCACAAACAGAAAAAAGACAACGGCGAGGTGAATAAGATCTGGACTTTGACGTGCACCTTGTGCTCTATGCGCTGGTGGTGAGAAATACTTCCATTGAGCCATGCTATGATCTTCAGTGGGTCCGAAACTGAGCTGTGATCACATGATCTCGTCTGGTAGACCGGGAGCATTGCATCATTCTGGCGATCTTAAAAGATTGTCAAGCTTCCAATAACAATCTAAGAATGCTTTTGATTCCTCTATTAATGAGCTTGCACTGATTAATCACTTCCAGGTGCGCAGGAATTGTGATTACTGCCCGCCTATGGCTCCAATCTAGCTTGCTGCCTCACTGACGTCGGCGGCCCCAGCCACAGTCCCGCCCACTTGGACGTATTGCCGATCGTGGCTGCGCCTCGAATGAATGCCGCTCATCGTCACCCCAACGAGCGCATCATCATCCTACGACCCATCCACCACAGCGCTCGCGGTAAGCTGAATAAATCGACATTGCCCCAAAACGCCAGCATTAAGACGCGATCACACACAGCCACGACTATCAAAACACCGGCAACATGTCTTGGGCGGGTGCGTATCACACACCCCGCAGAGGGGCTACAGGCTGATTGTGTGGCAGGGTTCAAGAAGAATGTGAACCGCGCGACGACGCAGGTGATGATGAAGACGGGTCATGTCGAGAAGACCAACGATCGCGACTATGAAGTGGAGGAAAGGTGCGCGACGAGCAGCGCTCAAAGATGCCCGATCATCCAGCTAACGCGGCCAGACGATTCAAGACAATGGAGGCTGCCTCGCTACAACTACAAAAGCACTCGAAAGGCTACCTGGATTCGTTGCGAGGTACGTGGACCTTGCGGCCCCGTTTGTCCGCACGTTGTAGGACTGGCTAACTCCCTCAGCCATGACTGCCTCCCAAATGCGAATTGCCGAAACAATCGATGCCTTCTACGGCGACTCTGGCGCGAAAGACGGCGTGTCCCGCTCGTACAAACAGGCTGTCGAAGATCTCGACGCCGAAACAATCAAGGCTCTCGACGGCCCCTACCGCACAACCGTTCTCGATCCCATCACGCGATTCTGCGCTTACTTCCCCGACGTGAACGAGTGTATCAAGAAGCGATCACACAAGCTGCTGGACTACGATGCCCTGCGCGCCAGAGTGAAGCGCCTCGCCGAGAAGCCCGACAAGGACGCGACCAAGCTCCCACGGACGGAGAAGGAGATGGAGATGGCCAAAGCAGCGTATGAGCAGCTCAATGAGCAGTTGAGCAGTGAAATGCCCCAGTTGATAGAGCTGCGCGTGCCGTATCTGGACCCGACGTTTGAAGCGCTCGTCAAGATCCAGCTGAGGTTCTGCGCCGAGGCGTACTCACGGATGGCGCAGGTTCAACAATATCTGGATGCGGACACGAGAGAGCAGTATGCAGAGGGCCATCTCGACGCAAGGGTGGAGCAGGTGTTACAGGAGATTCGGGAGTTGAGCATCAGTGGCACAGTCTGAGCTGGGATGGTCTTGCTGTTGTACCAATTGCATGGATAATGATGGTTGATGTTGGCACATGCTGCCAACGCTCGCTTGTGTTATTAATGACTCATGAAAGCTACTATTGAACTCCTTGCGCTGCACCTTGAGCTTTGAAGAGATCATGCACGCTCAGGCCCGAGCCGCCAATAGCCTGCGTGGCCGCTCCAGCCTCGACCTCGCCCTTCCCGACTGGACCGTTCGCTCTGACGTACTCCCATATAGTTCTCATCGCTTCCTGGTTGATACTTCTCGTCTGGCTTTCGTCGTTGTGCAACCATACTCCCAGTGTCTTGTCGCCTTGACCTTGCCATTCCTCGCCCACCGTGAGAATGGTGAGCTCGCCTGAGACTTCTATATCCTGTACCTCGCCTAGGTCAATCACCAGGTTGCTCAGCCCGCGCCGGTTGAGAATGAAGAGGCAGGCTCGCGCTCGTTGCAGAGGATCTGTCGGCAGAGGATCCTGCGTGCAGGTGAACATTGTGCCTTCCACGCCGCTCTTGTCCCATTTCCCCTCTTCGTTGAATGTGTATAAGACGGCGTTGGCTGCAATGCTATTGATGCTGTTTATGCTGGGAAGGTAGCGGCGGAGCACAGCAAGATTGAGCTGGGTGTTTGTGCGTGTCGGTGGAGGAGGCGCATAGGAGCCTTCGGTGGCGTGGTTGTTTTGGCCTGCGAATGTGTCGGATTCGTAATCAGACGTGAGTGGCGCGCGGCCAGATGACTGTCGATTGTGACCATGATTCCGACCCTTGCGCTGTTGCTTAGACATGCTGACGAGGCCGCAGGCTGAATGTGTATGGTTGACTTGGTCGGTGAATCTAACACGGTAGACAAGTATGCGCAGACCGTTTCGATGATGTTAGGTGGCTTGCAATCGGAAAAAGGCCAGTTAATTTGGGGCATGATTGAAGCAAGTCGCGATGCACAATGCGAAAGCGGCTTGCTGCGCTTATCTGATCTGCGATAAGAAATGGCCAGCGCAATGACGCCAATCGCCATCGCGGGGCTTGAGGACGTATAGTATCTCACCACTCCACGTGAACACATACCATCCCCACGTCCACACGGGACATCACACTCCTTGCTTATCACTACATCGCAACTCGAAGATACTCCCTAATATTGGTGCTCTATCGTTATACCCGGTCCGCGTGCTGTATCGGCGTCGTTCTGTCTTCCTTATCTCCCACTATGGTCTAGAAGATCGCAAGAAAACGAAAGCCTCGATCCCCTTCCATTGTCGGACAGCGGCACCCCCTCGAACAAGCCTGCGGCGTGTTCCACGAGAAATTTCGCGCCATGGAAGAACAGAGCGATTCTCTGACGTCCGAACCGGTTGACCTCACGAACGCGGCCACTGCGTCGCCCCAGTCGCTTGCGAAAGCCGTCCACGCGCGTCGATCAGAATACACGCGGCGGCACCAGATCAAGGTAAAAATTGGATCATGGAACGTCGCAGCCTGTCTTGGTACCGACAGGGATCTTGCGCGATGGTTCGTTGATGGAGAGGGCCTGGATCAACAGTTTGCGACGCTCAACCTTCGACAACACGCTGGCACAGAAACGACCGGGAAGGAGGCGCAAGGCGACGCGCACGACCCGATCCGTCTTGTAGGGGGTGAAAATGTGGGATTGTACATCTTGGGACTTCAAGAGGTCGTCGACTTGAACCTGACAAAGGAGTACATGACGCGAGCTGTGTATACGGATAACAGTGCCACTCAGAAATGGCAGGCCGCCTTGGAGGCAGCCATGCCGGCTGGCTACACGCTTGTATCTGTGGAGCAGATGTTTGGATTGTTGCAGCTCGTGTACGCCAGCCCAGAGCTTGCGCCAACCATCGGGAACGTGTGCACCAGACAAGTCGGCACCGGCATCGGAGGGTGGTTTGCGAACAAGGGTGCTGTTGCGACGCGACTCATTCTTGGGGAGACTACGCGCATGGTGTTTGTCAATTGCCACCTCGCTAGTGGCGAGACAACGGCAAACCTAGACAGGCGGTGCGCTGATGCAAAGCAAATTGTGGCCAAGACACAATTCGACCCTGTTGTCCAGGCTGGCGTTGAGGAAGACGAGGGAGAAGGTATTGGCGCTGAGGATTTCGCCTTTTGGTTCGGAGATCTCAACTACAGACTGGACGGCCTGCCAGGTGAAGACATTCGGAGGTTGCTTATGTTGCATACCCAGGGCGAATATGACCTGAGCAAGGGGTCGAAAACGGATCCGCCTGAAGGTGAAGGCGTGATAGTGATGCGGAGCTCAGAAGACGACGATAACACCACGACAACGTCCTCATCATCGCACTCGAGAAACCAGAGTCTTGAATCTGAAAGCTCTCTACCAGATCCAGACGACTTTCCCGAGGATCCGAGTCAAGATCCGACGTCACTACAAGCCACCCTGGACTCGTTGCTCCCGCATGACCAGCTGAGAAGGGCGATACGGGAGCGGAAGGCGTTTTACGACGGATGGCGAGAGGGTCCCATTACCTTTCCGCCAACATACAAATATGACATCGGGTCTGTTGGTCTGTTTGACTCGAGCGAGAAGCAGCGTGCGCCGAGTTGGTGTGATCGGATACTGTACCGCACGCGACGAGATAAAGAAGTGTATGAGGCAAAGAACAAAGAGGAGGAAGAAGCCAAGAAGAAGGATACCGAGATGAAACTCCGAGGAATCGAAGACGACGAAGACGTGCTTTTCACGTACGACCCCGGTACGGACGGGGAATCGCCGTCGGCAGAAGGGCCAGAGATGGGCTATGACGAGTACGACGAGAACGAAGAAGAACCAGAACCAGACGTCGTCACGACTAAGGACGGGTACGAAGACCGCATAAAGTTGGATATATACACATCGCATCAGGGAATCACATCATCAGACCACAAGCCTGTGGTATCTCTCTTCACACTGGATTACGATGCAGTTGTACCAGAACTCAAGAGCAAGGTCCATGCCGAAGTCGCCAAGGAGTTGGATCGCGCAGAGAACGAGGGGCGCCCTGGCATCACGGTGATAGCAGAGTCGGGCAAGGGCGCCGATGAGAGCGCCATTGACTATGGCGAGATCCAATTCTTGGAGCGAAAGCTCGCATCCGTGACTATTGCGAACACAAGCGGCGTATCCGCGACTTTTGGGTTTGTCGAGAAGCCACAGCACGGGGGCCTCGAGGAGAATGTGTCCGACCGATGGACAACTACGTCCTTCGCCATCCCAGACGACGAGAACGCAGAAAGTGAGGCTCTAGGGAAGAGTGTCACGCTTGAGCCGGGCGAGACAGTACTTGCTCACGTTGCTGCATATATATCTTCAGTATCTTTGCTTCAGAGTCTGAACAATGGAAGCGCTAAGCTGGAGGACGTCTTGGTACTGCGTGTGGACGACGGACGAGATCACTTCATTCCAATACGAGCATCGTGGCAGCCATCATGCCTCGGTCGCTCTATTGATGAACTCATCCGCGTCCCTGACGGCGGGATTCGATCATTCATCAAGCAATGGGCTATCGAGGGCTCAATACCAAGTGATACCGAGCAGAAGTTCTCAGCACCTCAGGAGCTCTTCAAGATCACGACCGCCATGGAAGATCTTGCAGAGCGTTGCATTGCTGACGAAGCAATGTTAGATGAGGTCACTGTGCCAAAAGCAGCGGGTTGGCCATTGGAGGCCTCGACTTGGACAGCTCCATCTTCTACCATGGATGAGCTCAGCGGCCGGCTAGTTACGGCCTTAGACACGGGAGAGTCTCTAGTTTCGTCGCTTCCTGTCGAAACAAGCTCAGCGCACAAGCTAGAGGCCCTAAGCTCGATACTGCTGCTATTCCTGTCGAGCCTAACGGACGGGATCATACCCTACCATCTTTGGCTCAAGATCGAAACGGCGTTGGCCACCTTGTCACCTGCAAGGCCACCCGACGCGAAGCAGAAGCTTTTGGATACACTCACTATAGCTCCATCCCACAACATTGCATTTGTGTTTCTCACCACGGCTTTGTCGAGAATCGCGACCGAATTGACACCACCTGCTCCTGCCTCGACACCAGTCCCTGTGCGGAGACTGAGTTTCCGCAAACCGCCGACGGGAGGCAACGAGGCAGCGACCATCAAAGGGCGACGAGCAAAAGAGAGGAGGTTCTCCGAGATCATAGCACCCATGATATGCCGCTCAACAGAGGCCAACGCTCCGAAAGACAAACACACCAAAGAGCGGGAACGAGTAATGATTGAAGTCTGTGTACGCGCCGAGGATGCTCTCTAGAAGGAATTTGGATTGGAGAGTCATAGAAGGAGGCGTTTGGCGAAGTCTTTACCTTGATGCGACTGAGTTGCTTGGCACATGGAGCAGGTGAGATGGGAAGCAGGCAAAGTAGCCGTGCACTTGGGAATAGATAACTAACTGCGTTTTTACATGATGTTGTCTCGGAAGTCTGAGATATCGGATGAGTTCTCGGTGCCTTGTCAGCATAGATTTGGAAGTCATGTACCAGATTCTGGCTATGGGCATGCAAAACTGAAGTGTCGTCGCCAGGCCTCCAGATGCATTGCCGAGCAACATCAAACAGTACTCCCGTCGTTTGGGCGACTAATTCCCGGATCTTGTCTACCTTTATAATTTGCGAATATGCGCCACTAGGAGAACAACGTTGCGGCAGTTGCCGCGATAGCGTCAAGGGCATTTGCTACTCGACACCCCATAAGGACGACGGGCACCGACGAGCTGTCAAGGACATCCATTTCGACGTCGATGTTGGATACGCGTCCTTATGAAATTGTGGGAAGTTTAATCAGACGCAAATTCGCTTGAGTTTTCTGCTGTCAAGCCGATTGTACCGGCTGATGGCTGCACCCTTCCGGAGGTGGTCGGGCCTAAACTTCTCCTAGATGATCAAGGGCTCATTCGTTCAGATCCGCGAGATATGTGCGATCGTTTAGCTTGCAATTGGAATCTTTGAGTATGCACCAGCCATTGCTTGCTGACAAAGGTTTTCTGTCGCGTCGAAATCGTGCCCTCAGGGATGAGGTTGACGACCAAACACTAATCGTGCTGGACAAGACGGCTCGGCCAGACCGTAAGCTATCCATGAGTTTGGCAAAACGCGAAGATTGACGGAATTAGTCCGGTTCAGATCCAAGTGAGGTCTAAGTCACGCGAGAAGCCAAAGACAGATGTCCTCATTTTGACTTTAGTTAAGCCCAATCCATAAGGGAATTGTACCTGAAGTACCTACACTGGAGGACAACGCGAGAATTACGCCCAGGACGGACTGTGCATATCGCTAGGACACCTTTATGAACCACGATTTCACCTGGCAATGCTTGATTACTTCGCCTGTCATTGATAGCTCTTGCCTGGCAATAATTGCCTACCCAAGTACTTACCACGGACAGACAGGATGGTCTGCCGTCAACCACGTGATAGGCACAGCAGCAACAAAGACACTCCATACTCTCCTTCTGCCACAATGGAAGAGAAAATAGGCAGAGCGCCTCGTCATTTCCCAACAAACCTTCATTGTGTGGGAAGTGGCCAGTTAAACTCGGCCCCAGTCTCTTAGACAACAATCGTTTTCGGTTGACCGCCTCCTGGGTCTCTGCCTCATTGCCCTGGTCATGTTTAAGTTTCGAACGGACAAGTTGGTTTACAGATCTCTGCTCATTTTTTCCAGAGATTTTCGAGTTCACGCAAATCAAAGTTTGGGCGACAAGCTATTTCTAGCTCCCAAATTCTGTTGCCTTTTTCTTCCTGTTCCTGGACCAAATCCAGCAATACGCCCCTTATAAACATCGAGCCTGGCCTGCGAGGTGTCCATATCTCGACCACACTCGCAAAAGCATTCTCAATTCTGATACCCTATTCTTCTACGCCTTCTTGCCGGTCAAACACTTCCTACCAGACGGCACTAACCTATTCAACTCTACATCATGGCTAATCAAGATACAAACCCACCCGGAGAAACTATCCCTCAGTCTTCGCGTCCCCTTCCACATCGACGCATGGGTGCGCAGCGCAACCAAGCACTACCTAATCCCCAGCCGTGGCTAGCACTCCAAAAGTTCCAGTGGGACCTACATGTGTCTACGCGCACCGCCAGTCAACTACAAAGGGTTGCAGTGCATAAGAGCATCAATTTACGGTATGCATGCCTTCAAGAGACAGAGACTCTGGCAGTCGCGCATTCATCGCCTTCAGCCGTCCAGAGCGTCTATCCAGTGCAGGCAGCATATCTGCCCCAGCATCAGCTGGATGCTAGGGACTACTGGGACACCCTGCTCTCGCATCAGAAGCCTGAAGATGCTGACCTCGAACGTGTCACTCGTCTGCTTAGACTTCGCGAAATCCAGTCCGAGGACATTGAAAATGACAGCGCAGCCGGTGATACCCCCTTGCCTACTCCGGTGCAACTTTCGGTTGCTGGGGGATCCCAGTCAAGTCAAGATGAGACTGTGGACAATTCAAGCTCGATGGAGGACATGGCGGCGACCTACATGGAGCAGCCTAACCCATTCGACGACATGAGCATACCAATGGATTTAGACGTTGCCGTCCCCTGCGGAATCGACTCCATGCAGGCGGAGGCTCCTCATAATGATGGCGCATCGCGCCATGATGAAGGCAAATCAATGGAGGGCGAGAGCCTCTACTTCAGAGACGACGAAATATTGTCAGGCACAGAGAATACCGCCGGCCAAATGCTCGCTGACTGGCTTGAATCCAATGAATCAGACTCAGAGCTCCTCCCTGACGCGAAATCTGAGAATCCCGCAGCGTCTGAGAATCTCGCAGGGTCCGAGAAAAGGTCTGAGAATCTCTCAGACACGGCGACCTCATCTGAAATCAGTGACTACACTGACGACATGGACAATGGGCTCGACATGCCATTCTTGCCTCTAGACCAACCAGCTCCCCGCGCTCTTCGCTGGCCGTCTGCTGAATGGATTCGCGAGTACCCCGATAATGACGCTTGGTCGTCCAATTTTTACGACTATCTGTTCAGAGTTGAACAAATTCGTCGAAGCATCAAGTCAGAATTGCAGCAACGGGACTTGGGGAATGCTGGGAGCGCGGACAGCGCCATGGCTGACGCAAGCAAACTGGCAGGGGCTGCGTATGAAGATAGGGGCAAGGACGAGGACAATGTCGATGGCCGATTCGATCTGCTCCAGATGCAGAACACGTGGAACGCAGACATCGCCGAAGATGTGATTGAATTCTTCAACGAAGCTGGGCCCGATGCCACGCTCATAAGCGCTGCGCACCTGCGCCGCCTCAAAGCGACGGTCGCGCAGCTGGAAATCATGGTCAATATCTCGGCCACGTCCATAGCCCGTCGTCAGAAGATGCCTGCGAGCCGCAATCATCTCTTCCAAGGTCTGGCGAGCGCGCTCGGCGACAAGAGCCATGTGATGCATTCTAAGGGTTTAGGCAGCACATTGCGAGAAGTGGTCTCCGCGGATGAGCCCTGGCCAGAGCCTTGGGCGGTAGCCCTGTTTCGCCCCGAAAGACGTAAACTTTTCGTCATGGGCCAGAAAGAGTACCAGACTTCAAAGACAGACGACCAGGACGGGCTATCTTTTGTTGACGCCGGAGAGGCTGAATAGGAGCCAGCCTCGTTCCCAGTAACCAATCCAGCGCGACTCGTAGCGGAATGGAGCTGGTGATGATGTTTTTGTGTGGTAGATGAATAGGCGTCATTTGGTCGGAGGATATACCCAGCGATGGCGATAGGAGAAAGGGGGGCAATCAGCCCCAAGGCGAATCTCGTGGCGTTTTTCTGGACAAGCATGTTAAATACCATAAAATGGTATTTCCTGGATATGACTTGAATCGGTCGTGGTGACAGTTGCCGCGAAGAGTGGGTGGCTTCTTGTTTGACGAGCTCAAAGGCGGCATGATGGCCCTTACGAATTATAATCCTTGTATAACCACGGGTCGTCCAGCAACTCCTTGGCCGTGCGTCTCTCCCCAGGCAACCACGTCAGCATTCTCTTTACAAAACAGATAAACCTGCGCTTCTTCTCCCCCTCCATGCATGTGATTGATTTTTCAAAGGAGAAATCAAGAGGTATATGAGTTTCTTTCAGCAAGGTCGCTGATGGGTCATGTTAGTCAGAGAAATAGGGTGCTTCTTTAGTCGATATCGTACCGTCTCGCTGGCAGAACATGCTTGCTCTTTCGCCCTGGGAGACGAGGGGCGTGGCACAGGAGTGCTGTGATTTGACCCAGGTGAACAGAGTCATTGTTCTCTTTCGGATTGTGAGGATCCATGGGGCGGAACAGAGGCTGGATCTGAAGGTCCCAGAAGTACAGCCACGTCATCCTCAGTGAGAACACTCCAGCAGATAATTTACTTCTTGTCCTCACCAAAACACCCAGCCAGAGACTTGACGGGAGAAGAGGGCGGCGCGTGGCAGCAGCACCCGATTGGGCAACTCGCCAGCCTCCTCTGCCAATCATGTCCTTGTCCCAGTTTGTAGGTGTTCGGGCGTCCAGGGTATTCCGTCGGTGGTGGCCACTAAAAATGGCCTGCCAAGCGGGAAGGAGGGGCCGGGCCACTGATCGTTGATCGTTCCTTGCGCCCAGTCCTGATCCCTGAACCGAAGGCACGTCCTTCATGTGACTGGCACTCCCACATCCCACATCCCATCCGTGCTCCGTCTCCCATTCTCTCGTGATACCCTCATCGCGCAACATAGCGGCCGTTCCGCAATTCACAGTCGCAAAGAGACCTGACCACGGGAATCGAGATATGATCCAACTACCACCATGGGCTTCTTCACCCGCCGCGAAAAGGTGAAGGAGTCGCCACCATCCTCAAAGCCGCGAACAAGAACCAGGTCGAAACATCATAGCTCCTCTCCCTCTTCCAAGCCCCGCGATACCCATGAAAGCATACGCAACGATGCGCTGCCCATACGCCCGCCACCTCGGCCTGCGACGGCTCACCAAGACTCGCGACAGTTAGCGTTGCCAGCATCCGATGAGCATCGCCATGAACATGCCTGCGGCCAGGTTGTCGTCAACCACAACTACTACTTTTCTGGACAGCCCATACCCCTTGAACCCAGCTATCGTTCCTTCTCCCTGCCGTATGGCAACAGCGGCAAGCTCAATCAATCGCCCGCCAACAAGTCGATGGTGAACCTTGCCACCCACAACAACAGCCTCTCGAAATGGTACGATCAGACCACGAACCTCGTGACTTCGAGCATCAATGCCTGTGACGAGGTCGCTGCTCGTCTAAACAATGTTCTCACACTCATTGACGGCGAACACATGAATGGCACAGAGACGGACCTGTTCAAGTGTCACCAGTCGTCGGCACCGTCCCGCGAGGATCTGCGACGTCATCATGAACATAAGGGACGGAGAAGAAGGACATCAAATGAGCGACAACACGACCGAAACAGGTACAAGGCTGTCGACGAGGAAACACAAACTAAGGAGAAATGCGCCGCAACAGACACGGCCGCCCAAGTCGTGCGCGGCAACTACTTCTCCAAGGTTGAGATGTACGCCAACTCCAAGTCCCCGACCAAGACCCAGCCATTCGCTGTCTATGTGCCTACTTGGCCCCTCCTGTGCCTCGCCGCGCAGTACTCTCTTGCCGTGTACGAACGTCCGGCGGGCCGCGAGGCCGAGGCGCATGTCTCGAGCGATTGGCGTACCGGGACAAAGGCCATGTGCATCAAAAGTGTGCCCATGGACCACATGCATACCATTGTCTTTGCAATCCGCGGGACCGCGAGTTTCATGGACTGGGCCGTGAATCTCAACACGGCGCCCGCCTCGCCAAGAGAATTCCTGGACGATGAAGGGAATCTATGCCATGCCGGCTTCCTCAGCGTCGCAAGGAAAATGGTCAAGCCAGTCGCGGCACGCTTAAGAGAACTCTTAAAGGAGGACCCGTCGAGATCAAGATACAGCCTGCTCATCACGGGCCATTCGGCTGGAGGAGCCGTCGCTTCCCTTTTGTACGCACACATGCTAGCCGCGACAAAGAAGGCAGAGAGCGAGCTGAACATTCTCACCGGAAGCTTTAAGCGCGTCCATTGCGTCACGTTTGGCACGCCCCCCATCAGTCTCCTGCCCATCATGAAGCCCGAGCGAAAGGCCCTCAAGAACAGCGTTTTCCTGAGCTTTGTGAATGAGGGCGACCCGGTCACGAGGGCTGACAAGGCCTACGTCAAAAGCCTTTTGGAACTTCTAGGCCAGCCTGCGCCCGATACAAAGCATAGACTCAAGGAGATGAAGAGCCTGAGCCATCTCAAGTCGAAAGCCTCGCACGCGCGCCTGGAGGGGAGGCCCGTGTGGCCTGTTCCGGTTTGCACGTTGAGCAATGCAGGTCGAATCGTCGTTTTACGCTCTGCTAAGAGCAGTGATGGCGCACCGAAAGATCGCATGACGATACGCGACAGGTTAGACGAGGGTGTCGTGGCGAGTGTCTGCACGGATGATCAGTTACGGGGGTTGATATGGGGTGATCCCGTGGCGCACCTGATGAAGCTGTATGCTGGAAGAATCGAGATGATGGCGGTCAAGGCTGTGACTGTGAGGGGCAAGTAGCTGGCAGTGACTAGAGCCAGCGTTGCATGTAATGAATGATGCGGTTGGTAGGCGAGATACTTCGAGCAATAGTAATGAGAACACGATTCAAACGGAGGTCCTGCTACGGATCCATCTATGTACGGCCCATGTCCTTCTCTTTCAATTACCCCGAGGTCCCAAATTATGCCCAGAACGCCAGGCCCCATAAATGTTTCGTCCGTGATACATGAGAATATATCGGTTGTGTCCGTCGTCAAAGAACAAGAAAACAAAGCCGTCGCTTTACCAAAGTAGAGTAAAAACAAAGGGGAAAAGTTAAAGTACAGGCGCAACACAGCTCAAAACGTCTACTGCAGCGCCCCAAAGTCGATCTCGTTGCTCATCGACCCAAGCCCCACCATACCCTGCCCGCTGTCCTGCCCTGACGGCTGCAGTCCTTGAAAGTCCCCCACCGTTCTCATTGGCACCTGCACCTGGAAGCTGTGCGGCCGTTGGGGTGGAGGCTGACGTAAGGTATTGATGGCCATCTGAGAGTGCTGGATGTGATGCTGGTTCATCCCGTCATACATGTATGGCTGCGGTGGCGGCTGTTGCTGCGGCTGCTGGGTTGTTTGCTGGTGGGGATGGGATGAGTGTAGATGCTGTTGCTGTGACATGTGCGGCTGCTGGTGCGCCATCGGGCTCATGATCTCCGACATGGGCGTGCAGGCATTGAAACCGCCCATCTGAGAGTTGTAGTCGCCGCCCGTGGCCATGATCCCTGGGGAACTGACAAAAGATGAGTTCATATCAGCGGTGGGCTGCTGGGTTTGACTGCTGCTGCCTTGAGAGTCAGGCGTCGAATGCTGCTGCTGTTGCTGCTGCTGCTGTTGCTTCAGGTCCATGGCGGCGGCGTATTGCTGCTCATATTCCTCGGGGGTGAACTTCTGGTCGTACGGGGCCTCCATGTCCATTTGCATCTGGGGAGGAGGTTGGGCCATGCCACCGTTGCCAAAACCGTCAAAGATGTCGACGTTGGCAAGGTTAGGATCCTCTGGTGGGTTCTGGAGCATGGGTGTTGCGAGTCGTGGAAGGATCTCGGCGACGTCGGTCAGGAGCACGGGCAGATACGTGTGATCACCATTGCGGGACAGTGCCACGGTGTTGAGCAGCGTGGCCATTTTGTCTTGGGGCCCAGGTGCAAAGGGGTCGCCAGAGGCGGGCTGGACCGCGAGGAATTCGGTCATCGAGTGAACTATATCCAGGACTGAGGACAGAAGCGACGAGTTCATCAGTTCCATACCCTGCCCGGGGAATTGGGCGGCCATCCGCATGAGGAGATCGCGCGACACGCTGGTCGAGTATGAGTCCTGGCTGGTGAGTTGCCAGACTGTGTTTTTGAGCCAACTCTGATTAACGTGCATGTCGCCGAAACTCGAGTCCCGGCAATAGTAGGACCGCAGGAGATCTCCCATCTGCTTGCGCATGTTGTCAACGTGCGAGGCAGACAAATTGCCGTGTGTCTTGCGCCAGGTGCTGAGGAACGCATCGTCAATGGGCTTGTACGCGTCGACGAGGAGCAAGAAGTTGCCAATGTGGTTTGCGAGGGGGTCGCTTTGATCGTCGTTTGAAGTTGGCACATTGATCGTCGCCTGCAAGGTCAGGGGGCGGTTCTTGCCAACGGCATACGCTCTCTCCATGACAAAGAAAAGCCAGAAAAGCCGGCGACGGCGCGAGGATTCAACGCGGTCGAGCGTAGCGTAGAAGCCTTCCTGGGTCATGCCAGCCATGTGAATGAGGGTCGTGCCCTCGCGCAGGTAAAACCACGCATGATTGTGCATCTCCATGGCATAATTGCAGCCAAAGAGGAAGAAAGTAGTTGCCAGTGCGTTATGTGTCACATTGTCGAGGTGGTCAACACCCCTGCGGACACGTAGCACCTCTTCCATGATGGTCTGACTGCCGGCAATAAGGGCGCCAGGGTACATGTCGAAGTTGAAGTAATCGTTGGCAGGTATACTCATGCCAGGCTGCATCATGACAAAAGCGCACAGCGAGGCAACGAGACAGTACGTGTCGGGATTTTGCTCCATGAAGGGGATCTGAGATTCGATGGCACGTTGATCGAGGATCGGCATCTGAGCGTACATGTGGTCGAAGAAGAACTTGATGCAGGCGTTGACGACATCAGGTGTCAAGAAACCCGGCGTCGGTTTGACGCCTTCGGGAGCAGGCGTACATGGCGCACCGGCGATTCGAGCGTGCACCTTGGTGTGGAGGCTGTTGTGCCGTTGCGTCTCACGAATGTCGCTAATGATCTTTGCGCGGGAACCCTTTGGGCCCTTCTTCTGAGGAATGGCATTGTAGGTGCATGACAAGGACGAGTTGTTGCAGTTCTTGCACGGGTTGAAGCCGTCGCATTTGACTTTGCGCCGGTGGCATGGGTCGCAGGCGCGCTTGATGGCGGCGGTCATGATGGCGATGGAGGGAGCGCGTCGTGGGATCGTATGGGTAGAGTTCAGACAGGCGATGCCGCCGCCTCGTGGCAACGGCAGTCGTCAACAGGTTTCGAGGACTGATTAAGCTTGCCCAACTTGTCGTCGAGGCTTTCGCTTTCGAGATTCGAAACGATTTCCCCGGAAATGGGCGTCTGGGGATTTGCGGGGAGTAAGGCCGAGAAGGAGACGAGCGAGAATTGGGAGTGAGGGTGCAAGCGATGCGGGCAGTGCGGGCGTCGAAGCACTTGCAGGCGTTATTCGGCCCTTTGTTCGGTGGGCGGTCGTTATCTTCCGCGGCAACGGCTCCGAAGACTAGGTGGGGTTGGACGTGAAAAAACGCATCTGTATGAGATCGTCGTCTTCAAAATAGATGGCTCTGCTTGAATGCTAACAATATGTACGGACGGTCGGCTTGTCGATGGAAGGGGGAGAGTCGGGGGAGCAGAATCTGATGAACTGATGGTGGGCGAGGCGAGACTGAAGCAGGCGGCACACGGCAAGTGCAGAAGTGGTCCGTGCTCGTCGTGCTGGCCTGGCCATGCCTCACTGGGGTCGGAACTCTATTGGGCAGGGCGAAATTGAGGGTGCAGACAGTGCGGCGGTGAGCTAGTACGGTACCAATAGTCGCTGTTAAAAGCTCCACACTTTGCACTGTGCGTCACACCCCTGGTTCCGCCTCGTGTACAGTGCACATCATGTTTTTCTAACAGGATGCATCGTCCATCCAGTGCTAGCGAAACCTCGTGGTTCTGCTCCGTGAGTTCTGGCAAGACTGGCTTTGCGTGGTCTCTGGCGCCATCACCGCTGAGGCCGGACTGAGACACTTTCGCCGTCACAAAACATCTGGGGAAGCATCGCATAGATCTCATTGAATAATACCATGAGGTTGCTCATTTATTAAGCATGGTGGTCTTGATGATGTGTGCACTATCATTGCAGCCTACCGCCTTATTAGCACGCTGTGGCGGTCTCACGCTCAGCAGCTGAACTTGGTTTCCGTTCTCCATGTCTTGACTCGCCCGTGTCTCCGACAGAAGACAAGGTCACATCCAGTCTTAAAGAGGGCGATTCAAATGAGCATCTAGCGACGCCCATTGCACACCAACTGGGCTCGCATTCTTCCCTTTGCTGTAATCGCATACTTCACATACCTTCCCTTTCCTGAATCGTACAATAGACTGAGCGTGGTGAGAGGACGTAAGCGGTGATTGAAGGAACGTTCTGCGACACGTTCGATCAGTGGGGTCGGCCGCCTCACGCACCCCAGATTGGCAAGGAACATCATTCTCATCACACTGGGAAGGATCCTCGGCAGCACCAGGCGCGTGTGACGGCTGGGGGCCGAAAAAACATGGGCTCTCCCTTCACGCCAGGTAGGTCTGGTCTGTAACTATCATCCCTTGCCTGGGCATGTGGAAATGTCCCAAGCTGGACTCACCTACGACTCAGAGCATGCAATATTACATGATTCCCATTAATCATGACTGATTTATCGATGAGTTCATCATCTGCAGACTGCCCCTCTCCGTGTCGGCGACGCCGTGCTGAACCCAGCGCGCAGCCACTGACAGTGGGACGCTCCTTGCGCCACACGCTGCCTCGCATTCCTCTTCAAAGCCTTGGCGGCCATGCATCGTCATCGCCAGCAATGCGGCTACAGCCTACCGCCGAAGAAACGTGTCGGTCCCGGTGTATAGAATGCGAGGAATCCATAGCTTATTCCATATCTTGAGCGCTGTGTATCCGTTATAGGGATAACGTTGCTGTCGGGGCATCCATTCCTATGTCTTCTGGACGTTCAATGTAAAGCTGTTTCAATCCTGAGCACACGTCCACACACAAAACTTCGCATCTGGCTGCCGATCAATTATTCAAAGGCTTCTCGGCAACAAGAGGGGAATTTATTCAATCAAAATATGCATGAAGCTTATGTCCGCCTAACTTACTTACGGGCTAATTTAAACTCTTGCAGTCGTAGAGTTTGTACCATGCATGAGCTAAACTCAATGCCCTGTGTGCAGGGTAACTCAATTTGCGCAGAGCGCCCAACGCAGGCACGGCCTTGTTGACCCTTGTCCGTGATCATTTGCGCACTGTCTTGGTTTGTAAACAAGACATCGACCGCTCGACCTAGGAAATTTCCTGTCACGATGCCAGCAGTAATATACCTAAGCCCTGCGAGCCCATCTTCAAAGTCTTTGATCTACTTCGTTACCGGTAATCCTGGCCTGATCAAATATTACGAGCCCTTCCTCACCTTGCTGTCCTCGCTCTGCAATGGCTCTCACGCAATATATGGGCGAGATTTACTCGGCTTCTCGCAAGAGGATACGACCCTTTACGACCTAGAAGGCCAGATCGAAGGCATCTACGCCGACATCCGCGCGCAGGTCAAGGCTGGCGGGTACGAGAATGTTCTTCTCATGGGCCATTCTGTCGGCACGTATATCGCTGTCGAAATCATGGCCCGCAGTCTGGCGCGAGCCGACCTAACAATACAGAACGCCATCTTGATCACGCCAACGTTGACATGGCTCGGCAAATCCTCCCGCGGAAAGCAACTTGATCGATTGACGACTTGGCCTGTTATCAGCAACAATGCATACCTCGTCGCCAAAGGATTCCTCTTCACCCTCCCCGACGTTTGCATAAGATGGGCGTTGGGTACAGTCATGGGATTCACACCCGCAGCAGCCGAAGTCACACGAACTTTCCTCCGATCGCCGCAAGGAGTACGTGAGGCGCTGCATCTCGGGGCATCCGAGATCCATACCATCAAAGAGGACGTCTGGGCCGATGAGGTCTTCCAAATAGCAGAGGCTGGGGGTGTCAAGAGGATATTCGCACTGTACGCTGAAGATGACCACTGGGTCGATGATGAAGTCAGGCAAGTGTTCGTGAAGCGCAGAGGGGACGACATGGAATGGATTTTGAAGAGCGTCAGACATGACTTCCCCACCACAGAAGGTAATCGTTACCGCCCATGCTGTGGCCTATTATACTGATGAGGACAGAATCTACGGTCAAGGTCGCCAGGATTGTTTCCGATTGGGTTTGGCAGACAAAGGGAGAGCAATCGCAGTAACGTCGAGTATGTGGGGGCTCACTCCGTGGGGAGCTGCTCTCCTCGACCCAATTTCATGAAAGGGCGTACGAATAACCTGTATCACTACACGAATGGCGCAGCACATAAGACGGAACGGAGCGCATGATACAAGGGACGAATCGCAGGGGACTGGCATCGCGATTCGGAGGAGTATCCTAGAACCTAGACTTCACAGGCATGGGCTTATGACGAAGAGGGTCGAAAAGAGGCCCTCATGTACGACATACCTAATAGACATTGACATGGGACCAGGCACATTCGCTACAGACCGTAGCTTCATCTCGTACTGTCTCCGGCTCCTGAACTATGTCCCCCCTGGACATGGCTGGCGAGAAGCACTACCACCCTTCGACTAGGAAAACGAGCTCGAGGACGCTTTCTCACGAGAAGGGCACGTCGCTTCCCAGAGAAGTTTCAGCATCGACTAGTCATCTGTGCACGTGTAGCGGGAACCTTGGCGTGTTCGACCGACGTTGCACATGACTTGACACTCCTCCCCTTTGCACGTCAATATCCTTACTGACTGACACAACCTAAGAAGACCTGAAACATCAAAGATAGCATTCATGTATTTCTTCGTATTTCTAATCCTGTTGGAAGCGGCAGCACGAGCGAACCTCTCCACGACAGTAGCCCTCACAACGACTATCTACGTAGACTGACTCTTTGACCCCCCCCTCAAACCCGACAGACGTCCCAGAAACATCCACATCCTCGGGAGAACACTGCTCGACCATCTCTTCATCCACAGTGTACTAATATGAAACAAAAAGCACTTTGACCCCTCCAAACATCAAGACAGAGTTCTCAACGTCGCCTTGCCACGTTTATTCGGATCTTCCATCCGTGGTCGAGACCACCTTGGTTTCCACCATTCCTCTCATCATCACGACCATCATCACCTCCGCGTACTCTACCGTCTATTGGGTTGATGCACCGACCATTGAAGCACAGCCCAGTGGGATCTTGGAGAGGCGAACGGTGGAGTAGGCTAAAGGTCAAGGTCAGATTCAGCGGCTTGAAAAAGGTCAGGCAAGCGAAGTGGTGGTCAGTCTGGGATTCCTTGCTGCGGCCGCGGCATTTTGTCTGTAAGGACACCAGCGTTTCCAAGAGGCGCCTTCTTGCATATGAGGACAGGGCTGTAGACTGGTTTGCATCAGAACCATGGCTGCAAATGGAACGCCTTCCGAACTATCAAAGAAATAGATAACGACACCGACAATGCACATGTTGTAAAGACAGCCTCGCCCCCTTGGGCTCACTCAATCGTATATCTTTTCTTCACTTCCACAAGCCCCACCTGGACCTTGGTCACGGCCGCCCAGGTGGGCATGAACTGTCGCAGTTCGTGCAACGCTGGAATAGTCGACGGCTGGTTGCCATCGCTCCACTTGCAGGTTACCGTGAGCTCAAGTCTGTCAGATCGCTTGCGTAGCTCATCAAGATCACCAAGGCTCGCAAAGCTCTGCATCTCTTCCACGGATGCGGCTTCTTGTGACTTTGTCTGCTTCTCAAGCTGTAACGTCACGTTCCACGCGCCATCCCATGTTCTCCGCCAGAGATCAACACCCATGAAACCCTCTTCAGGGACATGACCGAGTCGATTGTCATCCGAAGAGCCACCGGTCACGGAGAAACCGAAGATGGGCCGCGAGACGTCGATCACGCACATCCTCGATTCCAGCGCATCGATGCTGACAATGATAGATGAATTGTCCTTCGACTTGGGAATGTGGACGGAAATGAGCTCATCCACATCCTTACCCTCCACCAGCCTGGGTGGCAGGGCGGAGGCATCATACTCGCATTTGACCAAGCCGGCTCTCGCACCGGCTGTGCTGCACCCGACGTTCTGGTGGGCTGCTGAGGGAAGAGAGTCAATGATGGGCTTCACGAACTTCTCTAGGCCGGAAATGTGAGCCACATTGGTACCCTTGTCAAGGTCGATGACCTGCTCCCAGCCGAACTTGAAGCGGCTCTCGATAGAGAACGGAAAAGCCGTCAGGTTGTAGATGAGAGAGCCAATGAACACCAGTAGCAAGAACATGGGCACATGGTGGGTGACTCGGTGGATGAAAGGCGAAAGAGGAAGCAGCAGGAAGATGGTAAACACCGCGATCGTCAAGAGGGGCAGCATCAAGCTGCTACCGTCGGCGCCAGTCATACGCAGTGATGATGTCGAGAGCAGTGCTAGGTTCCCGAGAAGACTAACAGGCACGGGTGCCAGCAGAAACAGCTGGATGATCCACGTCCACTGCGGTAAATGCCCCGACCAGGACTGCTCGCGTTCGTAAGGCGCTTTGTACGGAATGGCTGAGCCAGACGCTGGCTGGGACTGAGATTGTCTGTACGTGCTCGCAAAGGTTGTCTGCTGACCTCTACCATTGCCGCCACCAACGAGAGGCGTCGTCTCACTGGGCTCTGCATCCCCTTCTTCAGGTTCATGCCGGTCGTTTTGGGGTCCAGCCTGGGTGCCCGGGCGGACCTCTTCGTGTTCTTCGGTCGTGGCGGCCTCCCCCGCTTGATTCGCATTGTGCAGCAATTCTGCAAAGTCGCGCTTTGCCGGGAGAGCAAACATCTCCAGCAGTGCAATCAACAACGCCGCAAAGATAGCTGATTGCTGAAAAGCTGTAGAGTAAAGTGAGCCAACCTTCCACCGATCCTCCGCCACCGTCGCAAGAACCTGTATGGCCCAGCCGATGATGAACAGCCAGATCAGAACGAAGCCGCGGTGCAGGGCACTGGGGCGCACGAAGCTGGATCCGCGCATGACCATCCACATGCTGAAGTAGAAGATGGACACGGTCATGGCCCACACCACATACGCGCTACTGTACACGATCAAGGGGTTGATCTTGGCGACCAGCAACACCGAAGCAATCGTCAGGGCTCCAGCGAATATCAGCGCCAAAGGAAACCGGGAGAACCCCTTCCACCCACCAAGGCGCACCGGATCGTCGTGCAGTTCCGAGTCAATTTTCACATCACGGGAGAAGAAGTAGTACTTGTCCTTGCGCTTCAGCAGGTAGGTGACGATCAGCAATACCAAAGGAGTCGCGACTAGTAACGTGATGGACCACGCAAAGAGTCCTCGAAGTGCCATGGTGACCCAAGCATCGCCGAACATGTCAAACCACACGCCTTGGGTTGGCTTGCCGTTTTGGACCTTCTGGCTGTCCCTATCGGAGCGTTCACCGCTGAAGACCGTGTTGGACTGGTGGGCAAGTTTCTCCGTCGAGGCCAAGGCCGCCGACAGCATGTGCCAAACGCTGTCGACAGAAGCATGCCGCGCGTCGTCTTGATCTGTATGATAGCGCGCTCGGGGTCCGTAGAAAGCAATGTCCATGCCACGTTGACCAAACGAATCATAAAAGACCTCATAGTCAGTTCCACTCTTGATGAGGCCGCGTCTGAACGCATCGGCAGCCACAACCGATCCAAACGGGTGGGGGCTGCCAGAGTATGCCTGGGCGACCTGGAGATCCGTCGCGCGGAAAAGAATCGCGCGACCGCCTGCACCCGCACCCTCTAGGTTGACAAAGGTGTGCACGAAGCCACGGAGAGGGCTCTGTCCGAACGCCGTAGCGCCCAGCAGTCCATCCTCTTCAGCGTCGTTGAACAGAAGCACGATACCATTCTTGGGCTGCCGTCCGCTTGATGTGAAGTAGGACAGAAGCTGCAGCATTGTCACACAGCCGATCCCGTCATCCGTAGCACCGAAACCGGTGGACACCGAATCGAAGTGGCAGTTGACGAGCACGCCACCCGGGTTTTGAGTGTCTCTGAAACTCGAGTCCGTTGTCCACCAGTCACCTTCGGCATCTTCAGTGCCGCGAATGTAAATGTAAAAGTTGCTGCCCTCAAAGTAGGTCCCATGCTGGGCTGAGTAGCGCCATTCCCCGTCGACGCGGGTGAAATTGGATATACGATCGTCGAAGAGGATCACCGCAGTGCTACTGTCCATTGTTAGCTGGATGTTGGGGAGTTCAGGATGGCTCATACCCATTGGCTGCAGTTCCCGAGCTCGGAAGCGACTCCCTCCTGTAGTGAACATCGTTCCGCTTCAGAATCGCCTTTGACCGGTCGATGATGTACTTGCGCACGCGGTCGTTATCGCGGCTGTTGTACGGATGGTAGTTCGTAGTAATGGTCTGCAAATCAAGCCAGGCTTCGGTCAAGTTCAGGCCCTGACGCAGCGAGCGGTCGTGTGGCGCTGGAGGGACTGACTCATGGACCCAGATGAGCGAAATGGCGATGGCTAGGTAGACGACTGTGGTCCAAAACGTCACCTGGCCTGGCCGAAACGCAAAAGGGTTCGACAGCTTCATGGCAGCAGTAGCCGACGTCCTCAGTGAACAAGATCTATGCTTGCATGCCTGGAAACCCGAGAGCTAAGGATACTGCGCTCTAGAGAGATATAGTTGTTGAAGCTTGCTCGAGGGAAGTTGGGGGCGAGGCTGGTGAATGTGGTAATGGCCGGACTCGGAATTCGAATCGGAGTTGGGGGAGGTTGGAGAAGACCGGTGCTATGAGCACACACGGAGCGCTATGACGATCAAGCGAAACCACAAATCATGCAGCTCTGAACTGTGATGGGCAGACAACTGATGCCACTACGTTTCGAAGTCGTCGGTGGGAGGAGCAACGTCAAGGGAAGATGGGGAGAAACAATGATGTTGGAGATCCGGCTCAAGACAGACGTCACATGGGGAAGTGGCGCCTCGCGTAGCTGCATGTTCCACATGCATTCAGCGGGCACATGATAGCGCGCAGCAGGTGCGGGGCATCGTCTGCACTCTACTCCGTACTTGGACAAGACAAGACATTACAGCACGCGAAGCAGCACCATGAATTAGCAACAATATTTGAATTAACCTAGGTTAGCAACGTCTCTTCAGACCGCTGCATTTTACAAGGCATCTGTTATTAAGGCAGTCTGGGTGTGGAGTGTCGATCGACCTAGGTTACATGGTTTTGTACCTGCTAGGAAGTGTCCTTCCTCTGTCCGATGTTAAAATTGCGCAATAGCAATGTCAGCAGCTCGTGAGAACAGTTAGAACCCAAAGAATATCGAGGTCAGTCGTAGCTGTGTCAATCTTAAGGCGGGACCTAGTAAGCTGGTGGCGGTGGAGGAGGCTGCTCGCCAGGAGGAGGCGGTGGTGGATGATCCCCAGGGGGAGGGGGAGGGGCCTCGCCACTGGGTGGCGGGGGAGGAGCCTGTCCAGAGTACTGCTGAATGAGCGCATTGATGCCGTTGCTGTCAAGACCAGGAGGTGCTGCAAGGCCTGGAGGTGCGCCCATACCGGGGGCGGCGGCAGCAGCAGCGCCGTAGTAGGCTGCGTAAGCATCGTATGCGCCCTGCCCAGTGCCGGGAGCTTGCTGTTGTTGCTGCCATGGCGCGGCGCCGCCGGCCTGTCCGTAGCCCTGCTGGTTATAGTAGTCATTGCTGCCACCGTAATTGTTGCTGCTGTTATCGTAGTTGTCACGACCACCGCGGTCACGGGCCCAAGGAGCAGCGCCGCCAGAAGGCTGACCGCCCGCATCGTCGCCACGAGAGCGCCATGGGGCGGCACCACCGGTAGGTCCACGCTGCCACGGTTTCGCGTTTTCGCCGCCGCCGCCGTTGTAAGCGCCAGGGCCGGCTTCGATCTGTGCGGGGGCAGGGCCGCCGCCGAGTTCCTGCATGAGTTGCTACGGGACTGTTAGTCTTGCCTCGAAGCCTGGGGGAGTGTGATACGTACCTCCATTTCACGGTCAACAGCATCGCCTCCGCCGACTCTACCAGCGGGACGAGGCCCATCGTTGCGCCAGTTGGCACCCCTCTGCCTGTCGGGACAATCGCGGGCAAAGTGACCAGCGTTTCCACAGACACGGCAGATGACGCTCGCAGTGAAGTTCTGGCGCTCAGGACAGTCGTACTTGCGGTGACCAATCTTACCACAGTTCTGGCAAGCCTGGTTCTCGTCGTCACGGAGGGTACCGTTGAGGGCGGCAAGCTCGCGCAACTGTTTGCGCTTGAGCTCGTTCTGCCCTTCTGGAATCGACGCAGCCTGGGAGATGTTAGCCTTGTTCAACACGCCAAGCACCAGTAAGACTTACGGTCTCAATGACATTGTGAATCAGCTGCTTCGCCTTGTTAATCTTGTCCTCCGTTTCGGCCATAACCAGACAGTGCAGGTCTTCTTCCTGATTAGAGGAGTGCGCTGCATCAGACCGGCCCTTTCCTTCCTTGACGGAGCCCTTGCCACGGATGGCAATCTTGGCGCCGGAATCGTTCTCCATCTTTTTCAGCGTGTTTCCACGAGGGCCAATAAGTAGACCAACTTGAAGGCGCTATGTGTTAGTATCAATTATTTATTTATTTTTTGTTAGAAGGGTTAGACGGTGGTTAGGAAATCTTTGCTCTCGCCCGAGGATTTCTTCTGCAAATCACGCTCGGCACACCACCAGAGAACTAGAACAGGGGAAGGGCAAGACAGGGTTAGAGTTGAGATGGTTAGGGTTAGCAATCATACTGAAGTTGATCTCCGGATAATCGTTGACCGGGACGTAGACCTTTTCCTGTGTCTTGGTGGGACGACGGTAGTCTTGAGGCGGATGGTAGTTGGGGATGGTTTTCATGGCGCGTTCGATGAGCTTGTGGCGTTCATCCTCGAGCTTTTTGCGGTAGCGGAACTCGCGGGTGTTGACACGACGACCATGGTTGTCGTACTGAGGAGGTGGCGAAGGAGACCTTGTACTGTTAGTGTGACGCTTCATAGCCTGATGGACCAACATACCTGTCACCATCTGCAGGCACGACGTCGTCGATGCGCAGCTTCTGGCTGATTTCCTCGATGCGCAGGTGCAGCGCGTAGGCGTCGAGCTGCTCAGCAGTCATGCTCCCCATGATCGCAGTCGTCAGACCCATGAGGCCGGCGGCCTTGTTCTCGGATTGGTCGCCCCATCTGTTGCGCTTCTTGCGGCGACGGGGGCCGTCAGCCTCGCCACGAGGTTCAGGGTCACGTCCGCGCTTCAGATCGCGGTCGGGCGTGCCGCTGCTGGCCATGTCATCGCCATCGTCGCCTCCAAAGCGGCGTCGGTTGCCGAGAGGGATGTTGTTCGAGCCGGTGATGCCTTGGCTGCGCCACGACATGATGTGTGATTGGATGTGGATGGTGTTGCTAGATGAGAAATCCAGCGCGAGTGGGATTTCGGGATGGCGATAAGGTAAGGTGTACGGATAGCTAGCGCAGGGTCCGCGGCCGAACCTTAGTCCGCTCCGCCCGAGAGGATCAGTCCGAGGCTAGAGCTCCACTTACCCGGGACCACAACCACGTGCGTCGACGAGAAAGCCTCAGTAGTTGTGATAGTAAATTCAGAGCTGCGAATCAGGAAAAAAATAACTTAAGTACTCTAGCTGCTCAATAGAGACGCGTACGAGTAGAATACGTCACACCGCATCGGATACCCCTAATCAAAAGGTTGAGGAAGACAAACGTTCGAGTTGCGCCATGCATACGCGTGAGTGCTCTCATTTCACAAGCTTTACCTTACAGTTTACACCACATTCTCGCGACAAACTACATTTTCGTCGGCAGTACGCATGTCGAGGTGTGTTGGGTGGCGCACTGGCGGAGGAGAGATTTTGCTGTTGTTGAATGTACACGTCAGGTACGTAGCTCACTCCATCGCTGTCATGAATATCCGATTAGGCCCTAACCCCTCTAACCAAGTACTGTGCTGTACCTGACAGATGTAAGATTCGCATCCGTTCATATTTCCATGACGAACATGGATCATCTCCCCATGAACCATAATGCAATCCTTACTTAGTGTCCGCCCCACATGGGTCAAGTTCGCGTTGGCTCTTCCTGTCGCACTTCCAACTATCTACTTGGCGTACCTCTCATGGCATATCTCGCGCCATACTTCATCGACAAAAGGCCGTCGCCTCCCCTCACGCACTCGCGACACGTCGGCGAACGCCCTGCCCTGGACGCCGGCCAGCTTACCTGAACGAGTGCGTGCGGAGGATGCGGGCTGGGTATTGGCATATGAGCGCGTCGTGTCCCTTCCTGTGCCTGTCTCTAGCCTGGCCATCCCGGCCACGATAGTTGCGGATGAGGAAGAGACTCCGTCGCCGTTGATGAGGGCGTACGCCGTGGGTGCTCAAGTCGCTTTCGGCTCGACGCCGCAGGCTTACTTGATGCGCAACGTCATAGACGAGCCCCGCCTCCGACGCACCTTTGACAAAGATTGGATACGCACTCTTGCTTTCCGCAATGGTGATATAGTCAACGGCGTCTACAAAGTGGCGTATCGCGGCAGGGGAAGCACCTCACGCTCTGAGCGAGTCGAGATAGTCATTGAGGCCCCTCTGTCGTTCAATGGATCTGTGCCCCACGGTTTGATCCTCGCCGAGGTACAAGTTGATGACAATGGTGATCATGTGTTGTTTGTGAACGAGACGTGGATGTGGAGACGGAATGACGAGAAATCAACACTCATTGAGGGTTCATTTGGCGGGTGGTTTCATTCACTGCTCGCTGGCTGGCTTGTCATGAAGGGTATCCGGAATGTCAAGGGCTGATATGGAAGGGCAGCCCTGTACTGCCTCCAGTCTGACGGGTTCACGTGTAGCATACTGCAAAGAAAGACCCAGTTAATCCTCTGTCCTCACGTGGATTCGAAGCTCTACTAACACGGTAGATCATACAGCATGGTCGTCTCGGTTTCGAGACCCCCGGATTCTGCCCTCTTGACAAAGTCTGGCCCCAGAACGCCTGGAGTCAGACTACCACCCTGGATAAAGGTGCCGCCACCGACGTGAGAGCTAATGGATCTGTCAGCCTATGTGTATGGAAGCAGCCGGTGACGGGACAATGGTAAGCTCACCGGAGTCGTTTACAAGGAGGGTCATTCTGCCCATTTGAGCCGCCCACGTATTAGAGATCATCCGATGCGCGTGAATGAGCCATGCGAATGATCGTGTCAGTTTTTGTGTCATGCGTACGTAAAGTTTGCCCTTGATAGCGTGTACCTATACCGACCCCGTTCTCTTCTGCCTGCTTGTGATACTTGTGAATCCAATTTTGGAGCAAGACTGGCACCGGGGCACTGTCAAGCTGCTGTTAGACGACTCTCATCAATCCATAGGACCAAGAGCAAGAAGGGCGACGAACCAGTCCACATAGTCTATGCCTTGCTGGGCACACGCCTGCACTACAGACTCTCCATCTTCGTAGTCGACCACGACGCTGATACATACTTCAGGCTTGGTAATCGCCGCGCGGAGGGTCGTGGGATCATTCGGGATAACGACATCTAATGTTGTTGGGCTCCAAGTTAGTATGCGTCCGATTTGACGGATGCTACCTCAGTTTAGGACTGGGATAGATGCTCACATGGCTGCAATATGTCCGGATAGGCCAATTTGAGCTTGGCCACGAACGTGGAAAGACGCTCCTACAAGCGCCCTGCGATCGTCACTCGAGGTTCGTGGGCAGTTTGGCTGCAATGTGCTCGCAGACCATTGGGCCCGTGAACCCCGCCGCTCCCAGCACGATGATACCATAGCGACAGGAGGCCTTGTATGATAAGGCGAGAGAGGTACGGTCACTACCATAAAAACCAAAACTGTCAAGTATCTTCCTATGCGTGACTGGCTTGTACACATTAGTCGACGGCAAGGTGATGGCGGACCTTTCGCGCAGTTGGCTGCCTTTGCTGGCGGAGTTTGTTCAATGTTGATCTCAGGGGTAGTTGGGGGAGGGGTTTCCATCATGTACCATGTTTATGCCCTGCAGCATTGTCGTCTCTCTCGTATTCATTAGCCACCCCTTTTTCGACCCCAGGCCCATCTAATACCTGTAGCGAAAGCCGACCGTCTTCCAGTCCGTCACGTCTTCGTAATCCTCTGGCCTTAGCTGCACCTCCTCGACCACCTGCTGGACGTTCCTCACATCTTCTCCGATAACTTTGCCGTCACCCACCGCCCCCGCCGCCCCCGCGCTACCAACAAAGCCCTCCACGGCCGCGCGCTTCTTGTTCAGCCAGATCAGGTAGCTGCGGAGTGTCAGGGCAATGACGATGACGAGTGCATAGCAGATCATAATGGTCCGAAAGGCCGTCTGGTAGGTGGGCGCCTCGTACTGGCGGAAGAGGTGCGGTCCGGCAATGTTGCCCGTGCAGTACATGATGAAGATCATGGCAGTCATGGTCATCTTCTTGGTGACGCCGCGGTAGTTGGCCTGCACGAGGGACATGTTGAGGGGCATGGCCGCGGGACCGGGGGCGAGGAGGAAGTAGGCGAAGAGCTGGACGCCGTGGGGGATGTGGTCTCTGTTGTAGATCATCGCGGCGCCCGTGACGCAGGGGAGCACAACGGCGATGATGAGCAGCGTGTTGGCCTTTCGGAAGCGTCCGGCGAGCCAGCCGGTGCCGGCGATGATGCTTGCCGCCAGGAGGGAGTAGGGGATGTTGATGAGGGTGCTCTGCAGCGAAGTGAATCCGAACGACTTGACGACAATATTGCTGAACGACTGCGACCCACCGTTGGGGATCTGCGAGAGCAACTCGATGCTGAGGATGAGGTAGGTCTTGGGGTCCATGAAACACTCCTTCACCTGCTTGAGCCTCCACTTGCTGTTCTCCGTGATGCCCGTGCCGGCGACGACGACGCGATCAGACGCGAACTGGCGCTCCTCCTCATTGAGGAAACGGGCCTTGGTGATGGAGTCGGGCAGCCAGATGAAGATGGGGATGGACCAGAGGAATGTGCCGACACCGAGGATGATGTACATCCACCGCCAGGGCCCGACATGGTCGTCAATGTGGCCCACGCCATAGGCCAACAGGCTGGAGAGCAGTCCACCCACCGAGTTGCCCGCGAACCAGATGCCCAGACGGAAGGGCATCTCGTCACGCGTGTACCAGGTCGACGTCAGGAACATGAAGGCTGGCGTGATGGTGGCCTCTGCGACACCGAGCATGAAGCGCACAGTCACGAGTCCCGCAAAGTTGGTGCAAGCCGCCGTCATGGCCACAGCCACACCCCAAAAGACCGTGTTGCCCGCGAGGTACTTGGCGGTAGGCAGACGAGCGATCAGGATCGTGGTGGGATACTCCCAGATGAGGTAGCCAAAGTAAAAGGCGCTTCCAAGCCAGCTATACTGCTGCCCTTGCAGGTTCTGCGACGGTCAGCATCAATTCGCCTGGTGCGGAGCCAACGAGTGTCTTCGACTTACATTGTCGTCGCGCAGGCCAAACACGGCAGCGCTGGACAGGATGACCTTGTCCATAAAGTTGAACATGTATGTGACGAACAGCAGTGGGATGATTGTGCGATCAATCTTCCTCAGCACACGCTTCGCCATGTCCGGTGTCGATGGCTCGACGACGGGCGAGGCCATCGGCTCCGTGGTGATGGGGCCATCATCGACGGTCGCTAGTTGACTGCCCATCTTGACGACGAAGTTCTTTGGTCCCGGATGTTTGAAGAGAAGCCCTTCTGAGTCGATGGAGGTTGCGAAAACCAGGTCCCTCAAGAGGGGACCATCATCTTAAATAGTCAACGATCACCACGCCGCATGCCCTCTCTCCAGCAGCCTTATCTGCTGCAGTTCTGCCCCATGTTGCCGACTTCGGCTGCAATGGCAATATCAGAGCCTCAGCGCCCGCACACCGACATACTGGGTCAAAGGAGCGGCGAACCATGTGCTGATGTGGATGTGAAGCGGAGGCATTGATACGAGAGTTGTGGAGAGATGGTGCGAGTTGCGATGACTGAGGACTGAGGTTGTCGTCAGTCGGCACAGTCCGCTTTTATTTGACACTGTACGATGCTCCAGGATTACCGCGGTTGAGACAGTGCGACGGATACTTGGTCTGGGGACGATTGCCGACGAGCCCACCTGACAGGACCCTTTGCATGTCGACAACCGGCTTTGCCAGTGCGCAATTGGCTGGATCTTGAAAACGCGTGTTGTGTTGCGATCCTTCAAGCCTTATCGACGCGGGCCTTGGCTATTTGCAAGTACGGATTGCGCCGGTCCGTGGTCTCAGTCAGGAGATGCTGACTGACTTCGTTTTGGCCAACGTCCATGTCGATGTCTTTCATGGGGTATACAGCCTTCGTGGAATTGCCAAAGCCAGAAGAAACGTCCTAGGCGAATATTCATAACTGGTACCCAAGATGGACGGCCTTGAGATCAGCCCCTTCATCCAGTCCCTCCCCAAGGTCGAGATCCATGTCCACATTGAGGGCACGCTTCGCCCCGCCATCCGATGGGCCCTCGCTCAACGTAACAAGATACCAGTTGTCACAAAGGGCGTCACATACCACACATATGAAGAGCTCCTCGAGTCCTACAAGGTCATATACAACCATCGCCCCGAGCAAGGTGGGAGGAAGGACGTGCCTACCTTCCTGGAGGCGTACTTTGCTGGGTGCGATGTATTGAGGACAGAGGACGACTTTTACGACATGTCCATGGACTACCTCAAGAGATGCTCCGAGATGAACGTCAGATGGGCGGAGCCATTCTTCGATATCCAAGCGCATACGAGACGGGGCATCCCCTTTGAGCACGTGCTGAACGGGTATCTTCGCGCCCAGCAAAATGGCGAGAAGGAGTACGGCGTCAAGAGCAAATGGATCTTCTGCCTTCTCAGAGACGAGCCAGTGGAGGAGGGTGCAAAGGCATATGACCAAGCACTCCCGTGGGCCGACACGCCAAACGGCAAAGGGCTGTTTCACGCCGTGGGACTGGCGAGCAATGCCTATAAGCGACCACCCGTGCTGTTCAAGCAATGCTTCGAGAGAGCCAAGCGTGATGGCTTGCACATCACGACACACTGTGACTTTGGACAAACAGACACCCACGAGCACATTCGCCAGGCCATCTTCGACATTGGTATCGAGAGGATCGACCACGGACTCGATGCGCTCGACGACGACAAGCTCATCCAGGGCCTGGTGGACAGCAATATTGGCCTAACTCTGTGCCCCCACGCGTACCACCGACGGACAAAGACAGAGGTGCTGTTCCCCAAGCTGCGCCAGCTGCTGGGAAAGGGCGTCATGTTCTGTATCAACAGCGACGACCCCGTTTACATGCACGACGTGTGGGTGGACGGCAACATGGAGAAGGCGTACCACTATGGGGATCTGACCAAGGGGGAAATGGTGGGACTGGTGCGCAATGCTGTGCACATGTGCTGGGCCGATCAAACAGTCAAGGACACGATACTGGAGGGGCTTCAGGATATTGGCACTGGCGAGGACCTTTAGCGAGGACAATATCTAGCCAGTCCGAACGAAGCCTATATGGGAATCAAACATGAAAACATGGCCATCAACACCGACGACACACTGCTCAACCGCCTCCCGTCACTCATTTCTTCTTCAACGGCTCGTCATGCATGTGCTTCCACTCCTCCACAAGCCCCCGAAAGTCCCTCGGCAGATACGGACTCGTCAGCTCGCGCCACCAGCTCCCCTTACGATGACTGTTCAATCCCAAGTCACGTAGCAGCATGTCAACATACGGCAGCCCCTCAAAGACAAAATCAGGTAGATTCGCGCCATAGCCACAGGGGAAGCGCCACTTGCCCCACTGTGTATGCAGCATGATCTCCTCCGTGATCTCCGCCTGCGTCGTGGGCGCCCGGTCCAGTTGGTTGGCGAGGTACGCCGCGATCCAGTGGCCCTGGATAGTGGCGCACGTCGACGTGCTGACGGTCGAGACGGCGCCCGAAAACGCAATGTTCCTCTTGAACACGTGGCCGGACGGTACCATGAAGCGGTAGTAGCGCAGTGGTTCGCCCGCCTTGGGGGTGAATTTGAGGGTGGGCTGGTCGGCGAGGCGGGGGAATTGGGTGAGGACGTCCTTGTCGGCCTTGTCGTTGAGGGCGCGGAGCTGGCCGGGCGTGCAGTCGAGTCCAAAGCTGTTGTCCTTGAGCCCCTGGAACTGGATGGTGGACTCCTTTTTCCAGCCCGTCGAGCAGACCATGGCGTCTGCCGCGAGGCGCGTGCCGTCGGCCAGAACGACCGTCTTGGGCTCGATATGGTCAATCTGGCCCACATGGACCTTGACCTGGCCCGACCGGACCAGATCCCAGAGCGAAGTGTTGTAGTTGTGGATGCTCAGCCCGCTGCCGATCCAAAAGGCCGAGTTCCAGGGCTTCAGCTTTTTCATCTCGGGGTGCTCGTCGTAGCCGACGGCGGTGGTGACATCGTCGCCCAGCGTCTTCCAGAAAAAATCGGTGATCCAGCGTCCGATCCTTGTGCCGTGCAGCAGCCTCCTTATACGGGGGAAGCCATCCTCGCCGCCCCAGGGGCAAGGTGCGAACCAGGTCATCCACCGGATCAGGAGCAGCTGGTCCAATCGCTTCTTGAAGGGTGTCACCTTTGGGGGTGTGATCCAGACGGGGCCGTGTCCGTTGTCGCGAACGACGAGATGCACTGTCGAACCGTCCATGGCCATGGCGTACGCGACGTCGTAGGCTGACTTGGCACCACCCACGACGACTGTGTTTTGGGCGCCCTTGAGCTCATCGGCTCGGGCGCAAAAGTCCTTTGCGTGGAACAGGGGCGCGTCAAACGTATCTGCGCCCTTGTACTCCGGCATGTTGGGCGTGCTGGTCAAGCCAGTGGCCAGGATGATCTTGGCAGCGCGGTACGTCTTTGTGCCCTTAGGGGCGGAGATGCTGATGCTCCAGGCCTCGTCGTCTGTCGGCTCCACGACATTGACCTTTGTATGGAACTGTACCTTGTCGAAGAGGTCAAACGCCTTGGCAAAGTCCGTGAGATATGTGTGCAGGACGGTGCCGGGGATGTGCTGGTCCTTGGCCACGCCATAGGCGTCCGTCATGGGGAAGTCTGGATACTCGTAGGTGCCGCGCATGTTGTTCGACTTGAGGCCTGGGTAGAGGCGGTTGGCCGACCAGGTACCGCCGCAGGACTCGGCCGACTCGAGTATGGCCATTGTCGAGGTGGGCATCATCTGGGAGGCAGCCTTGGCCGCCGCGAGGCCATACCAGCCTAAGAGGGTCAGCACTGATGTCCAGAAGAGAAGTTCAAGTCCAGAGGGAGTGCCATTGGAGCATTGGATTGCGCAGTGAGAGAGACGTACCAGCGCCAACGACGACAATGTCATATGAGCTGTCGAACTTGCTCATTGTGAGTGCTAGACTTGGTCGCTCTAGAGGAGATGTTGGTCAGCCCAGCGAGTTCGCGAGCAATATCACAGCTGACTTGTGAAGCAGCCAGCAGCAAGCCCGGGTCATATCTATCGAGCATCACACGATACGACCACAGCCGACACGAGTACCATCTGGAACCCCGCTCTGCGCACCGTATCTTGGGTAGGGGTCTTGCGTCTCCTCGCTTGTCTCTCTGTGGAGCGGAATTGACCCTGGACCGCGTCCTCCTCGAGAGGGGGGCTGACCCGCCAGCCGAGGCCAGGATAAGAGGCTGCCAGCCAGTGCCTTTACCGCTATGCGTGGCGTCGTTCATCACGGATACCCGCATCCCCAACTGGCGATAAGAAGGAAAAGGAGGAGGTCTGCGCTAGGCGAGAGGCTAGCTGCAAGATTGGCATCAGCTCTCGCGCGGATTGGACCCTGATGTCGGAATGCGCCTTCGGAAATGGGACCCACAGAGTCGGAAACGGGGCCCAGACCCCAGACTCTAACGCCAAGGGCCAAGTTGCAAATCTGGGGGCTGGTCAGGGTGGGTGGTCAGACTGTGGAGTCTGTCGACTGACATAGCCGAGAACTGAGGACTGAGGAGAGGGTCCAAGGCGGTTGCTGTAATGCTCCAAGCACGCCAGCTCCCAGTGTCAATCAGACGTGGTTTCCAGACGAGCCACATTGGGTCCTTGGTATGGTAATGTATTATCTTCTATATTCTTCTAGATGCGTGTAAGTGATTTCTAAAACAGCCGCCAGATGTAGCCAAGCTGCCAACGTAGGAGATGGCACCGACCCAGCCCAAGGACTAGCACCGCAGCCCTGATCCGCTGGCGGAAACAATCAATATGCTGAGTGTCCGAACCGTCATTACGACGCGGCGACCTGTGCCTTGACCCAAGCCTCAAGACCACCCGCCGCAATGATCGCCTGGACATTTGCCGGCAGCTGGCCCACCTTCTCCGTCCACGTCTCGCCGCCTTCTCCTTCGGACACCTCGACCACGCTACGCTTCACATCCCACGTCAGCGTCCACCCCGTGCGTCGGGTCGGGGATCGGTTCTCTTGCGCCCCCTCGCCAGCCGAGAAGCGGGCGCGCAGTCGTTCCACGAGGCGCGGCACTTCGAGGCCCATGAGGGCGTTGTTGATGCTGTTGCGCGCAAAGATGTTGCCAAAGCTCCCCGCCACCACGAGCGGGATCTGGCGCGCCAAAAGGGCCGTCGCGGCCTGCTCGCGCGAGGAGCCGCATCCAAAGTTGAAACCGGCCACGAGAATGTCGTTGGGCCGCGCGCTGGCGCCAAAGTCCGGATCGTAGTTCTCCATGCACGCCTCGGCCATGTCTGCCTGCGACACCTGGTCCAGGTACGTCATGCGGCCCGGGTAGATGGCGTCTGTGTCGAGGTTGTCAGCGTCGCAGAAGAGAATCTCGCCGCTGATACGTTCGGGGAAGCCAGGCAGGATCTCCAACGCGGCGTCGTCGGCCTTGGAGGGATCGGGGCCGGCGGATTCGATCCGGTCGATGAGAGACTCCAGCTGCTCCACCATGTTGCCGAGCTCATTCACAGGGTTGGGTAGCGCACCATTGCCGTAGCCGTGATCCACGCCCGACCAGCCCTCTGGCACCTGGTGGGCGCCAGGACCGGAGATGACACCACTGAGCGCACTGGCGGCGACAACCTCGGGACTGGCCAAGTAGGCGCGCGCGGAGCGTGCACCGAGACGTCCCTTGAAATTGCGGTTGCTCGCACTGATGCCGACCTCGTCTGGCTCGAGTAAGCCCTTGCCTAGGCCAATACACATGGCACAACCGGACGGAAGCGCCTCCGCACCCGCATCCAAGAGAACCTGCCAGTCGCCAGCGTCTTGGGCCGCCTCCTGCTCGGGCAGCGAGGCGGCGGCAATGTAGAGCTTGACGCCGTCGGCCACCTTGGGGATGACGCCGCCATTGGCCTCGGCAGCATCCTTGATAACTTGAGCGGCCGCTGCCAAATCCGACGCGCGGCTGTTGGTACAGCTGACAATGTACGCGCGGTTGATCTTGATGTTCTGGGGGGCCAGCTCGTTGAGCGGCGTGGCCACTTTGACCGAGTTGGGCCCTGAGACGTACGGCGAGAGGGTGGAGAGGTCAAGGTACAGCTGCTTGGCATACTGGGCGCCCTCGTCCGCGGTGAGGGGGTTGGCGAACAGCTCGTCCACCCTCTCGTGCGTGATGCGTTGGCGCGTCGTCCGGTCGTCGAGCATGGCGGCCTCGCTGGCCTTGCCGCGTAGCCAGCGTTCCAAGGCGCGGTCGATGGGGAACAAGCCCGTCAGGGCTCCCCACTCACAGCTCATGTTGGCAATGGTCATCCTGCTGTCCACCGATAGACTCGCCATCGTCTCCTCGGAGCCGGTGAACTCAATGGCGTGGTTGAGCACGTCGCTCTTGAAGAGGCCGCAGAGCGCAACGATGACGTCCTTGCCTGTCACACCCACCGGCAGCGTCCCCTTGAGCGTGACGCGCGCGATGGGCGGGATCTGCCACCACGTGCGACCGGTGGCCAAGATACTCGCGGCATCCGTGCGGACAATGGGCGTTCCGAGGCAACCCACAGCGCCGTAGTGTGTGCTGTGCGAGTCCGAGGCCACGGCCATGGTTCCAGGCCAGGCATATCCTTCCTCCACCATAATTTGATGACCAATACCTCGGCCCGCGGGATACCGATCGATGCCGTGCTCCTTGGCAAACTCTTCGATTTGCGCGTAGCGCCTCAGGTTGGCCTCGCTGGTGTCCTGTACGTTGTGGTCGATTGTGAAGACGATCTGGCCCGGGCGCTTCACCTGCGTAGCCCCCATGCTTTTGAACTTGGAAATGATGGCGTGCGAATTGTCGTGAGACATGGATCTCTCGGGTTCCAGGCTGATGTAGTCGCCGCTCCGGACGAGCTTGCCCTCGGGGAGGCCGACAGCATAGCGCTGCACGATCTTCTCCGTCAACGTCTGGGGCGGTTGCTTGCGAGAAGCTTCGAAAGAGGGTAGCCCTTCCGAGAACGACGGTGGATTGGGGATGGATGTGTTCGGCGCGCTGGTCGCGGAGCACCGGCGGAGGGTCGTCGAGAGCGATCGCAGCTGGTGAGGCATCTGGCGAGACATTTGGTTCGGCATCACTCGGCTAACAGACCGGGTCCATCCAGACCGACACTGGAAGAGTCAGATGAGATAAATTGGCAAAAGAAGTGTATCGCAGAGACTCACCGGTCTGCAAATCATGACATGCAACCCATTGGGCCGCGCGGCCACACTTTTGCGATACATGGTGATGTGGTATGTCGAACACGATAAAAGTTTCAAAAGTCGCAGATCTACAAGATGCGGGTTGGTGGGCCCATCATGACTGTTCGTGCCTGGGGCACGTGCTGGGGAACTGGGCACGTGATTACATTTTGTGCACCAATGCCACAGGCACCATTACCAACCCGCATGAACTACGACATCATGTCACCAAAAAAAATAAAAAAATAGGAGCTGTCCTGTGTACAAGTATTTGACACATTCAATTCAGTCCATCAGCCTCTGATGCCTCGTAGCTAATCAGCCCATCAATGGTGCCCGCGTGCAGGCCGCCGGTGATGGCAATGTCCGCGCTCGTCGTGTGCACGCTCGCGTCGCTGAGGAGGTAGACTGCGGCGCCAGTGAGGTCGTTCTGCGTGCTGAGCCGCTGGTTCGGGGGCGCCATCCACATCTGCTCGCCCTCGCGCTTGCTCTTGGTCTCGCGGACGTTGCGCGTCATGTCCGAGTCGACGAAGCCGGGCGAGATGCTGTTGACGCGGATGCCGTGCGGGGCGAGCTCGACGCCGAGTACCTTGTTGAGCATGGCGACGGCGCCCTTGGACGCGTTGTACGCGGCCATGCGGTACCCTGGCAGGGCGATGTGGGCGGACTGCGAGGCGATGAGGAGGATGCTGCCCTTCTTCTTGCTCTCGATGAGGTGTTTGGCCACGAGCTGGACGGTGAAAAAGGTGCCACGCACGTTGATGTCCTGGATGCGGTTGTACTCGTCCCAGGTCTGCTCGATAAAGGGCTTGTCAATGGCGATGCCTGCTGCCGGGACCACGCCGTCCACCGTCCCGAATTCCCGCATGGTCTTCTCGAACGCGTCCTGGATGCCCGCCTGCTTGGACACGTCGCTCTGGATGTAGACGGTCTTGGCGCCAAATTGAGAGGAGAGCGCGGCGTAGGCGTGCGGGTTGGCGGGGGACGGCTGGATGTCCCAGATGGCGACGTTGCCGCCCATCTCGCAGATGGCGTGGGCGATGGCGAATCCGATGCCCTGGGCGCCCCCGGTGACGATGAAGGTCTTGCCGGTGAGCTCAAAGGCAGAGCGCACCGAGGTGATGGGGTAGCTCATGGTGGTCTTGGCGTGAGCGGGCCTAATGTCAAGGTGAAGTCTGAACGATTGATGGACGAAGATTCCAACAAAGGTAGTAGAACAGCATCACCAAGCGAGCGCAGCTTCGAAAACAGCCATGACTCGATTCTTCAAGTCATGGAGGTGGTTCGGCTGCCCCTCTGGAGGTGGAAGCGGATCGGACGCCTGGCAGTGGAGCTGACGGTCGGAACAGGCTTCTGTCGGCTCCAGTCCAGGCGCTGCTCAGCGGGGTCGAGGGTCCTTTCCGACGCTGATAAGGGTCCAGACATCGCTGGGGCCCCTGTGACTCTAGCGGAAACCCCGCCGTGATCCGACGTCCAGGTGTCCGGTCCAGTCTAGTCGCTTCCAGTCTCCAACCATGAGGGGTGCCAGGCCATGATGATGATGATAATGGTCCACCGATGCCCTCTGACCAGTCTATTTGGCCGGCCAGCTGAACGAACATGCCCATGCTTTTTCAGCACTGACCTAGTTTTGAAACTACCCACTGCACATTGAAGTGCATCCCACGACCAGAGCACAATGTACGCAGACATCACGAAACCGCCGGCCCCTCTGCCCTCGCCCGCCCTGCAGAAGCTGGCGCACGGCATCGCACTGCTCCCTCCACTGTCGCGAAGGGGAACCGGGCCTGGGCTCATCCTGCTGACCACGCCAGAGGCGACAGACGAGGCCATCACAATCACAGACAAGTCGCCATCGCCGCTTGTGAAATGGGCGGAAGAGGGCTATGCTGTCGTCCAGATTCCGAGCTCGGTCCTCGATTCAGTGTCCGCTGAGGATGCGCTGAAGGAGGCCATCGAAGGGCTGAGTGCTTGTGCCAAATGCGAGCCCAAGGGAAAGATTGGACTCGTCGGTAGGTCAACTAGCTCAGAAGATGTATCATAGCTGATGTGAGTACACAAGCCTACTCGGCAAGGCTCTGGAAAAGCGTGAGCGGCATCTTAGACCCGTTCGCGTCGATCGTGGCCAACGTCGTCTACGTCGACGAAGCTGATGTCCAAGACCTCACTGCTTCGCCCAACCCAACACTCCGTCACATTGCTGGGCCGATCGCACCACCAGCTCCCAAGTCAGCCACGCTCGTGGAGTATCGGTATCCCTCCGTGCAGTCCTTCAACTTTGTCTCGCCCGACCATGCGCACTTTCACTACAACACCGACTCGGTTGCGCACACGCGGACGCTGCAGTTCCTCAAGCCCCGGATGGACGGGCCCTACTTTGACCTCGAGACCATCTGGGACGAGCACTGCTACTACGAGTTTGCGGACCGCAGCGTCGAGCACACCATGAGCACCATGGTCCAGGAGCCGTACGTGAACCACGTGCCCACGCTGACGGGCGGCATCGGCCGGGCGAAGCTGACGGATTTCTACCGTCACAACTTTATCTTCAACAACTCGGCCGACACGGACCTCGAGCTGACGAGTCGGACGGTGGGCATTGATCGCGTCATTGACGAGTTCATCTTCAAGTTCACGCACGACCGCGAGCTCGACTGGCTGTAAGTTCTTTGCGTGACAGTATACCGTATGCCAAACTCATGCATGCAGTCTGCCAGGCGTCCCCGCGACAAACATCAAGGTGCAGGTGCCCTTCACCGCCGTCGTGAACATCCGCGGCGACAGGCTCTACCATGAGCACATCTCGTGGGACCAGGGCACAGTACTTCGCCAGCTGGGGTTGATGCCAGAGTACCTGCCCTTCCCGTACAAAGTGGACGGCAAGGAGGGCGACTGGGAGTACAAGGTTCCGGTGGGGGGCGTCGAGGTGGCGGAGAAGATGAGGGACCGAAACTCGGTCCAGAGCAACGACATGTTTGGGTTCAAGATCCGGGGGCGGAGGGCAGACTAGGCACTAGGGCAGGCGTTATACCGATTTGGGGCACATAACCCGCCAAGGCGGCTCGATGATGCTGCTGTGCATCAATCGTCGCCGTCGTCCTCCAAATAGTTCACGGGCTCTACGGAGTAGAAAACAAGTATATAATCCTCCATCACCTGTCATTTCTTTCCTCTGCCGTTGAACGCAGCAGCACACACACGAACATGGCATCTTTCCGCTCCATGCTCGGCCTCGCGCCCTCCAAGGCGTCTACAGACGACAGCGTCCTCCTCATCATCGATGCGCAGAACGAGTACGCGTCCGGCAAGCTGGCCGTCCGCGACGTCGAAGCGTCGCGGGCCAAGATTGCCTCGCTGCTGGAGAAGTACCGCGCAGCCAATGCCCCCCTCGTCCACGTCGTCCACGGCACGCCCGAGGGGGCCCCCATCTTCACGCCGGGCACAGCGCTGGCCGACGAGTTCCAGGAGTTGACGCCGCGCAGTGGCGAGTCGGTTGTCACCAAGAACTTTCCTGGGTCCTTTACCCAGACGAACCTGCACGAGCTGCTCCAGAAGACGGGGCGGAACAAGGTTGTCGTGACGGGTTACATGGTGCGTGAATTGCTGCTACGTAGTCTACTACAGAGAGAGATGCTAACTCAACCCCCAATGCAGGCCCACGTGTGTGTCACCATGACCTCGCGCCAGGCCATGGAGAATGGGTACGACGTGGTGATCGCGGGTGATGCCGTTGGTGATCGCGACATCCCAGGCGTCAAGGGGGACGAGCTGACGAGGACGGTTCTCGCCGAGCTGGCGGATGCCATTGGGACCGTTGTGCAGAGCGACGAGATTGCGTAGTCGGGGTGATGTTCTTAGTAGAACGTATTAGCAAGTAGTTCCGTGGTAGGACTATGTACGTGACCCGAAGGTCGGAAGTCCATATCCCATGCAGTACGTAGCCGCCATCCACACACCATGAATGGAACCGCAATTCCGCTTCCGCATCTCCGTGGCTTGCGAAGCAATCGACTTTGGGGCTGGAACTCGGCACTTGATGATCCACGAATCGACCACGATGGTGGGGGCATGACCTCGGCGTGGGGCGATGAGCGCATTCGAACAGATTCGCGGGTCTTCGGATTATGAAGCCATCCCTCCCTCCTGACCACTTCGCGATCCCTTTATCTTGAGAAATTCCACTGCTCCACCAGACACGCCATCTAATTTTTTTTATTTTTTTTTTCCAATCCTGTTACCTCGTCAAGCAATTTGCAATTCAATCATGGCCTCCAACCAACCCGGTCGTTGCTGCGCCTTGGGCCACCTGCATGAGTGAGTACTGTCTTGTCTGGCTTCATCGCGCGCTCGGAAACTGTTCGCGGCTAGACGGAATTTTGGAACCGACACTGACACGCCCAACAGAGGCACGCCTTCAGGCGAGGACATCAAGATTGGCAAGATCGATGCCTACCTCGCCAAGCCCACCACCACCAACCACAACAACAAGACCCTCGTGGTCTACCTCCCCGACATCATCGGCATCTGGCAAAACTCCAAACTCATGGCCGACGCCTTTGCCGCCGAGGGCTTCCCCTGCGTCGTCGTCGACCTCTTCAACGGCGACCCAGCCCCCCTCAACCCGCCCGAGGGCTTCGACCTCATGGGCTGGCTGCAAAAGGGCAGCGACGGCAACAACCCGCACGGCGTCGAGCAGGTGGACGCCATCACCGTCGAGGTCCTCGGGTGGGCCAAGCAGCAGGGCTACGCCAAGATCGGCGCCGCCGGCTACTGCTTTGGTGCAAAGTATTGCGTCCGCCACTACAAGGACGGCATCGGCGCCACCTTTCTCGCCCATCCGTCCTTTGTCGACGAGGAGGAGCTCGAGGCCATCACGGGACCTCTGGCCATCGCCGCCGCCCAGACCGACCACATTTTCCCGGCTGAGAAACGCCACAGGAGCGAGGAGGTGCTGGCCAAGACGAGCGTGGACTGGCAGATCTACCTGCACTCCGGTGTCGAGCACGGCTTTGCTGTCCGGGGCGACATGACCAAGCCCCACGCCAAGCGCGCCAAGGAGCAGGCCTTTAAGCAGGCTGTCGAGTGGTTTGAGTCGCAGCTGTCGCTGGCATAGATGGTTCGGTAGAATGAATAAAAGATCTATGACTCTATGCCTTTCCGGTCTGCTATGACTGTCATTCCCACATTCACAGCAACATCTAGATCAAAGCCAGCACACAGTCGCGGATCAAGTCGATAAGAAGATGGCAACGTGAGTTCCCAATCTGATCGGCTCCAGTTCGACGCGCAGACGAGAGCGACATGATAGCGTCGTCAAGAGTACCATGTATAAGTAGACGAGAATCACTTGACGATTCGACGCAGGCTTGGCAACGGGCAAAGTCGACGGACAACTCTCTGCCGTTCTCAATGGCGTTGACACCAGCGGCGCCTTCTACGCGGCCCAGACACTTCGCCAGCTGGTCGACGATCACGGCGGTGTGCCGGGCATCCAAGCGCGTGACTGGCCACTTATGCCTGTCCATGGCTCTATCGAGGGCTTCTACGGCATCCCGTGGCCTCACGAGGCACGTCTCGATCAGCTCGTCTTCTACGACAAGCACAAGATGTGGCGTGAGCTATACGAGGGTGACGATCTCGACAAGCTCCAGCAGCTCGTCGACACGGCCAATGCCAACCATGTGGCGGTGGTGACCAGAGAAGATCACCGTGGCAGAAGGCTATAGCAACCATGCATCCTCGAGAAGCTGCTTGGCAGTTCTGCGCTCTTCCGGTAGCCACTTCAGCGTGGACCTCATGAACTGAATGAAAATGCCCTTGTCCTGCCCCGCGAGCCGCTTCTCGAGGCTCTCTAGGGACACGGAAGGCACGGTGGCGTCCTCATTCGCAATACAATTTCCTATGTGGCCGCGGGTCAGCTCTGAGGCCGCGTCCAGCGCAAGCGTCAGATACGGCGTTTACCTTTAGGGTCTTAACATTGCTCCGTCGTCTCACTGCGCTTGGCAAACTCGCGCGGGGGTGGCCCGGCCAGGGCGACTATGAGCGCCAGGTGCTTGAATGGGTCGTGGCCACGCTTGGCGTCAAAAATGTCTCCGAATAAATGCTGCCCCTCGAAAAGGTCCCATATCTGCCGTGGGTTGGCCTGTAGAGCCTGACCATGTTGGCTGAGAGCGGCGGGCGCTCACCAGACCTGCCAAGTTCCAGATGTCGACGGCACTTACCCATGGCATCTCAAAGATCACTTCCGGCGCCTTGTAGATATGTGGTTGAACAAACGGGCCGGTATCAAGTCTCATACCGATTCTTGCTTCCCCAAAGTCGCACAGGACTGGCAAGCCATAGCCCTTCCCGCCTTCAGGCGCCCTCAGGCGGCCGAAAGCGACGGCTCTTGTAGATCGTTCTCGACTCGTCGATCTTCGTACAGGGGCTAGTTTCCTCCTCCTTAGCTTTTTCAAAGTTGGCCAACATGGTGTCCTCATCAAGACTAAGCCTTAGATTGTCGGTTTTGAGATCTACTGATAGTTAATAGTGGTGCTCCATCGACGAGAAGACACGAGGCTACACATACCGGTGTGGGTAACTTTGACCTCGGTATGCAAGAAGTCTAAAGCAGAAAGGATCCGCCTCAGAGTCATCTTGAGGAGAGGTAGGTTGAACGGTTCGGGATTAAGTCTCATCATCTCAAGCACCGTCATGTGCATTGGTTGCTGCACTAGAAATTGGTGTCTGCCTGCGACGCGACACCGGGCGATTCAGACGTCGCCGATGTAAAGAGGGTAATATTGGTCGGGCTCGTAGTGAGGTAAAGTTTCCTCTTCAATGGGGTTTATTAGAGGCAACCCACCTTAGGGGATTACCGAAAAACGCCTTGAAGACAGTGGGCCTTGTCTCAGGGCATTCTTTGACGCCCTGAGGTGTGACGCCATTTTCTAGATTAATTATCACAGAGAGGTCACCTCGAGGAATGTGAATGTGGTTTAGGGTAGGTTTCTTTGCTGCTTTCAACGAATGATCTCGCAAGCTTATGTCCTGAATGCTGACAGCACAATCTTATCTGTCACCCCCCGCACCTCCACTCGCGCGAGTCAGTTAAGATCCCAATACCTAATAAGACAGGCAGCCGGGGCCAGCCCAGGTGCAAGCCAAGCCCGCGATAACGTGTTGAGATGGAACCCGCTGGCCGGGCCCAATGCTCAACGTAACTTGGCTCTGCGGTGCGACTTGCGTGACCGGAGACATTGAGACACTACTTACTCCAAATCTTCTTGTCACTTGTCACAACCCTCATCCTCCATCCCACGTCTGTTGGTCCCCATGTCGTGCCATTACTCCCTCCGTACTTGGCAGGACAGCCGCCAACCATGATGCAAGAAGCCCGAGTCACCAAGCCAACCAGCGCACAGCAGCCGTCTCGATCGGGAAGACGACGAGGACCCTATGCGCTGCGCGCCTGCGATGCGTGTCGAAGGCGCAAGGGGAAATGCGACGGGAACCAGCCTTGTGGACACTGCGCAGCACGGGGGCGGGCCTGCCATTTCAGCAGCGTCGCACAGGGCGAGGTCTTTGCGCTAGATGCCACATGCATTGATGGCATGGAACCGCAGAACGAAGCCGAACAAAGGGCGTCACTGTCGCCCATGAGAACGCGAGGGTTTGAGCCGTTCTCGAACCAGTGCGCACCGGTGCCAGGGCAAGATCCAGTGTCACTTTCCCAGGCCATGAGGCAGGTCGACCAGAGTGAGGGAGGGCAGGAGTCGTTGTTGAATCTGGTGGCGCAGCTGCAACGACAACTCGACAATCTGGCTTCCAGGGTCAACCTGCCCGCGCCAGCGCCGGCGACGGTCGTAGGCGGTCCTGCTCAACAACACCAAGACAATGTGCCATCTCCAACACGGCCAATATCCTTTCCTCAGCCGACTACGCGGCGACCCGGCAGCTCGGGCGCCGAGGCATCACCATCGTCTGCGCGCAACTTTTGCGGGCCTACAAGTCCAGACTACAGCCTGAACATGGCACAGATGAAGTTGAGGCAGAGAAGCCACTCGATCTCCATCCAGCCGCGGCCAACGCTGGCGAGCATGGACAGTGGAGCGACTCACGGCGGTGATGACGAGCACCCCGATGGCACGAGCCAGATATCAACAGAGTCGTGGCGGTCGCAGCGGACGGAGAATCTGAAGCTGCTATACTTTCGATCGATCCTGGGGCTGGAAGAAATCAAAAGACTGCTGCAAATATTCCAGGAGGTTGTCGGCGAGTTCCATCCCGTGGTCGACCTCGAGGACCTGACTGGACGGGCCCATTCTTGGTGCAGCGGCTCCGGCTTTGATTCGTCGAGGAATCATAATGCTGCAGAGGAGAACAATCTCCTGATTCTCAACCTCGCACTGGCCATCGCTCTGCGATCTGGGTCCACGAGCGCAACGTCTGACGCCGAGGTAGCCTTGCAATCGCGGTTCCAGGATGCCCTCAACGCCAAGCTCGCTGCCCCGGCGACGACCATCAAGGACGTGGTGATTGTATTGCTAGCGGTAAGACGTAGTTGTCAAGCAGTTCTATTACTCGCTGACCGGAAAAGGGCCTGTATGACTACTTCCAGGATGAGCCACGCTGTGCTTGGCGCATGTGTGGCACGGCAGGCCGGCTCTTGATGGAGCTCGGCTTCCACAACGGCGAGGTCTCCAAGCACATTCTCGTATCGGAGGCGCAGAAGCGGGAGGTGGCCGTGGTGACAGCCAGCGTCGTCATCCTGGACCGGCAGTGGAGTGCCGCGACGGGCTTGCCGCCCAACTTCCAGGACTCGTCCTTTGACACCGTCCCTCGGCATCTGGTAGGCCAGATGCGACCTTTCTTCCAGGTAACGATACTAACGGACTTGCAAGATCGACTCATCATATTTGAATGCCATGACAGCATTCCTTATCATTAGCGACAAGTTTGCCGACTCGATATCCAAGGCAGCAAAGGGGGACATTGACCAGAACAGCGATACCTACGAAATCATGAACTTTCAGCTCGAGCAGTGGCGGAGAAAGGCCATTGGGCAGCAGTCGCTGAGCCAGATCAGGATTCAGCTTACATCTCCATCGACGAGACCCCCTTCCTGGGTGGTCCTGCTGGCACTACGCGCCGAATCAGTGCGGACGTTGCTCCTCCGTCCATTCTTCTTCCCCAACACCCAAGAGGAGATTGGCGAGAGGAACGTCCGTCCGGCGCTGGACTTGGTCTCCAACGTTGTGCACATCTTGTACACGCTGGACACGGAGACGGATCTGTACCGCATGCAGCGGCCGTTCTACCAGCATGTCCTCGCTTCCACGTGCGCGTTGTTCTTCCTGCTGGTCACGTTCGTGGAAAGACAAAGCAGTCAATTCACGGAGAGCGTCAATGAGCATAGGAACTGCATCCAAGCGACCTTCCACATGGCCATGAAGTTGGCTATCAAGTATGGCCCGGTGTCCAGAGCATCTCGACGACTGGGCCGTCGACTCGTGGAGCTACGGGATACCTTAGATCAGCTGTGTGTCCTGGACGGCAGCAATCATCACTCAATGGCCTGGAACAGCCAGGCCACAGCCTCGTCCAGCTTCGATTATGGTCGAGGCACCGCGAGTCAGTCAATGATCCCCCGGGACTACTCCCGGCTTGCTGAGCCCCAGACTGCGATCCCAGGCTACACATCACATGTACTTGAAAGAGATGGGAGCTTCCAAACCGGCTGGGCAGAGTCCATCCTATTCGACTGGCCCATGGCGGAGCAGGAAGCAATGTTTGGTCTGAGGAAGAACCCCTGAATTCCACGCAACGAATCTACGAATACCCAACGGCCGCTTTCGGCCTGTCCTCTTCCACCTTCTTATTCCACTGGAACCCTTCCCACCTCTCAAAACCTTCCGTGAAAATGCCCATCTGGTCCAGCATCCTACCTGCCGTCTGGTCCACCATATCCTCCAACGTCTCGGGGCGGTTATAGAACGACGGCACAGGAGGGAAGATGCACGCCCCCGCCCGCCGCAAGAAGAGCATATTCTCCAGATGAATATCATTCAGCGGCGTCTCGCGCACAGCCATGACCAGCTTCCTGTTCTCCTTGAGACTGACGTCCGCCGCGCGGGAGATGAGGTCGTCGCAGAAGCCCGTCCGGACGGCGCTCAGCGTCTTCATGCTGCACGGTACAATCATCATGCCGTCGTGCTGAAAGGAGCCGCTGGCGATGGGCGCGCTGACGTCTTTGGCTGTGTAGCAGACGGAGGCCAAGGCGCGGACCTGGGCTTCCGTGAGGGATGTCTCGTACTTCATGGTCGCGAGCGCCCACTTGGAGATGACCAGGTGGCTTTCGACCTCGAGGGCGCGGAGGATCTGGAGGATCCGGATGGCGTAGAGGGTGCCTGTTGCGCCTGTGATGCCGACCACGATGCGCTTGGGGCGGTATGAGGATAGGATAGGCCGTGTATGGTGCGGGAGAGGTGATGCGCTGTATCGTCTTGAGGTTCTTTGATGGTTTCTGTAACGTGTCGGCGCTGACGGGGACACTGTTGGCCTTTGCAGCTGGTGTAGGGCAGGGCATGTCTGCCGACCCGGACGGACGGCAGTTCTTGTCAATCGAGCAGGACGCATTCTCGAGGTTTCCTTGCTTGGAGTGGCGGTTGTCTTTGGTCCGATGGAAGCTTAAGGTGATAGAAGGTTTTGGGTGACCAGCAGTGTTCCGCCGCAGCCAACGAAGCACCTGTTCACGCCCGAGACGGCCAAGCACTACAATCTTCACGTGGACTTCCTACCCACACTCAGACATCCGATACCTATGGCGTGCCACGAGTCGCACTGACACTACGGCATAGATCAATCAATACTCCCCTCCACCGCCCCACACTAGCAAGCCGAGTCGGCGTATGGCTAGCGCGGCCAAGATAAGACGTTCCGAACGATCGACACACCCAGCGGAATGGCGGCCAGGCGGACACGGCACATTCCGTCGATTTGTATCACAGCCCTTTGACTCTCATCCGACTCCGACTTAAACGTATCCGTAGCGGGTGGAGGACCGGCATCAGAATCGACATGCCAAGGGTCTGGTCCAGTCTTGAGTCCGGTCCCTACCGTTGCATGCCATCGTCCTGCCTTGACGATCACATCTCATCTTCACTGTCAGTATTTCTTATACTCTCTGGATAACTCTATCCTGTTTAACGACGCTAGATACAAGTAGGCCTCACTCGCAATCCAAATCAGTGGCAAAGACAGCTTGACATGCTGCTGTCCAAGAGCAGCCGCTTGGCGGGCCACCCACCAGCCAGCCAACTCCACCGCCATATTCGACACCAGAGCGCCCTCGTCACCAAACAAGAAACAATAGACGCCCAGCTCGACTTTCGCACCTTTATCGACGTGCTTCGCAAAGACGGCGACCTTGCCGAAATCACACGCGAGGTCGATCCCCACCTAGAGGTTGGCGCCATTGTTCGGCGCGTGAGCGAGACCAATGCAAAGGCGCCGCTGTTCCAGAAGGTTAAGGGCGCGAAAGATGGCCTTTTCAGAATCTTTGGCAACGCAGCGAGTTTGCGAAGCTCCGAGAGGGAGAGATACGGTCGCATAGCCAGGAACATTGGCCTCGAGCCCGGGGCGAGCTGGAAAGATATCCTCGTGCGGACGCAGGAAGCGAAGACGAGGGAGGCTATGAAACCCAACATTGTGGCCGACGGTCCCTGTAAGCAGAATAAGATGTTTGGCGAGGACATTGATCTGCACAAGCTACCGGCTCCCATGCTGCATGCCGACGACGGGGGGAAGTACCTGCAGACATATGGCGTGCATTTCCTGCGATCGCCGGACGGCACGTGGACCAACTGCTCGATCTTCCGAGGCATGATTCACGACTCGAGAAGACTGGTCTGTCTTGTCGGAACTGGTCAGCACAATGCGATTATTCGCGAGAAGTGGATACAGGCTGGCAAGACAGAGATGCCTTGGGCTCTGGCGTTGGGAGTGCCCCCCTCCTTGAACCTCGCGGCCGCTCTTCCTATACCAGAGGGGGTGACAGAAGCCGAGTACATTGGGGCTCAGGTTGGGAAGCCACTCGATATGGTCAAGTGTGAGCTGAGCGATCTGGAGGTGCCCGCCTCTAGTGAGATTGTTCTCGAGGGCACGGCCTCGTTGGTCGACAAGGCTTACGAGGGCCCCTTTGAGGACTTTTTAGGGCTGCACTTTGACAACGACATGCATATGCATCCGTTGTTCAGGGTGGACGCCATCACCTATCGCGACGATGCCATCCTACCAGTGTCTGTGCCAGGCAGAATCACCGATGAATCCGTTAGTGTCTTTGCGCGCGCGTTGAAGGGGCGGAAGCTGACAAGTGGCAGCACACAACATGCGCAATGGCCTCGGAAGAGCTCCTTACTTTTGTCAAAGCCAAAGGGTTCCCCATTCTGGACGCAAACGCCCCCCTCGAGATGATGGGGACCTGGTGCGCGCTCAAGGTGGACACAGCGGCCCTGACTGCGTCAAAGACAACCTCGAAAGAATTCTGCGAGGCTCTAGGACAGATTGTCTTCCGTAACAAGTCCAGCATGCTCACGAACCGCATCCTCCTCTTCGGCCCGGACGTCGATATCTACAGCCTGCGCGACATCCTCTGGGCGCTGGCGACGAGGTGTCGCCCAGCCCAGGATGAGTATGTCTTTGAGGATGTGCCCAGCTTCCCCTTGACGCCGTACATGTGCCACGGAGGCGGCAGTGTGAGGAACGGCGGCAAGGTGATCATGGACTGTCTGTTCCCGATGGAGTACAGAGGCGAGAAGACGTTCCACTCGGTGGACTTTGAGACGAGCTATCCCAGGGACGTCCAGGAGCGGGTGCTCCAGAATTGGGAGGGAGATGGCCTTGGGGTGTAGAGTTCTTCCAGTGAAAGGTTCCTGGCCACTGTTATCCCTGCTGATGCGAAATGCTGGTTTTTGAGGCATCATAACGCACACTGCTTTGAGAAGCACCCTCTAGATATAGAGTGAGCCAGTGTTCTCGCTACATTTCTTACTCGCCATGTTCACACATTGCTGAAGAATGGCATCTCCAATCCAAGACTCCAAAGTTCCAACTTCCCACCCCTGTCCACCCACCCACATGCATGCATGCATGCATGCATCATGCATGTGCGGAATTTCCGTACCACGACGGATCTGCAACCCAAGTTGACCGCTGATTCGCGGACTGCGCAACCTGCCCGTGACGGGAACGAGTTCTCCTTGCGTGGAGTGTTGCCTAGTGGACTCCCTTACGGTCTGTCTCATCGCCGCCAACCAGGTCAAGGCCGTCACGTCGGGCGGCTTGAAAGTCCAGACTAAGGAAGTCAACGTCAACAGCCATGCGCACGCATCTCCTACGAGCGGCCAGGCCTGGTGGTCGTCGGTCCATGTCAACAGTCCCTCTGATGATCAACAATAAGGACGTCATCACCACGACGACCGCGCCTACGATATCGCCCTTGACAAACAAGCCCGTCTGGTCATTCTCAAGCGCATCCGACGCGCATGTTGAGGAAGCTGTGCAATCATGCCAGGCCGCATTTCCAGCGTGGTCCAAGACCAAGGCGTCTCATCGTCGGGATCTACTTCTCTCCTGCGCTGACATTGTCGCCAGGAGGAAGACTGAGCTGGGCGGGTACATGCACCACGAGATTGGGGCCGACGAGGGGTACCAGGACTTTATCCTGGGATTGACCATTGACGGCTTCAGAGATACAGCTGGTCGCATCGCGGCCGCTGTCACGGGGACTGTCCCAGAGTCCAACCTGCCTGGTATGAGAGCCATGGTGCTCAAGCGGCCTTATGGCGTGAACGTAGGCATCGCGCCTTGGTATGTTGTCTACTTGTCTCAAAGTTTGCGCATCTTCTGAACGTGAGTAGGAACGCACCGTATCACCTCGGTCTGCGATCCGTCCTGTTTGCCATCGCAGCCGGAAACACAGCCATCCTCAAGGGGTCCGAGTTCACGCCTCGCTGCTACCACGCCATTGCCGACATCTTCCGCGAGGCCGGTCTGCCCGACGGCGTGCTCAATCTGATTCTCCACGCGCCCCAGGACGGGCCCAGGGTCATCGACAAGCTCGTCACGCATGAGCACGTCAAAAAGATCAACTTTACGGGGAGTACGCGCGTGGGCAGCATCATCGCCATGAAGGCGGGCGAGCACCTCAAGCCCGTGCTCATGGAGCTGGGCGGCAAGGCGAGCGCTGTTGTCCTGGAGGATGCCGACCTGGAGAAGGCGGCGCTGCAATGCGCACTAGGCGCGTTTCTGAATGTGAGTTTCCGTCGATGGTTCTTGTGGGGGTTTTCACTGACGTGGTGCAGGCTGGGCAGATTTGCATGTCCACTGAGCGTGTCCTTGTCCATGAGAGCATCGCAGCCGATTTTGAAAAGGTCCTTGCAGCTACCATCAAGAATGTCTTTGGAACCCCGGAAACGACGCCTGTGCTCGTCAGCGCATCGTCGGCCTATCGAAACCGCGATCTCGTGGGGGACGCAGTCTCCAAAGGCGCCAGACCGTTTGACATTCTTAGCGATGTTCCAGCCGGCCAAGTAGAGACACGCATGCAGCCCATCGTGCTGCAAGGTGTGCGGGAGGACATGGATCTTTACCAGACAGAGTCCTTTGGACCCAGCACATCGCTGTTCACCTTCAAGACGGATGCTGAGGCCATCTCGCTCGCGAACAACACCGCCTATGGTCTCTCGGCAGCCGTCTTCACCAAGGACCTGAACAGGGCGTTCAAGGTGGCGGAGGAGCTGGAGAGTGGCGCCGTGCACATCAACTCAATGACGGTGCACGACGAGTATACGCTGCCGCACGGGGGTGTGAAGAAGAGCGGATTCGGGCGGTTCAACGGGTCCCAGGGCATGGATGAGTTTCTGTACTATAAGACTGTGACGTGGCAGGAGTAGTTAGACATGTACGATGAAGAATGGCTTGATTGCAGCATGGATAAGCCATCATCTAGATGTGCATGAGTGGACCCTCGGATAATGTACAAGGCCTGCGCCAGTTCGCGCTCACGACCTCCAGCGGAACGAAGGGTGCTTCCAGTCCAGATCCTCCTGCTCCTCACGGGTCATGTCCCGAATCTTTTCAAGCTCCTCGGCCTCGCGCCTGTCGCGCGCCGCATTGTTCCTCTTCATCCAGAACAGCATGATGGTGGCAATGGTGAGTGTGCCCATCTGGACACCCAGGTTCAAGCCGTTGCCGATGGGGTAGTTGGGCGCGTCAAAGGGCAAGAAGGACCAGGTCGAGATGAGGCCGCCAATATTACCAAAGAGGACGTTGAGGCCAATGGCCGAGGTGCGCGCCGTGTCGGAGACGACGTTGGCCGAGACTTGGCTGTTGGTGAGGGCGCCCAGGTAAAAGGCCGAGGAGGTGATGAGGAACGTGGCGGCGTAGCGGGCGGTCTGGTTGGTGGTGGCGAGGAAGATGATGTACCCGGTGATACCCATGGGCGCGGTGACAATCATGAAGATCTGACGCCTGTCCCAACGCCAGCTGAGGAGGGGGATAATGAGCGTGACGATGGAGCCGACAATGTACGGTGGCACGGTGAAGAGCTGCTTCTGGATGACGGTCTTGTCCGCGTGAATGCTGCCGACAATGGTGGGCAGGAAGAAGCCGAGGCCCTGGACGGTGATGTTGCAGAAGAGGAAGATGACCGAAGTGCTGATGACCATGGGGTTGAACATGCCCAGGACGAGCTTCTTCTTGTCTAGCTTGTCGAGGACCTTTGTGGCGCCGAGACGTTCGCTACGCAGGCGCTCCTCGCACAGACGCTTCTCGTCGTCGGACAGCCAGCGCGCTGTCTCGGGGCGGTCGGTGAGCGTGAAGAAGCCGATGACGCCCAAGCCGATGGTCACGACGCCCTCAATGGCAAAAATCATCCGCCAGCCCTTGGCCGCGCCGAAGGAGTCGAGGTTGAGGATAGCACCCGCCAGCAGCGCGCCAAAGGCACCAGCCACGGGCCCCGTCACCAGATACAGACCCATGCGGAACGTCAGCTCGGAGCGACGGTACCACCTTGACAGATAGTAGGCCACACCAGGCATCATGCCCGCCTCGAACATGCCGAGCAGGAAGCGGACGCCCATCATCTGCTGAGTGGTTTGGACGAAGCCGCAGCCGACGGAGCAGATACCGAACATGACGGTGAGGAAGGGGATGAACCAGCCGGGGCCGACGATCTTGCAGACGACGTTGGAGGGCAGCTCAAAGATAATGTAGGAGACGTAGAACATGGAGAGGGTGGCGTTGTAGTCGAACCCCTTCATCCCCAGTTCGACATCCATGCCGGCGATGCGCGCGTTGCCTATGTGATACGGGTCAGTTTGAGGGGACAGGCTGTTGGATGGTTCGACTCACCAATGTTGGCACGGTCGATGAAGCAGAAGAGATACAGCAAGCATGTCGTGGGCATGATCATGAGGTCGATCTTGTTGCGCAGCTTGCGCTCGGCGAGGCGATCATACTCGTAGGCAGGGGCGCCATCTCTGCTGTCGTCAGTATTCGCAGCCTCGATCTTGTTCGACATGCTTGTGGTGGTGGCTGACTTTTCCGCAGTCTCTTGGACGAGGCTGCCGCCAGTTTCGGCCTTGGAGATGGATTCGTTGGCCATGGCGGCGGAGGGAGAGGGGATGTCGATCCTGCACGGAGATGGAACTGGGCTAGAGATGAGGTATAAATAAGGCTGATGGAGTGTGTCTGCTACAGATGGATGGGAGTTGAGGCGAGGGGCAACTGAAGCCAGCCACGAGTGAATGTGATCCCACGATGGCCAATTTGTACTTGGAAGGATGCCGCCACTTGTTGCTGCTGAGACTTGCCCAGAGGCCTGGGAACATAACCGTCAACTTCAAGTTGGCTTGCGGCTCTGCGTCTGGCGGCGAGATAAGGGGTTGCCTGGCTGTCAGGGTGTGTCAACCGAGGACCCGCTGTGGCTGCTGCTTACGACTTCAATAAGCATTAAGCTTGGATTCATCGGGGCATTCCACTCAGGATCCAGGATTCCAGGCGAGGTCCAAGGGTAATTAAGTCTGCCAAGAACCGGGGTGGGCGGTGGATTCGCGGGGGAGGATCCTATTCCTTGGAGTGTCCTTCGCGAAGCTACTACGTAGTCTGGTGACTCTTGCGTACTGGCCCATAGCCCTCTATTTCGTCTCACACAGTCTATCCAGAAAGTTGCCGCTTCTCTCGTCTGGCAGATTCTTTTTTTTTGGTTCAATTGACCATCGCGAGTATCAGCTTCAATTCTCTCCAACACACTTCATGACACTGCCGAGCACCTAAGCCAGACTACGTTGATAAGACCCCTGCCTTGCCCCACAATCGACTGATAGCAATCCGCCTGCTTGGCCTGCGCTACGGAAACCGATAAGCGACGCTATACTAGACCTGAAGGCTGGAGCCACAGAATTCACCCGGTAGCCTGGCGCAGACCCTGGACTATCCTTGTCCGCTGCGTCGGGTATGGGCGCCTCGTGAGCGGGTGCTGCACCAAGGTGTCTGGTACCAGATAGACGAGTCAACTGGTGGTGGCAAGTTGCAGGTGTTTGTGAACGCGTGAATCTATTCGAGTTAATCTCTATCGCATTTTCAGCAGCACCTTTGCTGTCCGCCAGTCGGGGTAGGTGCTTGCTTGAATCCTGCTTGGTCAGCAGCTCAACAGAGCAATAGCCAAAGGACGTTCTGGGGTACCCTGAACACGCCATGGGTCTAGCATATCGCGCATTGGGCTCACCTCTATCTTGGAACTCGATACGGCCGAGCCTACGTAATGAATTCGGATCTCCGCAGAGATAAACGGGTCTCCTAGGGTCTACTATGAAGTTTTGGCGTGCGACTTGACAGATGTGCCGACACAAACATACACTCAAGCTCCAAACACACAAAGATCGTACTCTGTAAATTGACAAAACAACAGGCCGCATGGGGCCACGGTTCATCCTATAAATTTCTTTCTAGATTAGTTTATCCAATGGACTTCCCCAGACGGCGCCACATTGATCTGCCATCTAGTCTAGGGTATGCGTCTACCTTCCTCACCTATCGCGCCGAGCGCCCAACGGCCCAAGACTCCAGCAAGTGCGAAGGGTCTCCAATTCTGGGGAATCCCTGAACTGCAATCCCCTGTTTCCGCTCAGCACATGCACATACATGCACACCAGCTGTTTTTGCGTGCGATTGTCGAGACTTGATCATTAGTATGAGACATTTTGACCGAGTCAGCCATCCCGCAAGTGACTCTAACTCGACGGCAACCTAGGCGCACTTGCTCCCGCAGTCAAGTCAACTCACAAGCACAACTGCCAGCCCGACCCAGCCCAGATAAGCCTGAGATGCCTCGCCCCAAAGTCCACCCCTCGCAGCGTCAACGCGCCTCGGAGGCCTGCAATGCCTGTCGCGAGGCAAAGAAGCGCTGCTCCGGCACGACACCCTGCACGCACTGTCTGCGTCGGGGCATGGGGTCGTCCTGCGTGCTCACCCACCGTCCGCGTGGTCATCGCTCGTCCATGCCGGAGCCGCGCTCCAATTCCATCGGCCACGGCAGCCGTGACCTCATATCGATACCGACAGCAGCAACTGGCGCGGTGCGACCCAATATTTCGGCGGAGAGGTCGTCCCTGCAGAGTCCCATGACCACACTGCTCGGTGGAGGAGAGGAGGGTGCGACGCCCGCGGCTGTGTTCGAGCCGATATCACCGTCCGACTCGCGAACAACGACGGACGTGGACGGCTCACTGGCGGGACAAAGTGCCTCTGGGTTGTCTCACGTCAGCGAGGGGCCACAGACGGGTCTAGAGGCGACCAAGCCCGCATCGCGCATGTTGCTCAACCTCAAGGGCGAGAGGGTGTACATTGGCGGCGGGGGCTCGCTCTCCTTCCTGCAGCTGGTGAGGGGGATTGTGTCGGATCAGATTGGCCCCTCGCAGTTCTCGAGGCAGGGGAACAGCGACACCATGCTGGAGAAGGAGAGCCCACAAGCGCACACGCGACAGCCGGGGATCAGTGACCTGAGCCCTGAAGCCAAGCTCATGTGCGCAGACTGTTTTTACGGCGTGGTGAGTCGAAAGCGACAAGGAGGAAGATGATTGTTGAGTCGTGGCTGACTGGATGCAGACGGGCGGCCTGATTGACGTTTTCCTCCCCAATGAGCTGGAGGCGATGCTCACTTCCACGACAGCGCTGCGACGACCGCAGCGCTCGATAGCGGACCTGGTCGTGGCTATTGGGTTACAGTGTGAAGCGTCGGGCGATACCCACGACCGGGAAATATCCTGCTTTCGGGAGTCACAGGTCCAAGTGTTCTCGGGGATGTTGGAGGACCCAGACATTGACATGGTCAGGACATTCCTGATCATGTCCTTCTACCTGTTGGGCGAGTGTCGTCGCAACACGGCGTTCCTGTATCTGGGCATCGCGACGAGGGCAGCCGTGGCACTAGGCCTTCACAGTCGAGAGACCTACACGGACATGAATGACCCGAAGCATCAGTTGAGGTAGGTGAAGCCTTACACCAGCCTGGAACAGGCGTCCCCGACTAACAAGACAGGCTCCGCGTGTGGATGAGTCTCCGTGTCCTCGACATTGTTGTCAACTCCATCCTGGGCCGGCCAGCGGCCACGGCGGGCGTCCACTCGGACCTACAATCCCTCATAGACAGCACGGTCGCATCATCCGACGACCGAGGCTTGATTTGTCTCGGGGCGTCCTACCGCATCGTGGCCTTGATTAACAACATTGTCGACACCATGTACGACAAGAAGGAGATTACCGTTCCCGCCGTCGAGGAGCATCTGCGGCAGCTGGGACAATGGAGCCAGGACCTGCCCGACTTTCTCCGGACAAGCCCGCAGCCAGACCAGGTGCAGGCGCCGGGCGTCAAGGACAAGGGGGCGATTGGTCGTGTGCATGTTTCGTGTCTGTACTACTTTGCCGTCACGATTGTCACGAGACCGATCCTCGTCGCCACGCTGGCGCAACAGCCCGCCAGTGGCCTTGTGCACACGCAGCTCGCGTCGGCGTGTCTCGACGCGGCCATGTTCACGATCCAGACGTGCTCCGGGGCACAGAAGCATAATCTACTGCTGGCGAATATGTGCATTCTCAAGTGCGTCACTGAAACTACAAAAACACGGTCTGTCATTATGCTGACACGGACAAACAGAGCCATCATCTTCCCCGCTGGCCTCGTCCTCGGGTTTGAGATCTTTGCAAAGGGGACGGTGGACTATGGCATCGAATCCGCCTTCCACAACGCGCGCGACATCCTCTCGTACCTGGGCCGGAAATCACCGCAGGCAGCGCTGTACCACGACATACTCACGTCTCTTGCGAATGCCATCACCGAGTACCGCCAGCGCGCGGTGGCAAAGGGGAGGAGCTCCTACGTGAGCAAGCTCTTCAACTTTGACCGCGCGCAGAGCAATGCCCCGATGGGTGGTGGAGAGGCCAGTACCACGTCGGTTCTGAGCGAGGGGCAGATGGATGGGATCATGGCCACGCTGTCGTTTGGGCAGAACACGCCCGTGGGCAATGGGGAGCCGGGCGACCTGTTTATGGACTGGGACAGTCTGGATATCTCGCAGTGGGATAGCTTTCCGTACTTGTCGTGACATGAAGGGAGGGGCCAAGGTAGTGCACCGCAGGCAGGCATTTTGTTGCAAACGCACTTACGAGATAATGAATCGGGTCACTGAAGGTGCCGCGTGATTGTTATGGTGGTTGTACCGCACGCGCACAGCCGGCGGATGCGTACAACAGGCCGCATGAACAGATGACATTCACCACTTCCCAAGGGCCAGGACGCGTGGACAATCAAGCGGACACGCACGGCACAATGACTCTGCCACTACCCGTCTATCCGACCATGCGCCCACCCGAGTGGGTGCCCCCTGATAAGACCGCGTCGGATAAAGCACACCCGTATCCGCTTATCATGGCGCACCCCAATTCCAGGCTGTCGATGCCGCGGGGGAGGGGATGGGCACACAAACAGAGAATGCAGGTCTCGGCTGGTCGCGGACAAGAAGTCGCATCTGCGAATCATTATAAAGTGTATTTGGAGTGGTGGTGTCGTCTCAGTCGTTATCAGTCATCTCACTCCAACCTTCATCTCCATACATCCTGCCGACCACGAGACTCTCCGCAGAAAGCAAAGAGAAAGGAAGCGACATGTCCCCCGCAAGCATAGCAGACATGGCCTCGTCCGGCTGGCGCCACCTCGACGTGGGCGTCATTGGGGGTGGCATTGGCGGCATGTCCGTGGCCATTGCCCTGCGCCGCGCAGGCCACACGGTGACCGTCTACGAGCGCTCCGACTTTGCGGGCGAGGTGGGCGCCTCCGTCTCATGCGCTGCCAACGGGACGCGCTGGCTGCACGAGTGGGACGTGGACATCGAAAAGGGCGACCCCGTCGTGCTCAAGTCCCTCATCAACAGGGACTGGTACACGGGCGAGCCGGTGAGCGTCTACAGCCTCGACGACTACGAGAAGAAGTGGGGATACGTGTACAACATGTTCCATCGCCAGTACATGCACGCCATGCTCAAGGACACGGCGCTGCAGGCGGAGGGCAAGGGGGAGCCTGCGGTGCTCAAGGTGAACCAAAAGTGCGACAAGATCGACCTCGACACCAACACCATCACATTCACAAACGGGTCCACCGCCCAGCACGACCTCATCGTGGGCGCCGACGGCATCGGGTCCGCCGTGCGTCGCGAGGTCGGCATCCACCCAGCCAAGCGCCCCTCGGACCAGTCCTGCCTGCACTGCAACGTCATGACCGAGGACGCCGTGCGGCTGGGCCTCGTCGACTACTCACAGAACGCGGCGCTCGAGTACTGGGGCGGCCAGGAGGGCAAGTGGGACAAGATTGTGCTGTCACCCTGCAACGGCGGCAAGCTGCTCAGCTACTACTGCTTCTTCCCGCGCGAGCAGGGCGACTACACGTCGCAGCAATGGGGCGCCGAGTCACTGCCGACCGAGGACCTGCTGCGTCCATACCCCAAGCTGGACGCGCAGGTGCTCCAGCACCTCGCGATCGGCAAGGAGATTCAGCCCTGGCGGCTGTGGGTGCACGACCCGTACCCGTACCTGCACAAGCAGAGGACGTGCCTCCTCGGCGACGCGGGCCACCCCATGATGCCCCATCAGAGCCAGGGCGCGTGCATGGCGATTGAGGACGCGGCGGCGCTGGGCATTTTGTTCTCAGAGGGGTACTTTAACGGCAGCGTGGAGGACGCGCTCGCGGTGTACACGCAGGTGCGTCTGCCGAGGGCGACCAAGGTGCAGAGCGCGGCGGCCAAGGCGGCGTACAACATCAACGAGCGGATTGGTGAGTACACTGTTGCATGCGAGGCAAGTAGAGGGATGCTAACAGGGACAGGCTTCTCGAACAACAAGGACATTCCCACGTACAAGGTCGAGGACCAGAAGAAGGTGCTCACGATTGAGGAGATGAACGCCTACGACATGTACAGGGACATTGAGGAGAAGATTGCGGCGCAGAGCGGGCAGAAGTACAGCGGCAAGTTCATCTGCGGTCTGCCAATGGGCCTCCAGCTGCCGAATGGTGTGGTCATTGGGGCGGAGCAGGACGAGCAGCCGAGATTGTAGGATTTGATGTCAGATTTAGCATAGCATTGATTTGGATGAACGTTACTTGACTATACTGTGCTGTTGATACTCGGTGCTGGACTTGTGAGAGGCCTCTATCGGCTGTGCATGGTTAACTTTTGGAGTGCTTGGCGAAGACATGAGAATAAGACCAAACACGATGAGAATGTAAAGGTCACTCTTAGCATAGCACAGCTTCTTGGAGAGAGTAGACCAAATCCACTGCAGTTCCCTGCCCATCACATCCACAACCACAACCGGAAGGAATCTTCAACAAACAGCTCGCTCAGCATTGGTAGGTAATCTACAAATACTCTCCTACAAGTTACGCCTCCATAGCCCCCAGCTTGATATCATACTCCAGATCCCACTCCGCCTTAGGGTCGCCCTTGCGCGGCTTAAACTCCACCGCCAGCTCCGGCTTGACGGCAAACACCGTGTCGTTCTCGAGGTACTTGCAGTCCCTGTCAAAGATCTGCGTCACCAGCTGCTTGTACCCGGGCACGCGCACGAGGAAGTGGATGTGCGCGGGGCGGTAAAAGTGGCGGTCCATGGCGCGCAGCATCTGCGCGGCCGGGCCATCGGGGGGCAGCTGTCACGCACCTGTCAGTTGCGACACGTAGCTTGTAACTAGCAGGGGATGGATGGAGAACTTACCGGGTACGCGGTCGGCCGGAGGCAGTACAGGGAGTATCGCCCCTCCTCGTCCGTGATGAACTTGCCGCGCAGGTTCAGGTCCTTCTGGTCCGGGTCCTGCTGCTCGTACAGGCCGTTGGTCGAGGCCTGCCAGACGTCAATCTCTGCGTTGGCGAGGGGCTTGCCCGTGGCGGCGTCCGTGACGCGGCCGTGCATATAGGCCATCTGCGCGTCCTTGGGGGTGTCAGAGGAGATGGTGGAGCCGTTCTTGAGGACGGGGTGGTCCTCGCGGTAAAAGGGGCCCAGGATGGCTGAGGCTGTGAGGTTGGAGGACGCCTTGGTGGCGGCTGTGTAGGTAATGTCGTCGACGAGTCTGCTCGTTAGCCTTGAACATTTCTAAAGGCGGAGAATACTCACGACTCCATCCCTAGAATGTCGCAGATGAGCTGCCCCTCGTTCCTCTTGTCGTTGCTCATCTGCCCGGCCCAGTTGATCATGTTGACGCCCGCCAGCCACTCGTCGCTCGTCAGCCGCACGTCGCGCGCAAAGTCGTGCAAGTGGCCAATGAGCGAGGTCATGATCTCGCGCAGCCGCGGGTCCGTGTTGGGGCCCATGGAGTTGATGACCTCCTTTGTGAACTCGGGGCCCAGCGTCGTGGCGGCGTCGGCGCCATTCTGTCCGTTGGTGGCCATGGTGCTTCTGCGTTGCCGAATGATATTTAAGAAAGAACGTCGGAGAATCAGGAGATGTAAATAAAGCGTCGGAGAGTGCGAGATTAGGTCAAAAGGAAGAAATCCTGCGCAAATGTCGTTATTAATAGCGTGAGAATGATAGGTGGTGGGCAGCTCAGCTCAAGAGGCCGGTGACACGACCCCAATATTCATGTTCAAGGGGGGAGGGACCCTTCCGTCGCAAACATCAGGCGGTGCAACAAGAACGCGGGGAACCCTTGGCAATCTGTCCCCATTGCTTCTAATGGTGTGCTGCGCGCGGGTCTGAGATGTAAGTCGTGGTGGTGAGGAAGAGGAGGAGGAGGGGGTGCATTAGCCGCCACGAGCCGGTCGCCTTCCGATACTTCCGCCCGGATAAGGAGCTTCCAGTCTCACATTGAGGTCGAGGATGTTGGCTTTTGTACGTACTGGGTCAAGTCTGGATCCTTTTAATCTAAGCTAGGATCGTGGTTCCGAGTCAGGAGTCAATGGGGATCATTAGGTTCTCTAACTAGATGCTTGCGCGCATGGTGGCCACCATCGCCACACATGCACGTGTAAGTTTACTGCACATGAGAAATATACAGCGTCTCAAAAGCACTTCTAGATTGCTTCCTTGTCCATTAAGCCTCCACTCTATAGTCCTTCTCCTCGCCAAAGTCCCAGCTGGCCGCATCCGTGCCATTCGGCCGACTCGCCCTCTGGAACCCAATGTCAAGCCCATCAATCTCGACCACGGGCTTCACAGCCGCCACCGGCTGCCCGTACGCCATCGAGTACCAGTGGTCTAGATACTGCGGATGATCAGCAAAGTCCGGAAACACCTTGCGCATCTGGCGCAGCGCCGTGCCAGAGATCTGGTCCACGCTGTGCGCATGCCGCAACGCGAGGAAATCCTCGCTCACTTGCGCGCGCAGCTCGCCCTGCACCGCCTCGGGCAGCTGGCCTACACGGAAGAGCAGCATGTCGTACTGTAGGAGGGATGTCTTGCCGTGCCAGGAGCCGCCCTTTGTCGTGCGGTGGTACAGTCCGATCAGCGCTGCGATGGCGCCCATGCAACCCGTGCCATAGTCGGAGATGGGGAATGGGGGCACGACGGGCTCGTTCAGGCCCATGAACTTGCCCTGCTCCCAGGCGATGCCAGAGACCTATCCTGGTTTAGCATGTCTGTCTTTCTCGGCGAGAGATGGTAAGAGAGAGAGGAACTCACGCAGTCGGCAATCTGCTGCCAGCCAGGGCGATGCGCCCACTCGCCCACGTATCCAAAGCAGTTCTCGTTGACATAAACCACGCCCTTCCCTCTCTTCCTTGCGAGCTCGCTCATGTACCTCTCCCCATAGCCCATCTTGGCAAATGCACCGGGGCGGTAGCCATCCACCACGACATCGACATCCTCCAGTAGCGTCTCGAACTGTGCCCGTCCTTCGGCTGTCTTGAGGTCCAGATCGGCGGCGTGCTTGCCCATGTTGCCGTCCACCTGGAAGAAGGGCACGTCCGAGAGATGCGGCGAGGTCAGTTTGAGGACTGTTGCGCCGTACTCGCCCAGGATGCGTGTGATGACGGGACCCGCGATGATGCGGCAGAGTTCGAGGACCTTGATGCCGGAGAGGGGACGGTGGTTGTCGGTGGTGGAGGGGAGGGGCGTGGGTGGCGTTTCTGTTTCAAGACCTTCCACCGTCCACGGGGTTGTCTTTGAAATCGCTTGGCCCTGGGTGGTCAGTGTATGATGGCAATGACAGTCAAAGAGGGGGGCCACATACATGGGGCGTCTGTAGAAACTCCTCGTGCTTGAACGCCTTGACACCGGCTTGTCTGTTCCTGGCATTCATCTCTTCAAGTTCCGCCACGGTGAACTTCTGCACCGCAGGCTCAATGGTCGCGACAATTTTGTCGATCGTGTCTAGATCGGGGCGGTGCGTCTCGAGGCCAAGCATCTTGAGGGTCGTGGACGCCTCGAGCGAGCCGTGGATATGGTAGTACTCGCCGGGCTCCTTGGTCTCGTAGAGGTTCGCAGACATGCGTCTGTAGCTATTTGACTGTGCCGCCAGAAGGTCCGTGTCTTTCAATCTCACTTAGCCGAACCATTGCTGTACAGAATGACGCAGAAACGCACCCTTGAGGAACTTCCGCACGTCCTTGTCCAGCTTGCCCAGTCCGCCTACTCGTGCCAGATAGGCCTGGAACAGGAACGCTGTCGTCTTCTCCTGGTCCACCGTCATCTCCCTACCCTCGTGCCCATCTTTCGACTCAGCGAGAAGGGCGGCGACGCTGCCCTCGATCGCTTTGAGCGCAGCTGTCGTCTCGGTCTCTTTGAAGGGAATGGGGAAGTAGGGCTTATCCCGAGTGCCGGTCAACTTGACGTCTTCAGATCTCTTCTTGACCTCAACTGGCAACGACACATTGTCGTCAAATATGCTCCCCAGGATCTGCTGGATGTTGGACGTCTCCGCTATAGAGCTGTACCCTGTGCCGTTGACTGTCATGGTAGGCTCTGCTGCTGTCTGTTGAGACCACGAGGCGGTGGTTCGGCAAAAGTGAGCCAGTGTAAATAGAAGAATCAAAATACGCTGCCAGAGTATGATACAGGATCCGAATCGGACCTCTCCAAATTCTACCCATGCCTAATCCCTACAATACCCGCGGAAAACCAGGTGCGGGTGCGCAACATGCAAGCGACGGCGCCGCCCGGCCCCACCACGTCCGCACCCGCTCAGAGTGGCACGGAGGCGTCGGGACTCGGAGGGACTCGCAGTTGCCGCGGGGTTGGACCGCTCGGCCTTGCATAATACTGTCGATGCTCGTGATGACGACGGTTTCCTTTGATGACTAGATATCAAGCGCTGCAAAATCGCCAAGATGCCCGTCTCCCAGATCCAGGGGCAGAAAGTGTACTATCAGCACTCGTCGCCCACAGATACAAATGGAACCACCATTGTCCTGATCCATGGCTTGGGGTCGTCACACGCCTTCTATGAGCCAATCGTTCCTGAACTCATGAAGCATGGCTACGCATGCCTCGCCATTGATACTCCAGGTGGGAAAAATTCAATGTGTAGGCTCTACGCCCCATCTGACTATCTACAGGGAGTGGTTCCTCGCAACCAGCGAGCAAAGACCGAACCCCCAAGGAGATTGCGAGTGTCATCAGCGACCTCCTGAACACCTTGTCTATCAACATGTCCAAAAGCATCGTAGTCGGCCACTCCATGGGCGGCATGATCGCCTCTGAACTGGCAGTGCAGGGTGTTCTCGGCAGCGTCCTGATCGGACCCGTGCATCCTTCACCGAAACTGGCCACCGTCTTCAATCAGCGTATCGAGACTGTTCAGAAGAGTACGTATGTTCATACAGCTTCCAGGGGCGGGTCTAATTGAGTCTTGAATAGACGGCCTGGAGGCTCTGGCAGACACGGTACCCAAGGCTGCGACTGGATCGCTGTCCACGCCGACGCACCATGCCTTTATCCGCGCCCTGATCCTTTCGCAAACGACCGAGAACTACGCCTCCCTCTGTCGGACGATTGCGACAGCCTCCGTGCCCGAGTACAGCAAGATCAACTCACCCGTGCTGGTCATTGCTGGGGGCGACGACAAGACGAGCCCTCTGGAGGGATGTCAGACCATCATCAACAGGCATGTCCCTCTCCTCTCGCCATCGTACCATGTCACTAAGTCAAGGCAGCTGGGGTGCAGGCGCAGGAAAGAAGCTCGAGGTAGTGCAGGGCGTCGGTCATTGGCATGTCATCGAGGCACCAGAGCAAATCGGTCACCTCATCGTCGACTTTGCCCATTCTCTCTAGAATCTACTTCCTGTATGCATTCAAGGCACCCGTGTCGAGATATACCTGGTAGAACTTGAATCGCCACTTGCCATCATCGCTGATCCTCTCTATCTCCGCCCGACCCGCCCAGTCCAGAGCGGCCTTGTCGCCCGACTTGAGCTCAAACGCCACTGTCCCGTAAAGAAGGAACTCGCTGTCGTTGAGCGGTGCGATCTTGGGGATAGTATGCTTGCGAGACGTCACATTGGCCCACATGCCGAGTCTCATCTGCTTGATCTCTGTAGCTGCCTGTCAGCATAGGTTAGTTGGTGTAGGGTCAGCTGGCACGTACGCTCATGGCCGGTGGACTTGTTCGAGGCAAGGACAAAGGTCGCGTCAGGCGCGAACTGGTCCACGTACTTGTCGTGGTCGCCGGGCGTGTCTGAGATGGCGTAGAAGTTCTCGAAAAAGGACTTGATCTCGGGGTCGACGTGGACGCCGGAAGGGTATTCGGACTTGTACGACATGGTTGATGCTCGTCCTTGCGGATGTTAAACTGGAGTGGCCCAAGGATGAACTTGTCAGGTATGGAAATGTGTATGTGAGATGCAATCCACAGAGTCGCGCGATGGCTGGCTGACCTTGGACGTTCGGGTTGCGGGGAGAATCGGAGTCAAAGGTGTGGGCTTGCTTGACGGTCTACGCCCAAGGCCTCCCAGCGAAATTGAACATGGAGCATCCAGTCCAGACTCCAGATTCCAAACCGAGCTTCAACGCCACAGCAGCGAGATCGGTCTGGCAGTATAAAACGCACTATCTCGCCGGCACATCTGATTGATTGTCTTATCCATGCTAGGCGGTTTGCGACGGACAAGGCATCGGGAGGGTGCGCACTCGCCGACATTGCGGGGAAGAGGGGATGCTTCATGCAAGACTGTCAGTGACAGTGTCCGCCAAAACATTCTTACCGTCCATCTACCCTGATATACCGCAGAAGCACAGTATCCGCCAGAGGCCGCCCCCGCAACCCCACTACGCCATTGATGCGACGGTCGACCGCCCAAGCCATTGATCCATCCATCCACCCATCCGCCCATCCTCGAGGGTCTCAAGCGCGACGCGAGGCGAGGGAATGCCCAGTCAGCCAGCCAGCCAGCCATGGCAAACAGCGGGAGTGAACCAATGGATCAATCTCCCCTTATAAACGCGCGTGCTCCAACGTGACCTCATACTCTCCCTTATCCATTTCCCCTATACCCGTTCGCTCTCAGAAAGACACAGTCACAATGCTTGGAAAGGTCGCCTTTGAGGAAGCCTTCATCCTGCCCAGCTTCGCGGAGAAGCAGCGCTGGTGGGCTGGGCTGTTCGCCATTGATAAGGACAGGCACGTTGACGAGATCCTGGACATTACAAAGACCCGCATCGAGTACATGGACAAGCATGGCGTCGGATACACCATCCTGTCTTACACAGCGCCTGGCGTCCAAGACATCTGGGACCCCAAGGAGGCCGGCAGCCACGCGGTCGAGATCAACGACTACATTGCAGACGCCATCAAGGACCACCCCACGCGCCTGGGTGCCTTTGCGTGAGTTTTTTGTCTTTTGATGAGATAGTGGTTGAGCACAGCTAACGCCAGAAGCACCCTCTCCATGCACGACCCCAAAGAGGCTGCCGAGGAGCTCCGCCGCTGCGTGACAAAGTACGGCTTCAAGGGCGCACTGGTCAACGACACGCAGCGCGCCGGTCCGGACGGCGACGACATGATCTTCTACGACGGGCCCGAGTGGGACGTCTTCTGGTCGACCGTGACCGAACTCGACGTGCCCTTTTACTTGCACCCCCGCAACCCCACGGGTACCATCCACGAAAAGCTCTGGGCCAAGCGCAAGTGGCTCATTGGCCCCCCGCTCAGCTTCGCCCAGGGCGTGAGCCTGCACGCGCTCGGCATGGTGACCAACGGCGTGTTCGACCGGCACCCCAAGCTCCAGATCATCCTCGGCCACCTGGGCGAGCACATTCCCTTTGACATGTGGCGCATCAACCACTGGTTCGAGGACATCAAGAAGCCGCTCGGCCTCGACTGCAAGCTCACGATCCGCCAGTACTTTGAGCGCAACCTGTGGATCACCACGAGCGGCCACTTTTCGACCACCACGCTGCAGTTCTGCATGCAGGAGGTCGGCGCCGACCGCATACTCTTCTCGATTGACTATCCGTTTGAGAACTTTGCCGACGCGTGCGACTGGTGGGATGAGATGCACATGAACGGGAGCGACAAGAAGAAGATGGGCAGGGACAATGCAAAGGCCCTGTTCAAGCTGGGCGAATTTAAGGACAGCGAGGCGCCGCTATAGGGGCACAGGGGTTTACGTTGTATATACATGGAATAAATAAAGAGCGTTAAATATGCTTGGTCTGTGAAGGGTGTCAGTGTCGAATACTGAGAGTCCCATGGTACGCGAGTGACGACACGGGCGACACCTCAAGATCACACGCCATTTGAACGAATCACTGGCGGATTCTATGTGCACTCATATCACTTGAGTACATGTAACATGGCTATCTCTGAACTTCTCAGTGTGAAGGAGGAGGAAGATGCAAAGAGCTTGGATGGAGTTTTTGTATATATACCAACAAAAAGATGCCTTACTAATACAGGCATGGTGCCAGAGTGGTTAATGGGTATGACTCGAACTCTTGAGGAATCATATGGCTTCGGCCGCAGCGGTTCAAATCCGCTCCATGTCGTTCATTTTTAGGTTTTCGTACCACTTCTTGCGGTTACTTTTTACTTTTTACTTTTCACACAGCATCCGATTACCTGTCAGAGTGGCACGGTGGTTGGCTAGTTGGGTTCTTTTGAGCGACCTGCTGCTGGGTGTCCCATGGTCAAGTTAGCAGTGAACTTTCTGTCTAGTGGATATTGGTGGTCATATGTGCACATATCATCAACCCAGTACGGAGGACAAAAAGTAAAAATAAGTCGCAATATCTCGTCCAAGATGAATTGGAAGCACCCGGTTGAGAAGCACAATTCCGTGTATCAACTGTCATTTCTGTATTACACTCCTGGCTACAAGATTGACCAAAGGACCAATCTTGAGCTATTTCCTGCATATCCATCATAAACACCATTACAAAGACGTCTTGCCCCAGATCCCATCCAAGAGGACCATCTCATACACTCATGTGCACACTGTGCAATACTATCCAGGTCATAAATGACTTAGAGGGCAAAGGCAGCGACGGCGAGGACGAGACCGCCAATGGGGGCCAGAGCACCGGCAGCGTTGGGGGGCTGCTCGGGGGTCTCGGGCTCCTCAGGGACGGAGCCGCTGGGCGTGGGCATGGGGGTGGGGGTGGCCTCGCCGCAGTTGTACTCGCAGACGGTGGAGGTGAAAGTCGTCTGGATGGTGGTCTCGATGACGGTCTCGCTGGGCTCCATGGTGGGCTCCATGGTAGGCTCCACGACAGTAGGCTCCACGACGGTGGTGGTCTCCATGGGGGGCTCCTCAGCAGAGGTGGTCTCCTCGCTGTCGCCGTCCTCGCTGTCGTCACCACCCTGGGCGGCGCAGAGAGCCTCAACGGCGGGGAGGACCTCGTCTAGGTGGATGGTCAGATCATGTTGTCCAGTGACAAGAAGGGAGAAAACTCACTCAGGGCGACGGTGGCGCCGCACTCCTCGATGACGCAGGCGGTGGCAACGCCCTGGACGGCCTCAAAGTTCTCGCAGACACAGGCGTAGTCGGTGGTGTCGCAGTCGGTCTCGCTGGCGATGGCTTCGTCCAGGCAGGGGACGGCGCACGAGGGCACATCGTCAATGGTCTGGGCCTTGACGACGGCGGCGAGGATGGCGGCAGCGACAGCGTACTTCATGTTGGCGGTTTGTGGGGGAGTATTAGAGATACTGGTGTGTATAGAACAGGTTGATAGTTGTACAAGAACGAGTGGACTAGATTGTTGACCAAGCGAGTGGATGAGGAGAGAGAGGAAGAACAGCTGGTCCAAGACGTAGGGGCGGATCGGTTTATGTACCTGATTTCTTGGTTTCTTTCTTGCTAGGTTGGCTGGCTAGCTGGCTAGCTGGCTCTCTGGCTCGCTCTCTGGCTGGCTGGAGGAGGACGAGCGCGGAGGCATCTCGTTCGCTGCCTCGCGCACACCACCGTGCCAACCTGCCCAGCGGAGCGCATGAAGGATGGAGGGGCCGGTTGGACGCATCGCGCCCTCGCTCCGGGAGGGTTGCATATGCGGACTGGGGTAAACCGGGGCCAGACTGGACAGACCGCCAGGGGCAACGGGCCCATATTCCCACTTGCCTCGTTGCTACTCGCTGGTTCTGAGAGCGGCCGAGCGCCAGTGGCGGCTGGACGCGGGCCCAACTTCCATATTCGACAACTGCATCGGCCAGGCGATCGACGCGCGATGGGACGGGGGGGGGAGAGTTCCCTGCTCGAGGCCTTGCAGACGGCGTTGGCACTCGAGCCTCGGGCACTGCTCGACGCACATGTGACGTTCTCTCGCGGTACTTGTCGGTTGGTGCGTGGCTGGTTGAGAGTGAGATGCATAACTGGGAGGTTGGAATTGAGTTTTTAGGTTGGCACAGCCACATGATGTTCGTGTTTATCGTCAATAAGGTGTAATAGTGAGCCTAGACTCAACTCCGGTGGCATTGTTGACAGGGAAGACGGGCTCTTTGCGGGCCATTCTGATCCGAGTAATCTGGGGATTCGGCGATCCCCAGTTCGCAGTTCGCACCGAAATGAACGATCGAGAGTCAGCATCAAGGGAATGAATGACTCCATTACTACTGGTTACTGAGAACTGACAATAGGCGGGAGAATGATGTATCCAAAGGAGAGAAGCAATTTCCGCTCAAGCAGCTGCTTCATAATGGCGGGTGCAGAAGTTCATGCTCGATTGATCCATCAAATTCCAGGCCCCCCAACGAAGCCCCAGCGAAGCCCCAGGCAGCACAGCGTGCCTACGTACCGACCATGGTCCTCCTTGCACTATGAAAGCCCACTGCCCAGTCGGTTCTCGGCCACAGCGCGGTTCCAAGCAGCAAAGGAACAGCTCGAGAACAGGACTCACCAGGGTGTTTTGCTGCACCATCTCCACTCCCCCCTCAATCCGGGGTGGCCCAATTTCCCCCAGATTCTTCGCGATGGGCGGTCGCATAGCTGATTATTGGCTGCGTTTCCTGCCGGGCCTCGATGGTGTCGCGCCATCTTTGACCTTTTGGGCCAACTAGAGAACCTTTTCTCATCTATCCCTGGTCTCAGAATCACCGAGGTTTGCTCACGTGAAAATGAAGGAATAATGAGAGACAATCAGAATCCCAGCACCGCCGAGCAGGATTCCCCGTTCGATATGGCACTGTCTGGGGGGACCGTTGGATTGGTCTGGGGAATGGGATAGATTTACCCAAGATTTGACAAGCGTCAGTCACTTTCCGTCTGCGCGCTGCAAACCTGTTTTCTTACCTGTGCTGGCGTCTCGAGACCTTGAGGCTTGTTGACTTCAACTCCCAGCCCGTCATCACCTTGCGAGTGGCTGGTGGATTGGCCGATTACGTACCGCACATGCCGTTGCAGCAGCTAATAAACACTGTCGGCATGCATGCAATGCTCCTTATTACCGGCCGCTGCCTGCTCGGCCCAGCGCGACACCTTGAATAGACCGCCGACGTATCCATAGCGCCAACTTGGCATGATCATACCAAGTAGTAGCACTACTAGCTTCTAAGCCCGTCGAGAAGTGAGTGGATGCTTGGTTGCTAGCCCCCGGCTACGTAGTACTTACGCAGAGGTCATCAAGGCAAGCCTGCATACTGCATGTTGCTAGGAGACACGGATGCATTGTCAGCTTGGCTGCGTCGGCCAGACCCAGTTTGCCCCCGACGGGAGGCTGGAGCAGAGTGCGGGAGGGGACTTCTGCTGGGCTCCTGCTCGAAATTTGCTCCTGTTTTTCGAGGCACGACGACGGGTCGTGGTGTCGATACGTTGCATCCGGCCCCCTCCTTCAAGTTTCAACCGCATCAACAATGCCTCACTCACTCACACCACCCATTCACCCACCCACCCAACCACCTACACAGTACCTCCGTACTGCCGACGGGGATGCAGGGGCGCGCAGTAGAGGCGGAAATTGGATATGCACAATGTTTATAATTAAGCTTCAAAGAAATGCACTTGTACCGCAAGTCCCTGAGCTGAGAGATGATCGACGCATCTCTACGTGTATGCAGATATCATGCGGTTGGGACATGTGCCTGTGCCTCGGAGATGAAGCATCTTCGAACGTACTTTGACCCCATCTTCACGTGAATTCAGGACCTGTTGCCTTACAGCAGAATCAGACCGACCGGCTCTGAGCCCCGGAGAATGATGCGCAGACGCTCTCGACGACCTGGTCCATCTTTGACCTCCGTTTCTTCAAAGGGAGCTGTCTCATGGTGTCATTGGCAACCAACAGCCGAAAACAGCAAGATCAGGGTCTTCAAGGAGGGAGCCGCCGTCCGCAGCGCGCGGTCACTTCATTTGCGTGCAGTTTGTTTGCCCCAGACGTATCAAGTGATGCACATCGCGCTGCTGGAGTCCAAGAGCTGCAATTCTCAGCATTTCACGTCCGACAAAGGCAGTACACGACGTAGAGCACGCTGTTCTCAGTGGTAGGCTTTCCAGAGATCCTTCGAGTCAAGATTGCTGATGCCGTATCTGCAGAAGTGGGCGCTGGTCAGCTCGTGGCTGTCTGCAGGTATAATCCTTGATCGCCAACAGACTACGTACTGACTTAGACTCAAATGGTGACGAAGGGTAGCCGCCCTAGCTGCAGGCTCGACAAATGCAGTTTGTCTGCTGCTTGGTGCTTTAACATTAGCTTGCAGCGCGCGTCAGCGTTCAGGCCAGCAGCCCACAACAGCGAGGGGTGGCCGCATCGCCAGCAGCATGGAGGTGATTTCTCGTGATTTTTGCATTTCACCTGTGCTTCATACTTCCAAACTCATGCCGTGGTCTGCTTCTCGAATCCGTGTGGCAATGTTTGCCTCATAATGGTGCGTATATTACCCGATTCGAAGCATGACAGCCTCCCAAGCATGCGGGCGCCGATGCACAGGACCACACTATCTACAAAGAAGGCTACAACTGATTTCAAAGATTGCTATATAGCTCAAGCTCCATGCTGCCTCGGAGGTCACGCCAGAAGGCAGAAGATGCAGGCCGTTGCAAGAGCGTGTCGTTTGGCACGTCCAGCGCAAGAGTAGAAACACCCACGACAGCTACAAATGTGTCGTCCCACTATACATGTTCGGTTGACTCAGAGTCCCGTCCAAGAGCTAGTTGATACCTTGAAGTAAGCCGCCTTGTGATACGTGGCTTGCTGTAGGTGAGCTTCACCTTACCCAACCCGAGGCATGTTCACGGGCCTGGCTTGTCGACATTGCCGTGGACACGGCATTTCGAAGTGCTGTCTGAGTGGCAACTCGACACTTTCCAGGCTGGTGCAGCTGGCATTGGATTGCCTTGGGATATCAAGCCTCGGTTGCTTCGTTTATCTAAAAGTGACAACTTGAGGGCCAATTAACCTGGACTCGTGAGTGGGAAATCAGAACAGATGCATGCTGACGCAGGCTCTGTTTCTATGTATGAAGGCCAGACGGCCGGTGGTTCGGCAGCATCGGATGCCGTGATCTTATCAGGTCAGCGAATAGCACGACGTAATATGTTTGAGTCAATGTACGCAGTGGATGTTATCTATTATAAAAGGCTCGCCGTATCCAGTTGCCGATGGGACGCACCATCACTAGGAAAGTAAGTCTCAACTTCTTTGGTTAGCAACTATTCAAAATGCCACTCTCTGACTACATCCAAAGGATTGGCATTGTTGGCGTACGTGTTGCATAGTCCTGCCATATTCCCACATCACACTTGGTGCGCATTATACTAACATGAACCGTATAGACTCCTGGCCATGTTGGCAGTCATTTCCCGAGCTTGTTAAGACTAGGAAGCACACTGTAACTGTTCTCGTTTTAAAGGGCAGTAAGGGGACGGTAGCGAGCGGCACGGCCCGGGTCGAGGTCGATTTTGAAAGCCAGGAGTCTCTTGTCGCTGCTCTCGCTGGCCAGCAGTTTCTCGTCATCACTATGGCCTCCAGAGCACCAAGCGAGACACAATCCAAAATTTTCAAGGCTGCCGCCAAGGCGAGTGTGTAATACATCATGCCCAATGTATGCGGTGGTGATTTCCGCAACGAGAAGATATCGAAGAGGGTTTTCACTGCTCAGGAGCTCTCTAAAGGTGCAACGACGTTATGAGCTCTGGCATGCCGTACGTCGCCGTGGACTGCGGGCTTTGGTACGAGTCGAGTCTGGCTCTGGGCTCCATTGGCTTCGGGATCGATTTCAAGGCCAAGAAGGCCATCTTTTACGATGATGGACAATGCCGCCTGACTATCAGCGCCTGGTCACTGTGTGGACAGGCTCTCGCTAAATTGCTGTCGTTGCCCGAGAGCGGAGGGGAGCCTTCACTCGAAAATTAGAAGAATGGCATGCTCTGCACTTCGAGCTCCTACGTGAACCAGAGAGAGATTCTGAACAGCGTGCATCGAGTCCTAGGCGGCTCGGACGCGGACTGGGAGATTCAGTACGAGAGCAGCAAGGAGAGATAACGGAAAAGGCATGGCCGATATGGCTAGTGGGGATCTTGATGGTTATCCCAGGGCTTTGTATGCGCGAGCCTTCTACCCCAATGGTGGAGATGACTTCAAGGCGTATCTGGAACTGGACAATGAGATCTTGGGTCTGTCGGAAGAGAAGCTAGATGATGCCACACGGACTGCGGTTGACATGTTTCAAAGCCGATGGCAGCTGTTTTCCCTAAAGCGAATGGGGAATCGCCTGGTACGGAAGATGTATAGGTGGCGTACTGAGCCTTCAATCCGTCTCAGTAGACTCTCAAGAATCTCTGCATTAATGCCACACATTTCAAAAGGCCCGTGTCCTCTATTGCCATAGTCTGCACATACAGGCTCAATCCCATCACTCATAGTCTGGAAAATAGCGATCTTGTATACGCTCCGCATACTCGACCGCAACCAGATCACTCTCCCAATTAAGACACAATTGAAAGTATTGAGACGCCACAACTGACTTGGCTCATACTCAAAACCCATTCGAATGCTGGCACAATGGTCCATTGATCAATCCCAGATGGACCTAAAAGAGATACGGGAACGCAAACAAAGAGCCTTATGACCAGATTGGCCTCCTTCCTGTGATGCCACGTCTTCAGGAGTCTTCATGAGATTGGTATGCGAACGAAGGGAAGATTCGTGCATATCGATGGGCGTTTCTGTGCTGTATCTAGGTTCTAGGCAAGTCTCGCCGATCGGCTGCTCGCTCATATAGAGGAAAATGCTTCATTGAAAAAGGATGCTAGGAAAGAGAGATTTGCTACATCACCTCCAACAGGTAGCGAGTTATGTCTTTTGCTGCACTGTTTCTGCGTCGCAGGTTTCTTCATATTCCCTCCTATGGAAGTCTCATAATTGCTCTGCAATTGCAACCCGCTACCTGACACACCACTTTGCTAATTGCAGCTACACACGTGAATTGGACAGTATGTAAGCTCCCCTTTGCTCAACCACACCTCCTTAGCAAGTATCTCCGTCTCCGAAAATGTTGTAAGTCTGCTCTCGGAGCTGGCCTGGCTTGTCAATGGTCAAAGCAGGGCCTATGTCGTTGCCAAAGGCGTCGAGCCGGACCCCATCTGCGGCCATATCCCGAACAATATCCACGAATACATCTTTCGAATAGGTGTCCAGTGGCGGCAACTCAGTCCCAAAGATATCAGCAATGGGATCGTTGCCATCAATGTTCCAGATTGTCGAGTATCCGGTGCAGCCAGCAGGCTCAGCGCTCGGTAGACAATCAACACAGCGCGCCGCACCGTTGAGGTCGACTAGCGTCGAGAGCATTGCTTCAATGTCCGTGATCCAGTTGTTATCGATGACCCAGTCGTTGTTGCCCACATTGTAGCAAAAGGCCAGGGTCCTGCCGTCGGGAACCTCGCGATAGTAGGCATAGTCATAGAGCTCAACGCCCCGCATCCCAGCCGGCTCAAGACAGAGGGGGACTTCGGCGTAGGCAAAAGGGACCGCTAGCAGGGCTAGGAGAGACGCGTGCTTGCCGAACATTGTGGGTGAAAACTGGCTTCTCGGGTGAGGAGAGAAATTCGTGTATGATTTGATATGAGGAGCGATGTCTTGTGAAAGTGCCTTGTTCAGCGGATGAGATGCTTCAATTCATGTTTGGGGTGAGGAAGTCCTCAGCTTTATACCATTTGGTCCCTCTGTCTCTCATCCCGCTACGGAAGACACATTGTCAGCGTGACAGGTTGTTGGCATTGGTGGTGATGTCAGAGAGCTTCCAAAGGAGGCAGAGTTGTGGCCTCTGGATTCTGAACCCTGACATTGATTAGTTTGACTTGGCGATGGCCAGCCACGGCTCATCACATCATCCCGCGTATTGAACAACATAGCTTGCTCATCTTATTGGCCACCAACCATCCAAAGGCATAGCCAGATCACTACGTAGTGTCTCGCTTGGCGTCTCCCGTGTCTACCTTTGAGGTTTAGTCCCAGAAGCCCAAGGATGCAGTTCCCGGCTCTTGGCTGGAGCTCTATGGGCCATGGCATTGTCATTAGACTTGGCTCGACTGCCGATGATGAAAGAAATGTGGGATTTGCTGTCGATAATTCAGCAAGCCAAGTTGGGGACGTAGCAGTGGTGTACTGGTGCCGGTCAATCAGTCGAAACTGAAGATGTCGTGTTGCTTCGACAAGAGCGTCGCATAAGTGGCAATCGCATTATTATTTCAAAATATGTCGTCTATAACGTTCAAACCCATGAATAGGGACGTCTGACTATGCTGGGTGGGCAGGGTCCCGGGCCTGGGGGCCGGGAGTTCTTAGTGATGCCATGCGATGGTACTTGAAACCCAAAGGCATCTGCCGATCAGTTGCAGGCCTCCGACTAGTCTGACGATCGATTGAAAGCCGAGAACGCCACTTCTTCAATGTTCTATCGTCGACAAATCTAGGGCGACTGCCAAGCCCTAAGGAGCCGCCCAAGTTCATGCCCACCGTATTCAAACATGAGGACACCAAGCGATTGACATTTTCGGCTCACATGCAGGATTCCTTTGAATCCTTTCCGGGGTCCAGGCGGATCATTTCTCGATGCCAAGAGCTATTGGTGTCTCGGGCCAAGACCGAAGGATCAGGACCCCTGTGCAGTTCTCTTGTCCTACGCAAAGACTAAAGTTGTGATATCAACACACAATTGATGAAGTGCTCGGGAGGCGTGAGATGGCAAGGTATTGCCAAATCAGCCTAAGAGATGAGCATGCTGCTCTTCATGTCCAGGGAAAGAGGGAATTGTCATGACAGTTGCAAGTACATCTAATACACCGTCTGAGCTATTGTCGTAGATGAGGACTATCTCCTGTCATGCAACAACAAGTGGCCTTCAATGGCTGCATCAGATATTTCGGCTGCAGTCACTACGTTACCACATTCAAACCAGTGTACTTCCACGAGCTTCTTCTATCCACGCCACGGTGCGTCGGCCCCCTTAAATTTCCTCCCAGAAACGCCTCTGATTCTGGGTCCGGCTTCTCATTGTAAGTAGGTTGTAGAGAAATTGATTTCATGACCAGTTTCATTGTCTTAAAAGCCCCACGTGAAAGTCTACCGCGCTTTGCACGTGAGCCTCATCCCCATCGCTCATAATCAGGAAAGTATCGATCGTGTATCCGCTCAGCATACTCAACCACAACGGGATGCCCCCTCACTTTCCGTCTTGTCTTCGGGGCCCTGGAGAACTGTTAGTATGTCACTGGCCAGTTCTTTCAAGCGAGGGCACCCACGCATCACAGACGAGCGCCCCAACCACGAATCCAAAGAGGGTAGCATCAGCTTCCGTTGGTTCTTTGCCACCCAGCGCCCAGAATGGCCCTTGTTCTTCTTTTCTAGACACCTTAGCCTCTTGGAGTAGAGCTTCGACGTTGTCCCAGATCTCAGCCATCAGCATTGTGATCTCGTCATCCTGTAGGCGCAGCGTGCCCTGGCCATACAGCATCTGAATAGCGCCTCTCTGTGCAATGTATCCAATGATCATCCGCATGGGCCACGGTATGGCTGCCAAGACTCCATCGCGCATGGTCGTGTAGTTATCGCACCACTTCTCCTTGCCGTGATAAAAGTAGAGCTTATCCTCCAGCAATGCTCGAATCGCGAGATCGTGCGCCTTCTGAGCGGGCTTCAGGGTTGCGTTGAGATCCGGGAGTGCATCTCTTTCCACCAAGTACTTGATGATCAGAGTCGAATCTCCTAGAGTCGTCGCATCTGGGAATTGGACGTAGGGGATTTTTCTCTTGGGTGCTGACCGCGGGGATCCAGCATCGCGGCTGTAGCTGAACGCAGCGAAGCGAAGACGTGCTTCAAGCTTGGTAACAAAGGGACTCCAGACGTAGCTGTTTGTTGCGGGACCGCCTCGAGACACGGTGAGCCTTTGAGTGGGCGACATGGTCATGGTTCGGTCGAATGTTGCTGTCGATCTGAGACTTGGCCTTGAATTTGATTTCTGTCTGCGCTCTCTTTCGTCCTCATAGGCGCTCTTTTTATACTCAGCGACCATCCAGCGGCATTGATATTACATCGCATATGACCATGTGATTGATGCCTAGCTAGTCATCTTCTCGCGCCCTCGCCTCTCCGGACTTCTTGGTGATGTCCGGGTAAGGTGGGTCGTTCGGGGGTCCACGCTCGTGCTCCCGGGGTTCCTGCTTCGGAGCCTAGTCAATTCTGACCAATTCGGCCCCCGAAAATGCGGGAGATGACTGATTGTTCAGCTAGCAATCCGATCTGCAAACATGGGATAATTAGATGGCAGTTGTCGTTCTACATACAACGTAGGGACGTGTTCGGCCTTTTCGCCTACCCTATGCCGCTAGCCTTCGCCACTCACACGACCCCTGTCCTTTTTCACGCACTCAATAGTAAGGATTTGAGGAGGTTGAAGTTGCAGAAAGCTGTATCTGCCCTTTCTAGTCTTTAGTTGTTCATCTGTTCATATCTGCTTCAATCTTCCACAAATGACATGCTCAACTTTTTTCACTGAATACCCGTCTTGTCGAAACAATTCACACTAGGCCACATGCCAAAGTAAACGCCACTGATTATCGATGAAAGTGAATGACAAGTCAAGGACAGGGAAACGCTGTGATTGTGCCCCAAGATCATTGCAAAACCCCCGCCGCCCAACAAGTGAGCTCCAATCCAAGATGGCCTCAAGACGGCCCCGCAGAGGCCCGCCGGAAATGCCTCGTCGGGGGATGGCGCACGCAAGATGACAAACTCTGTGCCGCCAGACGACGTAATTACACTAATGAGCTTGAGAATTTGCTGCCAGCTTCCGAGATTGCAAGAAGATATCAACCATCAGAAACTCCAGCATCATGGCCAAGGCGCTCAACGTCGGGGTCGTTGGCTACGGGTGAGTCGCTCCGTGTCATACACCTCGTCATTCATCGCTAATAAATGTATCCAGCCTCTCCGCCAAGATCTTCCACATTCCCTTCATCGCAGCGACCCTAACGCTGACGCTGCATTCCATCGTCCAGCGCTCACCCAAGGACGGCAACTCAGCTCCTGCAGACCATCCCAACCTCAAGCACTACACTTCTGCCGACGACCTCCTCGCCGACAAAGAGGTCGACGTCATTGTCGTGACCACCCCCCCAGACAACCACTTTGAGCTGACCAAGCGTGCGCTGGAGAGCGGCAAGCATGTCCTCACCGAGAAGCCCTTTGTGCCCACCTCGGCTGAGGCGGACAAGCTCATCGCCATCGCCAAGGAGAACAGCCGCCTGATCTGCGTCTACCAGAACCGACGGTGGGACTCTGACTTTCTGCTCGTCAAGAAGCTCGTCAAGGAGGGCACGCTCGGGCGCATCGTCGAGTTCAACTCCCACTTTGACCGCTACCGCGCCGACGCGCCCACCAACTGGAAGGGCCAGATCGGCATCCCCCAGGGTGGTAGTGCGCTCTTCGACTTGGGCACCCACCTCATCGACCAGGCCTACACCCTCTTCGGTCTTCCCCAGTCCGTCCACGGCCGTCTGCTCAACCAGCGCGAGGGCAAGGCCGACTTGTTCAACCCAGACGCTGTGTCGGCCGAGCTCACGTATCCCGACGGCCTGATTGTCAACGTCCGCATCAGCGCACTGAGCGCCGAGACCATACAGCCCCGCTTCTGGGTGCGGGGCTTCAAGGGCTCCTTCAGGAAGAACACGTTGGATCGCCAGGAGGACCAGCTCAAGGCGGGCATGAAGCCCACGGAGGCTGGGTTCGGCCAGGACGACAATAAGACCAACGCGCGGCTGACGCTTGTGGGCGAGGACGCCAAGACGATGAAGCAAGTCGACGTGCCCGAGCTGGCGCCGGAGACGTACATGGCCTTTTACAGAGCACTCGGTGACGCCTTGGTGAGCGGGAAAGAGGAGGACATTCCCGTCAAGGCAACCCAGGCACGGGACGTGCTGAGAATCTTGGAGGGCGTCGTGGAGAGTGCAAAGACGGGGAAGGATGCCGTTCTGCAAAAATAGACAACGGCCTTCCTAGCACGAACCTAGTTGGACGGAAACAGTGGTCAACGATGGTAGTAATGCATATCTTTCAACCAAATTTTCCCAATCCCTAAATGCCGCATGATGGTATCAACAATCTTAAAAAAAAATGACCCCAGAATCCGGAAAAGCACGCTCAGATCATCATCAGCGCAACCATGCCTGCCCCCAGAACGGTAGAAGCACCAGCAGCAACCCTCCTCAGCGCGCCGCTCTCAATGTCCAGCGCCGTGCCGTAGTAGTCGGGCTGGTAGGTCTCCGGCGTGCTTGTGTCCAGCGTGCCGTCCCAGCAGTAGCGGTCGAAACAAGTCTGGCAAGCGTCCGGCACGGTCGTGTTGGTGCGGTCGAAGCTGCGGGACAGCATGGCGCAGCCGACGCAGACAGGCCAGTCGCGGTCGCGGGTGCTGTTTAGCTGGGTGGCAATGGCCCAGCCGTTCTCAATCATGGCATCACGCTCGGATTCGTTGTAGCTGGGCTTGAAGGTGGTGGTGTTGGACTGGAAAACATAGGGGTAGTTGGGGATGTAGACGATTAGTGGCGTCGGGTCGGTGGTGTTGGAGGCGTCGCAGCCAAAGAAGACGGGGCGGCTGTTCAGGCCTTTGTTGATAAACGTGTTCTTGTCGGGGATGGCGGGAAATCCGGTGCCCTCGGAAATGTTGGTTAGGGAGCGCTCGTAGGTGGCAATCGCCGAGGCACCGTCAGGCCATTGAAACTCGGTGTCGGCTGAGTTGTCGAACGAGAAGACGACGTCGACCTCGCGCTCAATGAGAAGGTGAGGATGGTAAGGGACATTCTGCAGGTCCTCGCCACCGTCAACCAGTGTCAGGCGATCCTCGTCGGCGTTGTAGTTCTCGTCGGGGTTCCAGCCCTTGAAGGGGTTGGGTGTCCAGTCTGCAATGTCATCGTTATCGCTGCCGACGGCTTCCAGGACGGACGTGATGGCGTCCACTGCAATGTCCGGCACCGACTCCGGCAGATACCCGCTCTCGGGGTCATTCAAGTACAGGACAATCTGGTTAAACAGACTGCTCGAAGTACCCATGACAAAGCCAGCATTGTCAAAGCCATTCACGCAATCGCCGTCATCGGACACCTCGCCGTCGGTGAAGTTGGATCCTACCCAGCGCAGCGGCGCAAACCCGTGGACGGTGTTGTCCGATGAGCCGAGCTCCCAGGGCGAGAATTCGTACACCGTCGAGTTGATGGGGATGACCTTCTCGTCTGGGCGGCGGCCTACTGCTATGAGAAACGGGAAAGGCGCCTTGTGGTTTTTGAAATCGTCATCGTCAGCGATCGAGGAGAAAGTATAGCCGGGTCCTCCATCCGTGGCATTGATCAGCTGGTACGACAGCATGCGTCCCCAGTAGTCAGTGATCGAGCGCTCGTACCCAGCTGCGGCCTTCTTTTCACACGCGTCGAGAATGGAGGTGTAATAGTCGAGGAGCGCGTACTGTTCGGGGCCTTCGAGAATCGAATCCTGAAACTGCCAGATGTTGCCCGAGGCGACGCTGTCCGCCACAGTGGTGAAGTTGTTGACGTAGATGCTGCCCACAAGCCAGCCACCGCCGGACAGGCCCGAAATGTATGTCGAACTCTGCAAAAGACCTCCCAAGTTGCCTCCTGCGTCCGAGCCTACTGAGCGGCTGTCGAGTGCTGCCAGGGCGCCAGCGCCGCTCAGCATGGCACGGTAGCCTCCTCCAGAAAAGGCCAGCCCAATGTTCGGCACCTTTGTATTGTTGTTCTCCGCGTCCTTGAGGTACTCCTCGGCGTCAAAGTCGGGGATGCTGATTCGTTGGAGCAGCTCGCGCATCGGCTCAATGGTCTCGTTCCGACGCTGGACGACCCATTCCTTCTCTTCGTCGGACAACTTGGTGCCATTGCGAATGGACGGGCGGTCGCTGGGGCAGTTGACGCTGGTTGGTACGTAGCCGTCCGGGGCATTGTTGATGGCGCGGGCAGAGATGTGGACGTCGACTATTGTTGACGCATTAGAGGCGGTGTTGCTTGAGATCGCGATCACCGGGATTGCGTCGGGGAAGGAGCTGCTCGCTCATACGTACCTGCAGCCTGGGCAGCCACGCCAGCAGATGCCGCCAACAGCAGCGCCAGACTCTTCGTCATAGCGAATGAAAACCACCTGCGCACTAGAAAAGAAGAAGAAAGCGAAGGGCAAGAGAGTAGCAGCCACAACTAGGCACTACCCGATTATCTATCGTATACGTACAACAAGAAAGGGTTGGAGCGAAGAAGCAAAATTAAGGTTAAGAGGCAACGAGCAGCTTGCGGGCAGGCAAGGAGTGGTTATGGGATTGGGATCGCCAGGCATTGGCATTGGCGATGTCAGCCCAGCGGGCTGTTTCAGTGCCCCGACGGCCATCGCACAGCGGGATGCGACGCTGGTTGAACTTTGAGCCATCCCTAGTGCTCCGTGCGGTAACGTCGCGACGCTGTGGAAGCGTCACGGTCCGCTGAGATGGACCTGCCAAGCACTTGGGAGATGCCGCCAAGCAGACCGTCTTATGTGAGTGTGAAGCTGATGATTCTTGGCCAAGATGATCACTTAACAGACGTGGGTGCTCGCTTGTTGCAGGCCTTGCTAAACTACTATTATCTCGGGTTTAGGCACTATTGCCTTGTCATCCTGGGAATGAAGCAGTCGCTAGATAATTTCCCATGTTCGTCAACACAGCCACGCCCAAGACTTCTTGCGCATACGTACCTAGATTCGTTCGTCACATGCCTCGCTCACTGCACTAGTGCCACAACAGAGATATTACTTTGCTTTTGTTCAATCGTCAGCCCGCAGGACGTGCCCAGAGCACATCGCTGACCGACAATCATCCTGCCAAGCATTGCCAAACTGATGACTAGCGGTGTCTCCAAGGGGCCAGTCGTACTCGCACCGAGCAACGACTTTTTCCCGTGATGCGTATCCAGAATTTCAGGCCCCGACTCCCACGGTCCCACCAGCGCAGATCACGCCTGAAGCATCCCGCGGTGTTCCGGGGGGCAGCCGCGTGCCACGGCGATGGACGGAGCAGGCCGTTTCGTGACTGGCTGCGCCCGGGCATGAGACGCGTGGCCTGAAATTGCGTGAGGGGATCTCATCACAGCTGACACAGCAGGCAGCGGCAGTTTCACTCTAGCAGATTCAGCCTACCCTGCGCTGATTTGATTGATTTATGAAACTTATTAATGCTGCCGTTGACGACATGCTGGTAAGAGGCATACACTGATGGGAATTCTGCCTTTATTTGTCGATTAACATTAGCTTGGTCACTGGAGACAAACTACATGTCTTTGTGACACAATTAGTCGACTTATCTTTGGTGGAAAACAGAAAAGGTGCCATATACGTGGTAAACCATGGCGAAAACAAGGGTCTTGACGCAAGTGTTCCACAATTAGAACTCAGTTATTACATTCGATCAGAGCGACCCGTCTCACCAACAGAGTCGAGAATGTTGTTGGAGACTTGTTGCATTCCAGGCCAACTGCGCAGGTGTAGCGCCATAGCACTTGGCATGCTCGCGAAGAAGCGTTGTGGAGGCAATAGGCTGCAACTCACCGTCGATGACACGAGCAAATAAAAAATATTCGGTCGCCGCGGAGCATACTCCGTATAAGTGGACTTCTACCAGTAGTCTCGTCTACACTTCCTTCTCGACGTGAAATGGCGTGTGCCAAGGTCTTGTAGGAGGCCTCATCCACGAGACGAAGCAAGCCATCAGCACATCCGAGGGAACAGTGATTTCAGCCGATGCAGGCCACATGGCTCACGCAGCGAGGAGCGAGAAGTAAGATACGAACCGTCGGGTCTGGTCCACTGGCATTCCACCTTGAATTCTTCATAGTGTATACATGGGTATCATCTTGTCCTGACAGCATACGGCCCAGCTCGCTTAGTCCTCGCCCTCCGTCGCCCTCCCAAAGGGATGATTAAATTTGAGCAGTCCATTGAGTCCTCCGACCCAAGGATCATCGTCCTCGGTCCTAATCACACACGGCACACCACCCGCCCACTCCTCCCCGGATCCGTCGTGACTCCGTCCCACAAACTCGCCCTCCACTCGTAACTCGGTGCCGGGGCTCACGCCGGCGCAGCGCTTGCCGTCGATGCTCAAATCCAGCTCGCGACCGCGATTCTTCTTGCTCATACGCAGCGTGACCTTGGTGTCGAGCGGGAGCACGAGGGAGCGGAAGGACAGGCTGCAGGGCGAGATGGGGGTGATGAGGAGCGACTTGACGAGGGGATGGACGATGGGACCGCCGGCGCTGAGGGAGTAGGCTGTCGAGCCGGTCGGGGTGCTGAGGAGGATGCCGTCGGCGATTGTCTCGGTGAGGAAGTGCCCGTTTTGGAAAATGTCGATAATGGCGAGGTGCGGGTGCGAGCCTCGGTGGACGGAGATCTCGTTGATGGCGCGTAGAGAAGGGGAGGTGCCGGCCAAGGGCCCGGCGAGGGACTTGGAGTCGCCTAGCAGGTTGTCGGACAGCTTGTCGTTGATGTTGTCGCCGTTCGCGTCGAAAATGTCGGCCTTGATACGATGTCGCAGTAAGACCTTGGATGCTCGCTGCGCGCCCATGCTTTTGCCCTTGATGAGTGCCCAGGGGTTGCTGCCCCCGTCTTGTTCCTCTGGGCTGTCCTTATTGCCTCGGGGGACGGCAGCGTCGCGCACCGCCACGTCGCTCCCGCTCATGTACACCTCTCTCCAGACCTTCTTGTGCTCCTGAAAGTCCCATTCGCCCAGAAAGCCCAGCGTGCCCATGCTGAATGAGACAATGGGCGGCACGGATCCGTGGAGCTTGAACAAGCTAGCTGCGCGTAGTACTGTGCCATCACCGCCAAATGTCGCAATCACGTCCACCTTTTGCGCAATGTAGGGCCTGTCGTCTGACGAGTAGACGGGAAAGTCGACGCGCTCTTGGATGCTGGACGCGACGCGCGGTTCGAGGATGAGGTGGATGTCCGGGTACTCATTGTGGATGTGCTTGGCGAACTTGACGACGGCGTCCGTGACCGTTTCGGAGTAGAGCTTCTGCACGACGAGAAGATTTCGAGGCGGGCGTGGCCATTTCAGGGACAGGAGTGAGGACCCCGGTTTCGTGGATCGTAGGTATCGAGGATGGATCCGGTCAGGCAGCTCGACGATGCTGCGAGCGTCAGAGCTCGAGGAATAGGTTCTGAACAGACACGCAGCCCATCTAGTGGTCGCAGTCGTCCTCCTCCATGATGGTGTATGGTAAAGACGCCCGAGAAGAGTTGCACGACGGGGCAGACTCATCCTGGATGAGTTCGTTCGTCCATCCAGACAGCTCCAGTCGTGGGTGGACCGCGACCTGCATTATTGCCGATGGTGCAAAGGACGGCAGAATGAAGTTGGACAGCTGACCGCCTTCTTGTTTAGTATCGCGGGGCATTGGCTCTATCACATGTCGATGAAGCCAGCAAGGACTATTACGTGTAAAAAGGGACGGACTATTCTCAACTAAAGCATATATGAAAATTCTCTTGGATAAGGTTAAACTCGAAACTCTGTCCCTGATTGCATTTTCAACACCACATAGACTTCGAATCATGGCGTTCCCACGAGGTATTCGCCCCGACCGGCAACGAGCCCCTCGTCTGATTGGCACGTCACGGCCCGCTTCACTGGGCTGACTCGGCTGAGTCCATGGCGCCGACGGAGCTGATCAACTTGCCGGAATCTGGCGCAAGCAAAAAGCTTTTCCAACCTCTAGCTGGTGTTGGACAAACTTACTGCCTTGCTGGGGCCCGGTCACTGCGTGCTTCTTGGACAACCGATGTCTCAGCGCGATTAGCCATCCTTCGACTCTGACCCTGTTTCTACCTGTGTCCTCGACGCTTACTGTGCCGCGCAGTGCACCACCTGCCAGCCACCATCGCGTCGCAGCCTCGCCCTCATCTCCCCGCAACGCGCTGCCTACCTACTGATAGGTCTGGCATACGGTGCCTTTGAGCCAAACAGGACACGTCGCACGCCTTGCGCCGTGCTCGCAAACCGACATCGCGACCTCACGAACCATGACCGACTCGCCAGTATCCAACATTCCTGGACCGGATAACGCGGGGCTGACAGAGAAGCCGAAAATCGAGCATCCGTCTGGGAAGCAGAGCTATGGAAAACTCATGCAGGTTGTGCGTGGGTTCGCCTTTGTCATGTACTTTGCGGCGTGCATCCTCACGATCTTCATCACCCAGCTGATCGGGCTGCCTCTGTACGTGGTCAACCGCGACTGGTACTATGTGTACATGGCCATGACGAAGCAGCACTTTGCGATTGTGACGAGTTTCATGACCTACATCTGGGGTCCCACCAAGATCCGCATCAGCGGCGATGAGACGGTCGCGGGCCAGATGAGGGCGATGCCCGAGGGACGTGTCGAGTTTGACTTCCCCGAGCGTGTCATCCTGGTGGCCAACCACCAGATCTACACCGACTGGCTCTATCTCTGGTGGGTCGCGTATGCGAACCGACCAAGGCTGCACGGGCACATTTACATCATCCTCAAGGCGTCGCTGCGGTACATCCCCTTTATTGGATGGGGCATGATGCTTTACAGCTTCATCTTCATGACTCGCAAAATGGCCACCGACCAGCCGCGCATGGCGTACCGCCTGCGGAAGCTGCGTCAGCAGAAGACCAGCCCGAGCGGCAAGACGTACTACGACCCCATGTGGCTCATGCTGTTCCCAGAGGGTACGAACCTCTGCGCGAACGGGCGCGCAAAGTCAGAGAGCTGGGCCAAGAAGAATGACATTCGGGACCCAGAGCACTTGCTTCTCCCGCGCGGGACAGGCATGTACTTTTGCCTCAGCGAGTTGAAGGGCACGGTGGAACACGTGTATGACTGCACCATTGCGTACGAGGGCATTCCGTGAGTGACGAGTTTGATCAGAGCGAGGAGAGAGGGGATCACTGACAAAAAATCGCAGGCGAGGCGAGTACGGCGAGCAGATATTTGGCTTGTCGAGCACGTACTTTCAGGGGCTGCCGCCAAAGTCGGTTAATCTCTACTGGCGCCGCTTCAAGGTGGCGGACATTCCCCTCGCTACGCAAGCCGAGTTTGACATTTGGCTGCGGGAGGAATGGTACAAAAAGGACGCTCTGCTTGAAGAGTACACGACGACGGGTCGCTTCCCGCCCTTGCAGGACGGGCCAACAAAGTTTATAGAAACCGAGGTTCGGACAAAGTACCCCTGGGAGATTGTCAACATCTTCACCGTGATTGGCATTGTTGGCTTGGTGACGAGAAGCCTAAAGAAACTGTGGGCGGCTCGAAGCGAGGTGCCTCTGGCGTCTTGAGGGTCCTTGGGGCGGCGGTTGGCCCAGAGTCCCAGACAGGCGCCGTTCTTGGATACCGAGTTTGGGCGATTGTTGCGAATATGCACCGCGTTTGATTGGCATGCTTGGCCAAGGCGTAAGGCTGTGTGTGGTGCTGATGTATGTATTCCAGGATTATAATCTGCACGTTGCAGACAATAGAGGCAGTGATTCGCGTCAAACCCTCGAAACAGGCAAGGCGCCACAGTTACGCTGCTGATCCTTCACGCTGGGCGCGGGAGACGATGGTACGCCGGATGGGGAGGACAACGTGGCATGGTGGTGGCATGGCGATGCAAGGCTGCAGGGTAAAGTGCAGGTCAGCTTCATCTGACGGGCCGGGAACATGTTGCGATAATGCCAGGCCAACTATCTTCTCAAATCTACGGGAGAATCTCAAGGGATATTGGTGGCTCGGATTTTTTCGGGCGGCTGAAGCAACGCCTCTCAGCCGCACCTCGTGAGCCGAGGTACTATGCACGGCCGATCGTGGTGAAGGGTGTGGTGACTGTGGTCTGACGGGCCAGGATGGTCTAGAATCTGTGCGTCCAGCCAGTCGCGTGTCCCGATTTACAGCATGACGCATGGCATTCCAACGACTTGGGCCTTTTGGCGTTGGGAGATCCGAGGGTCTGCGCCTAGGCAAGGCTGGCTTGGGCGCAACACTGCAAAACGTGCCTCGGCATCGAGACGAGGTGTTGCGATACAAAATACGGATCCGGTGTGGCTGGCAGGCGTGTGCATTCAGGTCCTCACTAGGGGCGGGTCTGCCACGAATAGAGGATGCTGATGGGTTAGATCCCCACGCATGCTCTCGTGGATTGCGCGGGGGAGTAATGCGGGGATGGAGGAACATGAGGAAGATGCTGAGACAAGCGGGAGCTGGCGCTGGCGCTGGCGCTGGCGCTGGCACACTGGCGCACTGGCGCACACGACTACCGCTCTTGGTGTGTGAGGCCGGGATGTGGCAGCTCAGATTCGTTGTTGATTAGAGTCTCGAACAGGGGGAGCTGGAGACCTCTTTGGACGCTCAAGAAACGGCGCTGCGAGTGATGCTCTACGGTATCACGGAGCAGCGCTGCCTGCTTGCTGTAACAAAGAAACCCCTCTCTCTGCCGTACGAGAGCTGCTCCATCAGAGGCGTCGATCATCCAACAGGGAAACGCCAGCTCGACGCAAGCCGATGCAAACTGCCTGAGCGGCGTGGATACTGTAAAAGATGCATATTGATGATGGGCAGCCTATTGGCTTTCCCTCTATACGCCCGATTAGGCATCTGGCCCGGCTGCCAAGACGACGCGGAAGGGTGCCACTCTCGGAGGACCTTATTGCTGAGGTTTGAGCTCGTTTCTCTACCGCTTGTCTGCAAGTGCGGTTAATTACCCCGCGAAATAGGAGGAGTCGGAGGAGAACCGGGGGTGGGAATCATCGTCTACGGATCCTATCCGCTGCTGCTCTGCTCCACCCTGTTGAGGCCTGGGTATGGCCCTTCGTTAATTACCTACCAGTACTGGTGATTGATGGCGCTGGGCAGCGACAGGGCAGAGAGGAGGAGCCCACGGCCTGACTGACCAGAAGCAGGACAAAGATCATCTCCAGCGTGAGGCAGGAGGAGCAGCAGATACAGATACACAACAGCGAGATTCACGGCCCTCACCAGGCACCTGTGCTGATCCTCATGATCCCGGCCAGGCCCTTATTCCCACTTTCCTCGTCCACTAGTCTGGGCCTTGGAGGCTGGTCTACGGAGTAAGTAGGGCGCGCCAACTATATCGCAGCTATGCGTTGCATACCTCCCCCTCCTCCCCAGATTTGGGGTCAGCGATGCAGGTGGTGTCAAGATTGGGGAGCTCGACTGTGACACAGACACCCCCGCCCCCGGACCTGCGAGGATCCTGGAGCATCGTATCCTAGGTGGACAGAGAGATGAACCCCTGTTTGACAGGGAGCTCGTCCTTCGTCCTGAAAGCATATAGTTCGCCTCCTTTCCCTCCATACTTATTGACCTCCCTGGCTCTGTCGAAATAGCAACTCTTCTTCCCTCTCCTTGTCTCGCCTCACCTCGCCTCGCCTCATCGACATCCAACTCTTGCTACACCGTCTTACCGCCTACTGAATCATGGAACGCACGAGTCACGATCTCGACCAGAAGGCGGGCGATTCTGAGCTCCGTCACATTGACGACTCGGCCGTCGACGCCAACGGCTCCGACATTCACCCCGATGACCATGGTCTCACCAAGGAGGAGCAGAGGCAGATCATCCGCCGCGTCGACCGCCGCCTCGTCGTGACCGTCGGCCTCATGTACTGCGTCTCCCTCATGGACCGCACCAACATGAGCGCCGCCAACATTGCGGGCATGAGTGTCGAGCTGCAGCTTGGCGCCAACTACGTCCGTCTACCTGTCCTCATGTTCCCTTTGCCACATTGCTGACGACAGAGCCTACAGAACATTGCCAACTTAGTCTTCTTCATCCCCTACATCATCTTCCAGCCCCCGTCGACCATCATCTGCCGCGCCATCGGGCCCCGCATCCATCTCGCCGCCATCACCCTCCTCTGGGGCTCCGTCATGATCGGCATGGGCTTTGTCCAGAACTTTCCCCAGCTGGCAGTCACGCGCGTGCTGCTCGGTGTTCTCGAGGCCGGCTTCTTCCCCAGCTGCGTCTACCTGCTCAGCACATGGTACACCCGATGTAAGGACTGCCTTGGAACTCAACTGGGATGAGACAGTGACTGACATTTGCGTAGACGAGGTCGGCAAGCGATACTCCCTCTTCTACCTGCTTGGCTGCGTGGCGTCTGCCTTCTCGGGCATCCTCGCCTACGGTGTACGTATTTGTCTGCTCTCTGTCTAGTACAAGACTAACACCAACCCCCTAGCTCATGCAAATGCACGGCCTGGCGAACCTCTCCGGCTGGCGCTGGATCTTCACCATGGAGGGCATCCTCACCTGCTTGCTCGGTATCGCCGGGTACTGGCTGCTGGTCGACTTCCCCGACTCGAGCCGCACCAACTGGTCCTTCCTGGGCAGCCGGGAGCGCGCCTGGGTCGTGTCGCGCATCGCCCGGGACCGTGGCGACTCCAAATTCGAGGCCTTCAACATGCGCAAGTTCCTCCGCGCCGGCCTCGACTGGAAGATCTGGGCCTACGCCCTCATCTTCTGCTGCTCGACGACGCTCTCGTACGCGCTCGCCTATACGCTGCCCATCATCCTCATGGAGAACATGGGCTTCAACGTCGCCGAGGCGCAGTGCCTCGTCGCTCCTCCCTACGCCTTTGCCGGCATCATCATGCTCGTGACCGGCTGGCTGGGCGACAAGTACCACGTCCGCGGGCCCATCATCATCGTCAACATGGTCATTGCGCTCATTGGTCTGCCCATTATGGGCTGGCACAGCAACGCCTACGTGCGCTACTTTGGCGTCTTCCTCGTCACGGCGGGCGCCAACGCCAACATCCCCTCCGTCATGTCCTTCCAGGCCAACAATGTGCGCGGCCAGTGGAAGCGCGCCTTTTGCAGCGCCACGCTCGTCGGCTTTGGTGGCTTTGGTGGCATCGCCGGCAGCTTGGTGTTCCGCGAGCAGGACAGGATGACGGGCTACAAGCCGGGCATGTACGCCTGCATTACGGCCGCGCTCATCAACATTCTTCTCGTGTGCATCTGTGACTTTACCTTTTGGAGGCAGAATGGCAAGGCGGACCGTGAGGGCAAGATCCTCGAGGCCCACGACGTGAGTTCTCCCTGCATTCATTCCTTGAAGAAGTGATACTAACCTGCTTATAGGATGATGCTTCGTCGGATTTCCGATACACGTACTAATTGGTCACTGGCAGGCGGCATCCAGGGAGGATGCCACATACTCCGTACTGTGGGGTGGGGGACACATGCGTATAAGGAACTCTATATTGTCACTGAATGCCTAGTACCAGCTATTTCCGCGATAGTCGTAAGCCTAGACGTCCGTGCATGCGGGGAAGTCCACTACTTGACTCCTTAGAACCAGAGTACTTATCGTGCCACTTGAACTTGCCTTGGATCGATGTACCGGCCCTCATCGAAGCTGCATCTTCTGTAGACGCCTTGTCATGCGGAGGTTAACTTTTTCTGTATCAGGTAGGGGTGATGTGAATAATTTGCTGATATGTAGGCTCGTGACTGCCGAGAAGATTGTACCTCTCCAGCAAGTCACTGCACAGGGGAAATCATAGCGAACTGACAGGAATAACAGACCCCAATGCTGCTCTCTTGCCTTTGAATGAAATGCAGATGTGTATAATTTCAATCATGTAATCCATGGCCATCTCTCATCAAATATGTCGTCTCCAACACAACTTACAGAGCAAGCAGGGCAGCAGCACCAACAGCCAGGACAGTCCAGCCAGACACGCCGAGGACACCAGCAGCATTGCCGCCGTCGCCGCCCTCCGAGTTGTCCTCGCCTTCCTCCTCCTGGTCGCTATCGTCCTCAGTGCTACCGTCCTCATTGCCATCGTCGCCCTCTTCCTCATCAGAGCCATCCTCACTGTCCTCCTCCGCCTGGCCGTCCGTCTCGACGACACGCTCCTCGAGCTCATTGTCCAGAGGCGTGTGGGCCTCAATGTACTGCACGAGGACCTCATCCTGCGTATCGAGCGTGGCAAACTCCGGCTCGGGCGGGAAGATGGAGTCGCCGCCGCTCGCGAGGAAATTAAGCGTGACGACGCGGTACTCCTCCCCGTCATCGAGCGTCTCACCATCCACCTCGACGCTGACGAGGCGCGACCCGACGTCATTGTCCGGGTTGTACGCGATCTTGATGCCCTTGGAGACCTGGAACCACGAGGTGACCTCGTCGCCCGTCTCCGGGTTCTCGCCCGAGACGAGACCCTCGAGGATGTTGCGCACCTCCTCGCCCGTGTAGGTCAGCTCGACAATGGTGTTGCCAAAGGGGAAAGACGTGAGGACCTCGCCGCGGGTAATGTCACCCTCGTCAATGGCGGCGCGGATGCCGCCGGCGTTGATGAGGGCAAAGTGAGGGGGCTCGCTGTCCGTCTGGTTCTGGCGGTACTCGAGCATGGCGTCGGCCATGACCTGGCCCAGCAGGCAGTCGCCGTCCTGGCAGGTCTCCTGGACGAGCTCGTTGTTGGTCTCGCCCAGGACCTCGGCGGCGAACTCTTCAAAGGGGCCGCGCCAGGTGTCGACCTGGTCCTGGAGCTCCGACTCCTGCTCGGTGGTGTTGGTCAGGTGGATGGGCGCGCCGCGGTACTCCATAATGTGGCCGTCCTCGTCGTAAAGCACGTTGATCTCGCCCAGGTACTCGCCCCAGCGGTACGAGGTGACGATGAAGACCTCGTCGCCGTTCTTGTTCTCGACAATGGTCGGGTAGTCGCCCTCGGCGTCCTCCATGTCGCCGAGGAGGGTGTGCGAGTGGCCGCCGATGATGAGCGACAGGCCCTCCGTGTCCTTGGCGAGCTCCTGGTCGACCTCGTAGCCGAGGTGGGTGAGGGCGACAATGTACTTGACGTCGGGGTACTCGTCGCGGATCTCGTCGACGTACTTTTGGACTTCCTTGATGGGGTCGACAAACTCCGTCTCGTCGCCCACGTTGGCAATGTCGGGCGTGTCCTCGGTGGTGGCGCCAATGACGGCCAGGTTCTTGTCCTCGAAGATGTGGTAGGGTTTGATGTACTTCTTGAGCAGCTCGTTCTCACTCTTGACGTTGCAGGAGACGGCGGGGAAGGTGATGTTCTCGAGGAACTGGCCCAGCTCGTCGTCGCCGCCGTCCCACTCGTGGTTGCCCAGGGTCATGAGGTCAAAGCCCAGGTCGTTGACCGTCTCGGCAATCTTCTCGGGCCCGTAGAAGGAGTAGAAGAGGGTGCCCTGGAACTCGTCGCCCGCGTTGAGCCACAGATTCTCGGGGTGCTCCTCCTTGAGCTCGGTGACCTTGGTCTTGATGCGCGCGTAGCCGCCATAGCAGCCCTCCTCAGGCTCGGTGCAGTCGGTGCCGGACGAGGAGAACTCGTCCAGGTGGGCGTGGACGTCGTTGACGTGGAAGAAGGCTGCATGGTCAGCAACACGATTTCTACAACCAGACAGGTCTATTGCACGCACAGACGTTCCATTGGCCTTGGTCGTTCACCTGGCGCTTCATGCCTTGGTGGCGCTTGCTGAAGAGGACATCGTCCGCGAGGGCGGAGCCAGCGACCGCGCTGAGCGCGAGAGCAATCGACGACTTCATGGTCTGGTGATGGGGAGACGCGACGAGTATCAGTCGATATTTTTCTTCGAGTCCACAGAGTCAGCAGCACGAGCAAGAGGAAGAAGCGCGGCGACGTCCGCTTCTTATCTTCCCACAATGCCTTTTGCCAAGTAGACAACTTGATCGGTACCCTGATGATAGCCGACGAACTAACGTCTCCAAGTGGCAGGGGTCCGATAGGCACGTGGGGAAGGCGATTGGCTAGTTGAATAGATTTTAACTCTAAAAGGACAGAGATGCCGGGGCGTTCTTTGGTCAAGCATCCGGGGTCGCCTTGAGTTCACGCGTCCTGGCCCCCAATGGACGCGCCAAAATATGACACACTTTGTCTCCGTGAGGATCTGTGTTGCTTGGCGGCTTGTGTCTCAGTCTCTGCCGCCAGAGCACGTGGGCTCACAACTGAAGATGATGGCTAGTATCCTGTCGCGGTGGAGAGAGTTGTTGGCACTTGGAGGCAAATGGGCCTGCCGATTGTTCCCTCGCTTGGGTCGCTGATACACAGAATACATGTAGGCGGAGGTCTCCGATGAGAAGAGGTCCATTGGCGAATCAGGGCGAGATGCGTCGTTGGCCTTGGAGTTGCGTCTTTCGACATGCCTTTTTCGGTAAGGAGCCGTCAGAGACTCAGAAGCGCCAAGTGAGATTGGCGCACGAGATACATGTACAAGGGCCCTTTGTTCGGATGGCTGGCTCATTGAGGCATCTGGCATGTGGTGGTGGACTTCCATTGTATTGATTGACGTGCGATGCTCCGAGGTCGGCGCATGGTAGATACTCTTTGTGTGTCCGGTTGGTTGACCCGCTGGTATGAGATTCAAGAATCCAACCGCACCGGGACAGAATTTGTGGTGGCGCTCGAGGTTTCCTTCGAGAAGAACTGCGCGACGCCAATGCATGTGTGTTTGTTAGTGCGTGCGCCGTCCAAGGCGCCAGAATACCCTGGAAGCTTGAGATGTACCTGACTTCAGGGCCTGTGGCGCTTTCGCAGAATCTGCACAACACATGAAAGAAAAGAATAGCGACTCATACATCAGGGATTTTCTAAAGACGAGGAACGGTCTTAGAGCAGAACGTGGCCACATCAAAGCAGTCATCAGTCACGCCGCATCCAACAGCGCAAGAACGACTACCCTACAGCACCTCCCGGGGCGTCGACACATCTCCGGAGTGAGTCGGCCGGAGTGTTGATGCGAGGGTCCTTCAAGACTCAGGGCTACTCTGGCACTCTGGACGTCAATGTCGTATTTTCCCCTGAAGTTCACACGACCCATACCAACTGATTGCGGAAAGTGCCTAATAAAGGCTCCACGATCAAGGGACTAGGACGTTGAGGACTTTCCACGTAGTAATTGATCGAGTAACTCATACGCATTTACCCCTTATTCAAATTCGAGTACATACATAGCTCGCAAACTTACCTACTTGAGGGACAACCATCAAATCCCCATCTATCTAACAAAACTTCCACTCTCGCCAAGGCACAAACGCCAGAAACTCCTCCTCCGTCATATCATACTCCTCATCCTGAAGCTCACCCGCCTTCTCCCTCCTCTCGCGTTTGTTGCAATGCGCCCGTGAGAATCCAGAGGGGTCATAATCTCTACTTGTCCACAAAGGGCCAGCCTGGTACGTACGCTGCGGGAAGCCCGCGACATTCCGCTCAGGACGAATTGGAAGATGGGCCGTGCGTTGGCCGCGAATCGTGTTGAGTGGCATGGTATTGCCCCGGAAGACGCGAGGGAGAAGGGCAAATGGGTTGGCGGCCTCCCACTGGACACGCGCGCGGTAGAGACGCTGACGACGTTGATCGATATGCTCGTCAACATCCTGCTGAGTGGGCTGTCGGCCGGTCATGCCAACTCTGGGCTGAGGGCGTGCGGCAGGCAATGGGACGGATCGTGGGGCAATCCTGCCTCGTCGATCGGCGCGACGGGCGTCTTGTTGTGCGGGTTTAGGACGCCAGCTGGGCAGATGTCTACGAGAAGATGATGCGGTGTTTGCTGCCACTTGGCTTGCATTCGACGTAGAGGACGGACCGGGCACTGTAGCGAAGAGGTTGCTATGCTCTACTGGAGCAGGTTTGAACGAGCCCCCCACACTTGTGGGATCGAAGTCTCCCGCATCGTCCTCAGGCAGGTCAAACTCCGTCTCGTCGTCAGGTAGAAAGGTTGGTCTGGCCAGGGCAGAGCTGTTGGTCCTAGGGCTGAGGTTGCAGCGCTTGCTCTTTTCTACGCGGACACGCCTTCTGGTGACTCTCTTGACCCATTCAGGATGTGCATACCTCGTAGGCCGAATGGTTCTGGTCACGGTCCACAGCGTGTGGAATTCCTTCTTCTCAGTGCGCGTCAGCAGGTTGTCCTCGTCGTGGTCGATGACTGTGCCCTCGACATGTTTGTCTTGTTCGTCCTGGTTGCGTCTCTCGCACAGAAACCCACCTGGCAGGTGAGGTGTTTGGAACGCAGGGGTCGAGGGCAAACCAGGATCCAGTGGATCGCAGATGGTGAGCGATGCTTGATTTCCGTCCCTATTAGCATTGGTTGCTCCCAGGAGCTTAAATGTCCTACTGGGACGATGAGGTGGGCTTGTCTTGCTGTCGTCGACTCGCGGACGGATATCAGGATCAACAATGGCACGAAGGTCTGGATTGTTAGCAAATGCCGACGTCATGTCAGCCCCATTGGTGAGAGAAGCGAAGATGAAAGGATCGCCTGCGGCTGACCATGAGGGATCATCGTAGCTGTCACCTGGCTGCTGCTGAGACTCATTATTGCTAGGCTGTGGCTGTTGCTGTTGCAGATATTGCTGCTGCTGCGCTGGCGGAGCGTAGTACTGGTAGTACAACGGATTATGGAATGGCTGATGCTGATGCAAGTCCTGTGGGTTGACCGTGGCCGGCTGCGATGCTTCGTCTGTCCACTGGGCATTCTGGGCAGCGGGAGGACCGTGGCCCCAAGGGACTTGCGGCCAGGGAACCAGCGCCCACGGTGTATTCTGGACAGCAGGATACATTGCTTCCTGGCTATTGAAGCTTGGAGGGACACTAGGAGGAGCAGGCATACCAGGGACATGGGATGCATGGTTAGTCTGAGCGGGCATTGGATCAGAGGCTGTATTGCTGGGGAAACTTGGGACTGGGGGATACTCCGGTGCCGGATCAAGGGGATGATAAAGATTTGCGCCGTAGCCTTGCAACCCAGGGGGAGCGGCGGCCTGGTAGCTTTGCTGGAACCATTGAGGATAGTACATGGGATCGGCAAGGCCAGGCGCTGGGGCCTCTGAGGTTGGATGGACTGCTGGGGTATAGGGTCTCGTTGTGATCGGATTGCCTGGGTTGGCATATCGAGAAGTACTGGGATCAGGGCCAGGCTCAGAACCCTCTGACTGATTGCCATGCCAAAAGGGCGGAGGATTGTTGTAGCTCGGGTTATAATCGGGGCCGCAGTTGCTGGGCCCAGCCAAAGTGTGTACATGAACGGCGCGAGGATCGGGAACCACGTTGCTTGGGACCAGATTGCTCGGACCTGCATTGCTGCTAGCATTTTCCTCGCCAAACACAAGGCCTCCAACCCGTCTCCTGAATTCTTCCGGGTCAGCGGCTGACTTCATTTTCCGCGGCTTCCTGGGACGAGCTTGTGGACGACCTGTTCCCGTAACACCAGGCCGCGGTTGATCGGAGCGAGCAGCAGCCACAATAGGCTGGGTGTCGCCGCGAAGTGTGTTGAATAGCCTTGAAGAAGGTTCACCTCTCCCCTGAGGACGTTGGGCCCTTGAAGCGCCGGTTGATTCACCCTCCTGTGCCGGACCAGCTTTCTTGGGGGTGGCCTTCTGTCTCTTCGCAGCAGGCTGCGCGTTATTTGTAGGCGCGGCACGCTTGCCACCTGAATCACCCCCACTAGCATCAGTCGCTTGGGATGATGCCAGAGTAGCAGGACTTTGACTCCTTGCTAGCAGCCGGCCGGATCTTCGGACGGGCTCCCCCAGCCTCGTGACCTGCGTCCTGCTGGGCCTGGCTTCGGTGGCGGCCGCGTGGGCCCTGGCAGCCTTGTGGTCTGCTTCTTCTTGTGCTGCCTTTTCCTTGATCTTTTGAGCTCTGATGCAGGAAGGGGAATTTGTCAATTCATCATCCATATCGTCAGAGTCGTTGCTACCTGGTGCCTGTGGCGGCTGCTTTAGTAGTGGCTGTCTCCTTCTGGAGAGCCGGCTTGGGGTTTTGCTGGATGGCATTTGTGTTAGCTTTGTGTCTGCTTGGTTAGGTGAAGTCGTTGTGAAGATGATTGTCGAGCTTCGGGTCTGTTGCAATTTGTGGGATAGAGACATTTGGCGTCGAGAGTGGCTTTATGTAGACTATCTCCCAGTGCGGATTCCATCAGTCGGCAATTATGGCTTTATTCCTTCCCATGAAAGTATTGTTGTTCGTCATCAAGGTCATTGTTCGTGAAAAGTGTCCCTGCTTCGAACAAGAGTCGACTTGCACGACAAGGCATTCATTGACACTAGGGCCACCGACACGATCAACGTTGGAGTTGTTTTTTGCTGACGCGAGAACAACTTTTTGAGACCTTTCCAGGTCGAAGACGGCCACATGGGAACTGGCTCGTCTCCTGCGGTTGTACATAATGCCTTTGTCCTGACCTCGACGGGGCCCAGGGGAACATTGCTCGCGATAACCATAAGTGTCTGTGCTCAGACTCCGGTGATACATTGCATTGTCTGGTTGCAAGAAGTGACTTTTGTACCCGTGTTTTCAAGTCGAGGACAATGCCAGCGCCCGTGCATGTTGCTTCATGGTGAACATGAACACGAACAATTGGGTTCCTCACATGCAACGGGTATTCAAAGGTATTTTGATCAAATACATCCTGCTATCAATGTGATTCATTTTAATTAGTGCGAGCGTACAAGTCCTGGCGAGGCAAATGGATTAAAGCGGCCTCTGCTCCTCCTCGTGCTCGACCACGTCCGTCTTCCCATCTCCGTTGATCGTCTTGACATGGTTGTGTTCATAGGAACGATCATGCACATAGCCACTGTTGCTGTTAGTCTGAAGTCTTCCAACATCATCGATTCATGGACACTCACAAAATGACATCAAAGTCCTCGAGCGTCTTGCCTTTTGTCTCGGGCAGGAAGACAAACGCCCACACGGTGGCGATAATCATCCAACATGCAAAAAAGAACCACACGCCGTAGCCGAATGATTCAAAAATGTACGGCAGAGCCTTGGTGATGACAAACTGCGCGAGCCTGTTCCAGTCAGTACCACTGTCTGCGCAGCCATAAAACCAAAAAAAAAAACAAAAAAAAACCAAAAAAACCACGTACCATTGCGACATGGCAGCAAATGTGCCTGTCAAATTGCGCACAGCGCCGGGGAAGATCTCGGCCGAGACGATCCAGGGAATACCGTTGAGACCGAAACTCCAGAAGACACTGTAGATCATGATCATGGCCGTGGCCGCCTTGCCGCCGGCCGCCGTCGAGGACGACAGCTCGTTGCCGGCCGCGATCACGTCGGCGGGATGGCCGACCTTGACGTAAGCCCCAACGAACCAGAGACAGAGCGAGCACGCGAGGGAGGAGATGATGGTCGGGTTGCGGCGGCCCCAAACATCAATGAGAACACCGTAGAAGAGGATGGAGGCTACGGCCTTGACGAGGCCGTAGATGCCCGTGTAGAGGGCAACGTCGGTGATGCCGAGGGAGCCAAAAAGGGCGGGGGAGTAGTAGTTGATGGCTGGAAGTCCTTGTTAGCATCGATCTACTATGTCAAGGAGTCAAGTACGCACCAGCAGCACCGGACATGTTCTGGAGGCCAAAGGAGATGAACACGAGGACCACACGGTTCCACATGCCCTTCCTCGACAGCTCGAACAGGGCACCACGGAAGAAGGCCCACGCGCCGTCGCCATACTTGGCCGCGAGGGCACTCTCATCAGCCAACCTCGAACGGATGCTCTGGACCTCCTCTTGAAGGTAGGTGTGGTTTCGATCCAGACGCCTCAGCTGCTCAAGCGCCTTGAAAGCCTCCTCGTCGCGCTGCTTCCTGAACAGCCACAGGGGGCTCTCGTGCAGGAGCCAGCCGGTGGCGAGGAGCATGCCGCTGGGGATGATCTGGACGGCCATGGGGACGCGCCAGGTGGTGGTGCTGGCGGGGTCCATGTTCTGGTTGATGCCGTAGTTGATCCAGAAGCCGATGAGGGAGCCGGACTGGTAGGTGACCTCGAAGAGACCGGTGAGGATGCCGCGGATGGAGCTGATGCTGAGCTCGGCGATGTAGGAGGGGACGGTGGCGGTGATGGCGCCGCAGGCCAGGCCGGTGAGGACACGACCGGCGTCTATCTTGGTGAGCTAGAGTGTCAGAGACCGATGGGATGGACTCACAGATGTACGAGAGCTGGTGTGTCGCGGCAGTCATGATGATGGCGCCCACGAGGAAGATGACGTTGGAGATCATGAGGGCCCATTTGCGGCCAATTTTCTCGGTGACTGGGATGTTAGCTTTCGCATCGAATACTGTTGGAGGTATAGACCTACCCAGGAAGCAGAAGATGGCACCAAAAAAAGCGCCCGCTTGGAACGAGGCGGTGATGTTGCTGGAGATGCTCTTGGCCTCGGATTCGTGGATGTTGAAGTCGCGCACAAAGGACTCGCGCGCAATGGTGGTGCCGATGAACGCAGAGTCGTAACCAAAGCTACATGTAGACTTTTGTCAGTGAATATTCTTGAGCAATGGAAAGATGGCTTGTACCCACAGCAACGAGCCCATGGCAATGACCGCCGCCTCAAAGTACAGGCGCGCATTGTACACCTCTTTGGGCGTTGGCCGATCTTCCACAGCCTTGAACGTCATGGTGTCCGTCTTCTGTCCGTGGAAGAGTCGATGAGGTGTTGCAGGTGTCGAGCGCGATGGACTGGACAATGAGGACCTGTTGGCAGTGCAGATCCTCCAACTTGAAGTCAACGCGAGGCCATGGGGTATTTAAGTTGCGGTTTCCCCCACAAAACCACGCTCGTCCCCGGCTACGTCGCGTGGAAGCGTCCAGTCTCCAGAGTCCAGACAGGCAGCGTGGTAGGCGGAGAAAATCTGGGGTTGCGAGCAATCACCCGAGCAGCAGCCTCATGCGATGCCGACGCCAAGTTCGCAGTCTTTCTGCAGGCGTGCGTCGTTCCCGACAACGTGGGAGCGCCATTTCTCGGAGGATCCATGATTTGCCGCCTGCCTAGCGAGTTAGGGTGCTGTCAGGTGTGAGCTTGTGTCTGTCGGACTCTGTCCGTGTTCGGTAGCCGACAGGCGAGCCGACCGACGGGGATATTTTGGTCGCGATGCGCGGTGGCGATTGGCGGCTTCTTCGGCTTCTTCCTCGATGTGGGTTTAGTGGCCGACTAGATTGGGCTGGCTCGGGGAGGGGAGGGGAGGGCGAGGGCCAGGGTGAGCCTTGCGGCTCATAATATTACATGCACTAGGCTGGTTGGTGGATGATGGCCATCGGGATCGGGACTTGGACCATCGACACTTTCAAGATTCATTCGTGACGTGAGGACTCATGCAGGCATGTCGTTGGACTCGTGAACATGGATGACATTCAACGCTGTACATGACATTACTCTCATGCTGTCTAACTAGAGACCTCTCTTGGCGAGGCTCTGCTCGACCTTGCCCAGCGGGCCCACCACATCCAAAATCCATTTCTGCTTGCCAGCATCGTTAAACGTAGGATACGGCCGCCGGCAGTGAGCGCTCTCGAGGTTATAGCCCCTAATCTTGGCCACCACCCACTTTGTACCGTTAATGCCACCCTTGCCGAACCCCCATTCCGCCTTGGCCAGCTCCAGCTGCGCCGCCTGCGCGCCCTGAGGATCCCCCTTCTTCCACAGGTCGTAGATCTGCATGCACGCCTTGGGATACAGGTTGGCCACGCCTGTGATGACGCCCGTGCCACCGACAGACAGCGCGGGGACTAGCCAGTCACTCTGCCCGGCGAGGGCGGAGAAGTCCTCAGGGCGGTGCGCGGCGGCGACGCGCGCGACCTTGGCGATGCCGCCGCATGTGAGCTTGACGCCGACAATGTTGGGGTGGCGTGCTAGTGTGTCGAGCATCTCGCTGTTGACGTCGAGACCGGCCACAACGTTGGGGAAGTTGTAGATGAGGATGGGGATCGGGCTGGCGTCGGCCAACTGGGCGCCGTCAGTTCGCTACTGTCAAAATTCCATGAGTGGAGGTTGCTTACCTCCTCGAAGAAGCCGACAATGGCGTCCTGGTGCATCGCAAAGTGGAAGTAGCTCGGGACCAGCACCAAGACGTAGTCCGCGCCCGCTTCCTTGGCCGCTACCGTCTCCCGAATCACGTCGCGGGTGCACTGGCCGGTGCAACCCATGGTGACTGTGATATCGGGCCGTCCGAGTTGGGTGGCGATCTGGCGAGTGGTACGCAGGAGCTGGGCCTTCTCGTCGGTGGTCAAGGTGACTGCTTCGCCGTTTGTACCAGCGATGACGACTGAGGGATTAGCACAGGAGGGCGGGAAAGAGCGGGGAGCAACGTACTTCCATCAAGACCTGACGAGATGAGAAATTCAAGATGAGTCTTCTGGAGATCCCAGTCCAGCTCCTGTGTCGCATCGTTCTTGAACCATGTCAGGCAAGGCACATGGATGCCGGGAGGATAGGCCTTCTTTGCGGTTGGTACAGAACCCATCATGTCGTTTTCCGTAAACCAAGATGAAAAGGACAAGAATGATGAATGGATCAAGAGAAAGAAAGAATCGCCAAAGTTGCACCTTTTGTCCAAAATCAATGCGTTGACGGACCCCCCATCAGTCGCGACACAAGGATGCGGGGAATCTTGGGGATGCATGCTCCATTGCTCGCGTCCAAAAGGTTGGAGAAGCCGATCGGCAAACCTCGCACGGCGGGGCGCCCACAGGCTTGGCTCTGGAGTCTCGACACGAGCGACCATTGTCGTATGACTGACTGTGACTCCAACAGCTCACGAGCCATCTCGCGAGTCGACAATCGGGCGTTCCACAGCGGATCCAACAGGAAAGAGAATAGCAGACTGTCACACGATCGCAAAACACGCGTTGAACACGGTCAGCATGACGGATCGAATGTCCACCCGCGCCTTGGCCGTGTCCTGTCGCGCCTGCACCTCCTCTAGAACCTGCGCCGTGATCCGGGCATTCCCTGCGACCCTCTCCATCCGCAAGATGGTCTCCTTAATCCACGCGCGCTCGCCCATGTCCTGCTCCTCCGCGCCGAGCATCAGCAAGGGCCAGAGCATGTTGATCGGCAGCGAGTCCTCCGCATCCATCTCGTCCACCATCTGCCGGACGAGCCTGCGGATGTTGTCCAGCGCGTCCATGGCCTCTTTGGTCAGGGGCAGCGTCTTGTAGGCGACGCGGTGCAGGTGCACCTTGCTGGCGTAGTAGTTGGATAGGTACGTGCGGAACGCGCGCGTGATGACAAATGCGAGGTGCGCCGAGACGTGCGGCGGCTGCAGCTTGCCCGCCACGGCAAAGTCCATCAGCGGCGGACGGTGGTCGTAGAGATTGCGCAGGTCGGTCGCGATGGCGGCACCCATGTTCATGACCTCTGTTTCGTCCTCGACGGTGCCCCGAGAGCGATGCCACGGATCGATCTTGGAGATGCGCCCCATGAAGCTCTGTACTTTCTGGTAGAGTAGAAGACAACACCAGGCTGGTAGAGGACCTGGAAGAGGACGTCTTCAATGTCCCCCTCGGCTGGCTCCTGTCGGGAGAGGTCGTCCGTGTCTCCGCCGTCAAAGCTACCGGGCGACGCCTCCACTAGGAAAAGCTCATCGGCCTTGGAGAGAAAGAGTCCGTCCCCCCCTGCCGACACTGCTTTGCCGTCGAGCAGCCGGAGCCACAGCAGAATCTGCTTCTCTAGCGCGCCAAAGCTCTTCTTGTCGCACCGCTGGAAGATCTTGTAGGCCCTCTGCAGATGCGAGTGGCCCGCGTCCAGCTTCATCTCGAGAATGTCCACGTAAGCCAGGAAGAAGAGGGCCGCCAGCAGACATTCCCTCTCGCTGCTGTGCTCCACCAGTGACTGCTGGTCGTAGTCCACCACCCGTGCCACCGCCGATTCGTAGTGGTTCCCCTCGCTCACCACCAGCGAGCGATCCCGCCGCCCAACTAATACTGCAGAGAAGGCGAGGATGGCGCTGTGCAGCATGCGCGAGTGCTTGGCCATGTCCACCACCGTCTGTCGCATGAGCACCCACTTTTTCTGCGTCTCGACCTCCTCCAAGATGGGCGGATTCGCCGACGTTGCAAAAAATTCCATCAACTTGTCGCCCGTGAGATTCACGACGGGCTTGTCCGCTGCACTGCCGTTGCTACGCATCGCAGGCGTGCCGTACGTGACGGGCGCCGGGGCCACCATGTTGGGGAAGCGCAGCTGCGCATCCGTGCCCATAATGTGCGTGTTCAACCCGACGTTGGATCCCATCTCGGGGCTGACCTGCTGCCAAAAGTCACCGCCCTCCCACATGAAGCTCGCGTAGTCAAACACCTCGTCCACCGCATGCGGCGCTTGCTGGCCCCCCAACCTGGGGCCTCCGGGGGACACATCCGTCATGGGGGACTGCGTCGGGGGCTGCGACGGGCGCCTCTGCGTCGAGGGACGTGTCTGCGGTCGCCATTTGCACTCCATGTTGAGGCGCTCGCAGTGAGAGCATCGCGGTCGCTGCTCGTCGCACTTGACCTTGCGGCGTCTGTTTGTGTGATGAGTAGCATGCACTGAAGAGAGGAAGGGAAGAGGACTCACTTGCAGGTCACGCAGCCTTCGCGCGAGCGCACGTAGCGCCGCCCTGCGCCAGAGACAGAACGAGTCCTCGAGGGCGCCTCATTGTTCGTCAATGTGTTACCGGCGACTGACCACCCTGCCACAGAGACTCGATCCATTGTCTTCGTCGGGCGACTCAATGGCAGTGATTCATTGTCGGCAAGAAATCGGACAGAGACGTGCGATCATGTTTCCCCTCCCCCAGAAAATTGATCAGAGTTGGGGAAGTTGGTCGCTCCACCTCGCGGACCCGTCGACTTGTGAGGTACGTACGGAATCAAGATGACCAACTGACTACAGCTGGTCGAGTACTCATGGCTTGGGAGGGTAGTCAAGCATAAAAACTTGCATAGAGATGTGACAATTAACTCCCAGAGAAACTCTGCTTCGGCGATTCTGACACTATGCTTGTTGTGAGTTGAGGTCAACCGTGAGAGCTGAGAAGTGTCGAGTGGGTAGAGATCTAGGGTAGCTCAAGCCTGGACAGGGTGGTGAGGACCGGACCAGGATGCACCGGGAAGGACTGTGATACCACGATGTACGAGCTAATCATTTCAAGAATCGGGCACTTGGCCTCAATGGAGCAAGATAGGGGAGCAATACTCCACTGATCGTGAAAAGACCCTCCATCGGAGCCGCTAGACGGATCCGAAGGACGAAGCGCTGGACAAGTGCAGATGCAGACAGACTAGCCCAGGAGATAGTGAGATCGGTTTTTGAACAATAGGGAGGAGAGTATTGTGAAGGAAAACAACCTGCGATCCCTGGATCGTCATGACTGAGGTGTTATGTAAAGACAAGTCAAGACACATGAAGCGAAGAACACGTGCGCCGAGGGAAACACATTTCCGCATTGTGAATGTCTCCTGATTGAATTCCTCAACCAGTTGAAGTACCTTCCTCATTAGCAGCAAGGGAACAGATGACGTAAGAACGTACATCTCAGAGAACGGGGGGACTTTCGGGTTGACCTCCCTTTGTCACACCTTCCAAGTTGCCATCCCTCACAAGCTTGCCGATGCGCATAACTCTCAACTCAAGCATTTTACTCGAAAAGAATACGGAAAATCGCGTCACTACCCCAGTACACCAGAGAAAACCTTTAAATGTCTAAAGAACTTTGACGGATCTTCAAAGGCTGCCCCTTGCACTACTGACTGTGGCCTGCCACTCGCCATTGCGTGCCCCCGGTATGGGAACACCTCCTGACTCCAACAAGCCTGGAACAGCACAGCATCATGAAAATCATCGTGGAGAAGAGCCTGTCCCACAGGTCGCCGCCTGTATGTATTCTTCTCACTGTACATCATTTCGGGCCCCGTTGACTGATATCGCAGGTAACGCCCAGGGCCTGCTGGACCTTCGGAAGAACCTAGAGGCCCGCGCTGCCACGACTTACGCCCCGCCTCCTAAACCATCTGAGCAGACCATAGGCACCGATAAAAGAGACCGTGTTCTCGGCACCGGGGCACGCACGCCGCGTAGCTTGGCCGCCGATGCCCAACGACAAGCGGAGCACAGACAGAAGTTTCGGCCGGAGGATCCAGCGACGAGGAATCTGTGACTGAGTGGAAGCATGGGGAGAAGATACAAGTCTCTATTATCGATTATGTATTTAACTCTAGCGGCCTAACCACCCCGATCAGTCCTGTCGCGCAGGGTCCAGGGTGACCTTATTCCCCGTAATCTCATCAATCTCATCCATCACCTCGGGCGTCAGTTTGTTCAGCACTGCGAGCGCCTTGACATTCTCCTCGAGCTGCTCCGGCCTGCTCGCGCCGGTAATGACGCTGCTGACGTTGGGGTTCTTGAGACACCACGCTAGGGCCAGCTGGCTCTGCGTGACGCCCAGCTTGTCGGCGATAGGCTTGAGCTTCTTGACAATCTCAATCTCCCTCTTCCACGAGTCGTCCGTCGCGCTCCCCATGCGCTCCCGCATCATGGCCGCGAAGCGCTCCGACGAGGCACCGAAGCGCGAATCCTTGGGCGGCTGGCCATCCACCACGTCGTTGTACTTGCCCGACAGCACACCCATCTTGATGGGGCTAAAGGTGGTCAGCCCCAGCCCCATGCGGCTGTACAACCGCTGGAATTGGCCCTCCACCTTGTCCCGCACCAGCATGTTGTACTGCGGCTGCTCCACGATTGGGGCGATGAGGCCCAGCTGCTTCGCGATGCCGACCGCCTCCTGGATCTCGTCGGCCGACCACTCACTCGTGCCCCAGTAGAAGGCCATGCCGGCGTTGATGACGTAGTTGAATGCGCGTACCGTCTCCTCCATGGGCACGAGGCGGTCTGGGCGGTGCGCATAGACAATGTCGACGTAGGGGAGCTGCAGGCGCTCGAGGGATGATGTGAGGCCCTCGATGATGTGTTTGCGTGAGAGGCCGTGGTTGTTGATGAGGATCTCACCATTCACGGCGCCCCAGTTGACCTCTGCAGAAATTAGTCTGGAAGTGTACAACTTCCCACAGGGCACTCACTCGTGCTGATGACCAGATCGCTGCGCTTCCAGCCAAAGTGCTTGATGGCCTTGCCCATGACAATCTCGCTCTGGCCGGCCGCGTAGTTCTCGGCATTGTCGAAGAAGTTGATGCCCAGGTCGTACGCCTTCTTCATGCAGTCAAAGGCGGTCTCGTCCGCTGCGTAGCCGCCGTAGGTCATCCACCCGCCGAGCGAGATGGCGGACACGTAGAGACCGGACTTGCCCAGAGGGCGGTACAGCATGCCCGTGTTGCGGGGCTCGGGGAAGGCCATTGTGAGGGCTGTGAGGGCTGTGGAAGGGATGTGAGAGGAAGTACCGGGGTGAGGACTGAGGACTGAGGAGGTCGAGACGGTTAAGAATAGAGGAAAGTAAAGAGGCCGGGTTCAACAATGACAGAAGAAGAATTTTATGGCAGTCCACGGCATGCGAAATGAGCCCATCGCAATTGGAGACCGGAGGCCACTTTCTGGATTCTCCGCCGGAGGAATTCTCGGACGGACCCTGCTTGGTGGTGGGGGATGTCTAAGTCCTCGACGCCTGGGTCCACGCGCCTCCGCCTTCCAAGATGCGGGGAGCATAGTGGGCGGGGTACGGAATACTTTTGGAGGTTTCCGATCACCGAATGTGTCACTCACCGAGAGTGCGGTCTCGGACTGATGAGGAGGGGCATTACTTGAAGAGATATAGTGGTCAATGTCCAAGGGGTAGCTTTGGGATAGGTGACGCTCGAGAAGGCCAACAGTGTTGGCAAAAAGCTTTGGAATGAACAGGTCTGGCCCGAACCACAATGGAGAGCAGCGGAGGACAGGTCAGTGCGTAGCGATCCACCCACCTTGACCCCTTGATTAACGGCTACATCGCCCGCGGCTGCTCCAAGAGCATCCTCGTCAAGGGACTCGGGCTCCTGAGCAGGTTCCCAAGATCCAGCGGCGGCCACGCCAACTCCTCACCCTCAAAGCCACTGGTCATGCCCTGTCCCTCGAGAAAGTCCCACGCGTCCTGTCCCATCAGACGGGGCGGGCTCGGGTTCTGGAAGAGCTTCAAGTCAGGACAGCACGCTGCCATGCGCGCGTTCAGCAGATTGATCAATGTCTTGTTGCCACCTCGCGACGACGACAGGATGGCGTGTAGACCAGCCAGGACGTCCTTGGGTCGATCTAGGGACGAGGAAAACGTAAAGGAAAGTCGGCTGTCCGCTACAGCATCCACCACAGCCGTAGCAATCTCGTAGGTCTTAAACTCAAGCGTCGGACCCTGACTCTCCAGCGCGCTCATGGGAAGGGCACTCACTAGGCCCAGGAACTCACTCGCCACGTCAATGGGATTCAGGAGTCCGGGGGCCACGACACCGAACCGCAACGCAGCGCGCCAGAGCACGGCCCGCATCCACTGCCGCGTGACGAGCATGTCGGCCCTCTGCACATCGTTCCCACTCGTCGCCTCGTCCTGCTCCTCTGTGAGCTTTTGCTGTAGTAACTCTAGACACCCGCGTGCCAGGGACTCCATGGACGAGACGTCCGTGTCGGCGTTGCGCAGGAGCTCAAAGATGCCAGACTGGTCGAATGTCCAGAACAGGTGGACGAGCTTGAGAAAGGCGGGGAGGACAGGCGCCGAGGTCTCGGAGTGCTCTGCGAAGCAGGGCAGCAGGACATTGGGCCGGAGAATGTTGGGACGCAGGACGACGGGGAGCTTGTGCAGCATGGCGACGCCTCTTTATACTTGTCAGTCTAGTCCGTCGAATGTGTGAATAGACAAACATACCGCTCAGTCACGAAAAGCAGCCAGAGCACGCGTCTCAGCAGCTGCTGCTTCGGCTCTGGGTGCTGCGCATACGTCGCCTCGCGATCTATCCGCAAGATCTGCGCCTTGGTGATGGCCTCCCGTAGGTAGAGCAGGCTCTTGATCCCGCCCGCCTGCTGGTTCTCGTGGTAGATGTGAAGGTAGAAGGAGACCCGCAGGCTATCCAGCAAGTCGAGCGAGGCCTTTTGCACATCCCTCTCGACGAGCTCGACATCCGGTGACCAGGCCGCCCTGAGGTTGAGTTGCGCGACGGTAGCCAGGGCCACAGCCTGCGCCAGGTGATGTGCGTTTTCCTCCCTCGGTTCTGCCGTTAATTGACGCTTCAGCTCTCGCGCGTCCAGGATGGGCCATATCGGGAACAGTCTCTCGGCGTAAATATCCAGCAGACCAGCTAGATCACCCTGGCTGCTGTCCGCGACGGTGCTGCACTCCTTGGCGATCCTGTCAATGGTCCTGGCCCGCAGGGTGCGTGGCCCTCGTGTGAGAGGGGAGCGCTTGAACGTACACTCAATTCCGGCGGCTATGCATCCCGTGCACGGCGGATGTTCAGAGCATTTGATCTTGCGGACCTTGCAAGGGTCGCAGGCGCGCTTGACCAGATTCTGGCGTGCCTTGGGTTTCGGGGGGAGGAGGGAGGCCATGGCTGTGGGTTGGTTTGGTAACGACGGAATTGGAGGTTACAGAGGGGAGAAGGTGCACGCGTTGTCACGTGTGGTCAGCTTTCGACGGTAGAGGTGACGGAGGTCTTACTGCCGGCATGGGCGCGCCAGAGGGTGATGTGGTGATGGAACAGTCTCCGGGTTGGAGGACGAAGTTGCTGGTGACTGGGAGGCCATTGAAAGCTGACTGTATAGGGTAGTCAATTTGACAGCTGAAGTGCTTGGCACCAGTCCCACTTGATTTCAATGAACCGTATCACGGCTGTCGTCGGTGCAAGATCCGCCAGGAAACAAACACGCCTTTGACAACAGGAACCCCGCGGAACGTGGTCGCAGCATGCTTTGGTTTCCTTTGTTATTTGTGATATGAACGGAAAACGATGAAAATCGGCAGCTTGCGGAAACGCAGCGGCGACGCGAGCACGCTGCGTATTTGAGAATCTCGCGAAAACGGTACGGTCACGGATACCTTATATAGACACGCGAATAGTGAAACCCCAGCCGGTCCAGGCAGCACATCCATTGCTACGTGTGCCTGAGACCACTCCAAGCCTTTGTTAACGATCATTGAACCCAAATTTTGGAGGCCGAAAGAGGAAAATGGTCACTTCCAGTTTCATGCAGATATGGATCAGCGTGTCGATCGTGCCTAAATTACTGGCTTTGCAGAGAACTGAGCCGCCCCATGCGATACAATATGATGCCTTGCTGCCTTTTATGCAACTCATCTATCCTTCCCTCGGACAAAGCAGGCCCCAAATTATCTCGAACCCGCTGATTTGATTGATCGCTTCCCAAAGATCATGACTTCTGGGCGCTTTGGGGGCGGAATCTGGCGTCCGACTCTCTTGTCCATCATCTTCATGTTTAGCACTTACACTCGACGTGATTAAAGACCAATCAAACAAAACTGACGACTGTGTATCGCCGGACTAAAAATTTATCATCATTATCCGCATCCCCAATTGCAGCGGTCATAGTCGTCAGGCTGCTCACAAGACGAAGCACAGACGTGATGTCGGCAAGACTTGGCGCCAAGGAGGCACAGCAGGCAACAATCAAACGACAGGGGTAATTATGCTTATAGAAAAAGTCCGTTGCTTCTGTCTGTGGTGATCATCACAACATCCAATTCACGCGCTCCAACTTGAGTACTCACCAGACTCAACTCAGTCACTCGTTTGAATCTTTGCTACTCGGCAGCATGAGGGGACTTCACAACATGCCGCTCTGCGCGGCCATCCTCCTCAGTCACAGCCTGTTTGGCGTGGCGGCAGCGGACCTGGCTATTGACTCACGCGACGACATGGTCGAAACAGCTGGCATTCTCGCCGAGGACGTCATGTCTTACTACGACGGCGACAAAGCCGGCCACATACCGGGCGTTCTGGGCCAGCGAGAAATCCACTTTTACCAGAGCGGAATATTCATGGGCACCTTTGTCAACTACTTCCACCTCACGGGCGACGAAACCTACAACGACCTTGTCCAGCAAGGTGTGCTGTTCCAAGTCGGCCCCGACGAGAACTTCAGTCCTTACAACCAGACAACCAGACTCGGAAATGATGACCAGTGCTATTGGGCCCTCACAGCCATGGCGGCTGCCGAGTATGAATTTCCTGACCCGCCCAAGGGCGAGCCGCAATGGCTAGACCTCGCCAAGACCGTCTACAGCGACCAGGTCGATCGACTCGACAACAAGTGCGGTGGCGGCCTGCGTTGGCAGATAATCAACCTTAACGTCGGGTACAACTACAAGAACGGTATGAGATTCGCCTTTGTCTGCGGGCGAAGCAAACATGCATATCACAGTCGCTGATCGACTGCAGTAATTTCGAGCGGGTGCTTGGCCAACCTCGCCGCGCGTCTGGCCCTCCACACGGGCGACGACAAGTACGTCGATACCGTTGAGGAGCTCTGGGACTGGCTCTCAGAATCGGACCTCATAGATGCAGACTCTGGGGCCGTCTACGATGGGATCGTAATCTCAAATGATGACTGCGACGCGGACGCTTTGCAGGTATCGCACAATGCTGCCATCTTGACCTATACGGCGGCCGTCATGTACAACCATGTAAGTGAGATCCTCTATCAACACAGCCCCCATTTCTACTCGGGGATACTTACTGACGCGTCAACGCCTTGCTAGACCGACGGCTCAGATACCTGGCGTCAACGGCTCGAGAAGCTCTCCGGGTCGTTGCTCGATACGTTCTTCGACGATGGCGTGGCCATTGAGGCGCAGTGTGAACCTTACCTGCTCTGTACACTCGACATGCCCACCTCAAAGGGCCTCATGCTGCGCTGGTTGGCATCCACGGCCCGTCTTGCTCCGTTCCTCGCGGACAAGATCCAATCGAAACTGAAGACCACGGCCCAGGCTGCTATTGACCATTGCGAGGGCGACAAGTCGGAGCGCGAGTGTAGTGTCTATTGGTCCAACGACAGCTTTATCAAGCCTGAAGAAAGTGGACTTCTCGAGAAGTTGGCCGTCCTGTCGTCTGTGCAGGGTCTCCTCGCTCTTTCAGACGATGTCACGGCCAAGAATTCGGCTGACAAGGACGAGACTTCGGACAACAGCTCGGATGAGGATGAGTCCACACCCCCAAAGCCAGGGTCGCCCGAGGAACCGGATGAACCGGATGCGGCACACAAGCAGGTATCAGTGGCTCATCTCTTGCTGCTTGGGTGCGCTGCGTTGGCTTTGGTCTAAAGGGTTTGACATATTCATGTTCGCGGAGATACAGTCCTCTCCGTGTCTATCCACTTTGTACATTCTGAAGCCATCAAGGTGGAAGCAACTTTGATAGCAAAGACAAATTAACAGTCTTGGATATCCTATCCTGCCAAGATGGATATTACAAATCCACGTCTAACAATTTGCCCGCTACAGTCTACACTCTACCAAGCCGCCCAAGCAACCGGCCCTAAAGGGTACAAACGAACCAAAAGCTTCCTCAGCTCGTCCATGAGTAGAATATCCATTGCCAGGGGACTGGAGTTGGTATAAGCCAAACCTCCCCTCGGCATAGGTGCCGTTAGGAACAGCCTGTGCAGGCCCGGCACTTCTGTCAAAAATATGGCAATGGAAAGACTAATCAGCACCCCTGAGCAGCAGCGACGGATTCTGCCTCGCCTTGGTGGAGGGGTCCGCCTGCAAGATGCTCAACCTGCAACTGTCATCCCCACCGACTGGTCGCGCCCTCACTCGACCTGGACACGTCTTGGCAGAAGTTCTCTGGTGCATCCGGAGCTTTTGTCAGCTTTCCGAGGGTCATCCATTACATGGCAGAATCTGTTTCTGTTTCATCATTCCGAACGCCGGAGTCGTCAGCCATTGTTTTCGGGGTTGGAGCGGATTTCCACGAAGCTCATTCGAGCTACGCTAAGCATTACCATACTTTGTGTAAAGGAACGATGAAGGCCTAGACGAGACCCGTCGTTTTTCATATCCTTATGGAATGTTTCTGGGAGATCGAAGCTTAGATCAGATTACTAAACTATAATTCTGCACTTTCACAATGTAGGGTAGCGCGAAGGTGAAGCTACAGAGTAAGGCACGGTTCAGAAGCTATACGAGCGTTGTTCAATATATGTAAGTTAGATGCATATAACTATTGTGCTATCTTCACCATTGCCGATGCCCGGAATAATTTCTCCCTTCCAGGCAGGGCTTTTGCTCTTTGTTTATTTTTCCTCACTTAATGTGATCCGCCGGGCTGGACAATCTATCTCTCTTATGACCTTGTCTCCTGCCATGGTCGATGTACAAAAAGAATCACGGAGATGACAAATGTAGACAATGTCAGCTCCAACGACAGCATGTCATCCGAGGAATGTAAGTGTACACCCTCTGAAGTTTATACAGGTGCTGCCGAACATGATGTCAACACCGCGTTGAATCAACGGAGTTACGGGACGACCTACGCGATGAAGTCATCTCTATCCACCAAGTGGCCAGACGCTCACAACGGACTCCATCGGATTCTACATAAATGCACAACCTTCGTATCGGCTGGTGTCTCGGTTTTCGTCTTCTGGCATCTTAAGTCTCGGAATCAAAACGTCCTACTTCCAAGTATCGCTTCCCCGCAACCCTCACGTCGTCTAAAGTAGCCAAAGCATTACGTTCAAAGAAAAGTCCAGTAACATGGCCACCATGAAAGAAACACTGGTCAACGCCGATCTCACCACCACGACGCAAAAGGTTGCCGTTCCCACCCCGCAGCCAGGCCAGGTCCGCATCAAGGTCGTCGTATCTGGCACCAACCCGAAAGACTGGAAGATCCCCCAGTGGATCCTCAAAGGCCCCCAGAACTCGGGCGATGATATCGCCGGAGTCGTCGATGAAGTTGGCGAGGGTGTCGTTGGTTTCAGAAAGGGGGACAGAGTAGGCGCCTTTCACGAGATGATGGAGCAGAGCGGGAGTTTTGCAGAGTATGCCATCGCCTGGGCGCGAACGACCTTCCATATCCCTCATGACACTACTTTCGAAGGTACGTTCGCTGAAGCGAGAAGAGCGTGTAAGAGAGGCCTAACCGCAGTGCAGAAGTAGCGAGCATTCCCTTGGCGGCAACGACAGCTGGACTGGCCGTCTACCAGCGCCTCAGGCTGCCCATGCCATGGCAACAGGCGCAGAAGCGGACACCCCTGGTCGTGTACGGCGGCGCATCGGCTGTGGGGGCCTACGCCATCAAGTTTGCTTCGCTGGCTAATGTGCATCCCATCGTCGCCATCGCGGGCCGTGGAATCCCCTACGTCGAGACACTGCTCGACAAGTCCAAGGGTGACAAGGTCATTGACTACCGCGAAGGCGAGGAGCACGTCATCAAGGAGCTGCAAAGTATTGAGCCCAACGATGAGGGAAAGATGCATGCTGTCGATGCCGTCTCAGAGAAGGGCACCGTTGGACACTTGGCTAAGATGAAAGCCAAGGACATTCAGATTGCGACCGTCCTCGACACTACCATCAAACCAGAGGCTCTGGCTGAATTACCGAAGCATGTCAACATCATGTTCACACAGGTGGGGCACGTTCACCGAGTCTACTATCCCAACCTCGAAAAGGACGTCCCCTTTGACAAGCAATTTGGCGCCATACTCTACCCCTTTATCAGCCTAGGACTACAAGAAGGCTGGTTCTCGGGGCACCCGTACGAAGTCGCTCCAGGTGGTCTGGAAGAGGGAGTCAAAGTAGCCATGGGGAAGCTATCGCGCGGTGAAGTATCAGCAAAGAAGATGTTGATTAGGGTGGCAGACGATGAATGAAGTAGCTAGGCTATAGCGCATAACGGTAATCAGGGTGGAAATCGGGCTCCTTCCCAGCAGCAATCTCGGCCTTGCGCTTGTTCTCTGTGAGGGTTTTTCGCCTGTTGTCCTCGCGGTGGAGATATGTTTGTAGAGTGATGTGGCCTAGGACGGCAAGTATGGCAGCAGCAAGTGAGCCGCTGAGACCTATGGCATGTTTGTCATTCTTCTTGGTTCGGAAGATCTGGCCGACCTAGATCCTCGTTAGAATGTATGAATTGATGGAAAACAAATTCTTGACGTACCACCATACCCTGCTGTGCTTCCAACGGACTGGTCCATACCAATGGCCATGGCGCGCTTATAGTATGGCGCATGACTATTGAGCAGCCACGCGCAGTTGAGCCCGACGATCATGTACACCCCCGGCGCAATGAGAAAGGTCGAAAATTATAGAGCCCTCCTCTAGTCCATGGGCACGCCTAGATTGACAGCATACCCGACGGTCGTGACCAGGCACGCTGGCACCATGAACATCGCCCTCTGCTTCCACTTGTCGCTCATGTACGAGACTACCATGTACGTAGCGCTCGCCCAGAAGAAGACGGGGATGGTCAGCAGCTGCGTCGTGACAACGTCGTAACCGAAGCTGTGGGTGATCAACGGCAGGAACGAGCTCAGGCCAAAGGTGCAAATGTTGGCCATGAACTGACTCCAAGGAAAGATATACAGCTTAGGATCCTTCACGACACGCTTGACTCCGGCCCAGTCAAAGTCGGGCTTTCCGTTGTAGCGCGCGTTGATATCGGCGTGGACATGGGACATGCATCATGGCCTTCTCGACCTCGTTGAGGAAGCGAGCGTGCTCAAGGTCATCGGGCAGCATGAAGTGGGTGAGGACGGCAATGGCCCAAACGAACAAAACCGTGTCCTCGATCGGCCCTTTGCTGTGGATGACAGTCAGTTCATAGGCGAGACTGCCATCATCACGACCATGAGTCTCACATATGAACACAGCTCGACTTTCCGTTAAACCTCGCAGCTCCATTCACCGCTCTCACCCACTGAAGTTGGCAGCGTCCGCTGCATAGGCCTCGACTTCAAAGTCCATGCTGCGGAGCTCGACTGGCCCCAACCTACCATCCCAGAAGTCTTCTTGAAGCCCTCCACCGCAACCAGGAACCCCTCCGCACCCATCTTCTTGCCCTCATCAACACCAGACGTGGTCGGTACAGAAGTCGAGTTGGCCATTGTCATCGCAGAGGACTGCAGGAACTTCAAGCAAGGGACGCCCAGGGCAAGACCTTGCAGTGGGGATGCAGTAAAGGTCTTGACGGTTTCCGTCCGCTTGGTCCCTGTGTTGTGCGCAAGGAGCTGATGGCAGACATAAACCGTGGTGTGACCCTACAGTCCACACTCAACGGGGAGGTCTTGCAGGACGGCACGACGGACGAGTTCATCTTCTCTGTGGGCGAGATTGTCGAGCACCTCTCGGGCAACAGCACGCTGCCCAAGGGTACCGTGATTTTAACGAGGACGTCTTCTGGTTGCGGTCACGGGCGGAAACCACCTCGATACTTGGAGCTGGGCAGCGACTTACAGAGTTCCATATCACATGGCATCGGCACTTTGACAAACCCGATTGTTTCTTCGTCAATGGTGTAGAAAAGTAATGAACATCACCTCGCCTCCAATGTACCAACGAGACCAAACCTGACCCTGCTTGGCATGGAGACTTATGTCATTAGATACTATGGATATAACTACAAATAAAACGTTTCGACCAGCCAACTTACTTAAGATCTTGCCTCGGGCTTCTGCTCTGCTTCAGTCATTTCAACATCAGCCTCGCCCTTCTCCTTGCTACCCTCGACTTGCCCCGTTGCTTGAGTGGGTTCAGCCGACTCGCCTCCCTCTTTCGTTGTCTCCTGAGCATCAGCGGCCTTGTTAGCTTCTCCTGATGCCTTGTCTCCCTTCTTCCCCCAAATGCTCGGCATCTGCACCCCCTTGCCCAGATTCGACACTGCCGTTGGCATCCCGATACTGGGCATTTCAGGCACCTTAGTCGGCATCCACCCTCTCACACCAGAGCCAGCCTGCTCGGCGACTTGGAAGAGGTGTTGCATGTAGGTCCTCTTCTCGTCGGTGTCTGCCTCGGGGTCCGCAGTCAAATTGTCCCCGCCCCCTGGAAGCGGCACGAGCGCAGCCGCGTTGGCAATGTCGATGGGTGACTCATCCGGCATACCCCCATCGTCCTTCTCCGCAACCTCCTTAGCCTTGTCCTCCGCGTCGGCGTCGGCGTGCTCTGCCTTTTTGATTGCCTCGTCGACAGCCTTATCCTCGGACTTGTCGGTCTCGTCCTCGGGATATCCGGCATCCACAATCGTCTTGTCGCTGAGGAACCACTCCTTCACCAGCTCAGCCGCACGATCCGTCATGTTTTCGTATGCCCTGTTCTTCTGCGGGCGGAACATGCTCACATGCGCGCCAACCTCGTCTTCCGCATCGCGCAGCACGATTCTCTCAAACAATATGGCAGCAGGATGGTCGCCCTCGGGCACTGCGCAGAACATGCGCTCTGGGACGAAATACCCGCCGCTCCAGTACCCGTTCTCGCCCATGGACACGTAGAAATCGTGAACGCCAACGCCCTCTAGGGCAGCGAGGCGATCCAGTCGCTGGCTGAGCTCCTTCGGTTTGAGGAGCGACCCCACGAATGTGAAGTGATCGGACAGCCAGGCGAAAGACCGTCCCACGTTGCCACGGTTGATGTACGCTAGACCCTGGCCCAGTGACTCGATGCTCTGATTGTACCCATCCACAACATCTTCCTTCTTCAGGTTCCGCATGTTCTTGACACCCTTCATGATCGCTTCGCGGTGCACATACGCGGCAACGCCACCGGCAGCAATGGCGCCCACCGTGCCAGTCCGGACAGCAATGAGCTGCCAGGCCGTGGAACTACCGGAGAAGGAGCTCGCGCTGGCCGCTGTTGCCGCTGTTGCGTTCCTGTTGCGAGAGAGGCGCGCCAGGGAGGCGGGAGCGGCAGCGGACAGGGCCGTCATGGCGTTGAACACGCTGGATACCTTTGAGTAGTTGCTGAACGCGCCATAGACAAACATGGAGCGCGCAAGACCATTGTACGGCGTGTCAAAGGTGAGGATGCCCTGTATGAGCGGAAACAAGGTCTCGCTGTCGGAGGGGCGGTCCTTGAGGGTGAGGAAGAGCGCGTCAGCTGCGACGAAGCCACTGGTGTCGTTAGCAGAGAATAGCTCCAACGGTCAGGGGGGCCGTACATACCCCATGGAGTGAGCGACAAGGATGACACCGACTTTGCGATCGGCGGGCGGCCACGGTTTTTCGAGTCGTTCCTTGCGGACATCGATCACACGTTCCTTCAGCCTGTGTCTGCATGTTAACTAGAGTGGGCTCGGTTTCCACGAGAATAACTAGACCTGCCATTCGACAAAGCCTGCTGTCGCTTGCTCCAGCTCGCCCTTTGTGTCATATTTAGGATACACAACGGACTGGACATGATGTTCGGGCAACTGCTTCGATACCTGGCGTTCCAGGTCCCCGGGAAAGTCTTTGAAGGTGTTGTCGGTTCCCTACACCGGTGAGTGGCGTGCTTTTTTTGGTCCAGGGCCTAGCTTACTTTGAACCCATGGATGAAGCACAGCAACAATGTACGTTTAGATTCTGCCATTTTGAGCGTACGATTGTCCAAAGAGTGTAGCAATAGAGCTCCCTACAAAGGTATGAGTTCCTTCACTGGCTACCACCCACGAATCTACTGCCGCGAATTCCCTGCTTTCGGCCGCGAGATCAGCCACACCCTCGCATAGCGGCCGCCAAGTTCCAAGTTTTCGATGTCATCAAAACGATGATTCTGCCTGCTGTTAGATGTCTAGCGCTGCTTCAGCACCAGCTGTGGCGAGTGTGGCGCAGATTGAATGCGCGCGAGGGAATTGACGTCATGATGGGGGGTGGGTTGAGGGGCATCCACGACCAGGACCAGGATCAATTCGCTTGTTCATGTCCACTCAGCCATGCGAGATTCCCGTGCCTTGGCAAGATTCGAGAGATCTCACGTATGAGTCTCATCGCGGGCAGGGATGCGGCAGAAAGAACTTCCTACGCCTCACGCTCAATCCAATCCCACCACCCTTGATCCGACAAGATCGAGCGTACTCGCGCCTCGAGCCACTCCGTATTGCCCCAGAAGCCCCACGACGCTTGGAAACGGCACCAGTCCACCAGCGCTGTCTCCCAATGTCTGCAAAACCCGTGCCATTCGTATTCCGGCGCCTTGTCGGTTTCGAGTAGAATCTCGCGATAGCGCTCAAGCAGTGCCCTCTCTTTGGGCTGCATCTCGAGCCTGTGCGGTACGTCGCCCTCGACAAGCATGGTCTGCGGTACGGAGCATGTGAACAGCTTCGCGAGGTCGCTCACACCTAGCCCGATGCCCACATACTGAAAGTCGTAGAACGCCACTTGATCCCCATCCTTGGACGCGAACATGTTTTCTGACTTGACGTCGCCGTGGATGTACGTCTCAAAGGCTCGACCACTGGCGCTCAGGAAGGACGCTGCCAGGACCGCTGCTGGTGTCTGGTGTTGCCCGTGTGGACGGCAGAGTGCCGCTGACCATTCCGACAACTCGTCTTTCTGGAGGGCCTGAAACTCGGATCGTCGTGTTTCCAGATAAGTGTAGCCACCGTTGCGCCACACCGATCTGCCCCCTTTGCGTCCCTTCCTTTCCTGTGCCTCTACCAAGGGCGGCAGAACAACGTCCTCCGGATTGAATGGAAGCCAGTCCCATGATTTCGCATGGAATCGACCCAACCACGTGAGAGCTGAATATACCACATCCAATCGCAGCATTTGCCTCTTGCTGAAGTCGACAGGGAAATCAATGCGCAAATCCGTCAAGATCATGGCCGTGCATTGCGACTCGGCTGCCGACCCCTCTGTCTGATTAGGCAGGGTCCTTGACGAAGCTACGCACTTGGCGACGGGTATGTCGCCGGGAAGCGTAGTCGCGAGCTCCTCGTAGAAGTATTGCTCGACATCATAGCTCAGCATCTTGCGAAGATCACCTTCACTCGGTGATTCTTGGCTTCCCGGTGGGGGTGTGACGATCTTCATGATGAGAGGGTATACCGAGCCCTGCTGTCCGTTGATTCGGCCCAAAAGCCTCTCCATATAGGCCGCGCCTTTCGCGCTGCTGGCCTCCGCATTAAAAGCGATGACTTGGCCGTAGCCGCCCCATAGCGCTTGCACGGGCTTCCAGTGTTCGAGGCTGAAGGAGACGGGTTGCAGGTCGTGCCGGGCGAGCAAGGACGTTGCTACGCGCTCAGCTTTCGGCTGGTTGGGGTCGGCATTTTTGGAAGCGCCCATTTCTGCGCCCTAAAATGGAAGTGATCACCAATGAGGATCAAGTGAGGCATGCAGGTGAGAAGGTTGGAGGAGATCATTCATGCTTGATCCGGTCGATTGTGTTTGATGAGCGACTTGAAGCTGCATTGTGGGTCACACGTGATTGGTCGGTGTCTTACACCACCCGATTCGCGAGGTGAGCTCTTTCTACGGGTCCAAATAGATGACAGAAAGAATCGCACTGACTCACGATGCAATAAACGCAGAAGTCAACACAGTGGTTCTGCACAAAGAAAATCGATTATTGAAAAAAGACTATATCAAAGCCCACCTCTGCACTCGTCATCACAATGCAGACCCGTCTAGTACGCAAAGCGAAAGTCAAGACGCTTATTACCATCCTTCTCGCGTGCCTCCTGGTCATTCTGATAGACGAGCTTCTCTTCGGCCGTCATAGCATCCCAAGCGCAAGCCTTCCTCTTGTTGAGCAGGGCGAGCCACTGGCGCTGGACAAGGAAGACGACGAGACTGAAAGCGAGGATGGACACGCAGACAGTGTTGCCTGTCTTGTAGTAGGGGCCATCTTGTTTCCTGTAGATCTGGCTGCCGGCAAGTGATCCTCTGTAAGATGTTAGCAATAGTGCTACATGTTTCGTAAACTTCGACTCACAATTGTACAATCACATTGTAGGTCGCCGCCGTGATCGCTCTCTTCTTAACGTCAAACGTGTTCTCCGAGATCCAGGAGCTGACAAGCGGATGGAAGTAGGGGTACCCCGAGATCAGTGTGACGAGCGCATATCTCTCCCACTCCTTGCCGCTGTCCGACATGGTCAGGAGACCCGTGAACATGGGCAGTGACCAGAAAGCACCAAACAGACAATGGAAGGCCCTCTCGTTGAAGTATTCGGACGAGTAGGCGAGAGCCAACATGGTAATAATCTGCAGGGCGGCGGAAGGCGCAGTGAGAAGGTTGCTCTGCAGGGTGGTGAAGTTGCCGACGCGACGGAGGGTGAGCGTCAGGTAGGCTTGGACAGGCGTGGCCGGGATGTAGGCCACGAGGCCCACGAGGTAAAGACCCCACATGGACTTGTCACCCCACGCGCTCTTGACGTCCTTGACGGTGATGGGCTCCTTGAGACTCGTCAGACCCTTGGCCGGATCGTCGCGCAAAATGCGATTGACCATGATGGCCTCCTGTCTCTCGGTGTACCAGGGGCTGCGGAAGAGGACACTCTTGGTCCCGACGGGGGACGTTGGCAGGTAGAGGAAGGAGACGACGCCAATGAAGAAGGTCAGGAGACCCTCGACCAAGAACAGCCAGAACCAGCCCGTCTTGCCGCCAATACCACGCATCTCAAGAAGACCGGCCGCCAAGAGGGCGGAGATGACGCGGGCAACGTTGAGGGTGGACCAGAAGGCAGCCAACCGAACCGAGAGCTCGCGCGATGTGTAGAAGTAGGTGGCCATGAGAATGGCGCCAGGGATGAAGCCACCTTCAAACAGACCGATCAGTGCGCGCGTGGCGTAGAAGCCAGCGCGGTTCGTGATGAAGGCTTGGAAGGTGGAGACGAGAGACCAGGCGCACATGACGAAAGGCAGGACGTTCTTGAAGCCGTAGCGCTTGGTGAGAATCTGAACAGGGAACTCGGCAAACAGGAAGAAGACGAGCTGAATCGTGGTACCCTGCGAGCGTAAGCTTGACTCTCCTCTCCCTGGGAGCACAAATTACATTGTTATAGTCATCTGTCGACAGGTTGAGGTCCTCGAGAAGGTTGTCCGCCAGCGCATTGGACAAGTTACCGCGGTCGAGCTGCAGACCAAAAAACTACCGAACGATGTCAAAAACCCGTCTCTGGGAGTGTAGTCTGTGACTTACCATCACGCAAAGCCATGTCAGAAGACACAAGTCCGTCTTGCGCACCACGGCACGCTCTTCGCCCGGGGTCCAAGTGAGCTCAGGGTCAAACCGATGCTTGCCCTCGTACGAGTCGTGAGGCTCCACGACATTGTGGATATTCTCACGGCCGACCTCGATATGGGCCTTGTCTGGCTCGTTGGAGTGCATGGAAGCACGGGCAACGTTGGCCGAGGACTCAATATCGTCATTGCCCATGGTGAGGGATGGTATGTGCTTGTCTAGTCGAGGGACTGGTATTGGCGTGCGCTGCGTAATGGCCACGGTCCAAATGGGCGGATCCTGGTGCCCTTTTTGATAATCTGGGGAAGCTCAGGGTGGCCAGCGTGACACGTCGTCGAGATCGAATCGGAGCCGTCCGGTGAATCTATACCCTCTAGACCGATATAGACGGAGAAATTATCGGCACCTGGCATGATTGTCTCATTTGGACCTTGCCATGACGAGCAGCGCACCATGTGCTCCTTATTGCGCAGCAAAGGGCGGCCAGGACCCCAAATCTAACCCTGCCCTCTTCCCCACCCGCCTCATCGGTTCCCCCCCCCCTGGTAAGGGGAGGCCAAGCTGATTGGTCTCATGCAACGCACCGAGCGTGGGGAGCATAAGAATGCGGGGAAGACGGTCTCGAACCCCATGGAGGGCTGATGCCTCCGAGCGAGGCCGAAAGAATCTCCCTCCGAGATATTCTCCGGGTGCGTTGCAGATGGGCAATTCGTCAATTGCGTCTCCGGATGCCGTGCTTCACTTCCGAGCTGATTCGCCGAGACTGGCGGGTATATGAACGGCCTCAACTTCCACGCCCAGAACAGAATCCGCTTGTCATCATCCGGCACCACCAAGACGTGATCAAGTTGCCAGCCATAACACTGCACCTTGATCTCTATCCCCAGTCACTCCTCGTCGAGAAAGGCAAATTTACGCCCATCGCAGGCAATCATCCACCAGCACCAATTCCAGCTCGCATCAAGGATTCAAGATGCCGTCTGCCACCATTGACCATGCGCAGGACTCCATTGTCGGTGGCCACCCAGATAGCCGGCCTCGCCTGGCCAAGCCCCTGACATATGCCGGCACCCTGGATAGCTTCGAGCAATTCGACGTGACCCCGGTCATTGGACGCGAATACTCGGGACTGCACCTGCGCGACCTGCTCAAAGGCTCTGACGAGCAGATGCGCGACTTGGCGCTGACCATTTCCCAGCGAGGCGTCGTCTTTCTTCGTGGGCAAGGCGATGCCACGCCCATGGAGATGAAAGATTTTATGCTGCGGCTGACTGAGGCGAGTGGATGCCCGGCAAGCTCCGACCTGCATGTGCATCCTCTGACCGAGGAGGGCAGCGAGCTCGGCGACCAGGTCAGCGTCATCTCGAGCGCGAAGCAGAAGAAGGGCGGAGGCTTGACCCATCAGTTGAGCGATGTGAGCCGCTTTGCCAGCACGGGGTGGCACAGCGACATGTAAGTATAGTCAAGATGCGCAGAAGACGTTGGAATTTGACACTGACTCCTCGAAAAGCACCTTTGAGAAGGTCCCTTCAGATTACGCGATGCTCAAGATCCACACTTTGCCCCCGACGGGCGGTGACACTGTGAGTACCGGATTCCAGGTTTAAGACCACTCTATGCTGACCACTGCAGCTCTGGGCCTCCGGCTACGAGATCTACGACCGTCTTTCCCCACCCATGAAGGCCTTCCTCGAGACACTGACCGCCACCCATGACGCCTCCTTCTTCCACGAGGAGGCAGAGCGTCTCGGCAACCCCCTCCGCAAGGAAAAGCGCGGCTCTCCCCTCAACCAAGGCGGCGACCTGCGCGCGGTGCACCCTCTCATCCGCACCAACCCCGTCACTGGGTGGAAGTCTGTCTATGTCAACAAGGGCTTCACCAAGCGCATCAACGATATCACCAAGGACGAGAGTGACGTGCTCCTCGCGTACCTTTTCAACCTGGTCACCCAGAATCACGATGCGCAGGTGCGTTTCAAGTGGAGTGCCGGTGACCTGGCCATCTGGGACAACAGGTCGACTTTCCACTGCGCGACGTATGATTACAATGCCGACAGAGCGGGCGATCGTGTCTGCAGCTTGGGCGAGGCGCCTTATCTTGATCTCAACAGCAAGAGCAGGAGAGAGGCATTGGGACTGTGATTACTTGATGGAACGATGATAGGTAATGAATAGAATGAAAATTTTGATTTCCTTAAATGACTCAACCCACTTCTAAGACAGGTAAGACTGCACGTCACATGCAGACATGCAGCTTTGGTTAACAGTGACGGCGTCCTCAGCCGTATCGCTCCACCTTGTACTCCACCTCCGTCTCGGAAACCACAGTCTCGCGCAGGCACAGCTTGCTATACTGACTCTTCAGAGTCTCCAACATCTCGGATACGCTGGCAGGGATAGGGCGGATGCTCCCGGACATCTCGCAGGTGCCGCTGCAGAGCTCTGCTCCACTCTCAGAGAGCATCTTGTATGTGAAAGAAGGCATTTCTCTGGTTCTTGCGGTTGGATTTGCGCTTGGAGTTACTTTTGGTTGACGGAAGGAATAGATTTTCTCATCATGCTGGCGATGTCCTCTCTTAAATCAAAGTACGTTGGGATGTTCAGCTCTGTTTCTTCGTCGCCGAGTGACGGCGTTTTGCAACGCACTGCACTCTCGCGAACTAAGTTTCACCAACTCTGGAGAAAGGCGAACAATCTACTTGTTAGATGACACTCTCTGGCGACGAGTCTAGTATCACATTGAGACTTCATCATATGTTCTCTCAATATGGAGCGACATATCTGTTCAAGCGTGAACAAACAGACAATTCTGTTGTGTTCTTGATTGTGTATGTACGAATCCATGCTGGGGTGGCGCAGCGAATAGCAAACAGCAAAGAAGGACTCTCACTGGCTTTGATCCACATCCGGTTCACTTATCCATCTAACATTTTTTGCTTGAATGGGTGACAGGTCAATGTGTCAATCCCTTTGTTCTCGAGTTGCTCATCATGTGGGCTGACGACTACCGTAGAGTGTGCCTGGATATAGTTGCTAAGCACCAAAATATCTGCGCATTTTCATCAACAAATGCGTTTTCCTGACTTTCGGGGATTCTATGCCTACATTTGGCTGGTTGGGGAATTACTGCATACTCAATATGACCTGGTAGGTTCTCACACCGTCAAGGAGATTCAATGTTCCGTCTACTGGATATCATCATGCAGTGCGAATACATGCTCTATCTTGAATAATCATCTACAAAGCTATCTTTCTTATGTAGATGTAATAGCTTCATATGTCTGTGATTCTCCTACTTCGTTCCTACATGGGCTCACTGCGCCATATCTCCTGAGCCGGACCCCGGAGTATCCACAGATCCTCACACTCGGCCATTCGGTTGTGGCAGCATCAATCTTTGCGTATGAAAATTGATACATCTTGCAATATCCCTCCCACTCATTCAAACTCTCGACCCGAAGCTCAAAACAGACATCAAGATCGGACAATGTGTAATCCATCTCCTCGACATATAGGCTGATTCCAGCCCACTTTGGCACGCTGATGCCGAGCAAGACACGGTCGAGAGTGCGATAGGGGATCACTGGTTTCCACAAATTGTCTTTAGCAATTCGGCGATGACCGCTTCTGTCAACGTATAGGTCCTGGACTGGTGTGTCCCTGTCCGAGGACTTGTTCTGATTTACATCATGGTCCTTGAGGACCACAATTCGATATCTATAGGTTGGTGAAGTCATGGTTCCGGGGCGATCGACTGTAATTGTTTGTCGTTCAAAGGAAATAAAATCGGAAAGTGTTAAGGGCATTTTTGGTCAGTGCCAGAGACCGCGGGTCAAGTAAGTCAAAGGTGCTGGACTAGACTGACATTGGTCTTCCGGGTGCAGATTAAGGGCAGTTCCCCAACGAATAAAGACCACTTTACTCTAAACGAAGACAAATTGATAGAACAGCAGACATGGACATAAGGGAACTCGTTGAGAAGGCTTCGCAAGTCGTCAGATAAAATCCATCACCCGATGTTGTTCGAGTGTGTGCCTTGGAAACTGTTTCCGTTCCAAGATGTTTCGATTTATTGATCAACGGACTGTAATACCATGCGAAGTCATTGGAACTTGAGGGCTGTCTTATCGAGTGTTTTTAGAGCCTGAATGCACAGAGGTGACATAATTGTGATGCATTGAATCAAATATTCTCTTGATTCCAACACTAAGGATATCTCTCCCAAAAGCTTGAGTCTCACAAAAAACGTAGTTCCCATTGTACAAGTCAGCCCAGTAATCTTTTTGACGCTCTTAGCTACGCAACCACAACGTCCGAGTCCACATGATTCACCACGAGCATCGAGCATCGCAGGGTTTCATCATGGACCTTCAGAGCTCCGCATCGTCACTCACCTCTCTGTTCTCGCTTGAACCCTACCGACGCTCCAACATTTCCGGCGCCCTCTTCACATTCAAGCTCTCCATCTAGTTCACCCGGAAGTACGCGGACACGGATGACAGGATTTTGGTACTTGACCAGGGCATCTTTGGAGATCACAGGACACATGATGCGTCAAAGACCGCTCATATCCCTAACACATTCGTCAAGTGGTTCCAGGGGCTTAAAGACACTTCAAACGGCTTCACTATCTGAGTTGGCCCTGGAAAACTCGCTTCAGGCATGACCATCTACCACACTCACTTTGTGGTCACTCTGGAGCACACTAACAGCTGGCTCTCCGAGACGGTCAAGTTCCGGGTGAGAGACGCAGCAGGGCCTTTCATGCGTCTCCTTTCTAATGGAGCTCCAGTTCCAAAGCCTGGCAATTCGCATGATGCATTCACGGAAGGCTAACATTTGGCGGTTTAGTGAAACATCTATCATTTTTGTGTAGAGATGGACTGTTTCTTATGGACATTAAAATGAAATAAAAGTAGCAATTCATCATAAAGAATTCCAGATGTGCATGAAAAATATTACCCTAATCCACAAAGATTTGAAATCCAACAAGATGACTTAGTACATACCACACCTTTTGCACAAAAGCAACTTCTGGCGCCAGCGCCAGCCAGCGCTCTATCTTACCTCATTGTCCGCGTACATGTAGACGTGGCCGTGCATCTGCGCTATAACGAGTAGTCCGCCGGAGCGGTTGAGCCTGTTCAGCATGATTGATGTCAGCGTCAATCTCGGCCCAGTCGATTTTGTCAGTCTCGGTGTCACGATCTGTGCGGGAAAACAACAGCCTGGTAAGTTCAACCTTACGCTTCTCAGCGGATGGGTCAACATCCTCTTTCAGGTGAACGGTCCAAACAACATCGACATCGCCGTCACCTCCGCTCATCGTATCAAAACCTGCAATTTTGGATGCACAGGGTATTAGGTCCTGCACTTCCTTGGGCAGGCGGCGGCATCCGTTCTTGCCGGTATCCCCCAAGCCTGTAGCCATGAAGACCTTGAACCAGCCACGGGCGCCGAAATTGTCTATCACCGAGTGGGTCGTGAACATCTTCCAGGTGAACTGCTCACCTTCAGTCTTGAGATTCAGTGACATGGCGAAGCGTTTAGTCTTGAGTATGGCGAATTTGGTGTCTTTTCTTGATTGATCATGAAGAGTTTATTAAAGAAGAAAGGTTGCATCAAGTTACACATCGAGAGAGAAATCACTTTTCTCTCGATGCTAGAGGTATTCTTGCCAGGTCATCCCAAACAGCCACGTACAGGTTTTTGCATGCGAACAATCATTGACACCAGCACCGTCCTTGTCCACACTTGTTCTAGTCGAATGCGATTTTTGAACACGACGTTCGTACGTTGTTTGTAACAACAAAGGCCTACAATAAACATTCACTGACCTGGGTGCGTTTGTTCTTTGGACAGGGTTCACGCTCTTTGTCATCTCAACGGCTGGGCATTGTCACTATTCGTTGTTACTTCCACACGCAATTGCTACACAATGCACTGTACAATCAATCATGTCGAAAGCAATCGGACATTTTTCACGCGAATTGATCTGTGAGAACGATGAATTGACTTTCTCTCGAACCATCAAATGTCCCAAGGCGCACAGTGAAAGCTTCAACCCCTGGCCAATGAAATGCCAGTGCTTCTCAAACTGAACAGTATCATCACGTCTACTTCAAAGTTATTCCACAAGAATCTCAACATGAAAATTCCGAGCCGCACCATGGATCCAATGGCTTCATGTCTGGTTCCCATTCCCGACAACGAGCTCGTGCCTAGGATCAGGCCCGACATCTTCACATACCGAGTCGTGTCAGAGGCCACACCGTACCGCCGCGACGCCTTTTTAGGAGACTACCAAACCGTCTCACACTTTCCATGGGCTTCGGATTGTATAATTCTGAGTTTGTCCGCGAGATCCCCGAAGAAGTGGTCAGTATGGCTAAAAGAATGCAAGGAGAGATTTGGGAGCTGGATGAAGAGTTTCTGGGCAGGCCAGAGGACGACGAATTGCCGGTAGACGTGGTCTATGTTTTCCGCCAAGGCCATCGAACCGGCGAGATGTCATGCCCACTGACGACCGCCTACTGGAAGCCTGAGCATCCTGGCGTCTCGAGGGGGAAGGACGCCTAGTGGCAGGTCACTGGTCTGGTTCAGCCATGCAGAATCTCAGCGCCAGTGGCCACCAAGTCCACTATCAAAGAAATTCAGGTAACGTGGTGTCATTTCCAGCATCCCATTTGTAGGTTCTAGTGCTGACACAGGCACAGCCAAATCCATCTTCACACATCACCACCATATGGATGAGCCCATTCCATAAAACCTCTATGCATGGATCAGTCGCCATGCAGCCCTCTGCCCTTGAACATGGTACAGCATGGTCTAGAGCTTCTGTGCAGCACAGATAAGGTTTAATTTTGGATCTCGAGAAAGTTCTGGACCGCAGCGATCTCCAGAGCCCCGCTGCTGCCCTGGACGATTTGTTCAGCACAGGCCGTGGATCGACTCTTTTGTCTCGAGAACGATCTTGTCCGCATCAGCGCCGAAAAGCTCGTCTTCTGTGACGAATGTGCCATGAGGCGTGTATCCATGAATTAGCCCAGCTGTGTTGTTGTATACTATCACGTTGTTGGGCTGTTCAATGATTTGATGTTCTCGCCTACTCCTGGGAGATGCACAACTACATCAATGTCGAGTCTTTGCAACCGAGCGGCATGACCAACACCAAATTCTTTTCAGGATAAGTGGTGTCTTCAAAGCCCCAGCCGCCGGGATGACCACTTCTCGCGCGCTTGCGGTTTACAAGCTGCCGTCCGCGATAATGAAATCGACCACTTGAGCCACAGGGTGGCAGGGCTCTTTCCCAACGCATGAAGCTGTTTCTGTTGATGAGTTGCAGGTTTCGCGGTCCGTTATCGGCCACAGAAAGGCGGTACCTGTATTTGATTGCTTGTTCGTCACGGGGTCGAGTGTCTGGGGACAGATACTGTAACCATTGGTTTCACCGCGGTTGACATCGTCCTTTTTATCATGACCAAGATTCCTTCATGTCTGGCGGACCAGCTCATAGCAGTTCCCGCTGTGCAACTCTGGATTGAAACCAAAGCTGAGCTCACCATTGAATCCGTGGTATTGTTTGTCGCAAGTGGCGCCGGCGTTGAGTTGCCACTTATCAGACGCAAACAGATGCTCCAATTCGATTTAGTACTGGAGCATCGTGTCGCAGTTCCACTCTGGGTTCCCGATACTTTCCCATCTGCATCAAATTGGGCTATGTAGCCTCTAGTGTAGGTCATGCCTATAGTGCATGGGTTAGTCCCCAATGTCTATTGCTTCTATTTACCTACCGTTGATCAAGCTGGTTCCGCCAATGCCCTTGCCCGCCGGCATGCTCATTCCCCTGTTTCCGAGTTGGGACTGAGGCTCACTCTGCTAACCCAGTTGAGTGATGTTTGTCCCACCTCTATCCATTGCGCAGTGTGCTCGACTGCTTCATTGCCGCTTGTGTCGACACTAGGGTCGATAAGGGCGACGGATAGCTTAGGGTTGCTTGAGAGACGATTTCTTAGTAAAAAGCCACATGTGCCTGCTCCAACGATGATATAATCGCAGACTGCGACGGTGGCCATTGCAGCGAACTTGAGTCAAGAAGATGAATTGGAGAACCGACAGCATGAACTTCGACTGACGACGGGCTCTTTTGTGACGTGGAGGTTATTCAGGCTTTACTTCGCCTCAAGTCGATCGGCAAGGTTGCATCTAGATGGGATATTCATACCAATCCGGTTATCACATTATACTCGGCCCCTAGGATCAGGTCCATCTGGGGATGCGGGGATCAAGGGCTGCATCGAGATTCGTGAAAGGAGGAGACTTTACTGATGTCTGGGACGGACTGGGAGAGCCTATCCCCCGGAGATAGTTCGAGAAGTCTCTGGCGTTCCGCTTATCTATAGTCCTTCGATGTTTTATCTCCAAACAGATCGTCACCAATATACCCAGCTCATGCATGAGCACCACCTAGATCTGTCTATACTCTTGCATCGGACACTCTTCCTGACTCCAAGCCCGTTAGCGCGGCTGGACGAACATCCCACCTGGATATTAACATGGTTGGTCTTGCGGGGGCTGTGGTACATGCAGCTAGTCGGGATCTGATGTGACCAAGGGATGGCCGAGCGTTCGCACCATATTTGTAATTTTATGCGCGTCCGGAGGCACCTACAGGCTCATCGTCGTTATACGTGTGCATCCGGTGTTGTTATAGTTCGTCTTCCTAAAAGACTGCTCTTCGAGATAATAGCACCGTCTGCGTATGTCCCAGCGGTGTCCCCGCTGCTCTCCACGGAGAGAACAGGATCAATGCCATGAGCTCGTGAAACTTTCACCGTGTCAGTCCACATCTGGTCCAGATCATCCAATGCTACGTGGCGGAAGCCGCGCGCTGGCGGAGGTGGAGCTCAGAGGCCCCCGAATCCCGACCCTTCCCGGTTCCAGGACCGGACATGTGGACCCAAACCCCTCACAGCATGCCGAGTAGAGCTTGGCAGGCTCCGTTTAGACAGAATCTGGCCATGCGCTGGTAGTAAAAAGACATGAAGACGCAAAGTCATCTACATGAGGATGCCGGCGCTACGCAGAGATCATGATGCGGTCAAGCTGCTCAAGAGTGGTCTTAAGGATGGCAGCATTCACCTCTTCCATGGCCCAGCTGGTCAAGGCGTCCGACTGTTAATCGGGAGATCACAAGTTCGATCCTTGTTGGAAGAGTTTCTTTGCGCAATGCTCACTCGCTGTCTTCAGTGACTGGTATTGTTCAGCTTTTTGCATGGTCATCTGTGATACGAGAGAACTAAAGACAATCTCTTTTTGCACAACCGCAATGCCAGTATACCAGGTTGGGTGAGCAGTATCTCTTAATAAGATCACGGCTTTTGCAATGGAGTAAGTAGCCTGACGATGGCGCGTGCAGCAGTCCCTGCGTATCCATTGCTCCGCGCTCGCTTGCCTTCGTACTTCAGGTAAGTTCAGTACCACTCGCTCATCTTTGGAGTCAAACACTGATGTGGTGCAGCATATGTCCGCGGTTTTCTGCTCCTAACTATGAATAAGATAATGCAGGGGGAGTGACCAGTCTGATTCCGCAGGAAAAAGTATAAACTGCGGAGTCCACTTGAACGTTGGGATGTTTTTGTTGCGTCGTCGTCGAGCTTCGCACAACGTCAAGCGAGGGGCCGAGTCCCGCCCAACTTGCATAACGTCCGCATTTGTTGTGAGGCTGCTAAATAGATTGGATGTAGATGACAAGTATAATAATTCATTTTAAAGAATCTCCCACACGTGCCTCGCTTTAATGCTACCGATTGATTAATGGTTGCGTTATCACGACGGTTTCTCAGAGCTCTCAGTAGACTAGATGTACGGAGTACTCCGTATTGAGATTGAAGCAAGCTTTGTCTGGGTCCGTACCAACGAGCACATCTCCAATAATGGGCAACACTGACCACAAAGCATATATGTTGCACGAAATGCTTTCGGCAAGATCTGCAGTGACCTTCAACGCAGAGTTTCTTATAAGCGCAACGTCCGGTGCTTGGTCCGGACTCGGTAGCCTCAAACGGAGCCTAACCCCCGATAGTGGGGGGCAGCTTCAAAGCCGCGTGGATATCTACTTAGTACAAGTAACCATCGCCACCCGCGATTGCTATAGTTTATCCCTCATTATCTGTTTGATTCTTATTCAGGAGGAGGAGTGTAACGAATGTCACCCGAAATCACACGTGTGCCAGGCAAAGTACAGGTCAGTGGAATTCGTGGGTAGTGAAGAGCTTGGATTGAAGCTTTGCCGTCTCGCTTTCATCATTCTCGAAACGGGATAGGGTGCAGCAGTATATGCACGCACTTATAAGAGGCCCCTTAGTATACTGGCCATTAGTAAAAATTCCGACTGGCCCCTTGACAAAATGATCTTTCGTTAAAATCAAAGGGAAGCGTTGATGATGTTCGCAAACCGCTGCGCTGCAAAATAGATACGAATTCATTCAGTAGACGTAACGCAATAAATGCCGTGAAAATCCTTACGATCCATGTCTCACCGTAAATACAATCACATTCCGTTGCTAACTAGAGAACAGTGAAAAGTGTGGAATGAAGGAAATGAAAGTACGGTGTAGGGTAGGTAGCTCAGGAAGAGGAAATAGGAATCATGGTCTGCCCCACGTGAGTCTGCGCTAGTCCAGCCATTGACCAATGAAGACCCCTCCATTTTCAAGCAGGATCCGCTCTAGCCTCGTCTGGCTAGCTCACATTGGATCCCACAGGCCGAAGTCGGTGCTGGAGCTGATTTCGCTCAGCGGAATTTCCATCATCACATCCTCGACAGAGCTTCCCTCCCCGCGTCACGCTTTCTCTGAGCTCGAGGAACCTGCTGCAGAAGCTGGAGAAAAGCTCTACCCTTCTCACCTTCAGGGAATCGCTCAATCATTCCCACCATGCTCTCCAGGTCAATCCGCCTTAGCGCGGCTGCCAACCTGAAGGGAGCGGCTCGCCCAGGCCTAAGCTGGCAGAGGCAGGTCCCCGGAATCCACGATGGAAAGCCTCTCCTTGCTAACCGATTCTAGTCGCGCCTTTTCATCTGGCGCCGCTCGCAATGCCCTCGCCGACGACAAGCTCAACAGTATCTCCAAGTCGATCACCCAGCCCAAATCCCAGGGTGCCTCGCAGGCCATGCTCTACGCCACAGGTCTCGACGAGAACGACATGAACAAGGCACAGGTCGGCATCTCTTCCGTCTGGTACGAGGGCAACCCATGCAACATGCACCTGCTCGACCTCTCCAAGGTTGTCGCCGAGTCGGTCCGCGAGGCGGGCCTCGTCGGGTACCGCTTCAACACCATTGGCGTCAGCGATGCCATCTCCATGGGCACCACCGGTATGCGGTACTCCCTCCAGAGCCGCGAGATCATCGCCGACTCGATCGAGACCGTCATGCAGGGACAGTGGTACGACGGCAACATCTCCCTCCCCGGCTGCGACAAGAACATGCCCGGCGTGGCCATTGCCATGGGCCGCGTCAACCGCCCCAGCATCATGGTCTACGGTGGCACCATCCGCCCCGGATGTACCAAGGCGGGCGAGTCCATCGACATTGTCTCCGCTTTCCAGGCCTACGGACAGTACATTGCCGGCGAGATCAACGAGGAGCAGCGCTTCGACATTATCCGCAACGCCTGCCCCGGTGGCGGTGCCTGCGGTGGCATGTACACCGCTAACACAATGGCCACCGCCATTGAGACACTTGGCATGACGCTGCCTGGCAGCTCGAGCAGCCCCGCCGAGGCCGACAGCAAGAAGCAGGAGTGCCAGAACGTTGGCGCCGCCATCAGGAACATCCTCAAGGAGGACATCCGCCCTCGCGACTGCATGACACGCGAGGCCTTCGAGGACGCCATGACTATCATCACTATCCTGGGTGGCAGCACTAATGCCGTTCTCCACCTGATCGCTATTGCGCACTCTGTTGGCATCAAGCTCACTATCGAGGACTTCCAAAAGGTGACGGACCGAACACCCTTCCTCGCCGACCTGAAGCCCTCGGGCAAGTTCGTTATGGCCGACATGCATAGAATTGGCGGCACCCCCGGCGTGCTCAAGTACCTGTTGAAGGAGGGTCTGATCTCCGGGAAGCATATGACGGTCACCGGAAAAACGCTCAAGGAGAACGTCAAGGACGCCATGGACATGCCTACCGACCAGGAGATCCTCCGTCCCCTTAGCAACCCTATCAAGGCGACGGGCCACTTGGCCATCATGCGCGGCTCGCTCGCCCCCGGTGGCGCCGTCGGCAAGATCACCGGCAAGGAGGGCACCAGGTTTGAGGGTACGGCAAAGGTCTACAACGCCGAGGACGACTTCATCGCCGCGCTGGAGCGTGGTGAGATCAAGAAGGGTGAGAAGACCGTGGTTATCATCCGGTACGAGGGTCCTAAGGGCGGCCCTGGCATGCCCGAGATGCTGAAGCCCTCGTCAGCCATCATGGGCGCCGGTCTCGGCAAGGACGTGGCGCTGCTCACTGACGGTCGCTTCTCCGGTGGTTCCCACGGTTTCCTCATCGGCCACATTGTGCCTGAGGCCATCGAGGGTGGACCGATCGGTCTGGCCAAGGACGGTGACCGCATCGTCATCGACGCGGACAAGAGGGTCGTGGATCTCGAGGTGTCCGAGTCAGAGATGGAGGCTCGTCGCAAGGCTTGGGTGCAGCCCGCGCTCAAGTACAACAGGGGCACTCTGAAGAAATACGCTAGCCTGGTGAGCGATGCGAGCTCGGGGTGCGTGACAGACGGCAAGCTGGCGGAGTAGGGGCAGTAATGTGATACCAGTACATCTTTTTTTCGAGTTTAGGATGCTTCAAAAGAAGAAGGAAAAAAACCTGTATCAGTTTCTCATTCGCACTGGACACTACGCCGGTCCAACGTTATGGAAGAAAGACATGTAGGATACGATAGAATCAAATAAGCCTCCAGCTCCGTGCAATGCAATCAACAACCGACCCCCCAGATCCCTTCTCTTCATATCCAACAAGCTGAATACCTCATCTCCTCTTCCTGTACGCCTCTACAAAAGCTGCCTTGTCCTGCATCGTCAGACCAACCCTCTTGACCCTGCTCAACCGCGCCAGGGCCTCGCTGATACGGTCCAGCACCTTTTTCTCGTGGTCTGAAATGTCGCCCTCGGCGAATCGACTCCGGAGCTCGCCCGCTCTATCACCTGCAGGTGCCGAAACGCCATTCGTCCTAGCCATCGACGTGTTCAACTGGCCCTCGGCGATTCTAACGCGGATGCAAGTTGTCGGTCGTGACAGGAGATTCCACAGAAAGCGTATCCACTGGCCGGGCAGTGGTGTCGTCACATCGGAGGGCGTGTAGCGCAGGCTGACGGGGAAGATGTGGACGTCGGCAGGCGTCTCGAGGACGGATGGGCTCAAGGGGAGGATGGCCTTGCCGTTTGTTGTTCCGCACTCGGGGAATATGGCGATAACGCGTCCAGGATGCTCCTCAAGGAGCTGCTTGAGGTTGACGAGATTGGCGCCTGGCGGTGGCGCTGTCCTAACAGAGGAGAAGGCGTAGAAGATAGCTCCCACGAGACCAACTTTCTGAACCTGACGCGAACCAGGGTACGAGATGGTGAAGACGGGATCGAAAATGGCAGCTAGGTAGACGGCGTCGAGCGGACTAGTAAAGTTGGCCGCGATAATACTCCCAGGGTGCGGCACACGCTCACGTGGCTGATCAGCCAGCGTGCCCCTCTTCACGCCGTCCAGCTGCAGATCTACCCACCAAATACCAGGTATAGCCATCAGACCCCATAGTGCCACCTTCCTCACCACCACTGGGAGGAAGGGCAGCCAGTGGAACAAGAGGAGGTAGCTCGCAATGTAGCTTATGAAGAGTGGCAGGCGGAAGAGGAAGAGGAAGGTGTGCGTGACCGTCGACAGCGCCGTGAGAGGAGTCGTAAAGGGGAAGAAGGGGGCGATCCCCGTGCCTGCGCACTGTCAGTCAAAGGCATCTCGTGGTGATGAATGACAGGTTGGCATACCCCGATCGCGAAACTGGCTGTACTTTTCCATGCTGATGATGATATCATGAGATATTATCTGTTCGTAATAGACTGAAGAATATGCGGCGTGCGCTAGTCCTTTGTGCGGCGACAGAGACCTTGGCCCGTGTCGCGTGTCAGCTCATACGATATTGGAGATGTTGATGTCAGCGCAATAATCAGTAGCAGCTTCAGAAGTGGCGGTCTTGGCCTTTGAGTGGGTTTCTGACAATTTGGGGAAGGAGTGAATCGCGTGGAGCGGGTTGACATGTGAACAGCCCCCACCGTAGAATGTGCTGACTCATGATGCACAAATCCTACACACCCAAGTCCTTCAGGTATCAGGTTGATGCTTGACAATGACAAATTAGAAAGAAAGAAGAACATATAAGATGGTTCTGAGCAACAAACAACTGATTGAACTTACTACATCATGCCCTACGCAGACTAGGCTCTGCCTCGTTTTGAGGTTAGCGTAGGCTAATTATCCTCAATTCGAGAGCTTGAGATTGCCGCACGCTAGGCTCTTGCGTGCATAAGCCACTTTGTTGCCCAGCAACGGCCGCGCCACATTTAAAGTAGGTAAGCAAAGTCTCGTCGCGGGATTCAACACCAGCATTCCCCAGGTCAAGCCGGCTTCGAGACGCGCGAGAACACTCACGTCTGACATTCGATTCTTGTGGCAAGGGACGACCTTGAGTGGCTTTCTTTTATTTTTTCAGGGTGCTACAAAGACGACCAGCGAAATTACGAACCTCCGATAATCTCCGTGTTTACACCCAAGCCAACGATCTCTGACGCGACCAGCGCTTGGCATGGAGGTCTCCGAAAACCAGGTCAGCCTCGAGCAAACGAGCCTCAAGGTTTCAATGACTGACCGCGACCAGCCGCCCATGCGCCAGTCCAAGATGGCGAACAGTCGACTTCCAGCGCCGAAATCCACGAGCCACGGCCTCGCTGAGATCAGCGACAACAATCACAACTTGCGCAGCGTGGGTCATTCGACTGTACCACAGAAGCGCGAAATACCACAGCCAGGTGGGTTGGACGGATCGCCTCTCCACGCGCAGTACTGACCGCGCGTAGCTGTTCAGTCGAGGCCCAAGCAACAGCGTCGTCCTCTCGCCGAGCAGGCGGCCGAGTTTGCGATCAAGCCAGTGGCTACTGCGCCGATAACGAGATCAACGTCTAGAATCCAAGGACAGAGCTTAAAGTCTATCTCATCTTCAGGAGTAAGTCTAACACTTTTTGGTCTTACACAACTGCCTCAGTGTGGGATTGCACGGTTCGCTCTGCCAAGTTCGATTCCCAGCGTCGCCCTCCTGTACCACCACTCTGCCCGGATGTCCGTTTGTACTGACTTCTCCTAGATCCAGCAGCCAACATCCTTCCAGTCTCGACAGGCATCCAATGCCACAAGCACCTCAACGAACAGCTTCGGCAAAAGTATTGGTCCAGGTCGGCATGGCGGACAGGCGCAGCCAGCGCGACCCGTCACCCGAGCATCACACACGCGATCGAAGAGTCAAGCTCCCCGTCCCAAGACTGCGCACGCCCACTACGACGAAGATACAAGCACAAACGGATCCGCAAGTAATGGTACGGCCAGCTCGCCTTCAGACAAAGCCTCCCCGCCTTCTTTGCAACACCAGACACCAAGAGACACGCGATGCACGCACACCTCCACCAGAGACAACTCTCTCGTCGCCAGACTGGACTTCCTCCGCCTTCACGGCCTCCCACCTAGTCAAGTGACATCCCGCACATCATCCCCTGTCTATGAACCCAGAGCATCCTGCACCACACCTCGACTCCCGAAAGATGCGGAGGTTATGCCCCCACCACCGTCCTCCATCCCTCAGCTCGTACTGTCAATGAGCCCAATCACTCCACCAAGACGTATCTTCCCGGCAGTGCCCGCGTCATTGGAGGCAGTACCCGGCGCCTAGAAGGCCCCAGAGACTCCAACAAAGGAGCAGTTTGAGCACAAGTGGTGTCAATTCGAGGATACCATCAAGTCATACAAACCACCTCTAAAATATTCCAATTCGTCCAAGTTCCTGCATAAGACAGCCAATCTAACAAACTTCATAGTGTGGGATGTCGACGGTCGTGTGGGTGACATGGAATCTCAGTTCAAGGACCTCAAAGAAATGGTCAATGCCACCCTGAGTGACAGGAAAAGTCACGAAGATGCGCTAGAGTTGGCCAAAACTCGCGGTTAGTATTCTTTCACTCAATGGATGCCCAAATACATTGCTGATTGGTTTTTCCGCGATGCAGTATCTGAACTGGAGAGGGATCGTACCAAGTTGGACGAGCGTAACGAGAGTCTACAAAGGTTGCTCGATGAATCGAGGGAGGAAAGCCGAAGACTGCGACACGACCTCGAAAAGCAACAGTGGGATCAGAGCCGGCAAGTGGACGACCTGAACCGGAAGCACCGCGATACGGTCGACGATCTTTCCAAACAACACAGGGCAGCGGTGGACGATCTCAGCAAAGAGCTGGATTACTTGAAAGAGCAAGAGACAAGGAATCACCAGGAGCGGATCGATGGCTTGACACGGCACTATCAGCAAGAGATTGAGGACGAGCGGCAAAGAAAAGATCGGGAAATCCAGGAACTCAAAGCCCAGATGGCCCAGGATCATCAAGGCCTCGAAACGTCGCTGGGTCGGAAAGACCGTGATATCCAAGAGGCCCGAGCGGAAACAGAGACATTGCGACAGGACTTGCTTCAAGAAAAGGCGCTCAGGAACAGTCTCCAAAACAACATTGCGGATCTGTCCGCGTCCAACACCACGCTCGAAGGCAAGATTAACTCGCTCCGATCACAGGTTGAGTTCCTCGAATCCGACAGCAAAGCCCAGTCCGATTCGTTTGCGGACATGGAGACACGCTTGCAAGAGGCTCTTCGATTTGCGGACGAGGCCAAGGCAAAGCTGATCAAAGAGGAGACGGAGCGCCGTGTCCTTTTCAACAAGTACCAAGAGCTCAAAGGCAACATCCGGGTCATGTGCCGTGTGAGGCCGGCCCTGCAGAAAGACGAGCAAAACACGGCACAGATGACGTACCCTGATGAGAAGACATCCGCTGAAATTGTGGTGGCTGGCCCGGAGGAGAGAAGCAGCCTTGGTGTTGTGTCGCGCAAGAACCACCCATTCGAGTTCGACCGTGTGTTCACGCCCAGCTCACAAAACGAAGAGATCTTTGCTGAGATTTCTCAACTCGTCCAAAGCGCTCTCGACGGGTACAATGTGTGCATCTTCGCCTACGGCCAGACTGGATCAGGCAAGACGCACACCATGTCCGCTATGGACGGCATGATACCCCGGGCGACGCACATGATCTACGATACCATCCACAAATTGAAGGAGAAGTCGTGGGAGTACACGATGGAGGGATCCTTTGTGGAGGTCTACAACGAGGAACTTCACGACTTGCTGGCATCCCCTGGTGATGGCAAGACCAAGCGGCTGGAGTTACGGCATGACGAGGCACGCAAGCAGACCTCCATTGTGAACTGTCAGACGGTGTTGCTCGAGTCACCCTCCATGGTGGGAGAAATGCTCGACCACGCACAGCAAAACCGATCGGTGGCCGCGACGAAGGCGAACGAAAGGTCATCGCGATCTCACAGCATCTTCATCCTCAAGCTAGTGGGCAGCAATTCGACCACGGGCGAACGATGCGAGGGCACGCTCAACCTTGTAGATCTTGCGGGTTCGGAGCGTCTGAAGCACTCGCAGGCGGAGGGCGACCGTATGAAGGAAACCCAAAACATCAACAAGAGTCTGAGCTGCTTGGGGGACGTGATTGAGGCGCTTGGTCGAGGCTCGGGACACATTCCGTACCGCAACTCCAAGCTGACCCATCTGCTCCAGTACAGTCTAGGCGGCAACTCAAAGACGATGATGTTCTGCATGGTTTCGCCGATGGAGACTCATCTCAAGGAGACGCTGACAACGCTTCGTTTTGCGACCAAGGTGAGTGACCTGCTCCTACCCAGTGGGAAGGAAGACTGTGACTGACTTACACAGGTTCACAACACCCACATTGGTACTGCGAAGACGACCAAGAGAGTCAAGGGCGATGTGTAGGCCAGGTTCCCGTGGTAATGCTCCTCTGTCCTAGGCGGCGCTGATGGATGTTTGGAGACGGCAATATCGAAGGCCAAATGAGATCTGAGCGCTGTGTGTAAATAAACTTGAAGGAGTTTGACAAGGGTATGTCAAGTGACGCTTGGTATACACTGCGGATGATTACGAAATGATGAATCAATAAATCTGCCCATTCCCTTGCGGATTGATGGTGAAGCGGCTGTCCAACGCATGTGCATCGCCTACCCTGGAGAGCTGTCAAGGGCTTTGCCGTGAGCCCATCCTCTTGACAATGACGGCCGAGCACTTTGAAAGAAATCCACTAAACCGCTGGTTTCAAACCATACAATGGCAGCTGTGAAGCTCCTTTCAAAAGGGCGCGGAATTGAGGTATGGAGAGATTGAAGGTGACAAGAATGGCAATAATGTTTCATCAACATCAATACTTCTCACGGCGACATAAGTCCTGAAGCTCAGTAAATTAAATTCCGTTCTGACCAGCAGCGACTCTTGCTAAATTAATTTCTCACGCAAGGTGCATTCACAGTAACCAAGTTACCTGCACCTGTGAGTACCTAACCTAAGGTGTATAGGGCTCCGATAAGCGCTCATTGCCAACACGTTACCAACATCCGCGCTTGCGCTGTCAACTTCGTCCCGCCAACAACCAACAACACCCAACCACATCAGTCTGTACGCAATCATTCATTCATGTTTCCTGTACATATACTTTCCAATTCTTTCTAGTGATTTGGGTTCCCTTCCTTCATGGCGCATTCTAAGGGTCTTCAGAGCTCTATTTGGGCCGCGGCCCCCAGTCACGCCGCCTACGCCAGCTACCAAATACGCACGCCCACGCAAGATCAGGCTTCGCGATCGAACCGGTCACGAGACAACCCGCCGTCCTCATACAGTGCAAACTACACAAACGCCTCTACTGCCGGCGCTGCGTCATCATCAACCACTTCTGGCACACCCAGCTCGAACTCGACCTCATTCACGACCCCGTCCACGAGCAACGGGAGCCCTGCTGCGGCCGCCCTCAGCCCGGAACGCACGCTCCATCGCCTGGAGCAAGCATGTCTACGGCTGCGATGGAAGTCGCACGATCTCGAGGCCGCCTGGACGCGCTGTCGTCACCCGCAGGAGTTTGGCTTCCCACCGAACATTGCCGAGGAAAACTTCAAGATTGACTTTTACGAATTCTACACTTGGATTGAGAACGCGCTCGTGCTGATCCAGCGGATCTTTGGGATTGAGATCCACGCCCACAGCAGCGCCGTCAACGCGCGCAACCACGCGTATCACCACAATGTGCTGCTCGCCCTGAGCGACAGGCAGAGCCCGCTGCACGAGCTGCTGGGCAAGGGCGAGGTGAACATCGCGCTGTGGAAGGCCAAGGAGCTGCGGAACCGGTGGAAAGACGCGGCGGAAGGCAACGAGAGCACACCCTTGGGGATGTATGATCTTACGTGGATCCTGGGCCGGGTGCTCAGCGGCCTGGAGGCGGGTTACGAGAAGGCGAGGGAAGTTGCCAGCAGCAGCGAGCCGGCTGCTTCTGGGACGGAGGACTGGGCGTGGATGGTGGACGACAGCATGGACTGGGAGGGCTGCTGAGGGGGCGTGGCAAACGTTGGATCACGGTGTTTTCATGATGATGGAGCTGGCGATGGCATACACAGCGATGGTGCGTATGGGATACCCTTTTGGTTCAGAAACGAGCATTGGCATGGTGGTGGTACATTCGGTGTTAGGCGTATATGGTTAGGCATCCTGTTCTTCTTTGATATCCTCCTCCTTTAGCTCCTCCTTCATCTCATCCTTTATCGGCTCTTCTACTTCTTTTTCTTTGACGAAGTCTTCCTCTTTCACTTTACGGCCCTTTCGAAAGGCTTTTCTGAGCTCACATTCACCAGAAGCGCGCCCGCCCGCCTTGCACTCAGGACACTTCTTGCCGTGCGCAATGAGAAGGATATGCAGAGGGTACTTTTCGTCGTCGGGTATCCTCGCATCCAGGTGGGCGTACGTTTGCTCCCTGCTGGCGTTGGTCGGGCGCCAGCCGATCAGCCCCGTTAACCGATGGACATGCGTGTCCACCGCAAAATTCGAGCGCCCCAGGCAGAACAGCAGCACACAGGATGCCGTCTTGGGGCCAATGCCCTTGTACGACAGCATCTGTCGCATGCATTCCTCATCGTCCTCTTCGTCAAACAAGTGGTCCAGCGAGTACAGCCCGTGTTGCGCGTGCACCTGCTCCAGCAGCGAGATGATAACCTTTGACTTGACAACGGAAAGGCCGCCCGACTCGATTGACTTTTGCAGTTTTGACTGGCCGCCCTCTACAATGGCCTCCCACTTGTCGGAGCCGCCGTATACCTGGTCCATGGACCGTTTCGCGCGGGACGAGTTCTTGTCCGAGGTGTTTTGGCTCAAGATGGTTCTGACGAGGGCGTCGAGGACAGTGGGCGAGTTTCCGCAGCCGGCAGAGTCCTTGGGCGCGATCACTGTCGTTGGACGGTGGCGGTCGCCATGGAGCTGCGCGAGGATCTTATGCGCGGTCCTGCATTCGTCGGGTGTGGGATGGGCGAAGTCGGGGTACGGCGATGTTTTGGAGGAGTAGGCCGCGTAGGAAGACAGCTTCTTGGACTGGAGGACGGCAGCCTTGTCCTCGGGTGTTTGCGCCGTCTTCTTGATGGGTTTCTTTGCTGGGGACGGCGTGGTAGGTTCTTCTTTGACAATGGAAGCTGCTGCCGAGAACTTGGGCTTGGACGGCGTCACAGGCTCGGCTTTGATCTTCTTGGCTGGAGGAGGAGAAGCGACTGCTGCAAGGTCTGGCTTTTCGCGCTTCAGATTGCGCGTACTGCGTCGCGTTGCCGTGGTTGTTGTGGTGGATGCCGTACGAGCCATGGCGGTTGGGGGGATATTTGGAAGTCTAAGTGTATATGGGAGCGTGAACATAAATACAGGAGCGTCATAAAGTGATTGGAACCTAGCAGGGCGCACTTGAGCAGTAATGGATTGAGAGGGCAAGCATCTCGTACGTAATAACGTTGGATAGGAGACCCCTAGTCATGAGGTCATTAATTGCGTCCTGAACGGGACAAAATCAGGGGTTCCCCCTTTATAGCGATACTTGGCGTCGTGCTGGGAAAGATCATGCGTCTACCGGGTCTGTGCCTGAATTCCACTGAACGATGTGGACGGCGCCTCGTGAAACCCAACCGATGCGTGCCTAATACTTGATCTTGGCGTTCTAGCTGGATCAACAGCACATTTGCCATGACTGCGATAGTCGCAGTTGACTGGCAGTCTAGAACAACGAATGTGCGTGGGAGGGCTGCATTGACCCTTCGAGTAACGCTGACGTGAGTGATTTTGCGAGCCAATTGTCAGATACTGAGTGAGATGCGTTGAAAAACGAGTCTCTGGCTACATCTTGCGTAATGCAGAAGTCTTCACGGTCATTGACTGGAAGCCTGTATATGTGGCGAGTTCGCGCTGATGCACGAGGCACTCATCAAGACCCGTTACGGAGCCGGAGCCGAGGACTGTCGTCAGCATTCACATGAAATAACCGCCTTATTGAAGTCTCATCCTAGGCCTAGAAACGCTCACGCTCCGTGGCTCCACTGCTCTGAGATCCACGCCTACCCGAAACGCCGGCTCCTCCCCGTGAAGATGACCTGCCCCTCTTGCCATTGGTCACTGAACTGTCAGAAGGTGGAGGTCGAGACTTCTATCTCGGAAGCTCTCTTCCTACTCCCTTCCGAGAGTGTTGCTAGCGAGGACTAGATCTCGCCCAGCCTCTTGTCAATTCCCTTGTCGATGATGTTGCGAACGTACTTGCGGAATTCCAGGTACTGCCCCGGGTCATTGAGGAGGAAATTATCGAAGCTGGCCATGTAGTAGTCTAGTTCGCCGGCTTTTCATGTGATGTAGAGGCGTGCTTCCGAGCTGCTCATGGCGACAGATAATGCGGCATTGTTGATGGGACGAGCTTCGTCACCCTTGCACCGCGCCAACTGATGGTTGAGCCTTTCGGCCATGTTGACATATGGTGCCGATGCACCAAGGTATTGATTCGTCGCCACCCACAGACTTCCACCGTCACCCTTGACTTCGACAACGAAGAATGGGTGCAGAAAGGGATTATCTTGATTAGTAGCTGTCACATCTCTCCCCATGGAGATCGGTTGAGCCTAATGTTGAGGGAAAGCATCCGAAACATTATACCCGTATAGCATGTCGGGCACTGCTGACCTTCAGTTGTGACCCGGTAATGGGGACAGGATACCTGCCCATGGGCAGCCTGAGGCCGAGGCCTAAAGCTCCTCCTTCACTGCAAGTAGGAAAAATTCTGTCCTTGAAAGTTCGACCTTGAATTCTACAGCTTCTAGCCAGAGTCTGTTCAGTTCAGCATCTTGCCGCACCTTTTCGATTGAAGGGCGAGGGGAGTCTCGATATCTGGAAATGTGGTTGATCAAGTCCGCAACGTGATCTGGGAATTGCTCTAGGAGAGGGCGACGATAAATGTTGTTTGCGGAAAGGTTGAAACCATGGTAAGCTCGGTCTTCAACAAGGCTATCGGCAATCAATCGGCTGGACGCGTATGTTGGTGTGGTCAATTCTCGTCCCACAGCGGCTGGGTACGAACGAGCCTGGGAAGGTGAGGTATGGGCGGAACCACAAAGCCCTGGATATCCTGCGTTGAACACGTCTAGGAAGCCGATCTGGTGCGTCGCTTCGAAAAGGAACCGACGCGACGGTGTAGCTGACTATCCGATAGACAGTGCCTTTCTACTCGATATGTATTCTCCCACTCATCATGCAAATGATGCAACCCTGCTGACGCACGCGAGGAGGTTGTATATCTATCAGCGCTTAAGCTGGCCGGTAGACTGGCCTGCTGAAGGCCGCGGGTCATGCGTCGTGGATGTCGTCGAGGTCGCAAAGACTTGACTTTGAGTTAAAGATGCGACTGGAGCTCGAGAGTCTGACTGCTAATATTATTCGTATGGGCTTCGTCGGTATAGTGATTTGTGTACAGAGTACGGAGCTAGCTTGTCGCACTTAGCAAGTCCAGCCTACAGAAGCGGCCTAAGTGGTCCTTGGCCTGCTTGGCGTTGCCGTTTTTGGCCAGGGCTTGATCTTCTCAAGTATTGCTGTCAAACCCCCGGAGTCCGGTCGCAGAGAGTCTGCAATTATTTTAGGGCGCGACTTGCCCCTGAAGCAGCGAGTCAGTGACAGAGGACTGGGGCTTACGGATACTGTACGTTGAGTGTTGAGCTGTCTAGACTTGTAACCCTTTGTGGAAAATACCTGACCGGGCAATGGGCAGCACGATGGGGATGCGGAATGCATTGGCGATAGCAGAAGATCCAGTAACCTGCAAAATCGAGAGCCTCCCCGCCCAGCTCCACGACCGCCCACTACGTCCCAACCAATTATTATTACTGTACGTAGGATAAAATCAGACTAGCAGTAACTATCAACGACCATTGGCCACAGGAAATGAGACTGAAAACCAAGAACTCTTCTGGGCGCGACGCATCACATCGCCAAGGATTATCACAGTACAGTAATACCTGAAAGAGGACCAACCGTTCATGCTAAGCCCTAATGGGCTCCCGCACACCAGAAGCGCGCGACGGACCATATGGCTGAGCCGGCTGTCAGCCTGTCGTACCGGATTTAACTGAACATTGGCGGCATCGTTTCAGGAACAGGATGAGCATGCACTGTCGGCGACAGGGGTCTCAACACGAACTCTCCGAACCCCGTCAGTTGATGTTTCGATCGAACAGCTTCAAAAGTTGACCCAGAAGCCAGCCCAAATCAGAAGCAGTATCCGTATGTTCTTCTGCATGAGATTCAGAGCCAAGAGGTGCGATGGCATAAGCACTGGCATCAAAGTCGTATGATTTCCTTTGCTCGTGCTCGAGACAAGGCACAATCACCATATTGACCCCGGGCGCCAATTTGGACCTGTAATACTTATGCCATCAGGCCCCCTGAAATCCTTAACCCCGTTCACCGCAGACAGGGGTACTGCAAAGCGAGTCAGCATTGGCCATCACGGTCAAAGGACGCGGAGAGTTAGGCAATAAGACAGCTGCTATTGTCACCACCGACAACTACCCAGGATGGATGCGACATTGACGAGGGACGCACAATTCCCATTGGGACCAGAACCCCCAGTCCCAACGACGAGGCTTGGCTGAGCGTCAGTATCGATAGTCTTATACAAAGTGTCATCCCGCAGGTGTCCAGGAACACTGGCCAGCCTCGTCTCCTCAGCCCATGAGCACCGCGTGGTCCTCTCGACGTTCGTTGCACCCATACACTCGTTTTCCATGAACCACATTCGTTAGCTGCGTTGGTATATCATTCGTGCACACAGACGTGCTCATCATTCCATTCGTCACGACTTTTCTTCAACCTCTCGCCTGCAACGCTTCACAGCTAGGCGCAATTACAGTAAGGGTTATTGGTACGATCCCTTCAGCAACAGCGGTTTCTCTCACACCCCCTCGAGCGAAGGAGGACGCCGCAATGCAGCTCTCTTCCACCCTGACCTGGGCTCTGCTGCTCGTTAGCGCTGAGGCCAAACAACGCTCTAGCTGCAGTAGCACAAAGACGGTCTGGGCGACCATCACCGAGACCGAAAACTGCGCATCACGCTGCCAGCATCGACCGTCTGCTACCGCTTCCATATCTGGTCCACTTGAATCGGCACCAGCTCAATCCAGCGAGCCAACGTCACCTGGTTCGAGCGTCGGGTCTATTTACACCAGCGAGGCCTGGTCGTCGATAGCTCTGAGCTCGGATGTGAAGCCCGAATCCACGACTGAGGCGGATACTACTTCTTCGACCACTCCTTTGCCTTCAGCTTCATCTTCCCCTTCCACCACCATCGCTGAGGGCTCTACCTCGAGCGACATTCCCGCATCGAGCGACGATGCTCCCTCAACGTCTGCTTCCTCTACCGCCGAATCACTTCCAGAGCCAACAGTTCGACCTCGAGCCTACCCCGCGGATGTTGTTGATCAACTTCGCGACTCCAGCATCGAGAAGCTCGAGGCTCATCTCGAGCGCAACCCCGTACCTGGATGCACCCTGGAGACGGCTGCAATCCGTCGCGAGTGGTAAGTCCACGCCACGTCTTCCATGACAGTGAGAGCACAAAACAACATACTGACGCACGGTCAGGTCCGACCTAACCATCTCCGAGCGACAGGACTACACCAGCGCCGTCCAATGCCTCATGAACAAGCCCGCCAAGACCCCAGCCAACGTGGCGTCTGGTGCAAAAAGTCGCTATGATGACTTTGTTGTGACGCACATCCAGCAGACCGGCTCCATCCACAATACCGTACGTGCCCTCCATGCAATCACCCTTTTCCCATTCTCCGACTAACAACTCACTCGCTTCTCAGGCCAACTTCCTTACCTGGCATCGTTACTTCACCTGGGCATACGAGACAGCCCTCCGTGACGAGTGCGGCTACAAGGGGTTCCAGCCTGTAAGTACTTGCCGTTCGCTTAAGACCACCGTTCGCTGCTAATTCTCGTATCCAGTACTGGAACTGGGATCGCTACGCCGACGATCCTGTGAATTCACCACTTTTCAACGGCAACGCATCCAGCATCGGAGGCAACTCTGTGAATGGGGACTGTGCCGAAACTGGCCCTTTCGAGAAGTAAGAGAATGCCCCTGAATCAGCCACCTTTTCGTCATGAGCCTCTCCCAATTAACACCCCCCCAGATTGACCGTCAACCTCGGACCGGGCTATTCTCTCAACTACAACCCCCGATGCCTGACGCGCCATGTCAGCCGCAGCAGCGCCCAGCAATGCACGGCCGACAAAACATTTAACCTCATCTCGCAGACTTCTACCATTGCCAGCTTCCAGGAGACAATGCAGACCCCCGGGGGTGTCCACGCGGGTGGCCACTTTACTATCGGTGGTGACCCTGGAAGTGTAAGTCTTCCCACTCCCCCATGCCTCAAAAGGTCAATGGACCTCCATGCATCGAGCAGTGTCTAACTAGTGCTAGGATTTCTATGTGTCCCCCGGTGATCCCGCCTTCTTCCTTCACCATGCCATGGTCGACCGCGTCTACTGGCTCTGGCAGCTGCAGGACCTCGACACACGCCTGTCGGCTGTCGCAGGAAGGGTCATCGGCAGCAGGAGTCAGGGCTCTCTCGACGATGACGTGAACTTGGGCTATTCGGGACCCGGCGTGACTCTCGGCTCCTTGCTCGACACAATGGGTGGCAAAGACGGTGCTTTCTGCTATTTTTACATGTAGGGATAGGGTTTGATGCACAGAGCCATATGAGCTTTGAGTGATGACTGGCGATGAAGGGGATATCAAGTTAACTTAATACCGTAATATTTAGTATAAGGAGGCGCATGCGCGCCCTTGTCTGCCTGCGAAACTCATTTATTCAGGTATATACAGTGCATGGAACTGCCGAAACCAGGTCGGACATGTGTCGTGGACTGACTCCCAGGGGATAGTGTTGGGTTGATCAGGTTCAAGGCTGCCCTGTTCGTAATCCAGGTCCCTACCGTAATTTGATTCAAACTGTGGCTGCTCACATCACCTAGTATTCACCTTGAAGTCAGGGCATACCACGTGATATCTTATGGGTTGATCAACCACTGCGCTAGGTGGCGGCCATAGTTTGAGTCGATGTGCTTTCGGCGCATCAAGGGCTAGACAACCCGAAAAATAAAAGACCAGTTGAATTTGTGTCACGAGACATGGAAATGACGGAAGATCTAAGTTCGTCCATGCTCCCTCTCAACTTTGGAAGCTTTGTTCTGCCTTTCTCATTACCTCTAAAAGAAGAGGAAACATTAACAAACACTGCTCACCCCTATGCGATCACACTCCTGAAACCCTGTGAAACCCTGAAGTATTATATACGCACCGAGGACCAAACGAGCTTGAGAGTACGCGAATTCTGCTGTCGCATATACACTGGCGGAAGCTGACCCGGAGCTAACATGGCTGTAGGAACCCGTCTAGCGTCATGCCCTCCTTCAACGTGCGGGAATATCTCAATCGACGAGACAATGAAGGTGACAACCTTCTCCTATCGACGACTGTTCAAAACGTGTACGCATTTCAGCCGCCTGCACTTTGTATTCCAAATCCTTGGGCCGCCTTTAGGGCTCGGTTTCTTGACGTTCAGGATCAGTATGTGCGTTGCTTCCTGATAACCCTGCCATTCTCCGTCTTGGTACAGAGACTGGTCTCGGCCACGTTGGATCTGGCCCTAGACAAACTGAACCCATCTTGTGGACTGTGGCATGGATAGGTCTCGTTTGCGTAGTCTCGCATCTAGATTCCCGGATATTCGATGCTTGTATTCGTGGCCGCACGAGCAGAGGCGAAGAAAATCTGAACGGACCCAACCACCCTTAAGGGTTCATGGCAATACGACGGGTAAGAAAAGGCTCAATACACAACAGCCCTGCGCGCACAGATACAAACTAGATCTTTTTTAGCAATCAAGGATCTATGAACCGCTGATTATGAGAGTGCTGTGACTAAACTGACGGGGCAGTGACAGGTACTAAGCTAGATCAAAGCCGCATAGCCTGCCCTGCGAGCTTCAAAGGGGTTCATTGTCGATGTATCTCCTGAGTCAGGGCATGGAGATGACGGCGGCTCCTTGAACCTGCTGAAGTGGAGGAACTTGTGAGTAACTTAAAGTCTGACCTTATTGAACTTTGGGGTAATCTGATCAGAATTCCTGATCAGAACTCCTCACAGCTAATGCGGCTCCCCCAGTGACTCCAAGAAGCCTAGACTTGCTTCATATATAAGCGCATTCAAAATGGTAAGCTATTTTGCGGCTTCAATACCAGCCGTGTTTCTGCGGCGATGGGTGTCGGGTAAAACAGTCCAACTACCAATGTATTCCGTACTTCCTGCAGAAATTAGTACTTACATACAGTTGGTCCCGCGATAACATACCCCAGGATCCACCCTTTTTCAGACTGTGCTTAGAGTAGATATTAGGGTTGTTAGTGCCAGTCGATTGCGATCCAGACCAGAGGGATTGTCTACAGGGTAAGCTGAATTTGCCAGAGAACGAGGCTGGATAAGATTAGGGGCCAATGGGGTTTCACGTTAGCCTCGGAATACTTATGTCATGGCTCCGGCTCATGATGTTGAATAATCATCAAGGGTGGACTATTCAGTCGATTGCGCATGCCCTCGTCGGCTAGAGAGTTCAGCTTAATCAGGGCACGTCGCACATGCAATTTGTCGGCTATTGACCAATTCATTCCGAGACTAATCAGTTGAGATTCTGGCGTCATAAATCCACCTTCAAAGCAGAGTCAGACCCCATGGGGCCAACTACGCAGAACAGCACACAGAAGCGCCGCGCTAAGGAGGCCGCCTGTCCTCACGTGGCGACAGCCGAGAAGGAGCACATTCTCCAGGTATGAATTGAACTCATGAATCCCTCCGCGGGCATCTTACGTCAAACGCCGGACCTGCAGATGCTCACCAACTCGCGCAGGCGCGGCGCGAGAAGAACAGGGAAGCACAGCATGTCTTCCGCAAGCGACGGCAGGCGGCCGAAGTGGCCATGGGTCGACGCTTCAAGCGTCTCGAGGATGTGGTGGAGGAGATGAGCTGCATCCTGATCGGTCTCTTTGACGACATTCTCGCGAAAGAGGCGATCGTGACGCAGCATCCTTCCATCATCACCAGCTTAAAGCAGTCTGTGGGGCGTGTCTTGGCGCTGACCAAGGAGGTGGCTGCCATGGACGACGACCCCCTGGCGCTGGTGGACGATGCGAAAGGGAACACTTCGGAACATGCACCAGACGCAAAGGCTGTCGTTGCGAATGCAGCCATCACGCTCGAAAGCCAAGCGAGCCCGCCTGCGCCTGTCGCTCCTCACTCGCTGACTGATAATTCTGCAGCTGGTATGCAGAGCGCGATGCCCTGTCCGGCCAACTCATCTCTCAGCCTCTATTCGCCCACAGCGCCCATCAGCGCGGGCTACATGCCCACCGATCAGTTCATGGCATCTTTACCAAACTCACTCTCGCTAGACGACGCGCTGGGGGACAGTGGCTGGGCCACTTTTCTGCCAAAGCAACCTGGGGATACGCTCCATCCCACACAAGAGACCCTCCAACTGGCATACTCCTTCCCCATTCGACTCATTGAGATATCCCTCACGCACGGATATGCTCTGATTACAACGGCGCCACTGGCCAGCATCCAGCGTGAATTCGGCAGGACCCTTCGCTACTGTCGACGCGAAGAAATCATTGCCTACTTACAATGGGCCCTTGGACCAGGAAGGGAGTACATGTTCCAGACCTTCAAGTATGGGCTCATAGAAGCCGACGCGGATGAGTTTCCGGTGTGTTACTCGGGCCCTCCAAAATCCTCACCGCCGCAGGACGAACAGGAAATGGATCCCGATTTCATCACGGCCGCCGGGGTGTACAAACTACTCCAGGGTCTAGGGGCTATCATGTTGGACGCAGATACGGTGGAGATTCAAATTAGGAGACCGGCCATGTCTGCTTCTGGCGGAACATTAGGCCATGTAGGCTCGCTCTCGCTCTACCCATACGGCTTTGAGACGCCCACTACGAGAATGAGGCTGCATGTGCCGCAGTTGATGACGCAGTTGATGCACATTGCGGTTTGTTCCGAGTCAGGCCCAAGATACCCGCAGCGAGACGTGTGGGGGATAGTGGAGGCTTTGGCGAGACTGGCCTGACGAAAAGACAATTTTCCAGGAAAAAATGGGCATGCGCTCATATTATGAGTGGTTCAATATTTTTACAACATGTCCTTTGACCACGCGTGTGTCCTACAGTCTGCTCGTGACACCGGGCTGGATCTGCTCCAGGATCGTTATCAATTCCGCGTGCAAACGCTTTGTGGTGTCCTGGCCCTCCTTGCTCCGCACAAACGCATCGGGCTTGGTGACGCGACACTCGCTTAGATACTGGCCATCGCTCTCCTTGCCCGAGGCAGCCGCGTGGACGAGCGTGCGGCTGCCCACTTCGGTCGTGCGGGCCATGAACGCCTTGAGAGCAGAGAAAAAGTAGCCCGCGAAGCCCTATGGCCAGAGTCAGTTGCCATTGCGTCCCTGATACATGTCATGTGCACTACCTTCAAGTCTCGGCCGAGATCGGAGTAGCAGAGTCCGGGATTCACCGAATTGATGATGACGGGCTTATCTGCGTTGGGCCCCTGCTTCATCGCCTCGCTAAAGGACTCCACGAGCATCACCTCCAAGAGCTTGGAGACGCTGTAGCGATCTTTCATGTTGGAAGTCTTCTTGGTGTTGAGGGCCTTGAAAATGTCGGGCTGCTTTCGTTCAGTGAATTTGGCCTGCGCACGTCGCGTCAGTCGGTCGGTCTGCTTGTCCCTTGAGAAGCTCAGCCTCGTACACTGCTATGAAGAAGAGAAGTCGTGATCGCAAAACGCGGTGTCTGTCCCGTGGTTTGATCTGATTTCCTCATGGTCGGAAACAGGTTCAAGGCCAGCAAAAAGATTCCAATCACGTTGACTTTGATCGTCATCTCGAAGCCGTCGGTATCCTCAAACTCCGTTCTCAGGACGCCTGCGTTGGCGACGACCGCATCGAGTCGGTCTAGAGACTCGCACTTGACGGCAAACTCTTTGATGGAGTCGAAGCTGTCCATTTCGAGAAGCCATACTTCGACGACATTGTTACGGCCCGTGGCTGATTCGATGGCGGTCTTGGCGGCGTCTCCCTTGGCCTGAGATCTCACGGCCAGAATGACCCGCGCAGCTTCGAGTCGGGTGAAGTGCTTGGCAGCCTCAAACCCCAGACCTGTATTGGACCCTGTGACGATGATGGTCTGGCCATTGAAAGATGTCTCGGGGTACGGGAGCTTTTCAAACTGAGGGTATATTTTGTCCATGTTGAGTGGTATTACTCGTGCGCGTTGCCGTGGATGATTGATATGAATGTTCCTCCACAGCCAGGTTGCGTCCCAGGACACTGCCGTGTATTTATTTAAAATTGTCGATAGAAGCTCAGTCTATTACCTGCTGAAGCTGATGACCAAGCATTCCAAGCTCAATCTGCAGAGTCGGGGCGGTTACTTAAAAGCGACCGACGGGGGCGACTAGCTCAAGCGCAGACGGCAGATGATTCATGGAGTGGAATACGGGAAAAGTTGGAGGTTGGTTCTCGACGCCATTGATCTAAATCTTTCGTAGGCGCCGGGCGCTAGAGACAACAGATCCGTCATCTTGTCATTGGCTTGCCAATCGGATTATTGACATAAAAGTGCCGCCGGACTCCTCGGCAGGCTGCCAGTCGCAGAAGTACTTGGGTCTTGAGACCGGGATGCCATCACGCAATTGATCAACGCATTCCATACTCCATTCATCTATACCCAGTCTTCATCAAATCATCACCATGCAGGCCCTCATAACGCACCGCACCCTCCCGACGAGGATATTCAACGCCCTCAGCGGCAAGGCCATCTTCAGCCCCGGCGCCAAAGTCCACGACAATGTCCCCATCCCCACCATCAACTCCCAGCAGCTCCTCGTCAAAGTCAAGACAGTCGCCCTGAACCCCACCGATTTCAAGCACATGGACGCCCTCGCGCCCCCGGGCTGCATCCTCGGCTGCGACTTTGCGGGCGAGGTGGTCAAGGTCGGCGAGGGCGCTGCCGGCAAGTGGAAGGTCGGCGATCGCGTGGCCAGCGTGGCCCACGGCGGCATGTATCCAGACGAGGGCGCCTTTGCCGAATATGCCAAGGTCAACCACGACTTGGCCTGGCCGATTCCCGGTGATATCAGCGACGCGGACGCGACCACGTACGGCGTGTCCGCCATGACAGCCATGTTTGCCCTCAACGCCCGACTCGGTCTTCCTTTCCCCGGCAGCAAAGAGAACGCGAAACCAGCCGCCGGCGACGAATCGACCATCTTCATTTACGCGGGCGCCACCAGTGCAGGGCTCTTCCACCTGCAGGCCGCCAAGGCAGCCGGCTACACCGTCGTCACGACCGCGTCTCCGCGCTCCTTTGAGCTTGTCAAGAAGTTTGGCGCCGATGCCGTGTTTGATTATCGCTCCTCGACCGTGGTAGAGGATATCCTGGCCAAATATCCCAACCTCACCAAGGCAGTCGATTGTTTCTCTGAGGGCCCGTCGTCGTCCATCTGCGCACAGGTTCTGAAGCCAAAAGGTGGCACGGTTGTCCTCCTGCTGCCGAATGGTGAATCCAAGGTGCCTGGAGTGCAGTTTGAAATGATCATGCTCTACACCGTCCTTGGCCGGGCCTTCCAGATGCTGGCCCCCCTAGGGCCCAAGTTTGAGGCATCCCAGAGCGACCGTGAATGGGCCGCGCGTTATTATAGCGCCCTTCCGGAAGTAGCACGTCTGCTGAAGCCGACCCCTACTGTCAGCCTTGAGCCAGGGTTCAAGGGCGTTTTGGATGGCCTTGAAAAGCTACGTCAGCGCAAGGTCGTGGGTGGCAAGCAGGTCGTCCAGCTGCAGTCGTGAGCCATTGGCATGTTGCATTGTTGGTTGGCTTAGAACGAAGTAGCGGTGCTCCGGTGCACATTGATCATGATACCCATACAAATAGTAGTTGCATTAGCGTATAACATTATGATTCTGACCATTCTTGTGGTAAGTCTGCTTTTGGAAGATACGATGTACCTGATGATCTCGGTTGGAAGAGGTGTCAGCAATCTTCACCCACAGGCGCAGCTGGCCTTGCAGGGAACGTGAACCCTGCGTGACGAAACTTGACCACATGCTCAGGTTATGTATTACAGTACATACGACCTTGATGCTCTGCCTGACAATCCCATGTCCGTTTCTTCCGCTCAGCGTTTACAGCGACGCTTTGAGCACAGAAAAGGCGTCCTGGGCGCTGCCCTTGTAGCGCTTCTCCGCCGTCTTCCAGTTGATGACGTTCCAGATGTTCTCGACGTAGGCAGCCTTGCCATTCAGGTACTACACCAGTCAGTGTGTCACTCAGTCATCGGGCAGGCACTCACCTGCAGATAGTATGCGTGCTCCCACATGTCCACGCCCAAAATGGGGACTTCGCCAGAGACAACAGGATCCTGGTCCTTAGTTGTGACGATCCGGAGACCCTGCGAGTCCTTGACTAGCCAGCCCCAGCCGCTTCCCTGCAGCCCCAAGAGCGCCTTGTTAAATGTCGCCTTGAAGCTGTCGACGCTGCCCCATGTCTTGTCAATGGCGGCGACGAGGCTGGGCGCGCTGTCGGTCTTGGCTTCGGGAGAGTTGGCGGGTGCCAGGTTCTCCCAGAACAGCGAGTGGTTGATGTGGCCGCCGCCGTTGAACTTGATGGCCTGCTGGAGGGCAATCTGCTGGGGGATGTCGTTGGACGAGGACGCCGTCGAGTAGGACTTCAGGGCGTTGTTCAGGTTGGTGACATAGGTCTGGTGGTGCTTGCTGTGATGGAGCTCCATGATCTGGGCCGAGATGCTGGGCTCCAGGGCCTGAGTTGTCAGTAGCGGCTTCTACCTGAGGAGGCTCGTAAAAGGTGTGAAATACATTGTAGGCGTACGGCAGAGCCGGGAGGGAGTAGCTGCCGACAGACATGGTGATGGGTTCTGATTACTGCGGTTGAATGGATATTATCAAATTGATTGTTGAGAAGAGACAAGCTGTTGTGATGTGGGAGTGAAAGGCAGAAGAGGGGCACAGGCTTGGAGGGGAGCTCATGTAGGCAGAAGTAGGCACCTTCCTTACCTTATCCTGACACAAGCATTGCATCAGAGCGCATCGTCCAATGACGAGCGACTGGCGACTTCGCACAAAAGATGGAAAGTGTTAATGCTTCTAGAAATGGAAGGCCTTCTACCGATGTCGGCTGTACGGTGTTTCGTTGCTTAGAAGCGCGCTATGCTGTCGACAAATGTGTGGCTTGGCCCTCTGACAAACAGGATGTCATGGCATTACTCACTCCGCGAAGAATTGAGTTTCAATCACTTGAGAGCCCGGGTCTAACCAATCTTAAACAAGCGCGCCTTATGTATACATGCTCTCTCTCGTCGCGCAGTGACTACTAGTGGAGGCTGGCACACAACATGCTGGTCCTCTTCACGCGTGAAAGATCTTAGATGGCCACTGACCACCTCGACACCACCACCCACACTGACCGTGATGGAGATGTTACAGTCGATATGCCTCATCGGCTCTCGTGATCCCCCTCTCGAAATATCCTGATTACTCACCATCGCGAGCCATCTCTCGCATACCCCCTCAAACTTGCTCATCGAGCTCATTACCCGATTTGGAAGCGGACCCCTAGGAAGCGATGCGCTGATTGGCGACAACCGAGAGCGGGTAGCCCTCAAGGTCCTCCCCGGCCATCAAGGTGTGCCCAGCCAATCGTCACGTTCAGTCGAGGCGCGATATTGAGCAGAAGTGAGCATGTATCGGACAGTCTTCGCGTGAGGATCAGCAAGTCAACATCGCAATTCTACTAGCCAGCCTAAAATCATCATTCTCTCGGTATCAATATCATCACATTTGAAGCACGCACCCAACATTTTATCCTCTTCACAAGAACACTCTACGTCTTCGATACTACAAATCATGTGTGGACCAGACGACTCCGGCCGTCTCCGTGGAGGTGCCCTGGCCGTGTTGCTCCCCACGCAGACAGCAGTGGACCAGTGCACCGGGCTGAATGCCGACCTCTCCTTCTTCACACCGAGCAGTCAGCGCAGCAGCGAAGCAACCCACATTCAACTGACAATGGCAAACGCCGCGCCCCAACCGGGAACAGACGGTTTCTTCGTCATGGTGCAGTATGTAAGCCAGGAGCGTGGCTCACGTGGAGACGAGAAGACGTACTGACAAGACGTACTGACATGGCCAGCAATACTGGCGATCTACGGCAGAGTGCCTCAGAATGCGGCCTCATGTGTACGATACCACTCCAAAGCTCGGGGAAAATTTCGGCGCGGACACATGCAGAAATTGAGCTTCCTGCGCCACTGTCACTTACAGTGGGTGGTGACGGGATCATTGGCCGGCGGGTGTCCCTGTGTTGTCGCAACGACCTCGACGAGAAGACCATTGTCGCCGAAGGGATCGTGGGGTATAATTTCTCTGATCAGGTGCAGGCATCACTCTGAAAGGAAGGTGCCTTTAACCAGGGGCGTCACTCAAAGAACACGCGAGAGAAACAGTATCAAGGAGCCGTACCAGCGACTGGGGCGACACTTGGTTGCGACGCCAGAGCACTTCTGTAGGCAGGACATGCCATCCGACCACTACTGGAAGCAGCTGGGTTAGGTGGACATTTGTCACCCACACGGACGTGGTCCGTACCAAGCAGCCTACAGCATGGAAGCAAGTGTGCATATCAAGGCCCAGGGCCATATTCACCGTCTCTAGTCGAGTGAAATAGAGGCAAAAGTCGGATCGAATCATGGACGCGACCGGAGCGCACGCGTATTGCCGAGGCTTAAAGCTGAAATGTATTTAAATATTGTATTCTATTGACCAGTGCTATGGCCCATATCCTTTAACCGTCAATGGCGGGATCAAAGCCAGACACAGAGACACCAGCAGCCGCACGCAGTTTATTCGTGAACTCGTCATCAAGCTTGGGCCCTACGCCGCCATTCCACGTCTGCAGCATGGTGTCGCGGAGCCCGAAGCTAGGCCAGCCGTCCCAGCCGACGAGGGGCGCGCGATGAAAAGCACCAGTCGGGTTCTCCGGGTTGGCCTGGTCCTCGCCGTTGGCCACGCGGAAGCAGTGTGTGAGCCCACCGTCCTTGTGGTAGACGACGAGCGGGTGCTGGCCGTCAAAGAGGACGTTGTCGCCGCTTCTGTACCCCTGGTGGCACGAGGGCGCGACATAGATGACGTCCTCGCCGCGGGTGAAGACGACAATGTTCTCCCAGTCGTGCCGGTGGCCGCCGGTGAAGCTCTGCCCGACAGACTGGTCTTTTTCAAAGTAGTACTCGTACCTGGACAGTTATCAGTGTTGGACCGTGGGGCTATGACTGGGCGTGTCGACTTACATAATGGCACAGATGCCGTTATTGCAGCGCGAGCGAGAGTAGGCGTTGCTGTACTCGAGCTGAGGAGGGTCACGTCAGTCACCCTGAGGTGTGCCGGTCGGGCCCTTGCCGGGGTTGGTGTAGCCATCAGGGGAGATGGCCCCGGTGTTGTAGCAGCCCTGTGCTATGCGTTAGTATACAAGATTGACCAGGAGGCAGACTGCAAGGCTTACGTAGGGTCAAAGTCCAGGTAAGGCTAGTTAGAACTTGAGCTCAAGGTCGGATGCGCCCTCGGGAAGGGGGGTGATGATGTCGCGCTTGCTCTTGCGCTAGGTAGGCGAGGCAGAGATAAAGGCGGCAGCGCTGAGCAGTACGGTAGCTGACTTGAAGAGACTGGGCATCTCGGTATATGATGGAGGAGGGTATGAGCCGAAGAATGGTGAGGTGCAGAGGAGTTGTCTGGTTGATGGAATATTTCCGAATGCTCCTGGCGATCACACTCGGCACTTATACACGAGCCGACAAGCAATATGGCCAGGGGCCTCGCCAGACAGCGGACTTTGTAGTTGAGGCCGTCGTCAAAAAGGGCAGCTCATGTCGCTAAACAGCCGCATCACGAACCAGAGCAGTCATTACGTATGCGGGCCATCTGGTTGATATCACAAACGCAGACCTCAGAATGCGGAATTTGCACACAAATCCCATAGCATGGTATCCACGTATCATCGTCCTTCGTCAGCCGATGCCAAAAGAGGAGGGTCGAAGAGCTGAGGATCCGGGATCATTGCCACCCCACAGTTCCGCTAGAACAATTCGGTAGTTGATCGGCTGCGTACCGTCGGCCGTCCGTTGCTGCGCTGCGCTGCTCTGAGAGCCAATTGCTTGGGCCATGTGGGAGCCTAGAAAGGAACCAAGGATCTAGCTTCATTTATTTTGTGGTCGCAGGGGCTTGGAGCTTGAGGAACTGGAGGCGCAAGGCAGTATTAACGTACCGTAGCTCCCGCTACATGCATCCTCAACAAGCACAAAGCTCACGTCGGATAGTGCGTTCTTGGCGTCGCATAAAACTCCGACATATGGGAATCGCTACTCCGTAGCTCGCCCACATCGGTTCCAGCTTTCCAGGATCCGCAGCAATGTTACGCACATCCCACTAGTCTAGGGCGTTGCGAGACTTCGGGCTGCAAGATCCAAGAAGGACGCGCATGACGGAGGCCAAGCGAAGGAATGTGGGCAAAGAGTTATGGAAATTCCGAGAATTGTGTTCACGGCGGTACCTTTTGGCTTGGATTCCGTATAGTGTCCCCAGAAAGGCGGCGGCTCTCTCTCTAGGCTGAATGTCTCAGACTCAGACCTAACTTTTTAGGCTTGAGATAAGGATGCTCGCATCGGGGATTCGTCTTGGCTCTTGACATCAATGATTCACCGACAGCAGTGTGGGAGTGTCTCATCCGCAGAATAGCATGTCCTCGACCAGGTTGTGTGTTTCAAACAGTACTATGCCTAAAGCCCACTATCACAATGGATCTCACATTTCATGTACTATTTAGGAGAGGCGGCAGCCGTCCGTATTTCACATCCCCTAGCCCAGCGGAGTGCATGTCGTTCAGCTATGCGTAGCTCGACGGTTTGCCTATTGTAGTAAAGTACGTATAACACACCCAACATGGAGGGAACCCCAGAAAGAAACGCTACTCCTCGTTGACGATAGCGTCGGCAATCTTCTCCGCGAGAGCATAAACGGTCGACGACGGATGACCAGGGGGCAGCAGCGGGAAAGCACTCGCATCAACAACACGCAGACCCTCGACACCAAAGACGCGGGCCTTGCTATCAATGACGGCCATCGAGTCCACCTCCTTGCCCATCTTGCACGTGCACGCCGCATGCCACACTGTCATGAGCGACGAGCGCACGACATCCAGAATCTCCTCGTCTGTCTGGTTCTCGAGGCCAGGGTAGTCCTCCTTGTCACCGACGCGGATGGAGCGGAGCTCAGGCGTGTCCCAGACCTCACGCATGCGCCTGTACCAGGCAATGGCGACCTCTTGATCACCGGGGTGGGTGAGCCAGTTGGGGTTGATGCTGGGCGGGACAAGCGGGCTGTTGCTCTTGAGGGTCACGTTACCTCGCGAGAGGGGGGCGACCATGGCGCCGAGGTTGGTGGCATATTGCTTGCCGTCGAGCGGTTGCTGCAGTACGGGGAAGGCAAAGTCGCCGATCCAGCCGTTGCCAGAGATATGCTCGACTTCGGGCCAGTCGTCAGCAAACCAGGACAGCGCCTCGCGCGTGGCCTGGCTAAAGTCCTTGCGGTACTCCTCGGGGAGCTTCTCCCAGCCGAGAAACTCGACGACGTTGGAGCTGAGGGGACCCTGGGCTTTGAGGGAGTAGTCGAGGAGCGCATCAGCCAGCGCGACGGGTTCGTGTAGGGTTTTGTCGAGGGTGGGAAAGTCAACCTGGTACGAGGGGCCGAACAAGATGTGATCCCACATGTTCTGGCCGACACCCTCGAGAGCCTTGACGATGGGAATACCCTGCTCCTTCAGCGTGGCCTCGGGGCCAATTCCAGACAGCATGAGCAGCTGGGGCGACTTGAAAGCACCAGCGGAGACGATGACCTCCTTCTTGGCCTTGATCTTGTACGTGGGCAACGCACCGAGCATGCTCACCTCGACCGCGGTGGCCTTGTTGTTCTTGTCAAAGAGGATTTTTTTGGCCAGCGTCTGCGTGAAGACTTTGAGCTTCTTCTTGGCGCTAGACATTTTCGCCTTATACACGTACTGCGCGGACGAGCTGCGGGTTTGGTCCGATGCCCTGATGGTGGCTTGCGAATAGTGGTATCCCATCAGCCTGCCGCTGGCGAACCCGTCTGTTCGCTCCATGCCGACGGCCTCCAGACCCTTCTCGAGCCACGTGGCCCATGAAGACACCCAGTTGGTGTAGCCGACCTGGATGGGACCGCCGGTTCCGGGCTCTTGGAAGACATCTGTGTCGTAAACGGTCGTGACATTATCCCTGCGGATGTCGTTGTTGGGTTCTGTCAGGGTGACACTCTTCTCAAAGTAGGGCAAAAAGTTATCGAACCTGATCTCCGTCAGCCACAGACATTTATCGCAGTATTATCAGAAAGCACACTCACAGATAGCTGTCGTCGCCGACCAAATCAGCCCACTGGGCGTACGAGCCCTCCGATCCACGGTGATGGATCATGAAATTTAGCGCAGAGGATCCACCAATACATCTTCCTTGCGCGTAGTGCACCTCGCGGTTGTTCGCGCCGGCCTGGGGCTCCGTCAAGAACGACCAGTCGACGGTTGGCACGGTGTCGATCAGTTTCCCCCCGACGCCAAAGAAGGCTCCGGCCGGTGTCGAGCCAAGGACCGGCTTCCCAAGCTCGTAAAAGATGCCCGCCTCAATGATCGCGACAGAGAAACCAGCCTCGGCGAGACGGACACCAATCGCATTGCCAGCGGTTCCTCCGCCGACGACCACATAGTCGAATTCCTGGTCCACGCCGAGCAGACCTCCCACCTGGCCCAGCGTCCCCTCAACCAAACCACCGCCGGAAACAATCGTGCCAAGGGCATCCTCCAATGGATTGAGAATAGAACCAAGAAGTGGCCCTCCCCGTGCGACGTGGGCGTAGGAGAGGGCGGAAAGAAGCGACAAGAAACGAGTGGACATGGTGACAATCAATCAATCGTGTGGACAGTCGCTCACCAAGATGAAGGTGCAGCAATCTTCGATACAGGATCCCAAAGCCATCGAAGGCGCCATGAGGTTTTTATTAATAAAAGGGAGCGTGTTTGTTCGTCCCTAGCGTTCGATTCAGTCCGTTTCCCCGGTGCATGCAGCAGCCCCTGGATGCCGTTGAGATTGGCCGTCGGCATTGACAGCTCAATTGCCCCCTGTCCTGACTGAGACTCTGGCCAATTGGGGTTTACAGTTGAACAGCAACTCGGAGCTCGCTTGCGGTAAACGTGTGGTTCACTTTCATCTGCCGAGTTGAGGCTCAAGCTCTCAGCCTTGTAAGCTGCCCAGGTTTTATTCGAATCTGGACTCAAGGCGCCCCAACTGAACGTGCATCATTCACTCAATCTAGCAAACGATCTGTGGTCTACCTTGGATGATCAATACAGCTTATAGGCCTCTTGTCAGATGGAGAGTCCGCGCTGCAGCTCCTGGAACTTGGGTATCGCTAGACGTGACACGTCGAGTTTACTGCCGTCCAGCGGCACTTGTGAAGGATACAAAATGGCGAACAACTCGCCTGTTTTGGAAAATCTGTCCGCATCCTGGCTGGTTCATGTGCGCAAAGCGGAGCCTGATGCATTGCGGACGGGACTGGGGTGTCAGGGTGCCGGTCGGCCTTTGGTAGGCGAAGGAAGCGGCTCCTGTTCTGGTTCATGGCCGACAACGGGGCTCGGGCTCGGGGAATTTACGTCGCATCGGGACAGAGTTTCAACAGTTCGACGAGTTGATTCTTCGCTTGGGCTCTTAGGTGTCGGTTTTCGATCTCTTGTCAAAACTTGTTGTCGCACACGCGAGAATCCGACATGCTGCGTGGCAAAAGCCGGGGTCCCCGGACATCCAGCAGGGGAGCCCGGACTCTGGATTGCGATGCTGGCACAGGAACAAGCCTAAGATTGTGAGCAGCATTGGTTGAAAATTCCGAGAATGGCGTCAATCTGGTTTTTGTGCCCCCTTACCGGATGCCTGGAATCATTTGCGCCTCGGGCTATTAGTAGGGAGAGCGATCCGTCCCGTGGCTCATCATGATTAAGACCTGGATAGCGTACTAGAACTCAGTTCATTGAATTCTGATAAGAAACAGACGATCTAGTCTCGTAATCAGCTCCAACAAATTAGAAGGTATGAGTACGATCTCGTGAAATCGGTGCGTACTTTTGATCCAAGATGCCATGCTTCATCATCATTGGAAGCTCAGAACCACTTGCAGATACCAGGACAGACAGACCATAGTCCGAGCGAGAACTTGCAGATGACAACTCTTGATTTGAACCGTGCTTTCAATGTGCACTCTTGGCATATATTCAATATTTTAATACGGATCGTGTACTGCAGACAGACAGAGAGATCCGGCCGCACACACCTCGCCTCGTCTGAGCTGACTCAATCATCGATATTCAGTGAGCCTATCTATTGCCTTCTACAATTAGCTTATCCTGTTTCTGGCAATGAGCTGGACAATCACCCACCGCCACTCGAAAATGGTGAAATCCGCTTCCTCGGATGTGTAATAGGGCCCTATCCACTACAAAAAGGGGCGTTTGGTATACGGATTAGGATCCTGACGTCGATTGCGGAATGAAATCAAAGAAAAATAAAGACTGATCAAAGCTCAAAGAAGACTCATTCACGATTGATGGACAGCAAACCATCACTTGAGCCTCAGCCTTGGCTCCGTGGGCTGACGGAGTTTGCAGCCCTACGATGTGCAGCTGAAACAGTCGCCACCACAATGTGCGTAATGAAGCGCCTCACACAAGATCATTTTCGTCGACGAAGCCAGAACAATGCACCAAAACTTTTCATATTTGACAAGTCATCTTGTCATTCATAGATTTGACTGTGAGAACGCCCAAAACCCAAAATGCTATGCTCGTGAATATAATTATCGAAAATCCAGTGTGAGTCTAGTCGTAGGTGCATTCATCGTCGCAACCGTATTCATAGGAGGACATTATATAGCCATCGTAAATCAATCCGATGTCTTTGATGAAGGCTTTCGTATGATGTAAAAGAAGAAGACAGAGATGATATCAGGACAGGATAGTGTAGTCGTAAGAAAATCCTCCTCTGATAACATCATATTCCTGATAGGAAACATGTCGCCTGCTTCGATTACATGCACTGGAGTTCGGCGAGCATGCGCTGACGGGCCGAGGGCTGCGTCAACTTGTCAAAAGCGTTCTGCAGACCGCGCGTGGTTGAGTCGACCTTGTCCATGTCGAAGATGCTAAAGTGGTGGCCGGGGATCTCGAGCACCTTTGTGAACATCTTCGGGTCGTATGCGGACCAGCCGAGCATATCATCGTCCCGGAAGACGTCGATGGTGCTGAGCTCACCATCCTCGGTGGGGTAGTAGTCCCGTGCGCGGAGGAGGACGCACTTGGGGCGCTTGCCGGCAAGACGGCCCTCCCATGTGGGGGGTGTCCAGTCCTCGATCATGCGGACAGCCTCGGACATGGCGCGGAGGGACAGGATCTCGTTGCGAGACTTGCCCTCCTCGGAGAAGCTGATGGGCTTGGCCTCGCTGTCGGCGAGCTGGCGCTGGGCGTCGACACCAGTGTAGACAGAGTCGATCATGACCATGCCCACGACGTTGATCTTCTTGTCGTCGGCCAGCTCCTTGGCCACCTCGAGGGCGAGGAGACCACCGAGGGACCATCCGCCGATGAGGAGATCAACACTGCCGTCAAGCTTGCGGCGGCACTTGAAGTCCTTGCGCTTCACAGCGTCACGGATGTAGTCGGCGTACACCTTGCCCATCTCAGGGAGGCCACCGGGGAAGATGTCGCCGGAGAAGAAGTAGGGGTTCCTGATGCCGTACACATTGCGGTACAAGGAGCCGAGACAGTGGTAGGGATAGGTGGTGCCTCCACCGTCGTGGATGAGGACTGCCGTCGTCGAGGAGCAAGAGGGGCTGTTAGGGAAAGACCAGTCCTCGGGCTGGATGCGCTCAGGGTTGAACTCGTCCATTGTGTGATTTGGTAGTGTGTTCTGTAGTGATAGTCGTTGTTTCTTGTCGTAGAGACACAGTCGATGCTGCCCGACTTGTTCCAAATTTCTCGTCTATTAGGTAGGGAGAGTGATGCTCTTCAACCAGTGAAGAGGAAAATGATTAATCTGTTGAAATGAAAGATACTGCCGTGCTAACCAGAGCAATCGACAGTGAGAAAAAGAGGAAAGATGAGGAGATGAGAAGACTAATAGTCAAGGGAGAGACATTTCGACGAGATCGAGGGCATCGCCAGTTATAAGCTCCTGACACCGCGCATCATCGATGACAGAGCTGCTGGGATACGTGACGATCGTCCGTCAGCCTCTCCAAAAAGGAAGTCCGGACGTGCGCCACTTGAAGAGAGGTACCCAAGCAAGTACCGGAGCGGCGATGTACAAGAGTAGGTGATGAATGTTTGGCTTCCAAACTGACGATCATCCAATTGCAGCTCCGTGCACAGAAGCTCAAACAAGCATCCTTCATCCTCACGGTGGCGCCGCAGGATTTCAGGGTCCTACAGGGGTCCACACGAAGAAGTTAGGGTCAAGCCTTGCTCCAAGATATGAAGAAAAATACAAAAGGTTAAGGCTGAGCTGTGTGTTCCACCAAGTGAGCTTCTGGTTGTATTAGCACCACCGACTCCGTGCAGCGACGGAACAAAGACCACGGGAAGATTCAACCTTTGAAGTCGCCCAGTGCCGTCGAGGATGTTCAAATGTGTATGAAAGTCATTGAATTGAAAGGGATTTTCCACTTCACAGTAGCAGAAGCTCCAAAGTTTGGCCGTCATCGCCACGTCCTGCAGCTCCGCGTTGCTATTTACCTGCGGCGTGTCCGTGAGGGTGTGATGAAGTCATGCCAGGCTAACGCATGCGCAAGACGAAACCGCCCAGATGGACGCTGACCCTTGCAGCATCCCCAAGTTCAGGGTCGTCGCCTCTGACGCTGCCACGAGCTGGTCCCTCCAGCGCTGACATAAGTTGCACCGATCACCATCAGCCGCACCTATACGCGGCAAATGGCCCCATAAATCACACCCCCTTCGCGGCAATTGTGCAGTAGATCGCAAGCGCTGCTAGAAGCGCAATTCGAGGTACGTCAGTGAGTAATTGGTGACAGAATTGATAATCATGCTGAGCGCGCGTCTGATCTCGGACGACCCTCTGCTGACTGTCAATCCCATGCCATGACGGGCGTTTCAGATCATCGAATTGTTTGCCTCTGCCATGACCGCGTGCTCCAAAATTGGTTCCGGTGTCACAATGTCGTGGACCCTGAATCCTGAGCAGAGTGCCGTGCCTCTCGCCCTCCCAGCATTACTGTCCATCTCTTTCATAGAAGCTGATGCCTGAGGTAGCGGTGAATCTGATGGTTGATATCGTACATTGCTCAGCTGCATCCGACTTGAAGATACGGGACGAAGCACTGACCACCGATGGCCATGCATAATTGCCCTTCGGGACTCAACAGATGTTCCCATTACTCACCAGTGGCCTCTCAAAACATCTTGAGGAGGACACCAATCGATGATCAGCGAGGACCAAAATTGCACCCATCATGTTGATCAAACAAAGTGTCTGCAAAAATGTGACCAACGAGGTCTTCGTGGTCGCTTCTGATTGCAGATCGTCCGAATCTCGTGCAGAGGCTTTTGCCACATGAATTGTAACCAGACTGGTGCAGCCTACAGCTGACTCCACCATGAGTCGATGGTCCTCATCTCGGAATATTTGACGTCCATCTTGGTCGTAATCTCCTGTGTCCTAGGTCGGCACCGAAAAAATGCGCAGCTCGCTTCGGTTTTCCGAGATTCACACCTTGCTTGCTGCCAGGTATCCGTGTAGGCGCCACAGCAACTGGTGAATACTCACCATCCGCCGTCCTCCCTTCAGGACAACCAAGCCATGCTCGTCGAACAGGTGCGGTCTGCGTTCCTTCAACTTTGCCACTTCTGTCGTCCCCAGAAGCCAGTACAAATCATGCACGGCCATCTTGCTGCCATACTTGGCTCCATCAACATCAAAGGTCGCAAACTCGGACGTCGTTGATGACAACGCAGCGGCACTTGCGTCATCCACGGCGTGGCCGTCACTAGGAGCTTCGTTGTTTAGTAAACAGAGAATGCTTTCCCGTAAACGCACGTCTTTGATCTTGTCCCAATCAGACACTGACTCCATAAACTTAGTCTGGGGACCAAAGTTTTTGTCAGACCGCGCAAGGAGCGCGTCCACAACCACGCGCCGCATCTTGTCCAGCACAAAGTCGCCCATGTCATTTCGCCAGACGGTTTTGCCTTGCTTTGCTGACGTTGCTGTGCCACTTCGTCGACCTAAGATTCTGCCGTGCAGCTTTGTTTGTCGATCCACCTGTCCTACAACGTCTTTGCGACTGACCATGTACGCGGTAAGGGGTGCTCGCGGGGCACGATGATTGTCAGGGGCAGCTCTCGTCTCGTTTTTGTTTGCTTCCGCATCGTCACGGACCTCCACGGCGTCACCGTCTTCGGATTTTCGTCCTCCCTGAAACGATTGTTCGGCTCTTCCGTGTGGCTCTCCCTCTGCGAGGGTTTGCTCCCCCTCTTGCAAATGCTGCCCTGGGTCTCCGTCTGATCTAGACGTCGGGATCACACCTTGGAAGGCCGCTGGACCAGGAGCGAACCAAGCCTGTCCGGATTCTGGATGTTGGATGACTTCGAAGTCTTGAAGAAAGTACCGTGGTAGTGTGGCATTGGTCATCGAGCACACGCGCAACGGCTGCGCCAACGCTCTTGCTATATGCGAGTCAGAAAAATCTTTACCATGTCCAATAAGCCCTACCATATGGGTTTGATACCAGCTTCTTCCTGAACCGCCCAGAGACCGGCGCGCCAGCTGGCTTGCGTTCGCGCCGTCGCGATTTGATCCATGCGGGATCGAAGACAGGCGATATGGGAAGCTCCCCTGCCGGAGTCGATACCTTTTTCTGTTCTGGAATGACCTTTGTGTCCTCGTCAAGGCCGGCCTGGACTTGCTCGAGCAGAGCTTCGGGGGTCAACGTGGATCGATCATGCGATGCCCATCGCCTCGCTTGCCAGCTGCGCGTGGTCGGCAGCGCAGCCGTGCAGCGTTTCATCGCTCTGCAGACAGTATTCAAACACAATGTGCGTATTCGGATGCAATTGGGTGGAAAGTCTACGCGTTGGTAGCTTCGATGTTGTACAAGAGGTGATAATGGGCTTCTTTCAACTTTCCTCAAGATGGAACTTCTGCTGTGCGTGCTCCACCAGTAATTAAATGCGGGTCCTGAGTCACGTCACGACGCGGCGGCCCGACCTTCTCCAAACGTCGGCCATTGGAGCAGCTCTGCAACGTCCTACCATCCCCATGAGCTTCAACATGCGGCTACGCCCATCGTTACTCGCCCCGCTTAGGCGGACGGCGCCGCCTAGGTATGCCCGCTGCTTTGGACATTTTACCTCTGGGGGCTCCGCCAGCGCAGCACCTGCCATGAACATCCCCATGCCATATATCGAAGAGACAACGGTCGGTAGCGCGTTCGATTTGCGAAGACAGCCACTGACGATTGCAGGCGCAAGGACGAAGAACATGTACGACGACTTGCACGCTCGGGTATGTGGACCGACTGACTGGCGAATCACAGGGGACATATTCTCGAAATTACTACAAGAGCGCATCATCTGCGTCAATGGCGAGATCAACGACTATATGTCGGCATCTGTCGTCTCGCAGCTGCTCTGGCTAGAGTCTGACACCCCCGACAAACCGATCACCATGTATATCAATTCGCCAGGAGGATCTGTTACCTCTGGTATGTCAATGTGTCGGCACTCTATGCGTCGCGGGGGTCGTTGGCTAACTGTTCACAGGCATGGCCATCTACGATACTATGTCATATATCAAATCACCAGTGTCGACAGTTTGCGTGGGCGGCGCTGCATCGATGGCGGCTATCCTTCTTGCCGGCGGGGAGCCTGGCAAGCGCTGCGCCCTCCCGCACAGCAGCATCATGATCCATCAACCACTGGGTGGCACCCACGGTCAGGCTTCTGACATCCTCATCTACGCAAATCAGATCCAACGTATCCGCGAGCAATCGAATCGCATCATGCGACACCATCTTAACACCGCTAAGGGTTTCGAACGGTACTCCCTAGAGGAAATCAACGATCTGATGGAGCGGGACAAGTATCTGTCCACCGAGGAAGCGCTCGAGCTCGGTGTTATCGACGAGATATTCACCAAGAGAACTGATAAGGACGGCCCAGAGGGCGCGGGCAAGCAGGATCAGAGTAGGGCTGGCGAATCCAAGGGCAGCAGCCCCGTGGAATCACCATCGAAGCAATGAAGTTGTCCCTTTTGCCGTGTACCTGACGTCTCTCCGCAAGTCAAATCTGATAACCTGACATTTATAGCTTCCTCGAGGGGTTCGTTGGACCTACACTACTGGAGTCAGCCGTTGTGCGCAACGATGAAGGGTATTTTCCAAGCTGCGCTCAAGCCTCATAGCTCATCGCCTTGATCTGCAGCACATATATCTCTACAAGAAGTCCAAGATCATCGGTCGTAGTCGGCAAGCGCGGAAGCCGTGATAACAAAAGGATGGTGGCCCCGTTGTGCAAGGTGCAACCCCACATCCGGTGGGCCAAGCGCCGAAATCATCAGCAGTCGTGTAGACCTCTACTCCTCAAAGCCTTCTTCACAGTAATTCTAAAGGAGCTTCACAAATCTCAAACCATTTACCCACAACTCTACCTTTCCGTCGATTGCCTACATTCTCCGTGGCGGCAGCAATGAATCCCTCTCTAATACATTTGATCAACAACGTTTAAACAGAACACGTTGCAACTGTCATTTTGTTTCTGGTGGCGTAGGCGGACATGTAACTTTCTGACATGACTAGATGTACTCTGAGAGCTAATAGGTCACTTAAATTTCTTTCTTAACGTTGTGTCCTTCGCCACGTCATCAACTGAATTGACGTTGGTAGAAGTTGAGCAAATGTCCTGATGCCACTTGAAATTTGTATGGGAAAATGTTAACAACCACACAGGCATGAAGCAGACGGTACATCATGACAAGCAAAATTAAGAGCTTTACAATAGTCAAATGTGACCATTTCCACTGACTACTTCTGTGGAATGATACCTGGGCATGATATGTTGGCTATCTGGCATAGGGTAACATTTACGGACCTCGGCGAATACGTACAATCCACGCCTCCGACAATCCACGCCTCCGTCAACAGACGGTACTCAAGCTTACATCCATACACACCAGGCATTGGACAGAAACTCTGAAACAGCCGCCTCGGGCTACTGTTCTGGACGGAGAGCACTTCAGGCAGTCCAGTCAGCTCCTAGGCAAGTACCGTCGGTACGTAACGACATCAGCAGAGTACTCGCCACACAAAGCTCCCAGGGTCGGCCTGGAAGGCTGAAACACGATGCCCCTTGCCACGATCGAGAAACAAACAAATGTTTGACGTTTCAGGTTTTTTGAGGCTAAACCCTCTGACAGAAACAGTGCACGTGAGAAGACACACAGTTAACCTGCAAGGGCCGTCTAGCTTCGCGACAAATGGGTGCAGAATCACATGCTAACTGAGGCCAAGCAGTGTCTTTATCCGGTTGGTGTGATTGATGTGCAAATATGCTCCATCCTATGCCACGTTGCGCAACTGTAACCAGAAAATATTCCCGTTGATCATGGTCTTCATCGTGTTTATGCTGGCTGACTTCTGATCTGACCACAGACAGGCGATGGTCCAAGTCACCGTCCCTCGTCCCACTCCACCCACCGTCTTATTATCTCGTCCACATCTCGAACCCCTTTTCTCGAAGCGTCGACCTCGAACCACTCTCGATGCTCTCGGCCACAGGCGTCGCACGCCCCAGCGTCTGCTTTAAGACCGCGCCCTGCCAACTCAATGTGAACCAGTCGCTCAACCTTCTTGACATGCGGCGTAGTGCGGGGTGGCGCATCGAGCGGCGCGGTGGACGATGCGTAAGGATAGTACCGAAGTACCTCGACCTCCCTACCACATTGCCTCTGCCATTGGTTCATCCGGCGCTGAACGTTCGCTGCGCGCCCAATTTTGAGAACCATGGTCTTCTTGCCACTGCCGCGGGTGGTATCCGCGTAGGGCAGAACTGTATCACTGACGCGACGGTTTCGAGGTGATGGTGAGGGCGGGGCGAGCATCTGCCGCGCCGCGTCGACCGGCGCAGCCCGGGCACCTGCCTTGGCCTCTGGTGTCAACCAGAACATGTAGATATACCCAGGCTCTTCTGCTTCGGAATGTGGTTTGGCCAGTTCGGCCAGAATGGCCGACGCGGTAATGGTGTCCAAGTCATCCGGGATGAGGTCTTTTAATCTCGCGGTCTGTGAGATATTTGACTTTCGTGAGCTTTTGGCTGGCGATGCCGTGGACGCATTCAGGGTCTGCTTTGTCCTCCGCCCGGGGCTGGACATTTGCGAGTTCGCATGGTGCTGTTGTACTGGCTGTGGCTGCGGGCGAGGTGCTGGCGTCTTCTCTTCCAGAGGCATCTTGAAGCAGAAACAAAACTCCAGAGTTGGCTCTTTGGCCTTCTTGGGTGGTGGTCGGTATATCCTTGGATTTTTGGCAGGACCACCTTGCTTGTGCTGCTTCGTCTTCTTCCTCTTTTCCTTGTCCTGGAGATCCACCAGACCTAGGCGGTCAGCCAACGTATCGAGGCTCGTCCTGGGCCGCTCCTCCTCCAGAATGGGCGTGGCATTGGCGCGCGGTCCAGGACTGGAGTGCGCAGAGAAATTCGCTTGCTCTCGATGCTGCCAACAGTACAGGTTCTCATTTGCAGGATCGTCGCGACGGCGCGAGGGTGGTTGTAGCGTCCTGCCGGCGGTAGCGAGAGGCCTTCGACAAGGTCGACCGGACGCAGTAAGTCCACGACATGTCGATGCGGGGTTTTTGGAATCATTGCGGTTGAGGAGCGATTCTGGAGTGTTTGCTACGAAAGGCATGCTTGCAGCCGTGTCCTTTGTCGGTTGTCGAGTCTTGTCGCTATCGTGAACGCATTGCGGATTCGGTCTAGTCTGGCGGTCAAGAGAGAGAGGAGCAAATTCACAACCTCGGCGCGACCACTATGACCAATCATTGATTCCTTGCAAAGACAGCTTCGCTGCCCTGCTTTTGTGTGTACTTCACATTGCGAGAGGTGTCACGCAGCGTGAATGGGAGAGGCTGGGGATGGATGGGTTCGAGGTCTTGGACCCGCCTTGTTGTCCCTGCAGATGTGGCTGAGTGAGGCGGATTTGCCAGCGCCCGTGGCGCAGCTACAATATTCCAACAGTCAACAATAGGGGCTCACGGCGAACATTGAACTTTGGCGTGTGAATATTGGGAAACCCCCAGCCATTTTTCCGCGCCGCGCCCATCAATGATTGAGCCCAAGGCGTGGGATAAAAAGAAATTTATGTTAGACTGGTTCGTTCGCCAGCTTTGAAGCTTCCTCATCCGCGTTGGGTCTCCAGGCCCCTTGAGACAAGAAGCCAGGCCGTCGCTACTTTGAAGGGGCTTGGCGTTTAGCGCCAGTCCCTTGTACCTTAGACTAGCACGCCAATTCATTCTAAACTTCGGAGACCGACTGCTGGGGGTTTTGGCTGGACAATTGTGGTTAGCACCATGATTCACCAACATCCTGCAGGCCACACGTCTATAGGCGCCTCGGCTAACGTAGCCTTTCCATAGGCTGTACAAGCGGCAACTATATTTCAAGATCCAATATCCGAACTTCAGTCTAGGTGGGACAGTATGCAGTGGTGTCTCATCCCCTGAAGACTTGAAAAGGCCAGGCATGTCCCGATCCAGTTTTTATGAGAGGGTACAATTCACTTATAGCCCGAATGAATTTTGTCAGCTTTCTTCGCCCTCTGGAAGATTAATAGTGCCGGCTAATTCTTCTCTTAAATCGTACACTGAACTACCATTGGTGTAGCGTTGAGCTATCTGAGGCGGACGTGGCTCTGGAAGGCTGTTTTAGCTTCAAGCTGTTGAAACCAAATTGTAGTGCATACAACATTGTTCTTTGGGTTGTGTCAGCATTGGTCCTTATAACGCACGTATTCTCCTTAACCCTGAGCACCGAGTTCCAAGCTTCCCTGGAACATTCTTCTCGCCGTATACAATACGCCAGCTTCCAATTTTCGGTCCATACCATTTAGACGTCCGTCACTATACCTTCGTCATCCCTTGCATTCTTCTCTTTCTTCCCTCCACCCGAATAAACTCGTCGAATTCACTCGTGTCCAGCACAAACAGCAGAATGTCGCCACAACAACAGCCAAAGGTCGCTGAGAACATGGTCGATATCAATTCCTTCGGACCTGCAGCGCGGATTCGTGAGGCCGCCCTCCACAACACGTTCGATGCCTCATCAGAGGAAGAACTGGGCAGGACCGTGCACACGAGCACGGGCAGGGAGTCTGAGCCTGGGGCGAAAGACCAGATGTCCTGGCTTACACTTTGCTTTATACTCGTTGCAGAGCTCCTGGGCATCGGTATTACTGCGATGCCTAACATCATTGCCACTTGGGGCATTGCCAGTGGGCTTGGGGTGCTCATTCTGACAGCCCTCTCGAGTCTGCTGACTTCGATCTGGGCGTGCAAGTATCTTTTGCAACATCCTGATATCCGCTCTATGGGAGATGTTGCTGTTTCTATGTGTCCGAGCTTGGCCCGAGTGGCACGAACGGCAGCTTCGATTATGATCGTATTGTTGTATCTGGTGAGTGTGCTTCCTTGGCTGTAGAGATGAATCGAGACTAAGTAAAGTCTTCTATCGCTAACAGTCTCACAGTCTACGCACTTGTGTGTCAATATCAGCATCGCAGAGACATAGTTTGCCGGCGTGGAGCTCCCCAGCAATGTCCGACCTGGTTTGATCATTCTGGCTCCATTTCTTGTCATTTGTTCTTCCCTGACAGCCCTGAGGAGTCCGCAACGTCTGGCTCAGCTTGGGATTTTCACGGGCGGATGCGTTGTGTTGTTTGCCATCACAATCACCGCTCTCCTGTCACAGGCTCAAGTACCGGACTATGGAAAACAGCAAGGTCCACACACCACAACGGCCGTCTACCCGTGGTATAACCAGGAAACGAGTCGGGATGCCAAGTTGGTTGCGGTTCTGAAGCTTGTCTTCATCTATCTCGTGCAGACAACGATCCCTTCCTTGATGCCACAGATGAGGAAGCCTGAGTACGACCTCTTTTCCACGGGCTGAATGACATAGCTGACCAAGGTTTTAGGCAATTTTGGAAGTCATTATACGTTACATTCGCTATTTTGACTTTCGTCCTCGGTGGATTCGGTGTGATTGTCTGCACGATCTTGATGCAGCGTGGAATGCGGCTCCCTTCGCCTGTCTGGGAAATCCTTCCTCGAAGCATGGCCAAGGTGCATCTGCAATTCTCCTCCTCCCTAGCACTGTGCAAGCAGTGATTTACTGCATGCTCATCGTGCATTTCATCCACCAGAATGGGATTGCCACGTCCTTGGCCCAGAGGTTTCACCTAGGACCGAGAGTATCCCATGGGATTGTATCCGGTATGAACCTTGTCTTGTTCTGAGCGCCGCTGATCTAGAAAAAAAGCTGACATCGTCCCAGGGATTTCTTTGGATATTGGCTGGAGCTGTTGCCATCCTAGTGCCGCAATTCAAATCACGTAAGTACCCCCAAGCCCACTGAGGGTCATGTTGAAATAACACGCTTAGTGCTCGCGATTAGTGGCGCAATCTTTGGCGGTATATTCGTGTATCTCATCTAGTCAGTTTGTCACGCACAAATGCACTTTGGCAATTTGGGTAATTGGCGCGAGGCAGGTACATTTCCGCTGTTGTCGAGGCTGCCGAGGCTCCTCTTGCTTTTGGTTGCGTTGGCTATGATGTGTGTTTGCTTCTGGGGTTGTGGTCCAACGGGCGCAGAGTTCGTGGTTTCGACAACAGCTTTAGCATGGAGTCCGATTAGATACACGTCAACCAAGGGAGAACATTCTGGGTAAGCAGTCAATTAGCGTGGGAGAGCTAACTACCCTCATCGGAACGCCTTTGATATCCGCAACGGGGTGACCTTACGCCGTCTATTTCGCTGTCGTATTGATGTTACCTTCCAAGCCAAACGACTCAAGCACGTCGTGGACTGGCGCTTGTGATTCGATCAAACCCACGCTAATCGCGCATGAGGCATAATCATGAAGCCGCGACGTCTGCAGTCGTTGGCGCTTCAGGGGTCGCAAAACAGAAATTTATTATGGGTATGAGGGGATGAATCGTGAAGTCGCCAAACGTCAGTCGTGGTTCGACGTTTCGGCCCCAATCTTTTGATCCTCTCGGATGACGTCGCGGTGGAGCTGAATGAGGCATATGCGTCTATCCCCTGTCAGAATTCTGCATTAGTACATAGATATACATCAAAACGTGCAACCTCTTATCGCGGTCTGCCCCTCGGTGCCCCTCCAAAAGTTTACTGGCGATCATCTTCAGGAACTGATGTTGCAACGTCAAACCCTCTGTTTTTGAACTTCATTTTGAATTTTGAGAGTCAATCGCTACCATGGATTACGATACCAAGACACGTACGTGCTGTGTCATCCTTTGGCAGAGCAGAATTTAACAAATCACAGCTCAGTCCATCACCTCGGACGTCAACTCGTTCGCGAACGACTCGGTTCGCAACCGCTGGCCTGTCATTCTCGTGAGTAGCTTGTCTCAAGACTCCAACACAAACTGACAGACGCAGACACAAGCCATCGATGATGTTCACCGCACCGTGAACACGCTCGAGAACCCTGAGGCTCAGGCCGAGGGCAAGAAGATCATCGAGGAGCTCGGCACCCTCAAGTACGAGGTGTTGCACGACCGCAAGCTCACGTAGGTCAACATCACTTCATTGGCAGCCGGGAAACTTTCTAACATGTTCCGCAGACCAATCGTCAACGACGAGTACCCCGAGGAGGTCGAGGCCTACAACAGGGAGATCGAGCAGCGTGGTAACCCATCATGGCTCGACGTGCCATGGCTGTTCTCCGAGTGCTACATGTACAGGTAGGTCCTCATTCGCATGTTTTCACATTATATCAAGTACTTACAGTCCAAAGACGCATTAGCACCTTCTTCAGTCTCTCGACCCACTGGAAGGATTACGATATCTTCGCCCGCCAGAAGATGGACACCTTCCGTACCTCGCGCAAGGCTGTCCTCGAGCTCGCCACCCGCTACAGGGAGCTCGTCAACCAGCTTGCCGCTGACAAGAACGCCACCCACGACATTGAGGCTGAGAAGCTCCTCTTTGCCGAGTTCTTCGAGATCTGTCTTTGGGGCAACGCCACTGACCTGTCCCTCCTGACCAACCTCACCTACGAGGATATCCAGAAGCTTCAGGGCTCCGAGGCGCGTAAGAACGCCGAGAAGAACATCCTGATCAACAACCTCCCCCAGGCCTACGAGCTCCTCAAGAAGGCCCAGCAGGACGGCCAGACTGAGCGACGCGTTGACATTGTCCTCGACAACGCGGGCTTTGAGCTGTACGTCGATCTGATTCTCGCTGGCTTCCTTCTCGCATCTGGCCTAGCTACCCAGATCGTCCTCCGTCCCAAGTCCATCCCTTGGTTCGTCTCGGATGTTCTGCCTAGCGACTTCAGCGCCCTGCTCAACGCCATCTCTGACCCCAAGACCTTCTTTGAGACCCCGTCCGACGAAGAGAAGTTGCAGGACAAGACTCCCGCGCCGCTGGCCGGTACCGAGGAGGATGACCTGAAATTTGTCTTCCAGCACTGGGCGCAGGCTCACGCCGATGGTCAGCTGATCATGCGCCCTCACCGCTACTGGACCCGTGGCGGCAGCTTCTGGCGTCTCCCCAAGGAGGCCCCTGAGTTGCATGAGGACCTCAAGCCCGCTCAGCTTGTCATCTTCAAGGGTGATCTGAACTACCGCAAGCTGACTGGCGATGTGAGTGCCACTGATATATCGTTATGACTACATTTGACTAACATTCTCAGGCTCACTGGGATACCACCACACCATTCACCGAGGCTATTGGTCCTCTCGGCCCCGGCTCTGGCGTCAACGTTCTGTCGCTACGCACATGCAAGGCCGACGTCGTCGTGGGCCTCAAGCCTGGCCAGGACGAGGAGCTCAAGGCCCTCAACGGCCAGGACCCCAACGACAAGGCCAGGAAGTGGGCGTGGTACGGAAAGTGGGCTGTTGTGTGCTTGTCGCAAGGAAACTAAGCAAGCATTGTGTGAAGATCTAAACCTGGGTATGATAGACTTATAGACTTTTGACGACATGAAATGAAGGATACGATACAATTCCCATATTTGTCTTGCCTAGCTGTGAAGGTATGCGACAATGACTCCAGGAGGACCAATCCGTGCAGTCTCTATCGCACCAAGACAGCAGGTGTACGAAGACGGCGCTGGAATGGGGACGAGTAAGGAAAGAAAATCAAGTTCTGCAATGAACGGGAGTTGCCGAGGTAGAGATCTTCAAGGGGAATGGGAATCGCCAAACCAGTGGTCTTGTATTCCCTGGAACTGAACCTTTGCCGCAACATCTACTTCACCTGAGCATACTTGATATGCATCGCATTTAGTACTACCTTAGCCAGCTCCGGGTGCTTCATAACACATTTTGAACCCTAGGAGGTTTCAATTCCCTCTTCAAAGAAGCGTAAGGTATTCTGCTCACTCTTGACTTTCATTTATTCTTGTTTTTTGTCCAGCCGGGGCCTTGGATGGGCGAGGATTGCCAAAGCTCAAACCCTGAAGTTCATCAACAAGATAGGATATTGCGATTAGCAACACGAAAGGTAACGGCGAATTCGGGTCTCCCAGCTATAAGCGACTTCCAGCGCGCTGCCGTATTCGAATTGCCAACATGCACGGGGCAAACGTCGTCAATCGCTTTCCACCACCACGTCTGATGTAATTGAACTACAACAGTCTCATGAATTTTGATCAATGCATGAGAAAGGAGTGGCTCACATATGCCCTCGAACTTTGACGATTGAAAGGTTTCTGAAAGCCCAAGCACAAAATATGCCGGAGCCTCTAGCTGATCTCGGCTCAATGTCGCCAATATGGGCAGGCCCCCGGGGTCGGACGAGGTCAACGTGATCAGATGATGATGACCCCGGGGACCCAGGAGATCAATTAAAGGCAATTTATCATGAGCATACGCGGTCTGGGAAAATAGTCTTGGGATGAAATCCGGTCACCTGCAGTATCACGTAGTCAGTGCTGCAGAATGTTTGGCCCCAGCTTGTTGGTTCCTCACTTTTCCTTCAACAGTGCGTAAACACCGCGAACCAATTAACCTGTCGCCACCTCCCTAGGTTCAGAATTGAGCCATTTCAGGGTGGCTGATGCAGACCTTCCAAGAAGAAACGCTTGGGCTTTGCTGACCGTTTCTGGGCATCATGTTCCGTCTAATGAGCGCACATTATTTGCCAAGGGCAACAGGTCCCAGAATACAATCTGCCACAAGGCTTCCAGCTTGTCTGCTTCGACTCAAGTACGCAACTGGTTTCCCAAGGTACATTTCAAGCGACGCTCAGAGCCAAAGAAATGGCCACTTTGGACAAACAAGAATGGAGAGGAGTCATGCCTTGCGCTTTGACAGGTTCTATGCTTTCAGTGTCCAGCTTGCTCACTGACTTCAGGTTGCTCAGATCATGTTTGACCGCTGCTATCCGCCATGTTGATGCGATTTCGTGCCTTCTGGCAACTTCTCCATAACTCGAATGTGTCGCAGCCTGGCTAAGGAGAGAAACAAGAAGGTTTATGCGCGTGTGAGTTTTTGAATCAGACGCCAACACGTCTCGCTATCCTCGCTAAACCAATGCGACAGTATCGCTCACAGAGCAAAAGGAAGCCAGGAAGATATCTTGGCCTGTACATGTCCGAAGACATTGCTGATAAAGCGGAAGAGGATTTTGAAGCCAAGAAAGACAAATCGAATGAAGAGTGGTCACGAAAGATGGACAAGGCATACCCCAAAATTCCACCGAAGGTTAGAAACGAGATCCGCCGGCTTCGCTCCATGGATAGTCTGAGCTCCAAGGTTGACCGCAATCGCATACGATTATACATTCGAGATCGGCATACAGCGTGTCGGTCTCTTATTTCCTCGGAGCCAGACATGTAAAAGGCCACTAGAGAGCATGAAAAGATCAAAAAGATACTCTCAAAGTGGCGTGGCAAGGAATCAGGGACCTAGACCTACCTGGCTCACGTGGCGGTTGTCAATTTACTAGTCGGCATTGAGACAAGCCCCAACAACAGGCCGTAGGTTATGAAGTTATCAAGTTGTGCGAGGGCTCCCCTTGCCTAGTAAAGAAGAGGACGAAGGAAGAGGAAGCTACTTGTCCGAGGGGAAAGAAGACCCCCGAGGATTGCATGATTCAACCATTGTGGAGAAATGAAGATTCTTCTATACTATCGGGCATCGGAATGCGGACCACACTTTGGTACAGTGTTACGGCACGCTGCCGTCCCTAGCCAACGAAGTACGACTAGTCACTAATTAGCACATTTCGTTCTTGTACACTAGAACACTCGCGAGGTCTTACTTTTTCATTCAGTGTATCTTGTCCCACACACCAACCTATGCCTTTGCGTCGGGCGCTGACTCGATAATATCAATCGTGTTATGGTCGACCATCGCAGCCACGTACCGCTCGCACATGGCGCGGACCTTGTACTCACGCTGCATTTCATAAGGTGTCAGGCACCAGCTGTCAAGAGAATTAGCATACGACAACGCAGGCTCTGCGGATAAGCGGGATCGACTCACCCGATGCCGCTGAGCATATTCTTCTTATACTCAAACTGAACCGACTCATCATCCTTCGAAAGCGCAGGGCCACCAAACCGGTGCAGCTTGCTGAGATAGTGCTCCAAAACCTCCATCTCGTGGGCCCGGCGATCCTCGACCGTCAGCGCACCAATGAGGAAGTAGGTCAGATCGTGAAAGATGCTGCTGATGTGTGCCGTCTGGAAATCTAGGAAAGAAGGGTTGCCACTCTTGTCGAGGAATGTGTTGCCCGCGTGGGGATCACCGTGGACGAGGCCAAGGTAGCGAGGGTCGCGTGTCGCAAAGTGCTTCTTGATCACGGCCTGCATCTTGACCTTGTCCTTCCACTGCTCAGGGAAGGGGGGCCTGTTGTCGGCGAGAATCACGACCTCCCACGGCTCCGTCATTTGCATGATGGCAAAGTCGTATACGTTTGTCATCCATGAGTACTCCTCACTGCCGGAAGAGATGTTGAATTTGGAGGAATGGAGACCAGCGAGCTGTGAGACGCCGACCTTGACCTGCTCGAGCGTCATGGTCTTGGAACAGTCGCCGAAAGTGTGCTCCTTGCTCAAGTCCTCGAGGATCACGATCGCCTGGAACTGGCCCGGGTCGACGCCCGCCCAGTAAGCCTTGGGGACGTTGACGTTGCGCAGCTCGGGAGCAATGTTCTGGAAGAACTTGATCTCTCGCGTGTAGAGAACCCTCAAGAGCTGGACGTAGTCGGGCATTGTCATGATCTGTGGGTTGAACCCGCCCTTGACACAGAGGTACAGCGTCTGCTCTGCGCCTGAATCGTCATCGTAGCTCGCCGTGATGTAGACCTTTCCGGCCGATGCATCCAGGATTATGTCCGTTTGCTCAACCTTGGTTATTGGAAGGTTCAACACCTTGGTGAGCCATGATGCTCCAACCTCTTCTGGCAGAGAGGGCAGGGTCTTTGATGTAGTAATCGCCATCTTGACTATCGTACAAATTTGGAACGTCGGTAGAGTGTATCAACCTCCGTGTGATTTACGAAATAGTTATTAAAAGAGTCACGGTGTTGGAACGTTCAGTTAATTATCCAGCGCTTTGCTCGACTAATGTCGGACTGCATGGGGGCCCGGGGGGTCTTATAGCAGTTAACTTCCTCCTCTGACAGGGTCCTAAAACACGAACCGCAATATTCGTCCTCCCTGATACCAGCTGTAAACCCCAGGGGCACGTCACTGGTCAGGACCTCACAAGCGCAGCGCCTTGTAGAGTGCAGACTGTCAGACCGGCAACATGAATGTTGGCCCGCGACCAGACAGCTTCGCAATTGGCCCTGGTCTGGCGAGGCAGCGACGACCCTTGCAGTTCTTGACTTTGGTGGACAAGTTCCTGCATGGTACCATGGAGACATGCCGAGATCGACCGCTTGACATTCATATTGGAGAATTTGGGTTTGCTGACTTCATGTTGCTGTCGCTGAGGCAAACCTGTGGACGAAGATACAAACTTACGCCAAGTCGCGCATAGGACCGTTGTTGATATTCATAAAAAGAACCGTCAGAAGGATTGGTGCCATCACCAGGACATGTCGCGTGTGGCTGCATGTCAAGGCAGATCCTGGTCCGTTCCGAAGGGACTGGTAGGCTGGCATGTTGATTGTGACTTGTTGGCTGCTGGCATCCCTTCGCTTGGGAAGAATAGAAGAAAGAAACCGAAACTGACAAGCCGAGAAGTACTGAGTACCTGCCTAATTGATCAGTATGTTAACTTACATGTACTGTGCTTGTAGTTTGCAGACTTTGCGTACATCCATATGCAGGATCATCACATGTAGTAATCAATACATGTGATCATCCAACCCTGTTCACATTGCTTCCCAGGTTTCGGCCAGAGACAACGGGGCGGCTGGGTCTCTTGAGTCTACCTAGTACCGGCATCTTCATTTTCAAAGAGGTTGCTCCATGCTTTATACCGCCCGTCTCTTGCCCGTCTCGCTCGTCACCTCGTAATCCGTCGCGCTGGTCTTTTTCTTGCAGTGCCGCCGACTGTCTGCTGCTTGGGGCGTAGGCGTTGGCGAGTGCATGTCTGCAAACGTCATTGGCATCGTAGCAACGAGCTTGTTAGCTGTCGATGTCGCTGTGAGCTGGAAATTCGCTGTAAGTGTTTTCTCAGACCTCAGTACACGGGATACTGACACACTCTTCAGCTATTGCCAATCTACATGCTTTGGAAGACGCAATTGCGATGACGAGTGAAGATTGGCGTCATGGCTCTTATGGCCATGGGAGGCGTGGAAGTGCCTGCGCAGCTCCGGTGGCCCATCCATACTGACATTCATGTACAGGAGCTCAGTTGCCACAATTGTCCGACTGAAGTATGTCATCGAGGTGCTGCACTTCACGGAGTCCCAGGGCATTGCGAGACCCTCGATTCTGCCCAAGACCCTCGCGGCTACTACATAGTAGGTTCCCTCGAACCTGGATGACAAGACATGTGGTGACGAACTACAGCTCCATTGTCGAGATTGGACGCAGCATCTTCGCGGCTTCCTTGACGACACTCGACCCCTGATCAAGAAAATCAACTGCTTGTCTGGCTTTAGCTCCAGCGGCCCGACTCGAGAGACAGGACCGAAAGGCTTGTCAGCCCCTCGAGTAGCAACCGACCCCAACAGTACAAGGGGCCCGAGCTATCGGCTCGACGACATGCACACATCACACGCCGACAGTGAGGAGGCCATCATCGTGCCCCGAGCACTCAAGGACCAGAAACAGTCCGTCGTCAAGGTGATGGACAAGAACGACAGCTCGCAAGGGCGCCTGAAAGTGCCGTGGAACCAGCAGCAGCCGCATAATGGGTAGATGCCCTGTTTCACTGGATAAAGAGGGCAAGATAGTCGTGCGGTAGCTGCGTGTCCTGTCAAATCTTGCAACCCGTTGCTAGCCTAACCTTACTGAAGTTCGACGTGGTGTGTGATTTTATCCGCTGGCGTCTGATATCAGCCCCAACATCGACTTTCGAAATCTAAGGAATTCAGTGATGGACAATCTCTTTCGAAATCTCCTGCCCCCACATTAGCCGAAAAGAAGCGAGCATGGCTACCGCACACCGCTGCGAGATGATGAAGTGAGGCTCTCTGTCGAACCGGCTGAAGCCTGTAGGTGTGTGCCATGAAGGGCAATTAGCCCGACGCCGCCTGCGTCCGGACCGTCTAGGATGCGGGGGAGAAGAAGTAGTATCTCGTTTAGTTGCACGGACAAACTAAGCTTGACGAGGCCTGCCGTGTGAGAGAGAATTTGAAAATAGCCTGATTGATCGGCAAACCGCCTCCCCTCATTCTGCGAGACCGGCGATGGTAGACGTGATCCAGCCCCCAAGACGAAGTCGGCGGTTGCGCTGAGAGGGGACCGAAGGATAGTGAATAATAAGACATATTATCCCGCGAATCCTGCAGCGTTTCTGGAGCAGGGGCGAAATGATATGCACACCTCATCCACCGCCGTGAAAATACTGGCCAAGGAAAGTGCGCCGCAACGTTTGCCCGCTCCTCTGCATTGATCCTTATTCTCGCAGTCCTCCTGACGAAGACGATAGTCTGAGGAGACGGACAATTGCGACTCGCGCGCCGGACGACCAAAGGCGCAGGTGACGGGGACCGATAACAGCACGTCGCATCGAGAGGAGAGCGTTGCTTCTCCAAACCGAATCCTGCTGGATCGTGTGCTGCGCACTTGAGTGGCCGATAATAAGCCTGCTTGGCCTCGTTGCTGAAATTGCGCGGATGCGTGACTCGTGTCGAAGAGGAGAGAGAGGAGAAGGAGAGAGGTCAAATCTCAACTTGTTGATCTATCTCTTCGTCTGGCCGAGGGGGCATCGCCCAGCGATACATGCCCGGGACCTGCCAGTCTGTGCCAGATGCATTGACTGATTATTGCCTGGTAGCCGGGTAGTTTTGACGATCAACGAGTCACGACAGAGGTATGTAGCAGCAGCAGCAGCAGCAGTTCGACGCCAAGCCAGCGTGGACCAGGGATCTGCGCTGTGCTGCGTTGCACTCGGCAGCGTCAGGTTCACCATTGGCAGCACGGACGGGTGCGGTGCGACGGACACACTTTCGTCATTCGACTCTGTCACAATACACCCAGGTCGCACAATTCGACGCCACCTTGCGAGCTCTGCCAAAGCCAGCAGCAAAAACGGCTCTACGTACCCTGTGAGGTAATTCTCAAAGAGTGCAGCTGCATGCCACGAAACGAGTCTGGCGAGTCAGTGCCGCAGAATCATCGACAATTCAGCAGCGTCGACTGGCCGAGCCTGGCTGCAGCGAGCGGAGACTGACGACTGTCACTGGACCAGTGCACTGAGTGGAGTGAGTCAAGTCGTAAAGCATCCGGATCCGCGGTATTCAGGGGTATTTTTCCTGCGGTGTCAGATCTGCTGTTCTAGAAGGTGGCCCGTCCTGAGACTGCAGGGTTCCTCGCGAGGGTGCAGACTCAATTGCAGAGGACGAAAGGGAGAGCCAAGAGACAACTGGACGAGGAGCTGCAGGCCAAGGAGCGTGAGCAGGCCAGTCGTCATAATACTCGACAGCAGCGACAAGAAAAGCGACTACGGTGGCTAGCCGCATAAGAAGGACATGGAGCTTGTTTTCGGTCCCTTAAAAAATAAAAGGGACTGGAGACGCGTAAATCACCGAGTATTACTATTCAAGCGCCGCGTCCGGGGAGCCCGTGTGTCACCAGGAGCCAAACCCCGAAACGGGAGAACGTCCCGGGCAGCCAGCACAGGACAGCAAGCAAAGAACCAGCAACAGCAAACCCCGGGAGCGACTATTAGAACAGGAAAAAGAAACGGAAGAGGAAAAGCGCGTCGGGTTATCATTGCATACTTATTGGCGCCAGGAGATTAGCATCGAGTTATCGACGGAAGAAGTGCAGGGCCATTCGTCGGGTGCCAGACCGACAGGCGCAGACTACAGTACTACAGTACCTGACAGGCTGACTCCGGGACAATTACAGGCCAGCGGCCCCAAGATTACAGGGGGCGGGGCATTTCGCGGCGGCATTATTGGGATCCTCCACCCCCACCACAAGGGCCAAAGGTCGGGCCTCGCCGCCTGACTGGAGGCCGGAGCCCCTCGGAAGAAGCCCAGGCACGAACCGTCTCCACTCAGGACCGCGGGACCGCGGAACTTGGAAGGCAAGGCCTGGCAGCAGCAGCAGCAGCAGCAGCAGCAAACTCAGGAGACTGACTGAACTGAAAACCCAGTGGTGGACCGTGGAATTGAATCACCGCCCACACCAAGCAAGCAAGCCCAGACCACCAGCCCGGCCAGTCGCCTGGTGGCTCCAGGTTCCAGGTTCCCACCAGCAAAACGGACTCGACTGGATGGAGTGGCCCTTCATGTCCGAATTCTTGTACTCGGTTGTCCCCTCCCTGCCGACCTGGAAGCCTAACACGTCCAGCAGCAGCAACAACAACAGCAACAACAACAACAGCAACAGCAACAGCAACAGCAACAGCAACAAATCTCGTCGCCCGTCGCAGCGGACAGACTCCAACGGGGGCAGCACCACGACTGGCAGCGGCTTGACACCCACCGCCCCAGCATCACCATTACCGTCACCATCAGCAACCGACCATCAGCAGCGGCTCGACCGCAATCGAGGCGCCGACGCAGCGACTGCCACCACTGCCACCACAACCGACAATAATGCCCGCGCTCGCTCTCGCCGCTCCCTGATCCGTTCCGCCTCGCGATCGTCCTCCAGCAACCGAGGTCACCACTACTGGTTGACAAAGACCAACAGCACCAGCTCTGCCAGTGACAGCGCCACCGCGGCAAACCCATCAGCACTGACTACCAATAACTCCAGACTCTTGGACAGCCGGCAGCACTCCAGCAGCCCTCTCTCGCGCGCGCGCTCCAACAGCGCAGCCGCAGCCGCAACCAACAGAAGCAACAAGGACACCACCAGCCCCTCGGTCGACGCGGCCCGCAACTCGTCCTCCTCCTCGACCGTAAGCGCACGTACCCGCCTCACAGCCGCCAGCCTCAGCGCCGTCACATCGGGCACGAGCTCGACAAGTTTCACCCCGCGCAAGCAGAAGCACAGGAACAAGGCGAGCAGCATCAGCAGCAATAGCGGTCCTGGAGGTGTCAGCGGGGCACCTCCTCTTCCATCCACAGCAGTACCGTCTCTACCGTCGAAACTACACGCGTCAACAGCCGCGCAACAGCACGGCGGCATCACCGCCACCACCGCCAACAGCAGGCCGCTCTTCCACGTGGACAGCATCGCGGCGGGCGATCTGAAGCATGTGGCCATGTACCCCGATGTAACAATGGATGCATACCGGCCACCAGCCGGTCCCAAGGTTTTCCACCCGCCTTCTGGGCGAGCCGAGTCGGTGAGCTCGACCAGCCTTGCCACCGCCCAGTCGAGCAAGACCGTCCTATCGAGTGACCCAAGCGCACCAGACTCGACGCCAGCGCAGAGACCATTTGTCCAGCGGAATGGGCGCTCGTACCTGCGCGACCAGACAAACCCATACCCTCTGCCTGTGGACTTGACAGAGCTGCATCGCCAGTCTCTACGGACCTTGCTGCTTATCCAAGTCCACGGTGCGCCCGTCGCAAGTCCGGCCCTGACGGCCAAGCCGCCCTTGAAGGTGTTGGATCTCGGCTGCGGATCGGGCTTCTGGAGCATGATGTGCCACCGCTACTTTAAGAGCCGGGGACACGGGGGCATACACTTCACAGGCATGGACGTGGCTTCCGTGGCCCCGAGCAACGGGCCCGAGGGCGGCAAGCCGGACCGAGAGATGAAGTGGACGTTTGTCCAGCACGACCTCCGCGTCAAGCCGTGGCCCTTTGCCGACGGCGAGTTCGACATGGTCTTCAACAAGGACATGGCGCTCGCGTGCACCACGTCCCAGCAGGCGACCCTGATGGACGAGAGCATCCGCGTGCTCAAGTCGGGCGGCACCCTCGAGATCTGGGAAACGGACCACTCCATCCGCATGCTGCGCAAACACGTCCCCAGCGCCTCGGCCGCCAATACCCAGGTCGAGGAGCAGGAGGCCGCCTCGACGCTCGGCGCCTACGTCATCAACACCAACACACCCCTCTCGCCCCCCCAGTCCGCCTACCTGCAGGAGTACAACGGCTGGCTCAAGCGCGCCATGGACGCGCGCGAGCTCATGGTTGAGCCCTGCACCGTCGTCAACCACAGCCTCCTCTCCGAGGCCGAGTCCCTCAAGAACATTGGATCTCACCGCGTCGCCATCCCCTTTAGCGAAGTCCGTTGGGAGCGCGAGGGCGTCGGCGGCATCGTCACCAAGGACGGCAAGTCGTATCCCACAAAGTCCAACCGCGAGCAGCCGCCGCAGATTATTGAGAAAAAGTCCCTCACCGCGGGCCAAGCCGCACTGCGACGCACCGCGCTTCTCACCCTCATTGAGGAGATACAGGCGCTGGAGCCCCTGCTGCGCGAGCAGAGCGGCAAGAGCCAGGACGAGTGGGACGTGTGGATGAGCAAGATGACAACAACACTCCTCAACGGGGGCGACTACGACACCCGCTGGGGCGAGTGTCTCGAGTCGGGCGCCTGGTGGGCTACGAAGCGATAATAGCGAAACTGTGTGCTATTATGCAATGAAGAGATGATACAGCGAAAGGGAAAACGAACGAAAAGGGGGAACTAACTATACTGCGTGGGTTGCATGCGATGACTTTTTTTCACTTTCGTGTCGGGATACCTGTTTGATATTTATATATATATGTAGGCTATATATTTGGTATATTGCTAGACTTTTTCTTCATCCTCCGCCCCCGTTCCCACACCGTGTATGTTGCCGCCCAACACGTCCGCCTCCAATGTCCACAACGGCTTCAACACCGTCTCCATGGCATCCTCATGTGTCTGCGTACCGGGACACCCCTTCACTTTCTTCCCGTCCGCTATGGCAGCCGGACCACCCAAGCGCACAACCTCCGCCAGTATGTCGCCCATCCGCTGGACTTGGCTCTGTTCGAGCCTCTTGAGAAAGACTAGAGCGCCCAGGTCGTGGTACACGTGCCGCGCGGACGTCCGCGCGTCGTCCTCGCTGCGCGGCGCCTTGACCTGCGGACCGTCGTGGATAGGAGACCGCGTTGTCAGGCCAATGATCTTGTAGAGCGATGGGTGGTCGCGGTAGATGGAGGACACGGCTCGACGTATGGCCGACATGTTGGAGACGTGACTGGTGATCCCTGCCCGACTGCCAATTGAAGTCCACCGGAACAGCACCAGGTAGGTAGGTAGTCGTGCCAGCGACCTCGAAATGGTACAGGTCAAAGGAAGTGGTCAGTCAGTGTGCGTGATTCTCCAACTGTGGCTGAATGACAAGGTCAAGCAGCCTCGTGTGGCTGTATTGTGGCGTCATGATCCCTGCATTGCTCTCGACATCACCATCATGATGCCCGCCCTCGTTCATCCTCTACAACCAAGAATGGACCTCGATCATGCCGCCTTCTACTCCATCGTTACGGCATCAGGTCATTGCCCTCTACAAGGGTCTGTGCTCCCCTACCTCCACATTCTGAACCAAAACTCACCGTAGGTGTAGAACTGCTCTACCTCGGTAGGGAGTATCCTCTCGGCTATGATTACTTCCGCCCAAGGTTGCACAAGGCGTTCATGAGCAAAGCCGGCGAAACAGACGAAGACAAGATTCGAAAAGGGATCAGTCAAGGGGAGTATGTGAAGAAAGGTATATTCTCCGTGACCACTTTCCTGTCATGACACACGGCAATAGGCTAATACTACGCAGAGATCGAGATGCTGTGAGCTCTCCCATGGCTGGAATAGGGCTGTTCATATTTCGCTGACTACGCAGGTACTACTTGAAGCGATACCGCACGCTGAGGAAGCGTTACGATGCGGATGCATGACTGGGCCTAGGCCGGGCGTATATACATCACTGAATGCGAAGAGCCTTACGTAAAGGAAAAACAAACACAGCCGGTTTTTGCCTACTATCTACTCGCTCACGAGACTGGACTGTTCGGGAAGCTATCGTTTTGCCCGCTGCCGCCACCACTACTGCCGCCCTGCGCCGGATAGGCAAACCCAGGAGGACGCTGTCCACCCCGCCATGTCGGCAGAGATCCCTCGTCGTCGTCGCTTGGCTGCGTGAAGCCGCTCACATCGCTCAACATGCTAGAGCTCCGTCCACGCGTCTTAGCGCGGGGCTCAAAGGGTGCCGCGGTGGCCATGGCTTGCCAGGCAGAAGGGCCAGCAAAGGAGGAAACGGTAGGAACGAGATCGCCAGAAGTGCCCCAGACGTTTGACGGGATGTGAGGCGGAGCCGCAGGATTCGGGTTCCACATGCCAGGGTGTTGTTGCTGTTGTTGCTGCTGCTGCTGCTGGTAATCCCCCAGTTGGGCCATCTGGTCAAGAGACATGTGGACCGCACTGGTGCTCATAATGGCATTCAGCTGCGCCTGCATGGCCTGAATCTGCTCAACCTTGCCGGCGTTCGTGGCTCTGATGTGTGCCAGACGCTCCCGATAGTTCACTTCCACGGCGGCACTGTGCTCCTGCCACGTCACGCGCTCCTGACGGCGACGCTCGGCCTCGTCAAGCCCCCGGGTGTTGGCGTCGGTGATGTTGGCCAGCTCCGTCTCGATCTTGTTGATGCGGGTCTTGATCTTGTTGACCTTGCTGATGAGATTCGAGTGTTCCAACTCCTTGGCCTTAACTTCCTTGTCCAGCTTCGACTTGAACTCCTCAAAATCCTTCTTCTCCCCGTCGTAGAGCTTCTTCTCGGCTCCGTAGAGCTTTTCGACCTTCTTCTTACGATCGGTGAGTTCCGGCGCCGCGTCGTAGTTCTTGAGCTGGTCCACAAGGGCTTGGGCTTCGCGTTCCGCCTGCGATTTCTGAGTCTCCTGCTGGCGAATCTTTTGCCTGTACTTCTCGTCGGAATTGCCTGCAGATGACAGTTGATTATCGGCCAGTTCAATGTCCTTCTTCAAGTTGTTGATGCGCGACTTCCACTCCTTGCGAACTGTCTTGAGGCGGTTCTTCTCCTCGGTCAGCCTAGCTTCGGCGGCAGCAATGGAAGTCTTGAGCGTCGTGGCGGGCGAGTCGGGCTGCAGAGAGTGCTGGCCATTAGGCGGCGCGGCAGTACCGGCTTCCGTCTCGCGCTGTGGCTCGCTGACAGTGCGGATGCTTGTTTTGAACAAGACAGTGTCGTTGCTGCGGTCAACAAACTCGACGACATACTTGGACGTGGGTCGGAGTCCGTAGATGGCGCCAGTCCATCGAGCGCCCTCCTCTTCCTCTTCTGTCTCGCCACCAGGCGCGTCCAGCGGGTACATGCGTGTTGGCTGCCAGAAGGCGTTGTTGATGCGGACGTAAAGAGGCTGCCCGGAGAGCTTCTGCGCCGTGGTTGGAATCGAATCGTCCTTGCTCCCCTGAACGCTGTCTTCTTCCAAGTGCTCGTGGGGAAACAGACTGGTGTTGAAATGAACCTCATCACTACCCACGTAAACAATCCATATTTGGCGCTCCTGCCGCTCAAACGGCGCGTTGCCCAGATTGTGGACATCGGTAGCGTTGGATCCAGCCTGCTCCCGTGACGTGTTGGACAGCTCCCACTCCTTCATAAATACAATCTTTGTGCTTGCAAGTGCAGCCCACAAGGGCTGCTGTAGGCGTATCTGTGCGCTTTGCTTCCTCCTCTTCTTGCTCACTAAAGGCGGGGCCGACGTCTGCTGGGCGTTGATTTCGATCTCTGGCGTAGCGAGAGTGGCGTCCGCTGCGTTGTCGGTGCTCCCATGTGGTTTTCCTACTTCAGGGTCGCCTCCGTCTTTCCCATCCTTGTTCTCGCGCTCCCGTCTCAGATACCACTTTTTGATCGCCCTTATAGTTCCTTGGGTCAAGATATGCACGGCCAACAGGCTCTTGGCCCAGCCAATCAAGCCCTTAGTCTCATAGTGCTCCTCGTGCAGCTTCCAAGGCTCATGAAAAGCCGCAGGTACGGGCCAGTTGTCGGGAATATGTCGAGCTATGCGCGCCCAGTGAGACTGGGTACCCCTCAAAATGTGATGCAGCATGACCCAGAAGAACGTTGTCGTGATCCCTCGCGACGCTCCATCGCGCGAACCTGTACCGCCGCCGAGCGTAATGGCAATCACAGGCTTCGCCAGATCCTGCATCAGCTCTTGCAGTGGGTGCCAGAGAAACAGCCAGAAGAAGAAGAACATGACGTCCATAGTGAACAGCGTCACAGGCGCGGGCGTCGTAGCGGTGCCATCGAGGATTTCGGCAAAGTTGATGCTCACGTACGAGTTGAGCGTGACGGGCGGGACAAACGTGAGGAGCGCAAAGACGGCATAGATGAAGAGGAGCGAGAGAGCCGGTAGGTGCATCAGAATAATCAGAATGGCCAGCGTATCCTGCATGGGAAGCGCCTTGAGCACGGTTGCGGCAAGCTCAAGGGGGCCCTGATCGCGGTGAACGTTGACATCCTTCAAGGCATTGACGTCGATCTGGCGGTGTCCGGCGTCGACGCCGCCAGCGCCCGAGGTCTGATGAGGCGCCATGAGCGATGAACCGGATTCGGACGATGTATCGTCTAAACCTAATGCATCCAAAACTTTGCGCGCGCCGTTGATATCGACAGAGTTGCCCGGGTCGTTGCCTGCATGGCTCTCCTTACAGACGCCGTCGATGCTGGGCTGCTGCTCGGCGCCGCGGTTTCGGGGCGGCGACGTAGGCAGAGATTGGCGGGGCAGGCCAGAGGCAGCATGTTCAGCAGCCGTCCTAGGCTGCGAGCCCTGGGCGGATGCGTCGAGCTGTGCGTGGCTTCGTTTGCCTACGACTCGCTTGGCAGTAGCAGGGCCAACGAGCCCATTCTCGTGCCGAGTGTCGCGCTGACCGGCGGCGCCTGAGTGTCGCTTGCCCGACCCTGAGGCACGAGGCATGCGCAAAGGCCGAGGGAGTGTCTGAGGCCGTCGCAGGTGGTCGTGCGTGACCGACAGGACGGTGATTGTCGGGGACCCGGAACTTGGGTCACGAGTAGGGCGAGGGGCAGGGAAGCGTCGTCATGCGTGCAATCTGGACGCGGCGTGGAAATGAAGCTAATTATCGATTGAACAATTCGGTAGTGCAAAGGCCGCTGTCTCGAGACGAAACGATGATGGTTCGTCGTCGTCGCCGTCGTCGGACAGGCAGCAGCGTCGGACTATGAAAAAGTAACAATACTCCCGTGGCCTGCTGGGTAATACGAATGGTGGGTGCCGGTGGTGTGGTGAAGGGGTGAGATTTTCAGAAGCGGGAAGAAGTGCAGGAAAGCGTTGAGTGGGTGGACATTTGGAGGCAGGAACGGCCGGAACAGGAACAGAGGCGCCGTCGTATCGAGCCATGATTGGTCAGAGTCTGTCATGGACATGCTAAGTCCCAGCCGCTTCCCAGGGCTGCTCAGGGCCTGCAGCACCTGTACTCCACTGGCAGAGCCGCTATTAGACTCCAGCTTTAACATTTGCACGCTTGGCCCTGGAACTAAAAGAAGCACTGGGCTGGTTGAGTTGACATGGGCTGGAGACTGGACTCACTGGAGTTGCTCAAGGGTCCATGCAACCGTAATGAGTCTATATGTACTGACCAGTGACAGTGACCACGCATGCGCCTCACCCAAGTCCAGTCATCTTGCAAAATAAGCTACGGCCCTGCGTTATACTTTGTCGGTGCTAGCAATGGCGGCTCGGCATTTGACATGGCCTGGAAGGGTGTGCAGACGGGACATGGAGCGCTCAGCACGCCAGGCCTTGCACAAACCAGCCAACCATGGCAGAGTGCCGAATTCCGCGAGTGCAACCCAGCCTCGAGGATCACTGTCCGCCAATCGCTGCCTTGATGATGTGCTGCCCATTCGTCGAATTCAGCATGGCGCGATGCCCTGGGGTCGGATGGGGCTCAACAGCCCTTAACTGCGACTGCCGTGGTAACAGTCCCGCCTCTGATGAGCTGCGTTGCTTGCGCATGACGGGGAAAACGTCCGCAGACAAGGTTTTTCTTCTGGACGTGGTGTCTGCGCACTGCTTGACGTCGCTGCCTCGCGATGGCTTCTTGTAGCTGGCAGCTGCCATTTAATTTTAGTTGGGGTACTATATGTGATGTATCCGTGTAAAACAAGAGAAGCTTATCGGGTCATCGGGTCATTCTGGGTAAATCGCCCGATAGTGTGGCTCGCAATGCTGCCCTCCAGTCTGCAGATGCGACGCAAGCTTGTCACATTAAGTACGCGCTGTCGAGTTGTCTCATCACTTGTTGCTTCTTTCTGGTCGAATGCAAGCAGCCTTCCTAATTCAATTTCACGCGTCAATGCTTGTCCAGGAGACAATGGAATTCTTGCCCACGCCGACCCATGCCATGCGCCATGCGGCGGGGCTGCCGCTCCATCAGTCACGTTTGACTGCAAACTTTGGCAAACGCAGCCTATCGTCCAGTCGTTGTCGTAGCCCCGCCGTCGATCACCACACTGTTGCAACTGGCGATGGCATCCTTTATTATCCGGCTCGTGATGGTGTCTGCAGTTAGGGCAAGCTGACTTGCTACGGCGGGGTAATTACGACAGAGAAATATCGGTGCAGCCAAAAGCCCCATCTCACTCGCATTTTGACGCTCTCCGCGACCAGTTTCAAGCTGACGTTAGTCATTCACCTCAACCACACTCTCCCAATAGCGACCACCATTCGCAGCCTACTTCCCCGTGTTCGAATAAGTATTCCGTGGTGTCGTGTCGAATTTTGCGCGACTCGCACTGGGAGGATGATCATGGCTCCGAAAAGGTGTAGGTTAGTTAGCTGAGCTTGGCGTCTTATCCTACAGGCTTGTACGTAAGAATTCTTTCGGCGTTGAAGGGCATATAATTATGCCCGGCTCTGAGGCTCATCAGGCTGCGTCCGAAAAGAAGGCCACAAATTCGAATTTTTTATTTGTTTTTAATTTTAATTTTAATTTTAAAATATTTGTTTTTACTCCTTCACAATTGAGCAACTAGTGAGTGGTTTTTCGCAGTGGAAAGTCTGTTGAGGTCGCTCCAGATCGTACCCTGCCTTGTACAAATATGAACTTTGCTTACTAACTGAAGACAAAGGCAAGTACGTATAGGCCCTGGTTTAAGTAACCCAGTATGTACTGATTTTGCAATGTAACTACTATAGTAGTATTACTAGTACCTGCTATATGCTAGTGACTAGAAAGCAGACCTGGCTTTGCCTCTATCTTCCTGCGAAGCTCGACCGCGCAGGCTATGGCCTCTGCATGAGCAGATATGAGCATTGTGCCTCCTGGCTGCTTGAAGCTTTGATGAAAGTCTTGGCTACGTTCGAATTGAGCTAGCTGTTCAGTTGAGCGAAAGGCATGAGAAGGACCATTCATGAAGTACGTAGTACGTATAGTGAGCCCTCGAGATACCAGGCATCCGTGAGATATGGAACCCCAGCTAATTATGCATCTATCCGGAACGCATCACGCTAGGGTAGCGGGTGGAACAAGCCGCGATACTCGACCATCACCAACGCGACAGTTGCCGAACATACCAGGCCCAGGCTGCTCCCCTATGCCCGGAATTCGGGATGACGTGACTCCAAAAGCACAATGGACTTTGTGAGTATCAACACGTCACTGCAGCTGAGCGTTGCTGACCGAGAAGTGGTCACGTCTCATGAGCCCCCTCTCGTCGGGGAGCTCGCGCCAGGACCAAGCCAAGGACCCCGCGAAACGCCTTCATAGGTTTGAGAAGGAATATGGGAATCTCCTGGTAGGCCTTCGCCGTGCACTGCGGTGGCAGCACGTTTGCTCACTGACAGACAACATGGCGTACCTCGTCGAACCTCTCCCGCGATAGCGATGCTGCCGAAACGCTCGAGATCCGCCTGCAGGAGCTCACCAACATCCTCAGCGACGAGTCCAGACGACCCCTTCCGCATCCGTGCATTCAGTTTGCTTCCTCCCGCCATATCTACGTGCCTATCGGGAAAATCGCGACGACGTCGTACAACGAGTGGATCATCAAGGAAGCAGTTTTGTTCTTCGCGACGCTCATCGAGAGTGAGGAGGAAGCTTTCGTCGAGAACACAACCTTCTCGGCAAGCTTGACCAATCTTCTCGTGAGAATCACCGGGCCCAACAGTGTGCGGTTGGGGCTGGACACCGAATCGAGAGTGGTGGAGCTGGCGTTCAACATCACGACCAAGATTCGCCTCGCCCCTGATATTCTACCCGCCTGGTTCAAGGCCCAGGGCAGCCAAGATGAGGGTAAACGGGACTCGCGAGAGAAATTTGCGGGAAGGACGCAGAGGGCTGACTTTCCGCTCTTCTACATCCTGATGGATTACATCCATCACGAGGGAAAGGTGGGCGACTTTGCGAGGACGGGTCTGCTGTACATCATCGAGGCCGCGTCGAGTTCGACACTCCTGGAGCAGTGGATCGTGGAGAGCGACCTGTCTACACTCATGGCGACTGGACTGGGGGCTCTATATAGTCAGCTGAGTCGGAAACTGGTGATCGATCACCTCCCTCATCAACTGCCACCGATCCTGGCCTTCTCCGACTACCAACATCCAACATCGAACTTCGAAGTCATCAGCTCCTGCTCGTCCGAGTTTCAATCGCACATTGAGACTTTCCTGTCGCACCTCCTCTTCTGGCAGGACGTGCTGAACCACTGCAAGTCAGTGGATGTCAAGTCGACGCTGCTGGAGCATTTCCAGGTCATTTTCCTGCAGCAGCTCCTGTGAGTCTCGTGTGTCCGGGCACTCACGGCTTAGCTGACATTCCAGGTACCCGTCGCTTCTCGAGTCTTCCGATATCGACGGAGGTTCGTCAGTGGCGGTCTTGACGTACCTACGTCGCATCCTCGAGTCCCTCGATCATCCTGACATGATCAACCTCATTCTGCATTATCTGCTGGCGCTACCGGAAGCGCCAGATGCACAGAGCGACGAGCCTAGTTCCTTGATCAGCAGTGCCAGGAAGCGCAAATCGATGGACCTGGCCACGATGATGGCGTCCAAATCCGACACTGCCGTTACGCCTCTCCTGTTCAACCTGGTTGACCTCATTCTGGCCTGCCTGCGATCCAAGAATCAGCAGACAATTTACGTGACGCTTCAACTCGTGTCAGCCATTCTCAAGAGGCACCATCGATATGCAGTCATGACATTGCTCAAGACCGAGGTGCTACCTAGCCACGTGGTGCATCGCACCATTGGCGCGCATGAGCAGGAGGTTGAGTACCTTTTGAGCTTGGCTGGGGCCGTAGGCGGCCAGGACAATTTCGACGACGTCTACGACTCCCTCTTGAAGGATACTATGGCACGGCTCGAGAGCCATCCATGTTCGCTGAAGTTGGTGGCACCACACGTGGGAAAGAACCACAACCACAAGCCGGCTGCGCTATCTGATTCTCTACCAGGTGCACCGCGAGAAGTGCGTGAACATACACTACGGCCAGATGACCCTTTACTCAACGCCATGCTTGACTTGCTCGAAACGTTCTTCTTGAACCCCGTGGAGACGAATTTGTCAGTCACAGATAGCCTGGTGGATCTTGCAACATGCGGCTACATGAGTATCGAAGGATGGCTAGCTCGAAGCCCGCATTCGTATCAGTACGATGAGGATGAGGACGTTTCAGAAGAGGAAGCCTCGGGAGATGAGGATGCCAAACAATCTCCATCAGCAGATGCTGCGAAGCTGACCACCGAGCCACAGGACGAGCAAGCAAAGTCGCAGAAGGATTGCCGATGCAGGCCACAATGGAATCAGCAGTCGCTGCCACGCTTGCTCCATATTGTCAAGCGACTCTGTGATCAGGTCATCACATACAAAGAGACGGTCCCCAGGTTCGAAGAGCTCCTTCAGCAAAGACGTGAAGCTTTCCATACCGCAGACATGATCCTGCACAGCCCCAAACCTCAACCTAGGGATATCCCAATGACCCTCGGAACACCAGACCGTCCTAGTGACGAGTTCTCACGGAGCGGTTCCCCATCAAGGCCGTCGGCGTTCGAGGGCCTCGCGCAACGTCTGCTGTCGGAACTTAGTACACCTAGTCGCTCAGGTAGCCCTCGAGGCCGCAGAGAGCAGAACCGTGGCAGCGGCAGCGGCAGCGGCTTAGCGACACCGTCACAGAGGGTGGACAACTACGGCACGGCGAGCCCACGCACGCTGCCCATACCACCGCCGAAAGAGTTCCCCTTTCCCACACACAACGGCTACCGCACAGCGTCGCCGAGTCGGATTGGAGACGACATTGGGGTAGATCTCGACAACCGGGGAGACATGCATCCGAGTCGCATAGCGGACTTTGCTGCCGCCGATCAGACCATCCTGTCACAACGGATAGGTCTCCCGGACAGGACAATAGATCCCATTCCACTCAAGTTCAACAAAGCGCCCATCAGGGAACCTGTCAGCGCGTCCAGGGAGGATGAGGAGGACGAAGATGAGTTCAGCAAGGCGGCTATTGGCCCCGACGCGGACGAGATGGATGACGAGGACGGAGATGAAGACAAGGGCGAGGAAAGCGAGAATGGCGAGCCGCAGTCACCACAGGACCCGGAGACGGTGTCGGTCTCGCACGTTGTCACCAACGTCATGATCTTCCAGTCGTTTGTGTTCGAGCTGGCGAGTCTGGTGCAGGTGCGAGCGGGTCTCTTCAACGAGGTGCGGTTCGTGTGAGTATGGGAAAGGGTACACATATGGCATTGCATGGCGTCGGTAAGTAGATAGTGCATGGAGCATTCACGTTGGCTTAGGGAAGGCATGCTCGATATCTCTGCTTCTGACGTTGAGGTCTCGCGCAAGGTGTGATCAGTGAACATGGGCCCAACACGCCCATCTCGTGTGATTTCCCAAAGTCACAAATCACCACTTGTTATTCAGAAGGTTCGGGATGCACACCACTTCCACGTTCCCAGCAGTTGGCGGCCGCTCTGCCTTCATGTCGGCGTAGACCGGCTCACTTTGGATCATCCCACCACGCAACGTGGATGATGGGGGAGGGCGATGCCATCCATGTAGAAGAAAAGATCCATCCATGTAGAAGAAAAGACCGAAAGACACCAGTCTGCGCCAGAAGGATTCCATCTCAAGCAGAATCACGGGCCTGTCTTGTCTTGGCTGCTGTCATAGCTTGATCCGCCTCCTCAGGCGGCTGCTGTTGCTCGGAGGCGACTGCCGGACCGCGTTCCGTCTCGCCAACCAAGAATCTCTCTGCCTCCGCAGTCACGTTACATGGGCCTCCTGGGGTTCGAATTCACAGGAGCTGCTGTACGGAGTACTGTGCTCTCAAATTCCAAGAAAAAAGAGTACATGTAGTTGAGGCGTGCTGACGTCTCCTCGACCGTATCAAGGAGCGTCAAGGCTTGGACGCCGCGTTCACGCCGCACACATTTATTCGTCAATAGGATGTCTGCTTTCTACTGCAAAATCCGCTTGGTGGAAGTTTCGATTGCTTGTCATTCGGTCACAGAACCACTGTTGGAGACATTCGGGCTAGAATAGAGCGAGGCGTCGACCTGAGATCTCGATGGTCGTCATGCGCACATACAAATACCCGAGAATCCCTGTTGGCTGCATGGACACCATCCCCACGGGCTTCCAGATACGTTATGGGGTTAATTAAGCTCAAGTCAAGCGGCCCACCACTGCAATTTCCACGTTCCTGGCTCTGTGGCGCTGAGCTTCGACGCAGCAATATCTCGAAGCCGTTCAGTGACGGCGCAAGCAGCACGTACAATCCGGAAGACGGGCAGGGTGATATGAGTGGCGTTCAAAAGTTGAAAGCTCCGTACTGGGGCCGTCCCGGGGACTGGAGTCGACACTGGGGATTTCGGACCTTCTGTGGGGAAAATGTCCGGGTTGCCCACCTTCGCTCCAGCAATGTCCATCTTCGTCTCACAACTTCCCTTTCTTTGCAACTTGAATTTATTGCAATGATTAGGAGAGGGGCTCAGCCTTCCCTTTGATTATTGCCTGCACTGATGCCTGGGTGAGCTATGCGGACTCATTCATCGACGTATTGGCAGGTCTCCTATCATGATCATGGTACACTGCCACATCTTGAACCGCACCGGCAAACAGGCGTCCAAGTGCCAGACAATTATGCCTTTGCCGGAGCGGGCAGTCAGCCACCCGCGACTGGGGTTTTCCCGTCTAGCTCCCATTCGCCGCGATCTCGCAACCCTACAAGGAGGCCTGCTTGACCAAACCATACGGAGCCGTCTGGGCGTGCGTCATACCGCGATTTCACACGTGTCGATGGGGAGACATTTGCTGCCAACCTCTGTTCTTCGCGTACGAACGTATACAACCAGTGACCCAAGACGGCCAATTGCTCGGTCTTGACACTTGGGGGCTGCTGCATCGTGGACGGTGGGTGACGATCCCCAGCCCACCATCAATCCCTCCACGCTTGTGGGTTCTTGCAAGCCAGAAAGCGGTTTTTGATGTATGTGGGGAGAATTGTAGATAAACGAGTACTTGCCAGTTAGGCAGCAGCAGTCGGCCCAGTCACCTGGCAGTGTGCGTGGATCCTTGCCTGTTCATGCAGCATCGAAACCACGTATTGCTCTTCAACAAGTAATTAGGTGTGACGAAAGCGCTCACTAGCTGTACTTCCGTGTTGGGCTTCGCGAATCCTTCGCCAATTTCACACAGCCGATGCATGTTCCTGGTCAAGTGTGACTGTTGGTGATCATGGGGAGGGTGGAGCCCTCTCCTCGCGCAATGCGCCGATATGGCGCCTTTTGGATCGGAAAGCGCGCCCTAAGGCTCCGACAGTGTAGGATACACCCCTGCTTTGACCAACGTTGTTACGGATTATTGCTTGGCTGATGTCTGGTGGTAGCTCGGGCGATCCATGTCGCAAGCACAGCAATATAAGAACCGCCATGCACATCCCAGGACGTTGGTTGACTTCCCTCCTGTTTTTGCCAGGTGCGAACGACGCAGCCTTCAAGACTCTTTACTAGCGAGCTAGAGTTCTAAAGGCTAAAACTGCTACTCAACATGGCCATTGGCAATATCTATGTCATCGCCGGCGTGGCCGTCATCGGCGGTGGCCTCTTCGGTTTCGATATCTCCTCGCTGTCTGCCCAGCTCGGGACACAGAGCTACAAGTGTTACTTCAACCAGGGCCCTGACGGGCCACCGTTCTCAGATGCAGAGTATTGCACTGGACCACGTCCCTTGGTGCAGGGCGGTATCACAGCGTCCATGTCGGCTGGCTCGTGGGCGGGTGCCCTGTTTTCCGGTCCGCTCTCTGACAGACTGGGCCGCAAATGGTCCATCATCATTGGAACAATCTTCTGGTAAGCGATGCGATTTGTCTGAATAAACATCTGTGCTGAAACCTGTACAGGGCTATCGGATCTGCCATCTGCTCCGCTTCCCAGAACATCGGCATGCTCTGCGCTGGTCGAGCCATCAACGGATTCGCCATCGGTATCGAATCTGCCCAGGTTCCCGTCTACATTGCTGAGCTTGCGCCTCCATCCAAACGTGGTCGCTTCATTGCCTTCCAGCAGTGGGCCATTACCTGGGGCATCCTGATCATGTACTACATGTCTTACGGATCCTCATTCATTGGCGGGCGTACCGCGCAGACCTACAGCACAACTCCCTTTCGATTGCCTTGGGCCCTTCAGATCATCCCCGGTCTCTTCCTCGGCGGTATGATGTTCCTGTTGCCCGAGTCTCCCCGCTGGCTCGCTCGCAAGGACCGCTGGGAAGACTGCCATGCCGTTCTTACCCTTGTCCACGGCAGGGGAGACTCTTCTCACCCCTTTGTCATGTCTGAGTTACAGGACATTAAGGACATGGCCGAATTTGAGCGTCGCCACGCAGATGTGACCTATTTGGATCTTTTTAAACCTGCCATGATCAACCGCACCCTGATTGGTCTCTTTATGCAGATCTGGTCGCAGCTGACCGGAATGAACGTCATGAGTAAGTCCATCCTCTCGAAGTCACCAATCCACACCGAACGTTTAACAGGCCATTGCATGGCCGTACAAAGTAAAAAAACTAACAATAATCCACAGTGTACTATATCAACAACATTTTTGCCATGGCAGGGTAAGTGGGGCCCTTTCCAGACTGCACAGCCCAGCGCGAAGTCGCTGGGCCACAATCTTGTGACGATACTCCAGAATTGTGCTAACATCATTCAGATACGAAGGAAACGCTGCTCTACTCGCCAGCTCGGTCAACTATTGTATTAACGTGCTATGTACTCTTCCCGCCATTGTAAGTTGTCTATTTGAGCGCCAACGACGTTTTGCTGACCGTGGCTGTAGATCTGGATGGATAGATGGGGTCGTCGACCTACCCTATTGGTGGGCGCATTCTTCATGTGCCTGTGGATGTGCGTCAATGCCGGTGTCATGGGGTCCTATGGACGCGTCGTGCCAGGTGGTGTGGACGGAGTTCCCAGCCAGTCTATGGAGGTCACCGGTGCCCCTGCCAAGGCGCTCATCGCGAGCACGTATCTATTCGTCGCGAGTTTCGCGCCTACCTGGGGCCCGGTTAGCTGGGCATATCCTCCCGAGCTGTTTCCTCTCGCTCTTAGAGGCAAGGGTGTTGCCTTGGCTACGTCTGGTAATTGGGCTTTCAACACTGCGCTAGGTCTCTTCGTTCCCGAGGCCTTTGCCAACATCAAGTGGAAGACTTATCTCGTCTTCGCCGTCTTCCTCTTTGCGGCATTCTGGCATGTCTTCTTCCTCTTCCCTGAGACAGCTGGGAGAACTCTCGAGGAGACGACGGCCATCTTTGAGGATCCCAATGGCATCAAGTACATTGGTACTCCAGCGTGGAAGACACGCGTTGCTTCCAAGGCTTCCAGAGCAGCGGAGCGCGGCGATCTTTCTGCCAAGTACGGCGACAAGCAGGCCATGACGCCTCCCAATGAGCGTGCCGTTCACTCCGAGACGAATGTTTAAGTCGAGGGGCAACAACTGCCTTGTTCCGCAGCGCCCTCGTGTTAGAGTGGGATTTGTGCTGAAAGGGGTTGTACAGAACGTTGGCGAAAGACATGAGGTCCTGTCCTTCGGCTGTGGCAAGAAAGAATTGCACAAACAGCTTCTTCAATACGCAACAGATTTTGCTGATCAATACTGCCGAGTTGCTGTATTAAAACTGAAGTGATTTCAGCGAATTCAGTCAACCACTGCGCAGTTGAAGTTCAATACGGCCTTGTGCCCGTGCAATGTGAGCATGCACTGTGAGTACATTGGCAAGATGTGTGAGAACTAGGCACCTCAACAATAGAATTTGCGTATGTAGTCCTCACACGTGATACATTTATGTTGCTACTCTAAGTCTCTCATTGAGGAATGATCACGGGCGAATCGTTCGGCAGAGGTCGGAGCAATACCCGGATAGATGGCCAGATCAGGTCAAATACGGGGCCCTGCCCACCAATTAAACGACATGTCGCAGCAGTCTTCGTCTAACCACGGTATCCCCATTGAATTAAGCTGTTTTGAATTAAATTAGAAACCCCTCGAGCATCTGTCTTCATGGCGCAGTTGGCTAGCGCGTTGGTCTCATATTACATAATATGATCAAGCTCAGTCTTGAGTCATCCAGAGGTCGTGAGTTCGAGCCTCACTGAGGACATTATTTTTGTTGTGCTTATCGAGAGGCGGCAGCCATTCGTGAGTCTGAACTTTTTTGCTTGCTAGGCCATTGGATATGTCTTACGTTCTTGTTGTCAGATATTGCTTGCAGTAGTTATATATTCTCGCTTATTTCGATCCCACTGCTCTGATATCGTTCGATGCTGTGGTTGGAGATAACTTCAAAAGGCATATGTGGTGCATTCACTTGCTGGTGCATTCACTTGCTCTGTTGGAGCGGTCTAAGGCAACTGCCTTACTATTGTAACGCAGCGGCCTTGCAATTCGGAATATGATGCCTGAAAGCGAAACGCGAATTAATCGCCTGAGCAGTAAAGGCCATGATCTATATCTCACAGCTGCTTGGCGGTCGGATTACTCGGATAGATCTCTCAGGGTAACTTGGACCACACGATTCTTCAAATCAACAAAAAGAGCAGCATGAGATTCGCGGAACCCAGATGCAGAATCCATGTAAGGACAGGCATAGAATAATTACCAAGTTTGCTTTAATACTAGGTACCTGGGTAATGCACGGACAGCGTTCATGAGATTGGAAATGGGCTTGTACGATCGTCATTGCCCAAAGCTGTGGACAATTGCCTACATTAGGTCCATGATTCACAACAAATCACACGAGACCAGTTGAACTCCCACGCATCGCAATTGTTGATTGGTCATTGTTGATCGCCCATTGCTGACTTGCAGAAAGAACGAGCGCAATACAAGGAAGCTCTGGGGCTTTGTACAAGAGCATCACTGCCCTAGGCACATCTCACATAACACTGATCCACAGAACAAACACAGACTGAGTATTTCAGAAGCATCTTCACTTCTGGTGCCTCTTTGACTCCGAGTGCGGTCCCTACTTCAACAATCAGCCCTACCGCAAAAACCAGCAACGTGCCTGTGACTACCCGCCCAAGCGCCAATGCACCCCCGGGATGGAGGCTTAAGTCTGTGACCTCGCCTGAAGCGCACCTCAAGCAGACGGCGCGCAGGGAGTCGGAAACACGCAAAGAAATCTTCCAGTATTCATTCTACCCCGACCATAACATATCGCCCGCCAGCAACGGCTTGGTCAGCGCCGCTCTTCAAGCGTACTCTTCGCATCATCATCTGATCCTGCGGTCTGAGGATGCCTGGTTTGTGATCCTCATGCAGCTGTCGTTTTACATCAACGCCAATGCCGAAAAGCTGCGGAATCATTTCGTGGCCCGCCAAGGCAAAAAGGAGCTTGTTGTCGAAGAAGGGGGTACCATTCGAACGGTCAATCTTGGCCGGATGGCCGTGTCGATGACAGGTCAAATGCACAAGTTCGTGGTGGACAAGGACCTTCGCCAGTGGATCCTGCCAGACTTCTCTACAACCAACGACAATGACACTGTAGTGGCGGCTGCGCTGTTCATGGGTGCTATGCAAGAGTACTTCAAGTACACGTATCGCCTCCTGTGTGGTATCCCCTCTGTTACCTTGGGGAGAAGCATGACTGGGTTCGCCTTCGGGACCGTGTGGAGAAAACTGATGAATGGGGCATTGATGCGCAAGAGTTCGCGCTGCGTCTAAAGAAGGTCCTGGACTTTTTCGTTCGCACGTTTGATGAGCCTGAAGGAAGCGAGGTCATAGAATTCTGGTCGAAGATTGCGGACTACAGGGGAGGCGGTTCAGGCCCTACATGCATATCTGGCTGAATGACGGCATTGTGTCGATGGGACAATATAGGCAAGCGTGCCCAGTTCAAGATTACCGGGGACGACGACTATTTTCGTCATGAAAGCGCGGAATGCGAGCTTGATGGCATCACATTCGAATTCGTGGAGAACATTCCCCTCGGCTACACCAAGGTGCCTGTCCGGGTGGATGACAATGAGACCGAATACGACACGGAGATTGTGGCAGGCATGGTCGGTGTCGCGGTGTCGAGCAGTGGTGAAGGTCTGGATGATTCGAACCCAGACACACTATACGGCTTGAGCGATGGCGTGAAGGACAAGACGACCCAGACAGATGGAGAAAAGGACCAGACTTGACACGCTGCAGCCAATCTCGAGAGGGTGGATGTACGACGTAACAGAGCGAGCCAGCAACTAGAGGAGTAACAGTGTGTTGAGTAGCTGTTAGAGTCGCGAGTAGGAAACATGACGTTCATTCAAACATGATGCTGAACCCCTCGCACGTGACCCGGGGTTTGAATGATCCGACCCGGTGGGGTGGATCACAGCCGAACTCGTCCAGATCGCGGAACACCACTCGACCGGTGACCAAGCTGCGATCATTGAATCAGGTTGCGACCTACCACGTTAAAGTATCCCCAGCAATCCCGAGTATATATTGCAGTCCCAGCGCTATTCGAGATCCTTACGAATTCACCGTCACCTGGTCGTATGTTATACTCCCGTTCCCACCCGCGCAGGTGACACAATCCCTCCCACCAAGTGCTGTAGTCTCAGACAAAGACATCTGTCACTTCGCAAACTTGGAATTGCAGCGATACACTGGCTGACGTCCCTGGCTCAGACCTCGCACCGCCTTTTTTGTCGCCGCACAAAGTCTGCCAACGCCTACGGAGCGCCCTGTCAAGCTTGCTTGATGACGGACTGAAACCTACGCCAGGGAGCCAAGCACACGTAGACGCCCAGCGAACGCTACATCTAGACTTTGCGCCATTCTCAGCGATAAAAGCAATATTCGCGACAGATGCCCGCCGACGACGACACAATTCTCCGATCCCTAGCTACACCTCCCCCTCCTCTGTGAGAAGCAAACACGTCTTCTGTTAACGGCCAAGCCGTCAGGTTCCTGGCATGTACTCCCAAAACCATCAGCAGAGCCACAATGCGCGGCTGAATGGTGCTGGCCGTGGGATCCCCAACATGCTCTACAACTACGGCCAGCACACCCAGCAACACCACCCCTCCCAGAATCAGCACCACCAAGGGCTAGGCCACGATCACGGCCTGTCCAGCACCAACGGACTCAACCACCACAACAACTACACGTCTGGGGTTCTGTCAAACAGCCCCTTCAGCCCGAATCTGCCCAATGGCCATGGCGGCTCTAGAGGGGGCCAGGCGGCACCAAATGAAGGGTGGCAGGAACAGCTTCGCTTGTTCAAGGACTCAGAACGGGCTCACAGTGCCATGACGGAGCAGCAGCAGCCCCACTACTATGCGCGGCTTAAGGCGTCGGAGAATAAAGGCATAGGTGGCCCTCCAGCGGTCTCGACAAAGACGCAAGCGGACAACGAGACCGACCTCGCCGATAGGAGACGGCCGTACAACCCGATGGACGAGGCGAAGCGGCAGGACTGGCACAATATGGACATGAGCGGGCAGGGTCTACGGAATCTGGCGCCCGAGCTGTTCCGCTACCAGTTTCTCAACGAGCTTTACATTGCGTCCAACAAGCTCACGCGCCTGCCCAAGCAGATTGGCGAGCTCCGCCAGCTGCGACACCTCGACGCCTCGTACAATCAGCTGGTCGATCTCCCGCCCGAGCTGGGCATGTGCACATATCTGAAGCAGCTCCTCCTTTTTAGCAACAACATCACCGAGCTACCATTCGAACTTGGATCTCTGCATCTGCTGGAAATGTTGGGCGTCGAGGGGAATCCGCTAGAAGCGGGTGTAAAGACGGAAATCGTGGAGAAGGGAACAAAGAGCTTGATCAATGCTCTGAGGGAAAGCGCACCGCGTAAGTTATCCATCTTTTTCCTCTCCGTGTGCCAATGATCTAAGTATGATTACAGCTCCACCCACGCCTCCTCCCCGCGAAAATATCGTCATCCAGGAAGACATTGGCGCGAATCTCGAACGCATCAAGGTCTTTTCGTGGAATATCCTTTGCGACAAGTATGCCACAGCGAGCACATATGGCTACACCCCGACGGAGGCCCTCAACTGGACATACCGCCAGAACTGCATTCTGGAGGAGTTGAAGGAGAGGGACGCCGACTTCTTAGCATTGCAAGAGGTGTCAACCGATGCGTTTAAGGAAGACCTCAGCCCGCCTCTTGCACGGATGGACTACAAGGGTGTGCACTGGCCCAAGTCGCGCGCCAAGACCATGTCAGAAAGGGACGCCCAGTCTGTTGATGGTTGCGCTGTGTTCTACAAGCAGAGCAAGTTCATCTTACTCGACAAGCAGCTCATCGAATTCGCCTCCATCGCCATCAACAGGTCAGACATGAAGAACCAGCACGACGTCTTCAACCGTGTCATGCCCAAGGACAACATTGCTGTGGTGTGCTTCTTCGAGTCACGGTTGACAGGCGCACGCGTCATCCTTATTAATGCGCACTTGACGTGGGATGTGGCTTTGGCAGATGTCAAGTTGATCCAAACGGGTATTCTGATGGAGCATGTCACCAAGCTAGCCGAGAAATACGCGCGCTGGCCTGCGGTCAAGGACAAGAAGATGATCATCTTGCCCAGGGACGATGATGCCGAAGCACCACCCCCTCAAGCCGAGCCCGGTCCAAGCCAGGAATACCGCACCAATACGGAAATCCCACTATTGGTGTGCGGTGATCTCAACTCCACAGCCGATTCCTCCGTGTATGACCTGCTGTCCAAGGGCCACGTGCCTCCTGACCACCCCGAGTTGTCCAAGTACCAGTACGGCAACTTCACGCGAGACGGCATCGAGCACCCGTTCAGCTTGCGCGACGCGTACGCTCACACTAGGAATACGGCGGACGAGATGCCGTTTACCAATTACACGCCCGGATTCACCGACGTCATCGACTACATCTGGTACTCGACGAACTCACTCGAGGTCGTCAGCGTGCTTGGACCTCCCGACCCAGGATACCTGTCTAGGATACCTGCCTTCCCTTACTGGCACTACCCAGCCGATCACATCCAGATCATGTCCGAATTCGTCATCAAGGGCCGCAAGGACAAGAAGCAGCTTCAGGAGCGCGAGGTCGACTTTGGTGGTTCGAGTTCGAGGAAGTAAACTGTCTGGACAAACAATGCATGTCCGTTGGAACATCTGGATGATCTTTTTTTGTGGCGTCTGGCCCGGCTGGGCCTTTCTCCCTTTTTCTTGCAAATTCGGGCGTTCGGGGGGGGGGGGGGGGGGGGTTGCCCCGAGTATGCCGAAAGGAAGGGGTAAAGGAGAGGGACTGGGCGTGGCGGGGGGGGGCAGACGACGGCTTGTGGGAC